TATTTCATAACGGGATATCGAGTTTATCTGCAAAGTGTAAATGGATATTCTTAGCAGATGGTAAAACCTTTTGACAGTGGCATTACTTAATTGAGAATTTGACGGTTGATCGTTTTGTACAATGAATTAATTGGCAATACAACATGAAGTAAATGTGAATATTACGCCATTTTAAGCCTCTATAAATATACTGAAAGGATAAATCACGTTAATAGGAAAGTAGCAATTCAGCAATATCAAATTGATATTAGCCAGAAAATGTATTAATAAAACACCTAAAAATGGCGATTTAAACGATTTCATGCGTAAATGTACATATAAAAGAGAATGATTGAGTCAGAGATGGAAAGAGAGAGAGGGAAAATTGCGTGTAATAGTAATCGTTGTACATGAAAGGAATTTTAAGAATAGAACATGTTCACTAACTTCTAACCGTTGTAAAAGGGACTGATTCATATCTTAATGGTTCGTTAAGTAAATAAGACCTTTCCTACTTGTTGGAAATAACCTGTGACCTTATTTCTTTTCTTTTTTTTCATAAATTACCTAGTTTTCTGATAAAAACAAAAATTTTAATGAAGATTAATATCTACTGTTTTTTTTATTTCTTTGTTTTATTACATAACCTTTGTTAAGAAATTTGAAATAAGGAATTGTATTATAATTCATACAATAGGATGGTTTAAAGTTACTAATGTGTCCTTGAGAGAATATGTCTAATAAAGTAATCTTTGTTCTATGTAAAATACATAGGCTTTTATAACGTATTTGCATAATTTATACATTATTTACTAATTTTAACTTTGAATTATTCATGCATTGAGTTTTAAAAATAGAAAAATTAGTTGAGTGAAAACAGCACATTCTCTTCAAATCTGAATAGAAACTGTAGGATTTTATAGATTGATCGAAGGAAATAAAAAGGAGAAGTGTGAGTTGACTGACAGGCCATAAAAAAGCTTCGTATCGACCGGAATAAATAACGGCATCTCTCCTTCACGGTTTTACACAATGTACAATATATAATTAGTAAAGTCAGGCGAAAACGGAAGTAGAAATGTTCCATTAGAGGAAGATTACAGGATATTATTTCCCAATGGAAGTAGTGTTCTATATAAGATTATACAGTGATCAAATTGTTTTTCTAGGATTGGCGTACTATAAAAAGTAGAAAAGATTCATTGTAACACCTATTATATCCTATATATTAGATACATATGTATACTACAATATACTCTATTACTTTTTAATTGATATGAAAGAATAAATAGGCGGTAATTGGTGAGCTTAAATCGTTTACGAAGCGATTACAAACAATGTCGAAAAAGGAACGTGCTGTATATAAATATTCATGACCTACTCTTTTCAGTTGTGTTAATCTTGTAAATCCTTTAGTAAATTTTTACTCTACTGCTCTCAAATTTTTGTAATAATAGAATAATTATTGACATACAAAATGCTCTTACTTTTTGTAACGTTTCGCAAGGTAAATCTTATATAACTTAATTGAATAATTAACTATTTCCGGTTGATTAAATATTATTTGACATTTTCGGTTAATAACTGACCCTTGGTCGATTGCCTTTCTCCAACACAATAATTATTTCCCTCGAGCCATTTTCGACCGTTTATTTCTCAGAGTTTCGAATTTTTAAATAACTTACTGGTTAGTAAATTACCGTCATTATACTAATCGACCCCAATCAACTATATAGACCGAAAAGAACTCTCTTTCTCCATCTCACTCAACTCTTCTCTTTTCCTCTCTTTGTCTTTATTATTCAAAAGAATTATGCCTGATCGATCTAAAAATATAAATATCCAAAAAAATCTTTGCTATTTTGTGAAAGAAGTAACATAGGCCTATGAAAAGTTTGTAAAAGTATATTTAAACTGAATATTACAGTATATAAAGCTGTCTATAGTGAATAGTATGTACACATTGTACTATATATATAAATATACATAACTATTGAAAGTTTGTTACGATTTGTAGCCATTTAGCAGAAGTTGTAATTGAAGAGGAAAGAAAATAAATATACATATTTATCAGACATTTTGTAAAGTCAACATTTGAAAATAAATTAGTTTATACCTCTTAAAATCTTTTCATAGTATATTTTTACAATCAAATGATAGTAAAATTTTTTTATGATGTCTAAATCGATAGCGTAATCATGAATGGCACATATTGTAAAATGTATACTATATATACAAATATGATATATTGTACATAAAAACGCTTTTTGTATATGTAAGTTTACATGGAATAACAAGTTGTTATTGACTGTTAGATCTTGATAAACAGGTCAAAAGTGAATTTTTTTAACGGATACAATTACTATATAGAAAACACCATTTTGAATAAAAAAAAATCACGTTCTCCTACGCGAACAGGCAACAACGTAAAACTTAATTAAAGTGTAAAGCTTTGATCTCTATTTAAAAGAATAGATTTGTATATATAATAATAATATATAGAAAGAAAGAACAAGAGTAATAACACCGAAAACAGATAGAGATAGAATGAGACAGAGAGATTGATCAGAAATGGAATTTATGGCATGATTATTTGATTAGGATTTTTTTTTTATTTTTCACAAATTTGCCGTAAAAATGGGTGTTGAAAAGAAAGTAATAGTACACGAAAAACCGAATGGACTATTGGATTTAGAGGATTTTTTTAGCCAATAGTCTGGAGTATAAAAAAAAGTATCGATTGGCTATTTTATAACAGATTTTGTGAAAATGTTATTGATTATTTATTAATACTAAAACTTTTATCAATATATATATATATATATATATATTTTACTTATACAGTAAGAGAGAATATATGATATATACTGTATATTACTCTATTCATATTTCATATAAATCCCATTTAGTTTGAAAGAATGAAACGGCTATTAAATGTATTAATATCAAAATTTATTTGAAATATCTCATCTATTTAGTCTCTTTTCTCTTCTGTATTTTCTTCTTCTCTTTCCCAATTAAAACAACAAAAGGAAAACGAGACAATCGATCAGGTTATATCTGAAACAAACCGACATCTTAATTGCATAGATGCTGAATACGATACAATAGATAAATATGTTTATGCATTGATGATTATGTATTGCTGTACATATTACGCATTCTTGTAAAGATAGTACGTAATTTAAAGAGAGAGAGAGAGAGAGGGGGGGGAGAGAGAAATAGATAGAGATAGAGATCGAGAGAGGGCGAATTATTCTATTTTGAAAAAAAGCAACATCTATTAGGCCTATCTTAATCGCTTACGTAACTAACAGAGATGGAAAAACTATTCCTATTTTTAGTTTGGAATTTCTTTATTTTTATAAACCTTGTAATATTTGTTCTCTCCCATTTACAAGCATTCTTTCTTATTTCTCCTTCCTTGAAGTCTTATTTTAAAAAATCAGCTTCTTGGCATTTGATCACGTGCGTAGACAAATTGACTGACAGTAAAAGACGTCGTAAAAGGAACGCAACAAGGAGAGAGAGAGAATGAGAGTCTGTGAGTAAGTGAAAGATAGTGAGTAAGTGAGAGAGAGAGACAGGCAGACAGGCAGACAAGCAGGCAGGGATAAGAAGATGTTGTGAAAGAAAGACATAGTTGTATATCTTTATATTGATTAAGGGACTTTTCGGGCCAGTTCTTATTTATTCTATCTGGGTGAATGATTAATGTACAACCTATGAACCGGCAAAATTTGTCTTTTCCTGTATAAATACTAATGATAGAACAGGAAACGAATGCATCTATGATTTTCCTTCCTGATGATCGAATTGGGATAGTTGTTAATCTAACCGGAAAAAATGTCTTTAGGGGCATTAGAGCAAAAAAAAACACACGGTTTTTTCTCGCTAATTTGTATTTATAAAGATTGTTTTGGGCGTCTCCTCTCCATTAACACAACGTCAAGTTTAATTACAAATTATGCCTCTATTTGGTTAATTTAGTTTCGTCTTTACAGTGTTTTACGTTTTTTATTGTGAAAATGTAAGCTTACAATAGGGAGCTTATCTTTAGCAAATTGGTAGGCCTATCGAATGATTTATAGATGTGTCTAATACTTAAGAATAACCTTACTCTACATAGTTACGATAAGATAGAGATGGATTGATTGGGAAAGCCTAAGAGAGGAAGACAGAGAGGATGTAGACGAATTAAATATGAATATTTAACCATATTCTGTCTTTAGGGCCTGAAATATCAATATATGCATATCATTGAACACAAGTACATCTGCTAACCTTTTGACAAACCGACCACCCTAGAATAAACATTTATATCAACAAAAATACTTTGGAAAATATCTCATTACCTTTCATTTGTTTAACGATTAGACAAACACTATCGCGTCCACCTAAATCAATCAATTTCACATCGAAAACACCGACTAAAAGTAGAACTGAATAACGTGCTATTGAATACCAATACCTGTTTAATATTCCGGATGACGCCGCAAAAAAAAATATAATCAATGAACTGCAAGCAATATTTTTATATTTTGCAGTCATAAACTACATCTGTTTAAACATTGTTCATTTTTTCCCTTTGTTATATTACTTTTCTATATACTCAGTTAGAAAAGTATAGACAGCAAAACAGAGAGAGAAAGAGAAAAGGTGTGTATATTCAGGGCGATAAAATATACAACACGTAGTATTGAATATAGAAATAGCCTGAGAAACTAATTAAAGATAAGATTAGCCATGAAAAGGAGTAAAAATAGTTATTCATATGTTATCAAAATATTTAAGAATTGATTGAAAAAATCTGTAAAAGTAAGAATAGTATCACCTGCTTCTTTCTATAACTTAGTTTTCCATTAATAATAGCTTGTTGTTTTCCCAATGCATATTTTACAGATAGCGCGCGCTTTTTTCAGTTACCATGCCTACGTTTTACTCTCTTTCTCTACAGTCATGATAATATATCTGTGTTATGTAAATAAAAATGAACAAGTAGTAGCAAAGTAGACTTAAATGGGGCGTAACAAAAGAGACTTGGAAGGGAAATAAATTAATAATACAAAGTTAATCAATTGAGGAAAAATAAGGGAATGCAGATTTTTTGTTTCTTTTTTTTTCTCATATTTTTCTCTATGTTCTTCTTCTTCTTCTTTTTCTTATCATTATGCTTCATCTTTTCTTCATCTTCTAATAATAATATACTCCCTGGTGTTATCTTTGGAAATTCTATAAACTATCGTTTTAAAATTTTCTCCTATTGTTATTAAAATGAATAGTAAAATTTCTTATACGCTATTTCTAATCTATTCAGTCTATTCCTTCTCCTTCTTTCTCGATCCCAATGCGGTCTAGATTAGGCCTATTGATCGCCTAGACGGTTTGCAGTTGTTGCTGTTGTATAGACCGCAAAGCTTAATGCGAACGGTCTAGGGGAAGTAGGTCACGAGACTTAACGACGCTGCCCCCTTTATTCTTGTTTTTATGATTAAATAATTGATTGCTTTTGTTTTCACGTTACAGCTGTTTCGGAAAGGTCGAATTCGTGTATCTGGAATAGATTTTGCGGTTGATAGAAAAAAACTGTAATAATTTTTGCAGGTGAGATATTATTTTAGCATCCCTATTTTAAAATCCTTCATAGGTAAAGCTATTGTAGCAAAGTGTTTTTTCTATTCGGATACACCTTGTTATTTCTGCTTTTATGATGCGGGAAAAAATAACAGCCGCAACATCCAGCTCTTACATTATAAAGTAGAATACCAGGAAAACCGGGGATTTTCCTCTTTTTTTATGTGACGTCACAACAGCAATGATCAATATCCGTTACCGTTAAGCAACTCTTTTTTCTTTGCTGTCCTTAAATATTACATAATTCGTGATTTATTCATAAATCTCTTATTCAATTACTAATGTATTGCTTTATTAATTTTTGTTCCCATGAAAGTAGGAAGAAGGGAGGGAGGCAGGGGGAGGGGGTGGAATTATGCTAATCAATAGGCCTATAATGTTACAAAGTAACTCTTTTTTTCTTTGGTGTATATAAAAAAAAATAATATAGAATCCTCTATATCGAAGCCATACCTTATAATTTATTTTCGCTAAGCTGATTTTAAAGACAGACGTAGACATAGACATATCAATTTAATAGGAGCACTAGTCTATATGGATTAGTTTGTTCTCACTCTTATCTACACTTAATCCCATGTTATGACTCATATTTTTGTCAAGTAAGGAGGTGGTAGAGAGGAAAGGAAATCTATATCAAAGAAAACAAACAACAATGATAGGCGTAAGAAATGAGTAATATGAAAAACAAAGAGACGAGAGTAATCGAGAACAAGGAAAAAAACAGAGTGAATGATAGAAGAGAGAAAGAGAGAAGGGTGACGGCGGAAAAGAGGGAGAGAGAGAGAGAGAGAGAGCGAGTGAGGGAGGTAGGAAGGGAGAGAGAAAAGAGAGAAAGAAAGAGAAAAAGACGGGAGGTATTTATAATGAACAAAGAACTTATAAAAAAATCTCTGTTTACCCTACTTTGCAGTTGATTTGACAGGGTAATAGCATGAAGGGAAATTCAACTTTTTTTATTACAATAGAGTAAGGGAAGAAAAAGGGACACAGAGAGAATTTTCTTTAACTCGCACGTAAAAAATACTCAAGACTTTTAAAGATTTCTATTGAATTTGTTTGAAAATTGGCCAAAATGCCTTTGAAGATTAGTCAATTGCAGGTGAAAAAAACTGTCTAAAACAGTCTTATTGATTATTTAACATTATTCATTAGTAGATAAATAGTAACATTTTTATTGCAGTTTTTTTTTATTATCATGAAATAGTGCAGTATATTTTTTATGAGAAGAATCTATATATCTGGAAGAGTTAGGAGAAAAAGTATAGAAGTAACATATTTTTCTTTCTACATAAAAAACTATTGGTAAAGCCATTAAAAGGAGTACATACTTGAAAAAGTATAATTAACTTTGATTTTCGAAATCCCGCAATGTGTTCGCCAACCTTTGCAGTTAATTACTCGATTGTAGATTGTTAATAAATACCATAAAAATGACTGGTTAACGGAAGCAATTAAGAATAACAATTGTACTATTTGAACAACATTCAAAGCCTAACTTAGAAATGGATTAATTATATATTATCGACCCCCTGTCTTATTGTCATTTCTTCAACTGAAAATTTCTAGAAACCTGGGTAAAAATGGATTATTCTATCCTTATATACAAATATATACAGTATATTTATACAATTATCTTTAATTTCTAAGTATAAATAGACTTGTGAATATGTAAAAAAAAAAGAAAAACAGAAATATACACGAAATATGCATCATTCTTACGCAATAAAACATTACCTAAAAATAATAATCTAGATTATTAATGTAATACAGTTTAGTCATTAATGGCATCTGTATATTGACTCATATAGGTCAATAATAGTATCCCCGAGTACCACTAATTATATTTTCTTATATGGAAAGTTATAAAAATGCAAAGTATTTGTTCAGACTATTTTCATTCATAATAAATACGTTTAATTAATATTTATTTATATATCTATTTATGTATACCATATGTATTTATTAGGTTTCATAAATATGATTATTTCTCTTTCTGCATATATATATATATATATATATATATATATATAGAAATGATGGAAAATAGAGTTGAAACACTATAGACATAGTATTTAATAATCAATTTATTTAGTAAAGTTATTAAAATTCTATCAAAATTTTCTATATGTGTATTATCTTAATAAAATAATTGTTATAATTCTGTTTTTATTGAGGATATGAGAAATTATTAATAGAGAAAAATTCTTATAAAACTTTAAGCCTATTTCTCTGTCTCTCTCTCTCCCTCTCTGTCTGTCTGTCTCCCTCTTTTTTTGGTTTAATGATATCGTTTCTAGAATTTGAAATGCAGCAAACGCCGCTTCATTTGCATTATTTAATTTTACGTATTCCTGCGCTAGGGTGTTACTTTAGCCTTTTTCCTTCTTTTTTTTTCATCCTACTTTCTTCGAGTCTGTCCAAGCTGTCATTCTCTTTCTTTTTACTTTTTCATTCAGTGCGTAAATTTCTTTTTTCTAATATCAACGCGCCATGCTTCCCTGCTTACCCCCTACCCGTGTTTTCTCTATCTGTCTGTCTATTTCTCTTAATGTCTAGCCTGTGGATGAAGAATGAGGGGGACAAACTGATTTTCTGTGGGCTTTTTTTTTATTTCCCTATAATCTCGATTGGCGAACGGAGATTCTTCTCTCCAATCGTTATTTATTACAAAAACTATATAATCTATTTATTGCCTTTAGCTTAAAACTTCTTTTTCACTAGGAATAGTACACATAATATTTGTATTTTAATGATACTATTCAACGCGACCTTGATCATTGATGTTATATCCTTAACGATGTCTTCCAAAATTGTCTGTTTAGGCGTTAGCCATTCATTTCCGAATCATAAACCATTCTTAATGCTACTTGCTATGATAAAAACTGTACTGTATAAATTATAGAGAAATCAATATTAGTTAATTGCAACTGTGCAATACTAGCGCCCTCTGTATTCTGATATTGTCCATTCTAACACATTGCCTTCTTCTTTATTCGAAACAGCTATGGAGCTGGTGAATCTTGGTATAATCTTTGCAACCTTATCAATAAGTACCAATTGTTTAAAGACCTGGAATCTAAATTGGAAGAATACAGCACCAATTTGCAACCTAAATATAAGTAAGTTACAAAGAAACAATAATTAAACTTATTAATTTATATATAAAATTAATTAAAACAATGAATTAAAAATATAATTTCTATATTTTCCAGATAGGACGGAATTAGACGAACAACTTGGTAAGGATTTATATGTTGATTTCTAGTTAAAATTCCAAAACTTCTTGATATATCGATAGAATATTCAATTAAAAAAATAATGTAGATTTTAAGAAGAATATACTGTATATACAGTATATACATGTATATAATATATATATATATACTGTATATTCATTAAATATACAGTATTAACGTAATTCTATGGAATTTACTTATTTAATATATCTTATTTTCTCTTCTTTTTTCACGCATGATGGTTTTTTAAACTATATATATTTATAAAATGTTGTCTTTTTATAAATGTTTATATATTTCTTTTTGCTTAAATGTCAACAATTACGAACCAAATACCGTTTCTTTAGATGGTATAGCCTATAATAAAACATGGGATTTTGAGACAATTAATGAAGGAATAGTAGAACCTGACAATTCATATAGCTTTTCTGGTCATGAACCAACAGTAACCGAACAAGAGATACAAAATACTCCAGATGGAGAATTTAGTTCAAACTGCAATGGTACAATTTTAAATGAAACTCAGTTCAGTATATATACAAGAGAATTTTGGATTCGTGAGTTAGATAAAGGTAGAACGAAAACAAAATGCTGCATCAATGATCATCTTAACAGCTTTTTATTATGCATGGGAATTTTTTTGCATTATTACACATTTTAAAAAATTAAGTACTTAACTGCCATGTTTATTTTCTTATCAATTTATAAATATTATACCCTTTTTTTTATTATTATTTAACTCTAATTTTTATATTATTTTATTCTTCTCATCTACTATTTTATTACTATTTACCAGAAACATAAAAAGTATACTATCTTATTATTTCTAGCCAATATATATATATTTACTTGTACATATATATACATATTTATACTGCATATTTTCATTTATACAATATTCTAACCACCTGCAGCTCTCTTTTACTTAGTAGAAGTTTTTTTATTCAGTATTTTCTTTTATATTCATATATCTATAAAAAAAAATATTGAATATTTTGTATTTATATAATTTTTTATTATTATATATATATATATTATATATATATATATGTATAGAAAGCTATTATAGCATCTCTAAAATCGGTATAAACTACAACAAAAAAGAAAATGACTCTAATGATATAATATAACAAGAACTTTACTAGAATTGATGATCATATTTTTTATCTCATACAAAAAACGACTATTAAGAACAGATTTTTTATGTAACATTTAATTTTAATTGGCATTTAAAGTCTAAAATAAAATTTTACTTTGGTTTAGAATTTCGCAGAAATTTTTCAATCTTTATTTTATCCAATTCTCTCTCTCTCTCTCTCTCTCTGGGCCTGGGAATTGGCAAAAAAATTGCCAAGTTATCGAATTTCAATTGCTTGCCATAATCTTTATAACATTTCAGCTCTCTCTCGTTTTAACTTTCTTTTCTTTCGTTAAAAGAAAAAGAAAAGAGAAATTCGATTCCTTTTTCTAAAATAAAGAGAGACCATTCTCTTGTTAAATATATTCATTCAAAAATTCTAGTAAAGGTTTTATTTGTTTGTTTATCTTTTATTTTCTCTTCTTTTTTGTTGTGATTTTTTAGTTTCTTTATCATGGATCATTTCCCCCCTGAAAGAAATAAAAACCGCAAAATAAAAAACTACTGTAGAATAATAAAAAACACATTTATAATCATACATCCCTTACCCTTAATTATATCTTTTAAAATGATAAATTGTTAATTAATTAATCTATTTCTGGACAGTTTCACGACCACCGGATATCCTTGAATTTAGGGTTTTACCTGAAGATAGAGTTAGGGTTGATGGTAATGTTGTTCTTGCTAATAAAGCAGCAAAGATAACTTTTTCGTATAACGTCGTTGGAAAACCAACTCCACAGTTTGTTTTTAAATATTAAATCTTTAATGAGATTATTAATTCATTTCTTATTTCTCCAATTGTTAGCGTTGTTTTAATGGAAGATTTTAATGAAATGGGACCTACGGGTGATTATAAACGGAATATGGACGCTCAACAATTTGAATTAAGAAAACCCTTAAAAACTTTTAATAAATATAGGATTAAAGCATTTAATAGATTTGGAGTAGCTTATTCAAAGTTTATTGAAGTTCACGGTGTAGAAGGTTGGTAATTTTCTTTATATTTATGTGGCAGAAAAATCAATTTATATTAATTTTCTCTATTTTCTATTTAAATAGATCGGGACCCAACCCAAGTTAAAAGAACTCTAAACTTACACGATTCTGTTAAATTGCCATGTGGAATGAAATACATACCACCCATGGCAAAGGTTGGCTTTAAGAAAACGTCGGGAAGCAATCCTTTCGAGTCTAGTCAATGGTTTGCCTTTGTCGATACGGACATCTTCTTGATTCGAGTCAATTATTCACTTCAAAGTAGTTTCGTATGCTTCACAGAAGTACCACCATGTTGCGGAAATACCAGAGCGAAGCATTCTCAATACATTTTTAAAATTCAAAATAGTACAATTAGTAACAATAATCTCTGGAAGATAAAACGTTTGCATCCCGAATCTACTGGAGAATCCACCTCTGTAAAAGCTGCTTTGGGTGAAAAACTCAAGTTTGCCTGTGTCTACGGTTATCCAGCCCGTCTGGATTTATATTGGACAACACCAAGAGACTTAGACAACCTAACGCTTGTTTCGAGACAGCTAAACAATAGATTTATAGTTATAGATAAAGTTGAGCAAAAACACGCCGGAAGGTATACGTGCTACGCCGAAGCTGATGGCCAAAAAGCTTACCATCACTACAATATAGAGCTCTTCGAAAGGCCCTATTGGCGATCGCCTTTGGAAAATCATACCGTCGACGATGAAGCAACAGATGTTGTCTTCAACTGTAACGTTGGAGGTAAACCAAAAGTGAAAATAGAATGGTATATTAACGGAACCGTTGCCAAGCATCATGTATTGTATAATCAACAATTGGTTAAGATTGATGGTTCAAAATTAACTTTTACTAAAGTTTCCGAAAAAACCCGTCTAATGGTTCAATGTAACGCTTCTAATGAATATGGTTATATTTATACAAATGGCTATCTTAGAGTTTTACAATTGCATCCCATCAAATGGGCAACAAATCTACCGCAAATAGCTAGAGCCGTTGAAAAGCAAACTTTTATTTGCGGTTCAAACGTCTTCGGTTCACCTATGCCAAATGTTACATTTTATAAATATCCAGATGGAGAAAAATTCGATCCTAAAGCCAGAGAAGATAAATACATCATTGGCACTCAAAATCAAATTGGATGCAAACTTCATAATAAGAAATATTGGTCTTGTATTTTTAATCAACCGAATTATAATTATTCAATGGCTGTTCAAGATTTGGAAATTGCTGACGCTGGAATTTATATCTCATTTTTCGATAACAAATACGGAAATAGTCACGATATGAAAACCTTACGAGTCTTTAATAAAACATCCATTTCGTTGACAAACTTGACAACTTCCAAAATTATTCCTAAACAATTTATTACATACGAAGACGACTCTTTAGAAGTTAAATGTTCGGCTACAATCGATAAACGTATAAAATCCGAATTAGAGGTCACGTGGTATGTTGAAAGAGATGATGGGAGTGGCGAAATAAAGAAGGAGCTTGCATCATCAACTCCTGGTGTTATTGTAGACACTAAAAACAAAGATATACGAGTGCTCAAGTTTCCTAAAATTCAGACAACTATGTCAGGAGTATACACATGCGAAGGGAAAACAGAGCTAGACAGCGAAAGCAAGTCTTTTAAAATAATTGTTCACGGTAGACCTGATGCGCCAAAGGAGATTTCTGAACCCGAATGCCTCGATGGCCGTAAACCGAGCATCTATTTGAGAGAGGGTAATGAAAATGGAGATCCCATCAAGGGATACGAAGTAGAAATGTTTTTGACGGCCAAATGCTGTAGTCACTATAAAAGAACTTCCAAAGTTAACATAACCAGTACACAGATAAAGCCAATCGGAATAGATACAGTTCTAGACGCTTCTTTTAAATACGAATGGGATATCAGAGCCATAAATAAATATGGCAAATCGGAACCTGTTCGTGTAACTTGCCAGACGATTGACGATGTGCCAGAGGCGAGTCCAACGAACGTGTGTGCCGTAAATAGTCCAGCAAACACAATAAACATAACCTGGACACCAATAAAAATCGATGAAACGAACGGACACGATTTCGCTTATCACATACAACTATCAGATTCGGAAGATAATCTACCTCCTGCGGCAAGCGTTGCAAACTTTGCAGAGAAGAGTCGTGTCTTTAAAAAAGTTAAGCCTTTCCATAAGTACATCGCTAAAGTTACTTCGAAGAATAATATCGGCTCTCATATTCACTCCTTGGAGTATGCCGTTCGTAGTGGAGAAGGTGTGCCTCCAAATGATATTAGCGTTTCTGGCGTCAAATTACTTGATAAGGAATCAATCGACAATATTAAAATCTCTTTTGATGCAATAGCCAATACATTGGAAGAAGCCGATAAGTTGATGAATGGCTACCTTAACGATTATCTTGTCGTAGTAAAATACAAGAATAAAGATTTGAAAGAGCAGCATTTTATCATTTCGAAAGGAAGAAAATATGAATTTTGTAAATTCTCTTCGCGAAAAAGAGCTAGACGATCTTCGAAACGAGAGACGGACCTTTTAAGGGATTTACAGCCATTCGAAGAGGCCACTATTCAAGTTTATGCAAGGAATCTTAGGGGAGATAGAGGTAAAGGAAGCGATCCAATATCATTTAGAACTCCTATGGGACCGCCTTTTGGTGGGAAAGAGTTGGAAGCCGATTGCAAAGCTGGCTTTTTTCATACTGAATGCAACGTAGAAGACCCGAAAGATGCCAAACGAGGTGGCGAAGGCGGAAAGACAAAAGTTTGTATAAGAGTTGAAGGGCAATCTGGTTGTGTTTGCGAAAAGGAAATCGAGCCTGATGATAAGAATTTTGTCTGTTCCGATAATGTTAAAAACTGTACAGATTATACAATAGAATTGACACCTTTCAACGTTGATGGTAATTTAAAGATTGAGGGTGCAACAACAGTTAAAAAGGCCAAAACGTCTTGTGGTTCTATTATCTTGAAAAAGCCTAAAGCAGACTATCAAGAGGAAGATGCTACATCTGTAAAGGTCAACTGGAAATTTGACGATAGCGCTAAGGGCGTTGAACCAACTCATTTTAGGGTTGAATTTTACAATGAACTACATACGAATAGCTCCACTCCAGAGTTAAATAAAACCGAACTAATTGGGTTTGAGGATCATCTCATTATAAGAAACCTGGAAGAAGATGAACCTTATATTGGATATATAATTGGTATGCTCGGACCAACAACCAACGGAGCTATAGACGAAAGTACATCGCAAAGGATCAAATCAGATCATTTCAAATTCCATACAGGAACTCGCAGTAAGTACAAACTATGTAAAAAATTAACGAAATAATGTAGAAAACAGCCGACAGACGGCATCATCATAAGTTAAATTTTCTAGATAGGTTTTTCATACTAATACAAACGAACAAAAAAGCAAAAACAAAAACAAAAACAAAAACAAACAAACTAATCACTAGATGGCGCTGGAGAGTAATACAGAATATTGCGTTTTTGTTATTATTTTTGCTTGTTTGTTTAGTTTTTATCTAGTATGAAATTTTTATTTGAAATATCTTGCATTATTCTTTACTTTCAGCCCAATTTTTTCCTCTAGCTTTCATTCTATCTAGTTCCGTTCTTAGTTTATTTAACCCCCTTTCTTTTTGATGTTGTGTTGTGTTAGGAACCACCCAAAAAACAACAGTAATACTAACTACAGAAGAAATCGGTATGGTTAATATAAAACGATGTATTTCTACATAAAAAAACAGATTGATAACAATATCTAATACTTTTATAATTTTTTGCATAATATGCCTAGTTAATTACCTAATTTACATATGAATTTTTTCTTTTCATTCTCTCTTTACTTTTTTCTTTATAATTCGGAAAAAAGTATAACTAATTTAATTAACTAGCTAAAACTAATTAATTAAGATATATTCATCTTGAATATATTCATTCATTGTATATCTCAACCATGATTTGCATCACGTCATCAAGAATCTATCACCTTCATATACAAGCACAAAAAGTATCATTATCCATTTTATTTTAACAAAAACGGTCTTTATTGGGTCTCTTCATTTCAAATCTCTTTTTGGTTCTTTAGCTACGGATAGATAGCTTTCTTTATTGTATTAACTAAATATGCGTTACTACATTACGTTAAATTAATGAATAATTATGCTTAATTATGCTATTTTCATTTCATTAGTCTAATTAATTAGTATGGATAATTTAGTATCTTTTTTTTTTCTACTTTATTACAAAAGAAATCTCTCAAATTTCTACAAAAAAAAAACTAAAATACGGATGAAGGCCTAGGATTGGTTTTATTTTTTTTGTAATTTTTTCAATAAAAAGCTTTCTCTTCTAATGATAATTATATATTCAAAACTTATGATATAATCTATTTGATATTGATTTATAAATATTTTTATGTTTTTAAATGAAAAATATCTTCATAAACTGGTATATATTTTTTTAGAGATAGCACCAACAGTTCATCCTGCTAAGGAAGGTAAAATATATTATTTAAATTAGCTAAATGGAATAAAAATTTCCAGTTTTGTTTTAGGCCTACAATAGGAAATTATTAGAATAATTAATTAGTCAATGTACTACTCTCGCTTGTCCTTTTTATAACTGAATAATATCTATTCTAAAAGCATTTATATATCCTTTATTAAATCTAATCTATATTTATATATTAAAAACGCGTGGAGAGTAGCCTCGAAGAGATTTAAGAACAATATAATAAGATCCATATAAGGGTATATAATAAAATATTTCTCAGCAAAATTAACCTCATTTTTCAATCATCATTATCGTTTCAATAAGCTTAGGAGACTAGAAAGTTGTACTAAATCATTCATTCTCTTCTTCTCTTACTCTTGTATATGTTTTTTTGTTTCTTTTCTTTTTGCATTATCCTATTTCTTTTAGAGAATATAACGCTACCAACTGAAGGTACAGGTAACTACAGGTTTTTTTTTCTCATGTCAATTGAGGAGTTTTGACACAAATGTGAGAAAAGTACTAATAAGGATTATCATTATTTCCTTATTTTCCTTTCCTCTTTCCTACTCCTCTTCCTCCTCTTCTTATTGCCCTCGTGTATTATAACTTATCTAAAATGACCGCTGGTGTAAATTTTCTGATAAAAACTCCTCTTCGATGCAAATGATGTTATATTAAAAACTAAAGCATGCGATAATATTTATCAATACACTATAATACACTATATACTTTATAGTGTATACAGATTGGTTTTTCAAGTATTATTACGAATATTTATATCACTGCTTGTTAATAATACAGATGATTATACTGTACAAATACTGTATATATATATATATACAGTATATATATATATGGATTAAAAGAAAACAAAAGAAATAAGCATGTCTTAGACTAATCTAAAATTATCATGTTAATAATAATAATAATAATAATAATAATATTAATAATTTATTATAATGTATACAAAAACTCAGCTGCTATATAATTAATAAACAACTCATTATTATCCATATTACAGGCGACAGCGTCTCCAAGTCCAATATGAACTACATACTTATTGGAGTGATTTTGGGAATAATTCTGTTGCTATTCATCATTATTGCTATTATCTGTTGCTATAGATATAATAGAGGTGGAAAGTATCCAGGTAAGATATATATAAATATATAAATAGAAGTTTAGTTAGTTGATTTTACAATTAAACAATATTCTACTCTTTCTAGTTTATGAGAAGGAACGTCTACACGGAATACCAGATGAAGATGAAGAGAGTAATGCTAAAGATTTCGGCAGACCGTAAGTAGAATTTAACGTGTAGCTTTCGTTATTCAGCCTATCCGTAATCCTTTTTCATTCTTATCTTTATTAGAGATGATATGCCATCAAAAAGACGGAAGGGAGGCTCTATTGACTCTAAAGGGAATTTAATCGATTCAGAAACAGATTCTCTGGCAGAGTATGATGAGGATCCCGATCCGAATACTTTTGGCGAAGACGGTTCGTTTATTGGCCAATACGGTGGCGATAAAGTTCCAGAAACGCCTGATATCAATCCTCCCAACGCTCTATCCACATTCGTATAGTGCTATTCAATTTTATAGCGAAATAAGAAAATGTAAAAAAAAAAAAAAGCATAGGACAAGAACAAAAAGAAAGAAACCTTCTATCTTTATACAACATCCATTTTTATTTTCTTTTTTCGGAAATGTCAACCGACTCTAGTCAACATTAGAAACGTCGGCCTATCTATCCATAGTAAAAAAGAAACATCTTCTCTCTTACTTTCATTTGTTTTTTAGTTTTTTCTTTTTAAAAAAATGACTATTAGTTCTTTATTTTCATTTTATGTATACGTTTAAAAGAAAACAGACAAAAAATAGCACGAACAAGTTTGCTTCTATTACTATTAATACTTCTTATTCTTATTCTTCTTCTTCATCATCTTCTTCTTCTCATTTTGCAGTAGAAGAAAAATGAACAAAGTGCTTGACATAATTATATTGTAATAACTGTTTTTAATCTCATTTTTTTTTAAAAAAACAAAATGTTCTTATTTTTGCATATTGGTGCTTATAAAAATTGTTTACTTTAATGTATGTTTTTTTTGTTTGTTTGTTTACATTTTGCGTTATTTCTTTTTTCCATTTATTGACGGAGAAAAAAATATGCATTAGCCTGTTCTCTCTTTATAATCATACAAATCTTGTAAAGAAGGCAAAAACTTTTTTTGTCTATTTGAAAACAAAAAAATGACCTTCATTCTTTTGTTTTATTATATATATATATATGTATGTATGTATGTAAGTATACAATATATATTACATATAAAAAAAGATGCTAGTTTCGTTCCTTTCTCTCCTCTTTTTTTTCTCCTGTTTATTTGTTTTTTTTTCTTTTTGCTTCTGTTTGCTTATAGATGCCTTTTTTTTTTAAAAAAAAAAGAAAAAGAATTATCTACAAAAAGGGATGAGGAGAAAAATCTTACTCCTACTTGCCCGAATAACGATAATAACAACAACAGAAATGTGTCTTTTTTTTGCTACGGATATTAGTTTGAGTAGTCTCTATGTGCTTCACTTTTATACAAAAGCATAAGAAAGTGTACCTTCTGATATTTTTCTGTATAGCTTCTCTGTGTGAAGTATTCCAACATAACAATATATATATATATATATGCATATGTATGCCATCTATTGTTTTTTTTTGTCTTTTTTTACATAAAACAGAAGAAAAATTCAACTATTCATTATATATTTCTTTATATACTTTTAATAAGAAGGGAATAGACAACATTGAATAGACTATTATATTTATTCATTTAGTTTAATTTTTTTTTTGTAGAGGGCGCTTCTTCACATTGATATCGTGCGTGGAAAATATGATTAGGTGTCAGCTTTAATAATAATATATTTTCTTCAAGATTCTTGTGATTGTTGGTGATTGAAAGGTTTTCTATTCCTTTCTTTCTTCTTCTCTTCAAGTTCTATTTTGAGCTTTTCTTTTACCTGGTGCTTTTTATTCTTCTTAAGATAATCTTCGGCCATTCCTTCTAGATCTTCCCAAGATGCTGAACTCGAACTTTTAAGGGCTTTCTTCTTCGAATCGAAATTCATATCGAGTTTAGAATGAATTTGCCAACAAAGACTTTTCTCTTCCTTTCCTTCTTCGATTTTAACTTTTTCATTTAGCAATTTCAACTTTGGATATAAATTTGGAATACCACCGTTCTCTATCCATTGAATTTGTTCCTCTTTTGAAATATCAGCTCCGCTTGGAGGGTAAAGAGTCCAAGCTAATTCAAAAATTTCATGCTTGTGCAACGGTCTGTTCATATCGATTAAGAAATCTTCGGGTATTCGAAAGTTGCAATATTGACAATTCTTTATTTTTAATTTTCTATACATTTTGAAACGAATTCTCTCCAAAATTAGAATTGAATTCAACTGAAAAGTTGAACTTTTCCCGAGCAAGGTAGAGGATGATTCATCTGTTCTGTCGCCAACATTAACACCAATTATCTTTATTTCGTCTTTCTTTAGAGATTGTTTGTCTATTGTGAGGCCTCCTTCGGAAAAATCAGTGATTATTATCATTATCTTTGGAGCTGATCGTCTACTTTTTTGAAGTCCTTCTTTAGCTTTCTTAAAAGCCGATTCAAAAGTTATAGTGTTTTTAGAGTATTTAACAAAGTCTAAACCCTTAAGAATATCCGATAAAATTCCATATTGATCAATATCAAACCCTTCAAAAACATCTGTATTAAAAGGACTAAATCCTATTCTAACATTTTCTGTTGATATATGCAAACATCTGACAAACTCTTTTAAAAACGTCTGCATTGTACGGAAGCTTGTATCCGAGAGGGTGGGCGAAAAATCGGATACAAGGAAAATATCTGCTTTAGATTGACATTTCTGAAATAGAGATCTAAAAGCAATATTTACTTGTCTTTCCGTTAAGGTAGAACTATTCTCCCTAAAAAACTTCATTAAATTATGTTTAGCTAGTTTGTCACCGACCGCCATATTGTAAAATGTTTTATCATACTTTTCCTTTCTTGACATGAATCTGACGATATCTTTTGTGTTAAAAGGAGTTGATATTTTTTGTTTACCATATCTTTTCTGTACTCTTTGCAGAATCCCTTTATATTCATTTATAAAATTCTTCCAGTCTCCATGCGATTTGTGAATTCTGAATCGAATTTTCATTAATCTAGTTCTTACAATAAAACCTTTAACAATACTATTTATTTTCATTGAAGCTTCTATTTCCTTACTCATTTTTATCTTCTCCAATTCTCTCTCCTTTTCTCTCTCCTTGGCTAAAACTGTCGCTGATTTTCTTTCCTCTCTTATCTTTTCTCTATTCCTGGCTTCATTGTTCATTTGGTGTTGCTTAGCAGCTTTTCTCTCTTCTTCGAGCCATCTTCTGAATTTAGTCACATGTTTTATCTCCCTACCGACTTTCTGTCTTTCTTCAGCCTTACTCTTATCGGCTGACCAAGGCTTAGACCTCATTTGCCTTTTCGTCTTCCTGGCTTCCAAACTAAATCTTTCGTTAGCAAGTCGTTCCTCCTTTAATCGAACCTCAGCAGACCAAGAATATCTATCAAATCCTGGATCAGTAAATTCTAATTGTCTTGCTTTAAGAGAGTATGGAAGAAATCCGGATTTCTTCCAATTCATATTCTGATACATCCCTACTTAAGCAGTAAACAAAAACATACAAACAACTCTATTTATATATCTTTAGATGGATCCGATGAGTTATCTTCACTAAGATTTATTCTCCCTTTCAGTGTGTTTGTTTTGACTGTCCTCTTCCGACAATCAGAGTGATACAGACAAGAAAATTCAATTAAAACTAGTATGAAAAGTTCGTTTCACACCGTTTACCCCGGCGTGACTGATTATCGTCAATAAATTAAAATTACCGCTTCAATAAATGTTTGTCACGTTCGTGCAAACATTTCATAATTCCTTTTCTCTTTTACTAAATAGCTCAAAAAAGAAACTACCTATTTTTTGTTTCTTTTGCTAACTGTTTTTCTTTAGAAATCCTGATAAAATCTTCAAATTTGTATTCATATATGCTAATTAGGCAAATGAATTAGCCAATAGGTATTATCTAAAAATAAAATGCATATTGCCAAGCTATTCTAGAAAAGAAACAAAAAGACTAAAATAGTTTGTCAAAGATTTTTTCCTCACGTCGCCGTGTAAATAGTTTAAAGGCTACAATTAAATATCGATTAATTAAATATCCGTATTATTAAAGATTTTCTGGGATTATATAATTAATAATTATATTTCGATTAATCTTAACTTTTTTTGCAGTCGCTATATTTTAATTTGTTTTGTTTTTTTCCAGTGCAAATATGACGTTAGCCGTTTTCCAATATTTGCAAACTTACTGACATCCTGTTTTCCAGCTGTCATTTAAAATACAGATGGCGCTTACCAAAAAGTCAATTACCCGCTAAAACATGCTTAATATCGAATGGTTAATATATTGATCACGTGGTCGTAATAATAAAAAAATTGATAGCCTTTCACGCTTTAACCTTCGCGCTCAAATACTATTAATCGATTCCTCAGCGGTTAAAGCGTTATTGCCTGACAACCAAAAAGTGTCTTATCAACCTAACGACACGTTAAACTTCAATTAACTTTAACTTTTGATTTTTTTGGTAAGTAAGTTTAACAATTTCATCTATCAAATCAAACCAATGGTTTCTTTAAATATTAATACTGCAATTGCAAGTGATAAACTGCAATAATTTGTTAGAATAATAGTTAAATGATTCAAAAAGTCTATAAATTTAATAAGGTGATGACTGGATCAACATCCCCAGATGGTAAGGTCTCGGAGACAGAGAGCAGTTGTCCTCCTCTGGCAACTGGACGACTAACAGCAGTTAGAAGCTGTGATCCACCAAAAGGATGGTCTGTTAACGATTATACAAATTATGAAGGAATAGAAACTGAAACTGTCCTGGTAAAGGACGTCATCTTAAATGTACACAAAAACACGCTTGATCATAAAACACACAATTACGAATTAACTTGGGCAATTAAATGGGAAAATGGTACTTCGGATCCCGCAACTCTTATTGTTAGAAGAGGCCAATCATTCGATATTAGCGTCGAATTTAATAGACCCCTAACCGAAGAAGATGAAGCAGCCGTCGTTCTCGAAATTGGAGATGCTCCTAGATACAGTAAAGGGACGTCTGTACCAATGTCTTTTAATCTTGGAATGAGACGGTGTAAATGGGGTGTTGATGTCCTATCAACGGACGGAAATATCGTCAATTTACGATTAAACTCCCCTCCTGATTGTGTAATAGGATCGTGGAATCTAAAAATAGACACGCTAAGATTGAATGAAGAATTAAAGTCTGTTTACAGTTATAAGCACAAAGTTCATATAATTATCATAGGAAATCCCTTCTGTCAGTATGATAGCTTATATTTGGATAACGAAATGGAGAGGGAAGAGCACCTTCTCTCAGAGACTGGTGGAATCCTAACCGGAAGTGAATTTCAACCCGGTATAAGACCGTGGAAATTTTCTCAGTATGAAACTCCAGTTCTCACTTCGGCCCTAAAATTATTGGAAACGGTTGACATCAACTCAAGAGGTGATGTCATCGCCATCTGTAGAGCTTTAACACCTTTAATATGCGAAAGGGTAGTCGAAACAAGATTCGACGGTAAATACCAAGGAAGCACAGCCCCAACTGCATGGCTAAGTACCATTTCTATACTGGAAAAATGGCTTGAGAAAGAAGAAAAAGTTCGCTATGCCCAGTGCTCTGTAGTTTCGGCCGTTTTATCTTCTATATTCAAATCATTAGGTATTGTTACAAGATTAGTAACAGGATTCTCAGTAGCTCATGATCTTGATTCCTACAAAACATTGGATTTTCATTGGGATGAGAAAGGTTCTGCCATGTCAAATTTGGATAGTGACTTTATATGGTCATATAGAGTCTGGCTGGAGTGTTATTTTGCCAGAAGAGATTTACCAAAAGGAATGGGTGGATGGCAGATGGTCGATCCTCTACCCAGGCATATGTCAATAAGCACTGGATATGCTGGGCCTATATCAGTTTGTGCCCTAAAAAAAGGTTTAGCTTACGCCCCATTTGGAACAGATTGCGCATTTGGTAGTCTTAATGCTGATGTTGTTCATTGGTTAAGAAGACAGGATGGAGGATGGATGAAAAGGGTTGAAAAAGACACCCTAGCAAATAGTATTGGAATTTGCCAGAGAAATCCTAAAGGAGTAACTGTGTTGGATAAGACACATAAACATGTTCTCCCTCTCCAAGTGGATATCAGTGCTAACTATAAATTCTCTATAGGAAGCGAAGAGAAGAGAGCGTCAGTTCGATCTGCAAATTTGCCTTGCGCTCGCACGCAATTGGATATGTCGAGTGTTAACGAAATAGAAGATGTAAAAATTGAAGCATCTGTTCCAGAAGATCTTATTGCCGGAGCCCCGTTCGACGTAACCATTACAGTACAAAATTGTAGTAGGTCTGTAAGGAACGTAACCTTGACAATCGCGGTCCTTAGCGTCTACTATACGGGTATAAGGAAAGCGGTAAATAAGCAGAGAGTGTACGACATAGAATTACCAGCCATCAAAGCTGAAACTCTTACCTTACATCTAACATATGAAGACTATATATATACGCTGACAGATCATCTTTGTTTTGACGTTGCAGTAAGAGCAAGTGTACAACAAACTGGACAACAATATGCACATGTCCAAAGAGGAAGATTAAAGAGCCCTGAATTGTCAATTAAAATACCTCCACTCGTAAGAGTAGGCGTACCATGCAACCTATCAATAGAACTAGAGAATACTTTGCCGGTAGCCTTGACCCAATGCGAATGGAGAGTAGAAGGACCAGGAGGACTAATAGAAATCATATCTTGCAGGTAAAACCTATATTTATAAAACATTTAGTATCATAAAACTTTAAAATTAAATTCTCAATTTTGCAGAGATGTTGAATCGTACGAAAGAGTTAGTACAACTGTAAATATGGTGCCTGTTCATAGCGGGGTAAAATCATTACTGGCATCCTTCCATTCTGCACAACTAACCGGAGTCACTGGAATTGCTGATGTCAAAATACAAGCATAACTTTAAATTTACAAACAAACTATATATATATATATATATATATTATAGATATACAGTTTTTTTTTTTCAAATTCTCTATAAAATTAACTATTAAACTCATTAAAACTTCAGTTTTATTCATAAAATCCAAGAAAGTATGAAGCAGGTTTTATTTAATAAAGGAAACTTGTAACAAGTAATTAATAGAAAAAATTTTAAAAGGTTTTCTCCTTTCTTTCCATTCTTCTTCTTCGTCTTCTTCTTCTTCTTCTTCTTCTTCTACTACTACTATTCCGTTTTCTTTTTTATTATACCAAAGATAGTCAATTTCAATAGAAATAGATTCTTTTATGTTGTTTTTCTTCTTGTTCATTATACAATGTTACGTAATAATTTCTTTTAAAGTAAATAATCTAAGTGAGGTAGCGATACTTTGATAGAATTTTCCAAAACATTTACATATAAATACGAAATTCTTTTTTTTTTTAAAGAAAAAAGATCTCGTTTATTTTATTTTATAGTATAAAAGTATTTTAAATTACTTCTCTCTTTCTCCTCTTTCTTTTATTAATAATCCTTGTCTTTGTTATGTCTTTTTTTGTTTATTATTAGTTTGAATTCGGCCTAGAATAGCCTAGTTTTTTCAAGTTCACTTTATATATATTTGCAATATATACATGTTTCTAGAAGCGGTTACAATGTTAAATGATTTTTTAAAAGGCTTTTATAGCTTATACAGGTGTGTAATATATAATTAAACGGGTTAATCTATTCGTACCAGAGTAAACTTGCACTCTTTCCCTCTCTCTTTCTCTCTCTCTCTCTCTTGTTTATAGATATAAATATCTTAAGGGAACGATTACCACTGGTCTCCATCAATCGTTTCCTCCTTATAATTTGAATAAATATTATAATAAATAGCTTATTAACGTAATATTTTATAATTCAATGTCCATAAATTTGAATATTTATATCATTCCTTCTAATGAATATTCATATGTTTTAGAGAATTGGGTGGAAAAACAGTAGTGTCTTTTTTATTTTACAAGAACGCATGAAATTGTTTTTATCTATTTAATATCAACATAACGTTTTTATAAAACTTTGTGTTCGTTCACTCAAAGACAAGGTAAATTCCATTTATAGGTAGCAGCACCGTAGTTTTTTTTATTTCTTTCGCCACCTGGTTCGTCTTGGTTGTTTAGACAATATTCGTCCAGTGAGGAGTCAGTTGAATCGAAAAGCTTATCAATTGAAGAAGATTATATGACATACATAAGAGAATGTTACTTTTACAAGCAATTTTATTGAATAGTTTTATCTGCAGTTCGTTTGCAATTAACTGGCTGTAAGTATAAAGTTTTTAAACTTATGTAGTAAGCTAAAAAGTTAGGGGAATTTAAGAGATTTACGCCTTATTTGGAGGAGAACAGAAAGGAGAGCAATAATATTACATTGGCATATTGTAATTAGCAGAAAAAATTATCATATTAACAGAAAGAAAGGAGAGAGAGAGAGAGAGAAATAAGAAAAGAATGAAATATACCAATAGAAATGGGAATAGAATAATTAATACCAGTAGAATCAAATAACATTACAAGCCGAACGGGTGTTTTTTTTCCTCTTTTTTTACGACCGTCATTAAAGTCGCCCAACCGATAAGCTCGAAAAGACATTTTACGACTTCGTAACGCTATTTTATGCCTTCGAACGCAATTTTCCCAACACCTTAAACATTTTCTTCTATTACTTTTTCCATATTTTTCTATAGGGGAATTTTTAAAGAAAATATAACTCAAGTGGAAAGAAATCGTCAATGTTCAGAGTTGAGGAAGAAAGGGATCTTCACAAGGGATCAGGCTCTTATATGCAGAAAACAAAAAGATCTAATGAAGTCGTTGTACACTACAGTCGAAAACTTTATGCATTACTGTCCAAATTCTTTGGAAAACGAAAGATGGAATTGTACCACTGCAAGAAAAGCACCAAACTTTGGCGGTGACCTCGTTTATGGTACAAAACAATTAGCTTATGTACATGCGTTTTCCAACGCCTTCTTAATGAGAACAATCGCTCGCGCATGCGTAAGTGATTCGACTAGGAGCTGTCAATGTCAAACCTTAAACAAGAAAGAAAAAGTTAAAAAGGATGGTAAAGAAGAAATTTTTCACTATAAAGGATGCGTTGATAATACGAGATTCGCTGAAAAGTTTGCCACCTATTTCGGAGACGTTAAATGGAATTACAAACTGAGGGTAAAATCTTGTAAATTTGTTCATAATTAAGCACTTTCATCGTTAAATCTTATAGCAAAGATATAGGGCTAAACTATCCAATAGGACAAGGACGAGAAAGCTGAACACTAGAAATTTGGTCAGACTGCATAATAATGAACTGGGCAGAGAAGTAGGTTTACTTTTGTGTCTAAGATGGACCGTTAAATTGATAAATTAACTCCTAATGGTAATTTAACGGCCGGCTTTGTTTATCATTTCTAAGGTAGTTAGGAAAGCTCTGGAAACGAGGTGTAAATGTCATGGTAACAGTGGAACATGCATTATCAAAACATGTTGGACAGTTGTACCCACATACGAATTTCTCGCTAGAGACTTATACGTAAGTTTATACAATTTAATACAAATAAAAAACAAGACAATCAAACTTTATTACTATTATGTAACTATATAACAAACTTAAAAGGATGTTTAATGGTAAGTACAATCTTAATAGATGTTAATGAATTTTTTTTGTCACGTGACTCATTTCCTCTTCTCTTTTTATTACCCAATGAAAATATTTCGTTGGATTAGAAATATTTTAATTGGCTATCGTAAATTTGCATTAACTATACAATATATTCCAATAAATGTACACTTTTTATACACTATATATTTAATTTATTATAAACATATGGATTATAATAATAACAATTAATTCCTTCCATCTTCAAAGGAAATCTATAGAAATCCGAAAAATCATATGTACGTTAAAAGTCGACTGGATAGGAGAAGACAGAAGAGAGTACTTAAAAGAAAGTTCCCGTCAAAATATCATACAAAAAATACACCGGAAAAAACTACATTAGTTTATAACGTACCGTCACCTGATTATTGCAGACCCGATAATTTTTTCCATACTCCTGGAACTGAAGGTAGAACGTGTAAGGAAAATAATTGCTCCGATATGTGTTGTTCGAGAGGCTTTACTACTCATCAGATTGAAAAATCACACAGATGCTATTGCAAGTACTATTGGTGCTGTTATGTAAAATGTAAAAGATGTGTGACACGTATCCAAATCAACACTTGTAAGTAGTTTTTATTTATTATATACATATAAGGAAAGTTCGATTATTTATGCTCTACAAACTTCGGATAATCTATGTATTTTACATCTTGATAAAAACAAGAATAAACTATATATTTACAGTAGTAGGTATATAATTTCTTTGTTTTCGCCTCTTCTTTTTGAATTTGGCTATTCAACTTAATTTAAAATACTACGTTTGATAAACATATGTTTGGACTTAAAAAAAACAAATAAATAATATTAAACTTGTGAGAGAAACAGTCAAAAAACTGTAATAAATGTTTTTAAAATATATTATTTCAATAAAATTCAATTTTTCTAACTATGATCTAAAGTAATTGTTGACTATATCTAAATGAACAGTAAATTGATAAAAAAAAGTAATCATACTTCTCTACAACATGGCACAAAAACGTAGAAGAAAAATAAAGCATTTGAACTAATATTTCCAATTGAGCAAATTGTTCAGGTATCAAGCTTAAATAATCATTAATTTTGTTCTTTATAAAAATAACTCATTCAAATAGTCTATTTATTCTTTTATAACATGAAGTTCTTCAAACTTGAATTTTCCTTTATGAACTTCACTTCGATATCTTGCCAGATCTTGCCGAGTAATTATTCCAATTACCTGAATTCAAATTGTAGTTTTATTATCTTTTATAGACTGAAAAATTTTTAATCAAAACTTACTCTATTATCTTCGTCTACAACTGTCAAGTGACGCATTCCTAATCCTCTAAATAGTTTAAATATTTTTGGCAGTGAAACATCCTGAAAATTAATAGAATGATGAAAAATTGCCTAAAAGATTTGAGTGTAAAAATTTATATCAGTTGCTCACTTCCAAGATTGTAAAGGGACCAGTGTCCATAAATGGTTCCAAATCGATAGTAGCCTCCAAATCAGAGTAATGTTGATCCTACGTAATAGCACAATTGATAAAATTGGCAAAATTATCAGAGGACGTACTTATCTCGATAAGAGTACTTACGTGTTGCTCTAAGGCTGCCTTCAATTGCTCTTGGGTTATAAAACCGCAAAGTTTTCCATAAGTAGAATAGGCCTAAGTTAGAATTATAGTTAATAATACCCACAGGTAATCTATTATTTTGCTAATTATTAGTTATTCACCTTTTCGTTATCAGCAGTTTCATATTCTCTAACAACTGGAAAACCGTTTAAGTATTCTCCTTCGTTAAGCACTTGGTGAACACGATTAGCCAATTCTGTCTTTCTCATAGTAAAGACAGGTGTTGACATAACATCCCTTGAAAGATTAAGATTTTACAATATTTTATTCTCTTAATTCAACTTTTGCACCAACCTAGCTTTTACATCATAGCACATTTCTGGAGGCTCCCAAGGTAGAAGGGGAATTCCTAATATTTCGATATGTAAATCGTAGATTCCCTGTTATAAAAAAAGAAGACAAAGTCATAAAATTTTTTCTAACAAGCAATCCTTGCACTTTACTAACTGGGTTAAAGAAATCACCCATCCACTTTGCAATTATAAGACTCAACATAATAGGTAATCCAAAAGTAATGTCTCCTGTGCACTCAATTACAATAACCGTAAGAGAAATAGTCATTCTTACTGTGCCACCCAATTGACAAGCAGCTCCAACAAGAACATATTTACCAATATTTGTTCCTGCCGCTGGTAGTAGTTTGATTACAGCCATACCAATTATTCTACCATATAAACCTCCAATTAGAAGAGAAGGGATAAATACACCGCTTGAGACCATAAGGCCATATGTCCAAGTTGCTAATAGATGATAAACAACGAATAGTATTGCCAAGGTCTTAAAATCCCAATAATCCCAGGGTTCGTGTAGCATAGCGTGTAAACCTCCCTCGGGTGTCTTAAATAATATATCAGCCATCCTATTATGTTGACCATATGGACAATTGCCCTACAATTAATTTTAACAAATGGAGAAAAAGGATTATATCTATAAAACGAATACTTTACTCTAAACATATATCCGTGGTCTCCATGTTCACCATAGTGAATAGTATGCATATCGCTGTGGTTGTCATTTCCATGACTATTTTCTTGAACTGCGGCTCTTTTATGAATAGAATGACTCGTCATATTTTCAGTACTTGTTGCGTTATATCCTTTAACTGGAGAGCAATTTGGGACGGAAAAAATCATCACTAAGAGAATGATGGCGCTACTGGCAGCAACCAAAACGGCTTCGGCAACTTTCTTCCAATTTTCCTTAATGTATCTGTAATGATTTTCAGCAAGTATAACGTTAATTTCATCTAAATAAAATTTAATTAACTAATTTAAAATTGTAATATTCTATTCATCTAACTTTCTTCTTAAGACGGTTATGTGATAGTTTAAAAAATTGAATCCTGCTCCTGATAAGCCTCCTATAAGAGCCATAACCATAAAAATGGGAAGTTCAAACGTCTTGTAACTAATGTCCTAATTATGCGATACAATTTCATAGATATTAATTTTTATCTTTTGACATTCTATTTCAATGCTTACTCCCATCATGCCGAAGCTAACGAGACCTGGATTTGACATGTTTTCAGGATGTCCCTTCAAAGCACTCATGAAAATGTTTAGTAACAGAGAGGCAGTCATAGAGGAGAAGAGCTGGTTAAATAAATTGCATTTTCTTCAATTCTATGTACACTATTATAATAATTCTAGTTTAAGTACACTATTTATCAATAACTCACCATTCGCCAAGTTAGCACTTGACTAAGAAAACTAGCGCCCTCTTCCAAACTGAACAAAACTCCGCCTAACAAGAAATAATAGTTAATAACTCACAAAAATATCCAAAGTCCTAAAAGATACCGAACTAACCTATTGGTGCTCCAAATGCAGCTGAAACCCCTGAAGCAGCACCCGCAGCAACAAAGTCTCTTCTCTCTGGATCACTTCTTAGCGGCTTAAACGCCTATAAATTAAAAACTCTTATAATAAATTTACAATAATAGCAGAATTATAAATTTTTCTACCTTTATTTCTGCCTTACATTTCCCTACTGAAAAATCTCCTCTAGCCATTCCGGAAGCACAAATTGCACCAGAGTGTATCATAGGTCCTTCTTTTCCACAGGCTAAGCCTCCTGTTACTGAGAGGACAACTCCTCCAGCCTTTGCGATCATTGTCTTTAAGCTGAGAAGTCCAGGTAGCCGAATTCCATTTAGGTAACACTTAATTTGAGGAATTCCACTTCCGGCAGCATGTGGCTAAATATTTACATCGTTACACAATTTAGGCGTATTGTATTTAAATATTTTATATCAAGCATAAGCATGTATAATTGAACTTTAAAAAAAAGATACTTACAGCATGATAAGTAACCAAATATGATCCCAAAGTGATAAGAGCACAATTGATAAGAACCCAAACGAACCCTGGGAGGAATAGGCAAGCCCATGTTTTTCCTTCGCATTTTTCAGTTACTATATTGATTAGACGAAGAAATAAGAAAGAAAAAATTGAATAGAAAACTCATTAGTTACGTAATATCTTGAACTTATTTTATAAAAAATTTTATGACAGATTATATGAAATCTTTTATGTAACTTACAAGCATAGAGGCCTAAAAACTTCGCTTTCGAGATGTACTTGATAAGGATATATACCAGGAAAGCTATTACTGCGACGTAAGCGCCCACTAGAAAGTTCACTAGCCATCTTATCAAAGATATTTTCTGCAGTCTCTATTAAGAAATATATAAAATATATTATTATTATATTTGTTATTTTTAAAAATTAACTAAATGTTGCTCACGGCCGGAGTAATCTTTTCCTGTTTTTCTAAAAACTGTTTGTTTTCTATTTCATGATAGCTATGACTCTGAAAAAATTAAAAATAAAACAATAATTTTGTTCAACTAACATCCGTAAGTATAAATTTGAGATATATGGAAATAAAGATAAAGTATAAGTACTGAATATTGACTGGAAATCCTCTTTCTAGGTTTTGAAAAACTGATTTTATTCAAATCTAGTGAAGCTGGAGTAATTTTGTGATGAGATGAACCCTGTTTCCGTTTGAATAAAAGTTTTTAAAAGAATATAAAGTTTGAATTTGTGATATAATTAATAGACTAATTGAGAAGCAGGAGATTTTACCTTAGCAACAGAAGGTGTTCTGCTACTGTCTTTAGCCTTCTGAAGGACAACATCATCAGAAAACTACAACAAAAAAAGTTAAGGTAAGTAGTGAGGTAAAAAAAAAAGGAATAATAAAGAAAACGAAAATTTATTAAGTAAAAAAAATTAGTTTGTCTTTTTAAAAGTGACGAACTGAAACGACTGAATTAGGTGATTCTGGGCTGCCCGGCTGATCAGCATCATTCACAACGATTTTAGGCGGCCTCACCGACATTGTCGTTCTTGAATTTGAACAGCTACTGAATGACTTTTGATACGATCGTCATTTATTATCTCACATTATCGATATCGACTTAAGAAAATAGATATTTTTAGCGCTATACAAACACTTCAGAGTATTTAGTAAAGTCTTTAAAGAAAGCGCCAAAAATATTTTTCATAATCTTATCCAAAATAAACTGGAATTCCTAAACCGAATTAAGCATTATTTCTATTCCCAATAGTATCCTCAATTAGCTCTATTTATTTAACATACATTTTTCATTACTCCATAAATAGTTATCTTTATTCAATAAATAAGAAAGCATAATATTAAATAGTTCAGGATTAGTTTTTGTGTTCATCTGATTTCTATCAATAACAACAATTGATAGTGATTGACTTTTTTTCAGAATTATTATTAATAGTATCAATTTTCACCATTCTTATCATTATTATTGTTGTGGTTACTCAATATGGGAATAGCACAGCAGAAATATTCAATTTATTCAGCAACTCTTAGTGGACTGCTCATTACACGTAGATAAGATAATGTGCCTGGGTTCGTTTGATCATATTGTTAGGTACCAATTATGGACCTACCAATTACAAATGTGAACTAGTTACATGTTATATGTCAATTAATATCTCTGTTAAATAAGCAGGTCGATGACATTCTCCCTATTATTTAAAGTTTTTTTTCGTTCATTTACATAAACAAAATATATATGATTTCATACAATATTCATAAGACTAAGAAAAGAAAAGAAAAGGAATAAAGTAGAATAGTTGATATCAAAATTTTACCTGATATCGTCATAAGAATATTTTCATATCTATAAGAACATGTTAAGTACAAATTTTTTAAATAAGAAAAAAAAGTATCCAAATTGAACGAGTTTTTATTTTTTGCTGTTTTTTTCCTTAATTAAATAAAGTAGGTATTTCATAACATATTTTATTTTCATTGAGTTCAACTTTTAATACAAAAATAGACTTTTTTTGTTGTTGTCGCTTGAGTATAACAAGATTTTTATTAAATATCGTAATTATAAAATACTCTAGAAGTGATTTAATATAAAAATAGATATTATTTATTTATATACAGATAAATAATAGAGAAAAGAAGCTTAATTTTAAGAAAAAAACACGCATCTTCACAATATCTTTATACATAGTATATGTGTATATATCATTTCATTTTATTCTAAAGATTATAGAGATATGTAAGATTTTTCTATAAGATATTTTGATTAAAAGAACATTTAGTTCTTTTTTTTCTATGTACTTTCTTTTATGAATTCGGCTCTTTTCATTTATAAATGCAATATTTATTTTGAAACAAGAATATTAATTTATGTATGTTATATATACTAATATATATATATATACTGTATATATACTGTATATTTAAACAGTTTTGTCAAACTTTATCTTGTTTATCTAAAAATTCCGGTTTAAAAAACTTTACCAAAGTTACTACTATAAATGCTATATTTTTTATTATCTATATTTAGATCATTTATTTTGTTTTTACAATGTTTTTTTATATATAAACATGTATTTATAAATCTATACATAACGAATAAAAATACACTGTTGACGTATGCAAAAGTTATTATTACTAAATGTTTTAAATTCCATCTATAAGGCAAAATTCTTTAAAATGTTAAATCTTATCTATCTATCTAACTATCTGTAACTCTCCTTAGTAAATATACTATTTATAATTATCTATTAACATTATATAATATTTCATACAGTACTTCACTTTTATTCAATTCTTTGTAAGTTTCTCTGTGTCTTTCTCTACTTTATATTTAGTTTTTAGAACGATATGTACAAAACGTTCCTTTTTCTCGGAACGTTCTTTCTTTGCCCATTTTCGTACTTTTTCTATTCTTTAATTCTATAGAATAAAAAAACTCTTTTTCATCGACTTGAATAAATATATTAACCGTTTTAGCCAGAATTTTCATTTAAAACAAAATATTTATGTTTTCAACTAGATAATCAATTTAGTTCGTAAACTTTTTCGCAATACTTACAATATCTCTTCAGTGATTTCCTTGGAAATCGTTTACTAAACCCTAGAAAATATAAAGAATAACTAATCTATTTTCAAGAACAATAAAAATATTTGCAATTTAGAAAAATCATTTGGAGTATTCATTTTCTTTTATAGTAAGAATATATTTCTAATAATAGAGACACCTATCGACAAATTTTTTAGCGACCTCTAACAAGATTACAAACTATTTTATTAACTAAACATTAGAGCTTTTAGTTTTTCAAATTTTATATGATAAATATTTTTTAATAAATACTCCTTTCTTATTAAAGTTTCTTTTAAACTTAACTTTTCTTTAATTCTAAATGGAAAAGAAAAGAAAAGAAAGAGATCAATTGTTTACAATCCTTATATACATGTTTTGGTATTTTGGCATTTAGTTAGACAAAATAAGGCTCTAAATTTCTTCAAGTATCAGATAAATATAGTTTGAATTCAGTTCAATGTTAAACTGCTCTATTCTTCTTCTATTCATATATTTTTCTATTAGAGAGAATAACTAATATAACTTGTTTTCGTATGTTGGGTAGTTTTGTAACAAGTTACTATAAAAATGAAATAAAAATTCAGCTTGTTTATTGAGAAATGGTCATCTTGAGCTAGTGTAAAGGCTATAGGCTTACAACACCTCCCTGTGACATCAGTAAGGTCGACCTCTAAAGGAGATCATAATTGGTCGAATATATAGTGGATAAATTCAGCGAAAATAATTCGAATCTTGATGAGTTTCGATTAAAATTATCAAGTTAAATATCGGAGCTACGGTTCTCCATCATGTGGAGATCATTAAAAGAAGTAACAAGAGGTATTTTTAAGAATTTTATCAAAGAGTGCATATATTCGCGCGGTACTTTAAAATCGCTGACGGAAAATAACGAATATTTTTTTTATAGTTTTACGACAACAATGTAACTTGACCGCGTGCAACTCCATAACTCCTGAAGAAAAATCAAAAAAAAAGAAACGCAATTCATTTATACTTTCAAGAGCTACCGAACCTCTCATATCTGGAATCGACAATGAAGAGAAAAGCAATAAGAAAACTAAATCAGAATGCTATCAAGATTTCATAAAGTCGATAGTTAACGAATGTCGGGTTAAAGATGTATTTGGACTGGTAAGATACTTTACATATCAATTGTTAAAATATATTTTCATGAGTCATACCGTGTCAGTAAATATGTGGAACATAGGCCTTCCTTTGATACAATTACAAAATCTTTAAATTGGATGATTTTCTCGCCTGTTATCATGTATAGGCATAGAACATCATTCCACTATAACTCAAAGGCTATCATTTTCTGCATATTAATTAATTAGTAATAAATCAAACAACTCATTTCTTTTCGTCAATTTTCAAGGGATCAGCAATTGCGGTAGGTTCTGAGCTGAAAAAACTCTTCAGCGATGACGACAGAGCCAAAGTCAATGCTATGCAAACAAAGGAGGAGTTAAAAGAGATCGGAAAAGCTGAAAAACGCCGGCGTACCAATAGGAGCCTTGACGAACTTAATAGAGAAACTGAAGCTCTGTTGCAAGGTTTAAGGGGAGCACAATTAGCACAAGTCGGAAAAAAGACAGAGGCAGTGAAAGCCTGGTTGACATCAGCTAAGTTTGGGCACTCATTTTCTAATTATAACCTTGGACTAGCTTACGAATTGGGTCATGGAGTCCAAAAGAGTGTTGAGAAAGCAGTCTATTATTATGAGAAAGCGGCAAATGACGAACATCCATCTGCTCTGCACAATTTGGGTGTACTATATATAGACAATGGATTGAATTTAGAAAGAGGAAACGAACTTATTGCCAAAGCAGCTGAATACGGTGTTGCAGAAGCACAAACATTTGTAGGAGTTAAACATATGAGAAATGGGAATCAAACGATGGCCGCAAATTTATTCAAAGAAGCAGCCAAACAAGAAAACGCCGAAGCACAATATTATCTTGGGCTTTGTTATGACAATGGTTTGGGTGTAGAGGAAAATAAACACCTTGCCATTGAACTTTTCAAAAAATCATCTAAAAACGGTAATCAAGAAGCAAAAGAAGAATTGGAGAGAAGGGGTATTCAAAGGACCAGACTAAGAAGTTCTTCATCTTCACCTACTCTGACCGAGTACGTTAGAGATTATGGTGAGGAGCTTTTCAGTTTTGATCAAAATTGGGAAAAGAATGTTTTTTCGATTGTTTATGGCAGTTTTACGGCGAATTATGCAAATGATTTGGTTCGTTGCAAGAGTACCAGTGAATTAAACGCAATCGGATAATCAAAAGGAGTGAGCGAAATATATCTAATATATTGAATTGATTTGTTATGACCTACCTGACTGAGCTTTTTTTAACGAAAAGAATGTGTTTCAACCGTTTGTCAAATTGAGTCCTCTAACTTCTTGGAGTTAAATAGGCTGTAAAACTGTAAACTTGAATTTAATATAAATTTATAATATTTTGGTTAAGAATTAATAATTGTTTCTAATACCTGAAATAATAATATATCAACACATAAAGTCAATTGTAAGAAACTTTCTGCGGTATCGCACCGCATTTATTCAAATATAAAACAAATTTGCTTTTATTAACCATGCATATATACCAAAAAATAGAGAATGATATTCAAGTTGTTTCAATTTTGAATGCACCAAAAAACCAAAGAAATCAAGCACATAAATGAAATAGAAAGTAATAAAAAGAAAAAGTCATGAGCTACAAACTCCTTCAACCATCATTTCATCCTCTCCTTTCTCAACCACCAGAATCATCTGGTTATCACTCACTCCAATATTTGGATATTGATTCAAATTATTCTGACTGCTTACAGGACTCATATATTGCATATTCGGACATGTTTTTTTTTTTATAGGGGATTCTACAAGCCGCCTTCTCCTGTTGGTAAACCAGTGCCGGACCTGAGAAACAGAAATTCCTGCCAATTTTGCTAAATCCTTTTTTTCGGGCTCAGTCGGATAAGGATTGTCCCTATGCGTATCAAACCATGCCGACAAAACAGAAACTGCATAGGGCGGTAAATACTTTCGTTGTAATGAATTTTTTGGGGGACTTGGAATGTAAGTTCCGTCTAGTTTAGCTTGCTCTCTCTTTATCCGTTTTAATTTTCTCGGATGGATGGCACCTATTTAATGCAAATTGAAGATTATTTTTATGATCATTAATTAACTAGTTGCGAACCGTTATAAGATAATGTGTTACAATTTCTAACTCTCTTATTGGCCATCCATTTCTTAACCTGAGCTCTTGTAATTCCACCTTCAGCCGATAAACGTTCAATTTCTTCATCCGATGGATATGGATGTACTTTGTTTGAGGCATACCATCGCTCCATTAATTTAACTGCTGTTTTTTGTAAATATCTACTTCCCCGTCGCCGCCTCTGAGGAGTTTCGTCGTCATCGTCTGGAAAGTCTGTCGGAGCTGATCTCGACAATTCGAGAAGACTCCTAGCTGCAGCGGAAGCATCGCCATCCTCTTCGTTTACTTCTTCATAAATTCCAAAACTGATAATATTGCTGATTGTTTAATAAAGAACGTTAAAAAAGAAATTTTATTTTACCCAGCTAAATCTTCTCGAACTTTTTGAGCAGCTTCAAACCTTTGTTTATTAAAATGTAAATTTATTGAATATTTCATTTCCTCTTCCAAAACGTTCGACATGAGCGTGTTGTATCGTTTGCTCTCTATCATCTCGATACTCTTTTGATAATTATCTGCTAATTCTTCTATACTTTGAACTAAAAGTAAGTTATCTTTTGCTTTTTCAAACATTCTTAATATACGGCTATGTTCTTCCTGAACATCACACATTTGATAGAATTTTTCTCCATATGGAAAATCGATTGTAGTTGGATATACAGTGGCTACAGGAGGTGGATTTGGAAGATATTTCACCTAATAATTTCAATACAATAAAGACAATTAACAAAAAAATTTACATGCTTTTTAAGCTTTTTAATTACCTTGCTGGGGCCCGGAGGAAATATTTCTATTGGTGACGATGGAGGAGTGTCAACAAGATTTGGCTGATACTCGCTATTGGATCCTGTGGACATTTTACCGAGGCAGACAACGTTCTGTTCATTTTTTATGGGTGTCTTGCTGGGCGTAAGAAAATTTTGCGTATCAAGATCCATAATTACACGACTGGACTCATTCAAGACGGGATAGGCTAATTAGATAAAATAATATTTCTTGCAAAGCACATGACAGAAAGTATTTTAATAACAACCTTGTTCGAAGCCATTTTGAAAAGTTCTACATGGCACAGATGGAGCACTTACTGGAGGATTCCATGTCATTGAATCTGAATATATAAAGGCTTCAAACGAAAAGCGTTTTACATCTCTGTTGATGAAATTTATTTTCGCTTACCTGGTTCGGCTGCAGTTTGATAATTTCTCACAGATAAGGGTTGGCTCCAACACAATTTGTCATTTTCTGTTATGAATTCACTCAATGTTTACAAAACGAAAGAATAAGTATGTACTTTTAAAAAATGAGTTGAAAACAATTAAAGATTGAGTGCTAAGATGTTCTTTAGTTTTACTTTAAAGAGTGGAATGAATTCTACTTATAGCATACTAGAAAATTTACGCTAAGCATTGTATTTAATTGGTTAAAATAAAATTTCTAGAACTTTACCTAATTCGGATGGCGAAAGATATGGCCGTGGATTCCAAAACTGAACTTTATCTTTAAAGCAGAGCAAAAAAAAATGTTATTTTTCTAAAGTTATTTGCAAGTGAAATCTCCCCTACCTTGGTCAACTATGTTTTGAAAAATTCTTGAAGAACTGTTCCATGAAAAACTTTGTAGCATATCAGGTGAAAGAGGATGAACAGAACTTTCTTCTTCCATTTTACAAAAAAGTATGAGTCATGTAATTAAAACGTGCTTTCTCACAGTACCTCGGTGTTCATGAATAATAATACGAGGCTGCTGGTTGGTAGCTTTATATACAACACAACTGTTCATTGGCTAATTAGTCGACAGGGCTTAGAACACAGTTGGCCTATAATTTTACATCTACTCAACAGGCCTTGTTTTTTTTCATTTTTTGTGCAGCTGAACTGCCATGAGAGGCCAAATTCGTCCTTTAATTCGAATCGTTGGAGAAAACTTCAACGTTGTTTATTGAGTGTACTCTTTTTTATTTGGCAAACTTCTAACACACTACTCAATTTAGGTTCGCCAATGTCAGAATTAGTTAAGTTTTTAACTAAATTTTTAAGTGTTCAGTATTGGTTTCATTTCATTTAAAGCTCCTCGGTATCTTTTTAAAACGGCTAGCTTAAATTGACGACGAAACAAAGTATTTAATTCGGAATTTCCTTCTTGAAGAATATATATCCATAGTCACTATTAACAAACAGCCACTTATATATTCCTATCCTGTAGAAATCCTTATAAAAGTCGAAGAATTCAATAAATGTGTTAATTATAAGTTTATCCATTTAAAAGATGTATAGTAAATGCTATTCTTCAGTGTCACTTCTGATTGAGTTTGAGCTTCGTTTAACTTTGAGGCCATATATCCTTTAAAAAATATCCTATAGATGGAGTAAGATATTATTCTATTAAGTTCTATTATGGTTAACAATGTCGTTAGTTGAAACAATTTTTAACAATGTTTATTTGTGTACAGGTAACATATAAACATTATGAAAATGTATTTACTGTTCCTATAAAAAATATTATTGGATTTAATCATTTTTATAGCTTTATTTCAAAAATATCTGTGAAAATTACATAAGTATACTAATTTACAAAAAAATACTTAACAGACAGGTATAATATATTTCATTTTAGAAGCACATATGCAGAAAAGTTATTTTAGTCTTTTCTATTGAATGTTTTATTATATCAGCTCTCAGTTTTCATCTCCTTATCTCTTTGAGCTTTTAAAGCTTTTGTTAGATCAATTTGTTCTTGTAGGTGTTTTAGATTAGCTATTTTTCTCATCTCCTGTCTTTCAGCATCTTTTATAACTCCGTCGTGTAGACGCTGAACGATAATAAGTCGATTATAACAATCTTATCCGAAAATATACTAGATTTAAGAACAATTACCTCAATGTCTTGCTTCTGTTTATTATGGACATACGTAATGATTCCTGTTGTGAAAACGATTGATCCTGCCAAAGCTACTTTCGATCCTAGACTCATCTTTTGAGCAATTAAAAACACGTCACGTTCGTGATCTCGAAATACAAATACCAGTCTGTAGGTTAAAAAGGTTAATGTTGCAGTTGTTCCCCATTTGTAAATTACAATATTTGAACAAGAACAAACACGCTTTCTAATGAGATTTGATGGATAGATTATTTTTCTTTAAGCATATAAATTTGCACTAAAGAAAATAATTTTCTTATAAAAATAACGAAAAACAAAAATTTGTTATTGAAAGTAAATAGTTTATCGAGTAAAAATTAAGATCATACTTTAACCAATTTTATGAAATAGTTAGACTAATGAGATTGGCTCTTGTCCGCAAATGAAAATAATTTGATTTTTTCAAAGATAAACTACAACTAAAATTTTGGACACTGCTTGGGGGATAAAATTTGCGGTGTTTTCTGCTAATTCTTTAGTACGCATGCGCAAATTCCCATGTGGTCTTCAAATTAATCGTTTCAAATAATAGCTATATCGATAAACGAGGCTTCAATTTCTAAGAATGTTACTTATGATACGCCTAATCTATCTAAAAGAGCGTATTCACTACCAATTACATAAAATCGAAAATATAGAACCTTTTTGTTTAACAAACTATAGAATGTACTCATTTATTTTATCTTATGTAATGAGAATATTATTTTCTCAGGCTTCTCAATCTTTATTCAAAATTCAGTGTAAAATTTCTAGTACTACCAAAAAAAAAAAATTTCACATGTATATCACATAATAAAAGAAAATTCTCTAAGTGTTTAATGGATATAAAAAACGCCTATTAATAATTTATAAATAATTACTTATTTTTGGAACATACTTAAAGTCTAGGCCCTTACTAAATCGAAATCGAATAATACGATATAGATAATTTGGCTCCCGATACGTGTTAACAATTGATTTACTTTATCGTTTAATACTGCAAGATGAAATTATTAACTCACAATATGTTGACATCAAACATTATAAAGGGTGTAACAAAAGGATACCCCTTAAAAATTGAGGTATAATCAACTAATTTTTAAAATAAAACCATTTCCTTTATTATCGCTCTCAAACAGTGCCAACAAATTGAAATAGTCGAAACAGAATTTAATAAGGAATTTTTGGAAAAAATGATTCCTAAAATTGATTATGGAGTGCTTTGTAGAGCTGCTGATCAGGTACATAACTTAACGCTTGTGCTATCCAAAGATTGCAACTTATACGCAATGTATGTGTCGGTTCAATACGATGACGCAATTTGAATGAAAAAAATACCGATGCCGAATATAGCAATGTTGTCGGTGGGTTTACCAAGAGTTTAAGGTATATGTAGACATCGGAGAGTTTTTAATAGCTATGCAAATATGCTAGTACCCGTTAAACGTATTATTGATCCAACTGAATTGTAGTATAAAATATTCTAAGCATCAGTCCAAAGCTGCTTATTAGCCTTGTTATTAAATGTCAAGCTTTTAAAAAGATGAACAATAGAACAGCAATGACAATAAAATTATCTGTTTTGTGAAAACTTCACCAAATATTTCTAGTATTCTTTTGAAATATTCTCCACATCTAATAAGGCAACCTTTTCTTTCATTATTCTAAACGCATATAATTTATTTCTTGCCCAATTTAAAGACACGATTTAGTCTAAATACCAGGTTAATTTATTGATAATTGCTAAAATATCTAATTTTGCAGATTGGTCATTTAGGGGATTTACCTAAAGTCTTACCCGAAACCTCTGACTATAATGAAGAATTCATGAAAGAATTACACCGTGTCCTTTTAAAAGTACGAAAACCTGGAATTATTATTTTTTATACGTTTTTAATATGAAATTACTTATACAGGTAGAAATTAAAGAGGGGAATTTAGTATGTCCTGAAACAGGACGTAAGTTTCCTGTATCCAATGGAATACCTAACATGCTTTTGAATGAAGAAGAAGTTTGAAAAAATCGCATTTATTTATTCTTAACATAATGTTGTGAATTTTTTCTAGCCTTTTTGAAGTCTTCGTGATATTTTGTTATTTGTTTAAACATGTGAAAAAGCGTCAAATACAAATTTGCAATCTTGTCATTTGTTTTAATAAAGTAATACTACTTTGCTTATTCTAAAAATATATGGGTAATGAAGACTAAGGCAAGCACGCTGTGCCATATATACACAAGTATAATGATAGCGAGAGTTCACATTTGACAGATGCATTCGATATCCTTACGAGATGATGGCTTCTTTTACATCTAAAAATAAATATTATACGGCACATATACTTTTACTTTATTTTTATAAAATATATCTTGGATATAAAGCTTAAAGCGTTATTTTATCAAATATTTGGATTTATTCTAAATGTTGCGATTTTTTAAATCTAATATCTAAGGACAACTGAGCAAAAAAGCACAATTTTATAAAACAAGTAAAAAAAACCTAAAAAATAGATTTTTAAAGTTTATCTCCGTCTAAAAAATCCCTGATCCGTATTAGAAGTAATAAATGTTATCGTCTGATCATTGGTTGTTACATCTGTAATAATCACATCCAAAGATTTTAAGTTTTCGTCTTCGCTTTCATCGCTGGACGATGACGAAGATGCTGATGAAGATGAGGAAGAAGATGAAGAAGATGATGAAGATGAAGTTGCAGGAGTAGGAGATTTAGCGGCTTCCTTCTTTGGAGTCGGCGTTCGTCGTGTCGAATTTGTTGATCTAACAACTTGTAGAGCGCGATTGCGTATTTGAGTAGATTTTTTAAGAAGAACACTCTTTGGTGGCCTCCCACGAGGTCTCCCCCTACCTCGTGGGGTTTCTGACTTTTCTTTGTCTAGGTCAGTGGACGGAGATCTCTGCCGTTTGCCCTGGAAAAATGTCAAAATGTATTTTAACACTGTAATATGAATAAACATATCTGTCAGCTTACTCGAGGTGTTTTTGTTTTGACATCGCTTCGAGTTGTTGGTTTTTTATCCTTCTCAGGTTTCGCACTTTCCTTCTCCTTTTCATTTCTAAAAATGATAGAATAATAAAAATGTAATACTTTTATTATATTGTCAATAGCTGAATTGAAATATAACACTCTACGGTTATTGCCCTTCAATAAAACATAAAAGGGAGTACCACTTGAAAAATTAATTACTAATTAAATTAATTGTACAACTTTAAATAGCATAATAAATAGCTAATAAATTATTTACAGCCTATTATTAATTTGGATTGTAAACGTGCTAAGGGATCAAAATTTGTAAATGTTAAATGAAATATTTGCTTTACTATTGCTTTGAAAAAAATTCATAGTGAATAAGGAATCTTAAAAATTTAAATTTTTATAAGATGGAATATATCTGCTTACGGCACAAACAAAAATTATTGATGCATAATCATGCGGATTGACACTTTAATCAAAATTTGAAAGAAGATAAAATTAAACTTCTTTTGATATACAAATTCCAAATTAATCTGAAAATAATAACCCCGAAGCAGGTTATGCCTAGATTTTTATGCAAATTGATAAAATACAATGGGTACTTCCTTTTCGTTTTTTTTTGCTTATTTTAGAGCGATCAGCAAAATAATTTAAAATAATAGTAATTTTCTTTAAACTTACTCTTCTAAATACTGTTCGATCAGACGTTCGTCAAGTATATTTTCTTCCGGCTCCCATGTATTATATCTAAGAAAGAGAAATCCAATTAGTAAAAAGAACAGATCTGAACTAGAAAAATAAATCATTTTATAAATTAATACATACTTAGTACTCCAGCCTTTCCACTTTATACAATATTCGACTTTTCCCTGTTAAAAAATAGTTTATTTACACAGTCCTAGCACAACCCGTCTAAACATTGTTAAAATAGCCAAAATTTGTTTTAAGCAAAAAATTTTTACGCACCTTTCTCGTTCGTTTTTTAGTTATGCATTCGGCAGCAAAAACTTGCTCCCCCACATGAGATAGTTCCATTTTTAACAAAAGTCACATATTCATATTCTTTGTCATAAACCGTCTGCTAAAAACGCCGCCGAAAACTGGTTAACATTGAAATTTGGAATATTTCGTACCATTCATTTCCGGTTCACTGTCTATCGCATATATACTATATATATGTATATATACATATATATATATAGACAGCATAAATATACAATATATGTATAAAGATACATATATACATGTATATATATATAAGTATATTTGTCTATGTAAATGCCTATATTAATTAAGGGCGTTTACATCCTTGGTAATGTGATTGTTAGAGTAATCTTTAACGTTGAATTTTATAGTTTTTAAAAATTGACGATGGCCTCCTCCACTTTTTACGAGGTATGTACTTGTCCATTGTTTTGTCATTGTAAATGAGTATAATTATATCAGTTGAGCGATAATCTGGTAGTTTATTATTATTCCTTCTTATGTTTTTAATAATGTAAAATAATATGTAATTAATTGATTTGTCTTTTTTTTATTACAGAAAGATACGGAATTTACTGAAGATGATACTAATGATCTTGAACAATCGATGCCTGGTAAAATTACTATCAGGATCTTACAATTATAAATTAAATCATCATTAAATTTAATTTCAGTAACCGAAGTGCGCTTGTGCCATGTTAATAATGTCCTATTAATGAATCCTTATAAGAAATACGCAATTGAAAGTGTTAAAGGAGGCACACTTTGCTTAACTAACCATCGTTTGGTGTTTATATTGGATCGTTATTACGAGATGGTAAATGTTCCAGATTGTGTTATAAGAAATTCAATCTATCACTCTCTTTCAATTATGCTTCCAAACATATTAGAAATGTATGAAATGTCTAGAAGCTATAAAACTGTGAAAAAGCTAAGTCAGTACGGAAGAACGCCGAAATACGTAAAACGTCTCCAAATTGTTTGTAAGGATTTTAATACTATATTCCTCTCTTTCGAAAAACATTCCACAAAAGCTGATAGAAAGAATTGCGCCGATTTGATAGCTGGCCTACTAACTTATGCTTTTCCAACAAAAATTGAAAATACGCTTGTGTTTAATGAATTTATTCACTATAATACGCGTAATTCGTATTTGAAAGAGGATAATGATAAATCCGTTCATTCTTTTGCCCAATTTAGAGAATCAAAAAATATTAATAATGAAATAGCAAGAGATAATATATTAACAACTAGCCTTGTTAATGATCAAGTAACGAATCAAGCTGTTTTAAAACAATCCAATGAAATGTCCGATGGACCAAATTATAATTTCAAATTATTTTATTCAATAGACGATTGGAGAGATGAATTAAATAGAAATCATGCTACAGTTTTTTTCAATGTGCAAAATAATCGAGATTCAGCAGTTTTTAGTGGATCTAAATTCTTTTTATGTCCTCACGAACAAAGAACATCGAGTGGTAGAGGTTTACCTCCAAATATTAAATTAAAATTAACGGCTAATTCGCAAATGCCGACGTTTTGTTTCTATTTTACCGAAAATGCTAATATTTTCGGCGGTGGAATGTTACGTTCAACTAATAATAATCGTAGAAATATGGAAGAACACGTTAGAATTCTATTGTATCATTTAAACAGAGGTGAAAAAAAGGAATTGCTTTGTTATCAAATTGAAGATATGAAATTACCGAATATTGAACAATTAACAGCATCGATTGAAATTATTAGAAAAACTTGCTTTCCTAGAAGGAAGAAGTTGAAAGCTAGAGACGCTAATTTTCTTTCGATTGTTGAAAAAAGCGAATGGTTGCTCTATGTTAATATTTGTTTGATAACAGCTGAAAAACTAGCTAACGATGTTAAAAATGGGAAATGGATATGGTTAACCGAAGAGAATCCTGTTGATCTTGTCCTATTAATATCCTGTTTAGCGCAAGTCTTCCTAGATCCTTATTGCCGTTCGAGAAAAGGATTCGAAGAACTTATACAGCGCGAATTCGTATGCGGTGACCATCCTTTCGCAGATCGCCTAGCCACATTAAATACATCCCCCCGGCATATTCAGCCTGTTTTTCTTCTTTTCCTGGATTGCGTTGTGCAATTAGCGAAATGCTATCCGCAATATATTGAGATGACTGAATACTACCTTATTACCCTGTGGGAGGTGGCATGTTCTGGATTAACTTCAACTTTCGCTGGTAATTATGGTATACATCGTGAAAAGAGTCAAGCAGATCCAGCTTGGGCTTGGAAGTATAATACAGAGTTGTTCTCTAGTCCATCATATGTGACACAACTCTGTTTCGGGGCTATTTTAAATTACGAACCCCCTCCTAAGGTTCTCCAAGCTCCTACACCTTTAGATTTTTGGAGAGAATGCTTCTTTAGATTTGTACCTTATATGACCATAGAGCAAGGTGATTATATTTCAAAATTTCTAGCAGAAGCGAATCTTGTAAATAGCATTAGAGATGAATTCTGTCAACTAGTTGAGGTTGGACTTCTTGATAAATTTGATGATAGTATTCAACCGAAAAGATACACAATCGTTGACGAGTTAAGGGCATGCAAAAAATCTGTAGTTTCCTCTGCATTTCCATTTTATGTTCCAAAACAAATAGTCGGTATGGAAGAAGAAGAATTTAGTGATATGACGAGTAGAGACGACCAATTAAGCTATAGTACCCAACTACTCGATAACAATACCAGACTATAAGGCAAGCATTTTGTAAAAGTCAAAAATATTTGGAGTATATGCATTTTAAATATTTACATTTATTATTCACAAACCTGCAATAATCTAAATAAGAAACAAAAACAAACAAAAAAACTGTTCAAAGCAAGCCATGATTAGGAATAGGAACAAGTTATTTTATTCTTTTCAATTGTTAACTTGTATATGTTTAATTATTAATATCGAAAAATTAATAATTATTAAGCATCCTTCTTCCTCTTTTCTATGAAACTTTTAACTCTTTTTATCCCCTAAAACAATAATGTTTTTATTTATTCTTATTTGTACGAAAAGTTTCATTTTTTTTGTTTTTATTATGATCTTATATGCTTTTTTTGTGTTCTCTTTCGTTTTGCTTCGCTATACAGTATATACTGTATATAGCAGTGTATGTTATTCTTCAAATATACAGTACATCATATTCAAAATTTAAATTTTGTACGATAATTAAAGATTTGAGGATATTTGTTACTTGATTAATAGATAGAAAGGTCGAAGATAACTTTTATAAACGGAAAGTAGAATGAGAGACATTGGCATCGAGTCATCCGCCAGAAAGAGTAATCAGGTTTCGGAGACCAAAGGGAACTATTTTCGTCTTATTGACGTGCGTATAATTACGTTTGGAAAACATTTCACGTTCTTCCGATTTCCCCTTCACTCATCTAAAAAAAGGTTTCTATTTTATACGCATAAAAAACCTCCAAGTGAATAGAAAAAGGAAAGATAAAACATGCATCCTTCATCCTTAATTTACATCTGATTGAATCTTTACCTTAATATAATAAATTAGCATATTTGTACTAATTAATCTCATTAGGAAATATCTACTTAGATAACAAGCTACAATTTATATTTGTTACTTAAAAAATAACTGTACTCTATCCTTGATTGGAATTTCTATGAAGAGGAATGCCGCATTTCTCCTTGCCAGCTGAGTAAATCTCTCTGTAGCCATCTCTCCAACTGGGTTTTCTTTCTAAGTATCTTACCTAAAACAAGGAGAGATCCCTCTCAAAGTAATCTTAACCTTTCAATCTAATGTATTTAGTAAACAGTCTTAGTGCAATTATCTCCATTCTTGCAACACATCAATTCCTTCAGCTAGGTCTTTCTAGCTCAAGTCTATTTTGTTGTAAAAGACTTTCAGCATTTACCTTTAAGTGTTCTATGAAGCTATCGACTCGGTTGCCAGATCCTTAGCTTAATACTTATTAGGTTGTGAAAGTTAGTTTCTCATTCATTCATCCAGTTTCTAGTTGTTTCGCTTGATTACGAGACATCTCATATAAGCTAGAATTTTTATTCATAGTATTGCCTACGGATAGTACAACGAGCAATTCTATATTGATAATCACTAGTTGAATATTGTCTCTTAGTACTCTTTGCAAATCTCTTTTGCTCATCCATCGTTCGAGTAGTCATCTTCCAGTTTGTAAGTACTGGACAATTTCTCTATGGCCCATACAACACAATCAACTAGTCCATTGTAATGGGCTTCCTTTTGGACGTATTCATACAATTGTTCTACTATTCGATTTGCCAAGACTGTGGCTCTCTCAAGCTCATCAACTAAACTTCTCTCTTTTTTCAAATTGTACGCCATATTTCGGTTTTCTTAAAATTACCTTTTCTATTGATAATTCTTTCAGTGATTTTTCAAGGACAGAATAGATTTTATCCTTATCACTATATGCTATAAAATCTACTAGGCAACGAACTCAACATCGCACACACTATTTCCTAGTATTCTCACTTCCTAGAAGTTTTATGACTTTAATACAAATTTACACTGTAGATAAGAGTATAGCTATAAAGCTTCGCTTTCAGCATAGAGTGATCATCTCGTCATAATATTGACACATTTTAGAGGCTACAAACGATAACCACGAACGATATACTATGATAAAATGTCTCCAATTTATAACATGTGTCAAAAATATCAGTACTATATAAAAAATAGAAGATAACAACTATTTTTTCTCATTTTTCAATATCTTCTATATTTGGAATATTTAAGAGCTTTTTAATTTATGTTTTTTTTGGAAAATGAATATAAAATTTGGGTCAAAGGTGTTTGTACGCTTGTGTTTTTTGACTAAAAATTATTCTAGGTCGTCTAATTGTTTACAGAATATTACATTACGTTTCATTCTAGACTAATTCTGACAACAATAGAGTACTCTAAAGAAATAAAAGACAGAATTAGGAACATGAACAAGGATGGGTATTCTTATTATAAATTTTCAATACAAAAAGAACAATTCAAAAAGAGTAATAAGGAAGATTGGAGCAAATCATAAGAGTGTCTCTCTTGATAAGACTGCAAAGGAAAAATAGCATATAATGGTAATAGATCCTCTAATAAAGTATATAATGGGAAATGAGAGGGAAATTCAAATTATAGAATCCTTTGAAAAAGTAAAATACAAGCTCCATTAAAGTACTGCAAACCAAGGTTATACTTTTTCTTTTTTAAGATTTGCTTTAAAAAAGAAAATGAAAGAAATGACAATAAAAAACAAAAGAGATAACACTTTCTTTTTTAGGTATAATAATTTTTATTGTTCCTTTATTCATATAATAGCAGTTTTATTCATGATAAGAGAAACTCTTGTCCTTATTTTTGGTTTAAGGTTTCTCTTCCATTCAACATATTTCATAGTTATATTTACTATATAAATTACGAAATAATGTCCATAGTCATAGTGTTTGTATACGGTATGTTTGTTTTTGTTATTTTTGATATGAAAAATTTCTCAACAATGATAAAATGGCAAAAACACGCTGATAGAATGTCTTTTAAAATAAAATATAAAAACGACAATATTAGTAATACGTTTTTTTTTCAATAAAGGAACAGAAAAAAGAAAAGATGAGTAGTAAAACAACCGCAAAAAAGAAGAAAAGGAAGGAAGAAATTCCTATTATAAATTATTGAGGGATTTTTTATTAGATAATATTCTTCCCTTCTTTTCCATTTTTCTTTTTTTTTTGCTTTCTTCTACCAAACAATGCATTTATGTTTTGGATTCATTGGTGATCCTAAAGGACAGGAGAAATGCTCTGAAAACTCTTTTGAATTTGACAACGTGCCGATAACTCTATATTTGTCAGGTGTATGAGGATCGGTTATTAGAGACAAATCAGCAGCTTTAGGTGTTTCCATAGAACACCACACTTGCGCAAAAGAGATGAAAAAGAGTTGCTCATGCGTGTAATTGAGGAGGCCAGGTAACTTTATTTCTTCTCCATTTTCCTTGACCCATTTTTGATAAGATGTAAAGGCCGCTTTTAGACCTCCATTATCAGCGATATTCTCTCCTAACGTTTGCCTGCCTCTAACTGACTTACCATTTAAAGTGTAATTATTATATTGCTTAACCATGCATTCGGCTTTTTTCTTAAACTTCTCATCATCTTCCTTATTCCACCAGTCACTAAGCATGCCTGTCTCATTGTATTTTCGACCCTATTTTTTAAAGATAAAACAAAATAAAAGAAAAAAAAAACCTTATTTTCACAATTTATATATAGAAAACAATATTGAAAGAGGTTAATCTATATTATCTCGCGTAATATAAATATATCTACCACTTTTAATAATTCTTCTATATATGCGTTAAAAAACTAGACGACTTCAATAAATGACGTTATTATGAAAATAACAAAATAACCTACTAAAATCTAAGATAGGAGAGAGAAAAGAGAGAGAGAGAGAGTAATGAAAACTAATGGAAAATATTTTCTTCATTTTGTTGATTTATAATCTAGAGGTCTTATTCCTTATTTAACAAATTAAAATCAGTAATAAAAGAAACGTATAAATATTTCTGTCGTTAATTTGGGCGTTAATCGTAAATTATAATTAACTTGATGCGTTTTTCTTAGAAAGTAATCTTACTTACTTGATCGTCGAAACCGTGCGTTAATTCGTGTCCTAAGACGACACCAATTCCACCGTAGTTGAGGGATTTTGGGTGATGAGCATCGTAAAATGGCGTTTGCAATATACCAGCGGGAAAAACAATTTGATTTTTAGTTGGTTGATAATATGCGTTAACTGTTTGAGGAGTCATATTCCATTCTTTTCGATCTGGTTTTTTCCTTAATTTAAGTAGTTCTTTCCTCTTTGAAAAGAGCATTGAACTAAGTGTATTATTAAAATATGCATCATTGGTAACATGTAAATCTTTATATTTTGCCTCCAATTCAGTTTTATTTCTTATGTAAGCTGGATAACCGATCATATCGTAAACGGTTGATGCTTTTCTCTTTGCCCTTTTCTTGGTTTCAGAGGTCATCCATTTCAAATTCTGCAGGTTATTAATGAACGCATCCTTTATATTACCAATCATAACTCTAGCTTCTTTCTTACTCTCTCCAAAGAAAGCCGCATCAACAAATATTCGTCCAAGAGCAAATCCGACGCTTCCCTCTTTAAATATATAAATTATTAAGATAAAATTACCCTCTAGTTTACAATTCCACTTACCAGTATCGGTTAAACAGCGACGCCACCTTTCTCTATGGCCCTCACTTCCGGTCATTATTTCAGCAAATTGCTTTCTAGCATCTCTGAATGGCTTTGATAGTGTAGAGCTCATCGTTTGAACGACTGACCACATTAAATAATTGTGTACAGTTATTTTTCCTTCTTTAGTCTTTTGGGTTTCTTTGAGCAAATTCGTCATATTTCGAAGGAATTCGACAGCGTGTACAACAGCAGGTTCATTCTTATTAATAACTTTATTAATTTTATGGAATTTAAATTGGTTATTAACAAACTGCACCCAATCCATCTAAAACAAATAAACAAACAATGAGACAATCAATTTTTCATTTATTTTAAGTATTAAAACTATTTATAGGAAAAGTCAATGAAAAGTGAAAATACTTACAAATGGGAACTCTTTTTGTAATTTGTCAAACGTATATAAATGATACAACTCGAGATCATTTCTTCTCTCTTCTTCCGGTTGGGTAAACTATTAATTATAATAAATATAGTAAAGAAATTTTATTACTTGTCTTGCCTATTTAAATGACTTCAAAATAAATGAATTTCGACAAATTTAATTGGATAGGGACGATAGGAAGATATATAGTATAACCAAAATTTCTTTAACACTAATAAAATATAAAACGATAATATAAACATTAAATAAAATGAGAACGATTATTTGATATAATCTGTATGATATTTGAATTAAATTAGTTAATTAGATACCAAGAAATCTCATTGCGTGTCACCTTACGGCAATGAATTAAACTATTTGTTTTTCTCTATATTTGGCCTAGTTGTCATTTCCAGGACTAGAGTTGGTGTACTCTTTTGTTTATTAGTGTTTTTTATAATTTGCTACTAGTCGATCGGAAAAAAAATTGAAAGAGAGGCTTACTTTTGCTATCTCTTGCTGGAATTTTACAATATCAATGACCATTTCGCGGGAAGAGTTCCTCTCCCCTCCTAATAGTACACTTAATTCCGTCAAATAGTTAACAAAAGCCATCAGTATATCGTTACTATTTATATCCCTAGGTTCTGTTCCGTTTAATAGCTGATCCCTATTTAATTGCAAACCTCCTTGACTCAATTGGAATACATGTCTTGATGAATCTTTCTCATCCTCACCAATCCAGAAAGAGAATAAAGGCATTTCGCTATGTGCCGACAATTTCTCCATCATATCCTGAAAATCGAATGTTGAAATGTCAAAATCCTTATCAGACACACTCCAACCTCCGAGTTTTTCGATTAGAGCAAGCAGAGGTTTCGCTCCTAATCTCTCTATCGTTTTCGAGCCGTCTAAGCACGACTCATAAAATTTTCTGGCCTTCTCTTCTGCTTTATTTTCAAAAGTTTTATTGGCGTGCTGTTCCAACACTTTCTTTACCACTAGGTGATTCCGATAAGATATTTCGTTAAACGTTCCCCATCTTCGTAAACCGCTAGGGATTGAATGAGAACTGAGCCAACCTCCACAAGAATACTGAAAAAAATCTGTGCAGGGATCGGCGCTATTTATTTATTCATTTTAAAGTAAGGATGAAGTCTTATATTCTTGTCTATTCAATAATAAATGGCCTATTGAATAAAACTCTGTTTGAAGATATTCTCTGATAAGAGAAATAAAAAAAATTGTGCTTTATGATTTTCTAAGACTTCATCCTTACTTTACATCCAACGCTTTCAAAATTGAAGATGAAGTTGTCACGCAAGATTTGCTCATGCAAACTTTCTCGTTTGGTGTAGGAGCTGCGACAGACGTCCTTGAGACGACCATTATAAAAAGAACTAACATTGTAATCGACCAAATGACAAGGGCCACAGCTAATAGTTTCTCTAGATTTGTTCTTTTTTGCCAGAAAGATGCGCCCACTTTGAAAGCAACAGAGGGGTCGTAGGTAATTCCTGGGGGAGTACCTGCTGGCGATGAAGCTTCGTCGTCTTCGAAATTCGTTCGTTTATATCTCTGACCGGACATCTGGAAGCGTTGAGAAAACACGTTAGTAACTGTTAAGCAATTGGGAATAAATAGAATCCCGACACTAACAGCGCCCCCTCCTGATAGATTATAATGGGAAATAGACTAGCTAGTTTAAGTAACTCAGTTATATTCTGTGTACGCCTATAAAGAGAACAAGACTTGATACATACGAAATTCTAAACATCTTTTATTTAATTACAAAAACATCTTTGCCTATGATAATACTTGTATCTAAGAGAAAATTCAATTAATCTTTTATAATTTTGTAGATCGTGATTTGTTGGTAAATAAACGCTAACAGGACGCTAGCTAGAATACGAACAAACAGAATATACTGTAAATCTGAAGAAGACATGAAAAACGTCTGGCTTGGACACCTGATTATAATCGTAATAATTTCAATTAGCAATATAGTCATGCCCTTCTCTCTTTTATACTCTTATTCTCAACCATATATTCATATATATTTAATATCTACCCACATAGTAATTCTACAATCCGAACAGCAAATTATTCCAATTCAGCTCCCTCTCGAACTCCTCCTTCGCTTCATTTTAAACACAACGTCTAGCTTAAACTACCAAATGAATTTAGATTTTTTTATTAACCTTTAAATCAATTGAATACTATTAGCCAAATTGAGTAGAAACCCACATATTCTACTTTTTATTCACAATATTCATATATATATATATAATATTAATATGTATGTATTCAATACACCTATTGTGCACATATGCAATGTAGATATAAAATATGATAAGTTAATGAGAATAAATCCGTATGTTAGAATATATGATGTCTGAACATGGGATTGTTTTAGTAGGTGTGAAAAAAAATGGTGCAGGAAGCGAAAAAGAAAAACGTAACACAATTTTTTACAATAAACTAGTTTAAAGTTAAAAATAATAGCTTACTCTTATTAAACTTATCTTTTCCTCGCTCATTGTTTTTCCTTCTCCATCACGAAAATCAGATTTATATAGAAAAAGACAGAGAAAGCAAAAAAATCTACTTTCCTTTTCTTTCTCAATAATTAATTAGTGAAATTAGTTAAAAAGAAAAAAAAGGCGACTGGTATCTTCATTTCTTCTCTCACTCTCTCTCTCTCTCGTCTATTTCGGAAAAAGTATATGTTGTTCGTGCAAATAATAAAAAAAGAAGGAGAATGAAAAAACAATAAAAGACGGTATACACAGAGAAATGGAAAAATATTCGACGTTTCTAGCTGTGACATTTACATAATAAAGACACCCCGTGATTAATTTTACTTCCAAACTACTTCGACCTTTTCCTCTAACAATGAAAGAATTTCAGCAAAATAGCCGAAAGAGAATGAGTGTGAGATAGGGAGGAGGATGGTAGTCATTCCCTATCACTTTTATATCAGTTAGAAAACTTTTACAAAGTCTGCTCTTTTTCTCAAACATTGAAATTCCTTAGGAAACGAAAAAAAAAATTCTAATCGGTAGATAAAGTACGCAATCTCCCTAAGTTTCCTTGTCTTTGATGTACAATAACATAATAACAAACATAATATGTAAAAGTTACGCGGATTGAATCTGTTCCTTTTATATTTCTAAATACTGTACAGCATAAAGATACTGATGACGATACATTGTTTAAACTATTAACCTTATCCTTTTTCAACCTATTTGACAATCTTTGGCCAGGACGAATCGGTATCTAATTTAGTTTGACGAATCTTACCAGTGGTATATCAAGATGCTTCTCCAATTTCTGATACTTTATACCAGAGTGAGTCGAATTTATTCGCAACAGAAATTTTTTCAAATAAGACATTGTCCTCCCCTTTTTTTTATGCAATTGATTCTTCTCTCCGTAGCAATTAAATTGATACGTTTTATAAATATATAAATTAAAGTAATACAATCAAAGGTATTCTCAAAACAATCGGCTTTTTCAGTAAACAGAAATTATCTTCGAAGATCACTTTGCCTTTTTCGATATTAAATTAATAATAAAATTCAGTCTGTGAACAATATTAAACACTATATACCTACAAGTTTTATTTAATATTTTTTCAGCTGTTTCATTAGGTTATTTTCATATTAAGTACAAAAATTAATATTACAACTGGAAATTACCTTGATTTTCTTCAATGTTTTATCCTTTCCTTTTCTTTCTCTCTTAGCATGTATATAAATTTATATATATCTCAATCTTACTTATTCTCTATATTCATCTTTTCTAAATGATAAATAAACAATTTGATTCTTTTAAACAAGTATCAATTCTAAAGTTATATTGATTCATTCGTACAATGAATGAGAAATGAAATAAATAGTGAGACAGAGACGAGAGATAGATAGAGAAAGAGTGATGAAAATTTTTTTTAGATTCTAATTCATGTTAAGAATATATTTTCTCTGTAAATATTAATAATTTAATGGTTCACATCTAAATTTGTGTGCCGATACGTATAAATTCTTTATTTATAGCTGTTGAAAAGCATGATTTGTAATAGAAACACCTTAATTTTTCAAAAATGATGGTAGTGTTTTATCTCCATTACAAAAACAGTGTATTAAGAAAATGAATTGAAAATTTACACGATTTAAACGATACATCATATTCTAAGTAGACTTTAATTGCAGGCGGAGAGAAGATACATTTACATATATACAGTATATATATATATATCTATATTTATATATATATATATACCAACATCAGATTTTATATAATAAATTCATTTAACAAGCCCACTCTGGCTGATGGTAATATTAAATTGATCGTATTACAAATCGACCTAATCAGTTCGTCTAAATTACCAGCTAACTATCCCTTCAACGTTCCTTGTAAAATGTTATAGAGAATTGAATCGCATAAATCGCACTAATGCGTTCCATTTAAAGAATATAAAAATGATAACACTGTCTGTTTTATTGTACATAGGCCTTTAGAAAAATTTAATACAAGGTTAGCGTTAAGATTACGACAATATTTTAAACTAAAGCTGACACTACTGCGCACCCTTGCCAAATAAATCAATATTCTCATATCTAGGTATAGCCGTATACATCATTATGTTCCTTAGAAGCTTACCTTCACTTCGTCCATAGGCAGCATAGGCATCATTTGATTGTATTTATTCGGTGTCTTTTATGCCAAATATTTCTTGACTGCTAATTCAATTAATAATTTAATCAGATTTTAAGCAATTTTATCGTTGAACCCTTGCTTAATTTTCTTTTATTTTTCTTCTCTCTATCCCTTATTCTTTCTGTCGTTCCTTTTTTTTCGATGCTTATTTTTTCTCTTTATGCGTTTCCAATATCTTGGCAGTTAACTGGATGTTGCCCAGTATATCATGATTAACTGGCTTGTAGAAGACTCAAATTTGTGATGCTTAAGAACAACGAATAGCTTGGATTGAAAATGCCGCGCATAATTTTGTTTCGAAAAGAGGAAAGCCACAGATGACTGAAGACGGGAAAACAAAATGGCGTTTGAATAGTTAAGCAATTGTTTCTTCGTCTGCTACAATTGTTTGCTTAACGATTTTTTTGTTCTTTTCATATAAATAGTAACATAAACGCACGCAAGTCGAATAAATTGATTATTTTATTAATTTTCTTCAAAGTTTTTCAATTTTCTTAACTTTTTACATTCTTTTAAAGTAAAAATTAAGCATAATTTATTTTAAAATATAATTTCCACATTAGGTTGTACAATTCTTTCTTAAACCTTTTAACTATAAATTAAACCATTAAAAATCATTAAATAAATTTGTTCTTGACCAAATTTTTAAGAGACTCAAAAAAATTGTGATTGTAATCAATTCCAAGGAATAATTTACTAACAACCACAAAATCTCGTTAATTCTCATTTTACATTTAGATAACAATGGAGAACATTATTGATTTAGTAACATTTTATCAACAAAAAGAATGTATTTTTAGACTTGAAAAAAGTACCATAAAAATTTACAAAATACTATTTTCTTTTTCCTCCGCCATAACTGTTCTTTGGAGGGAATACAAACCGTATAATGTCCCAAAACAGAGACAAATCTTTTATAATGAAGGTCATAGTCTTTTTACTTTTACGTACAGTTTTATCAATTTCCTGTAGACAAGTTTCTCAATGCAACTGCTAATCTATCTGTTTTATTTTGTTTTATATTTTTCAATCCTCTTTCATTCTCTATTTCTCACGTAGTGATGCTTATAGCGAGAGAAGAAATATCCAATTTACAGTCCAACAGCTATCTTAAAAGACTTCTTCATAAGAATTTCCCCTTATCTTTTTTAAGTTGGACCGATTAATTTCAGGCCGTTTTCTTAGGTATCATCTCATACTGCCACTTTTTTCACCATCTGATTGGATCTGTTAACGATATATGGATAATATAATATATTTACAGTTTACTGTTCCTTATACTATATACTTTTTCTTTTTTAGATATATAAAAACACCCATATATCCAACCAATTATGGAGTATTGCATAATTTAACTATAGCTATTTTACCGTTCCTTCAAAAATGTGTACAAATAATTCAAGTTATTACTAATATTATTATCTCAAGGATAATCCCATCATCCATTAGCTAGACTGATTCGAGTTTTCTATTACTCTTTATGGTTCTATCTTGTTTTTTTTCCCTTCCCCGGCTTATTCTATCATTTATTCCAAGGATTTAGCGTAGCCCCATCTACTGGTAGGTTTATCTTAAATCTATTGGGATAGTGTTTACTTTTGACAAGTATACATATAAATATTATTTAATTATATTAATTATATTCTTATACATAAAGATAATTAGGATAAAATAAACTTTCAATTAAGAAATATTTTCAAAAAAGTAATAAAAAAGAATCCAATTTAAAAGTTTCATCTGACTAAAGAATGGCACAAGCTATACTTTTATTAGAAATTTCTTATGGAAAAGTATCTTATACACTGGTCATGTAACTTAGATTTAAAAATTCATTGAATCACTCTTCTTGTTCCAAAAAGAGAATTTCAATTTTTCGAATGAACTGGATCGAATAGTCTCATTTCTTTAACTTTTTGTACTAATACATTTTCTTTAGTAAAATGATTTCTATTAACTCTTTGTGATTTATTCGAAAGTTTTCAATTTAACACAATATCTTCTATATTACTATTATAGGTAAAGTTCTGGAGCATAAGCCATGATAAACTTATAGTAAACTGGTACGTTAATCCGCTTCAAACACTTATCATAACAAGATGCGCGAGAATATGTAACCACACGCCGTTCTGAGATTTGACGTCATTCTTCGAAGCTGTGGTTAGCAAAAGCACTATCCCTGCTGCTTGGTAAGTGTCATAATAATGTTCTATAGAACTAAAAAATAAATGATTGAGCATTTTATTCACTGTGTAAATATACAATTCTGATTAATAGGTCTGGGATATTTTAGAAAAGCATCTTTTCTGTTTTCAAGTACTTTTGTCAGTAAACATGTCCGCACCTCCGCCTTATTCTGAGACAAAGGAGCAGTTTCCTCCACCACCTCTCGTGAATCAAGGTATGAATGAATATTTATCTCTATGTCAAATTACTTGTATACGGAATTGGTTTCCGGAATGTGATACTGCTATCATCACACTCGTCCTCATACCACATTCTATTCTTTTTGATGTGCAAACGAGCTGTACAAAATCGGCTTTGAGACTTGCTTCCTGAGAATAAGACTAGAAGTAGGGAGAGTTTATCTAATTAATTCCATTTTCATTATTCTAGACACATCACACAAAGATTATCACTTTTAACTAAAGGTTGAGATTAAAACTAGTTTAAGTTAATAATAGAATAACTGTAATGCTAAGTAATATTGCATAATTTTCCCTGATATTTTTTCATTTTAACTTTATCTTGTTTAAAGATTATGACATTTATACATTTCCAGCAGGTTATTCGTCTTTAACTCCAGCTCCGCCAGCTTATGGACAGATTCCCGGACAAACTGGTAAATTTTACAACTATATTGAGTCTTATATTTGTATTATTTAACAAGAATCTTAACAAAGCTATCAATATAACTCTCTATAATTTGTACATCAGGATATCCAATCTACACACAGGGTAAAAAATGTATACAATTAGCAAATCAAATATGTTGTACGAAGAGATTGCAGTAGTTCGCTGGTTGCATGTTTGCAATGGATGCTAACTCATTTTTTTCTTTTATATTGTCAATTATACAATGTCTTGTAGCCTTATAAAGTTTCCATGCACGATATCTTTTCAGTGAATCTTGTCTAGCTGACTATGTTGTTAACAAAGTTGTCAGTTAAATTATACTTTATAGTATGGGATTAAGTGAAGTATTAAAGCAATTAGACTTATCGATCACAAATCAACAAATTGTATCATATTTTAATCTAGATATTTGTTGTGCCTCAATTTTTAAATATCTATTGAAAAAAATTAAACTAAAATATTATATCCCATTCAGGTACCATGCACTCGAACGTTACTGTTGTAACAACTCAACCCACTGCAGTATTAGTTCATCAATTTCGTGAATTTCCAGTTCAAATGAATTGTACTCGTTGCAATGCTCAAATACTCACTGCCACCGACTACGAAGTAGGAGCTCTGACTTGGGTTTTGGCTGCAGTATTATGTTTCTTTTTTTGGTGGCTGCTGTGTTGTTTGATACCATTTTGTTTGGATTCAACAAAGGATGTCGTACATACTTGTCCTAATTGTCATCAAATGTTAGGCCGTTACAACAGGATCTGAAAAAAACGCTTGAAAAATTGTATGCTAACACATAGATACATGCATATATATGTATACGCTAGTATGTCTAGCATTATTAGTAGATACAATCATAAAAACTATAGACAGAGAGGAGTAAAGTTTTGAAAGATCATAATTTATTGACATTGTACTGGTTTTTGGTCAATATGGAAAGCTTCAATTGTATTAAGCTTTATTTGTCACTTATAATTCTCTTTTTCTTTTTGCACTTTTTAATTGAAAAGTGTTTGATGTCATCAATGATTTCTAAGTTCAAATTCTCCATCAACAATCTAATACTAACAATGAGTAAAACAAAATTATTACCTTCTGGTCAGTTCCCTAAAATTAATATAAAACATTTATATTAAAAGTTGTTGATATTTTATCTGTTTTATATGCATTAAACGGTATTTCTCAGAATCGGTGGAAAGTTCTCGAGTGTAAGTAAACAGTGAGAAGAGAAACTACTAAAGTAGCAAAGAATAATTGCACTATTTTATTAGCAGTAGCCTTACGTATGGTCAAAGTGTCAATGCTCATAGTATTTTATCCCCTTCATTACAAACTTACCCAGTTTAGTATAGACATAAAACATCGTAATTCTATAGCACCATTAATAATTCTCCTCTTCCTGACAAGTCTGGAGTGTTGGCAATACACATAAAGAAGGCTCATATTTTAAGCTACATGCTTCAAGATATTTGTAGGACAGAAAATATAATAAAAAAATGAATTTTATTTGATAGTATTATTGTTTAATACCTAGACTCCATTAAATATCCATTAAAAGTGTATTTGCGGATATGTATTCAGGATTATATAAAAGCTTCTCAAGCTATAGACTGCGAAAATTTACCTCATTCCTTTACTATTGATGAGGTGTTTCATTTTAGCTTACCAAGAGTTTGTATATCAAACAATTGATTTTATTTCTTCCTTATTAATTAAACAAAATTAATAATTTTAGATTATTTCAAAGAATATATCATCGCCTAATAATGTTAGAATAGAGTTTATTATTATCCCTGAACCTGACAATATTGATAAAGATCATTTCGTATTTGCCTCCCGAGACCTTGACATGTTTGAAATTATCCAAGTAATTATTAAATACACAACATACGCCTCTTTTTTTATGTAAAATAGCATATGAGAAACCACCACATAATTTATAATTTCCTAGAATCCTTATCGCATTGATATTTTGGAACTAAAAGAACACGATGCTGTAACTGCATCAGTTGAATTGGAATACTGTTTCTCATATGGAATATTTGGTTATGGTTACTCTACTATAGTTCGCATATATATGTATATATCAATATTATTCATAAATATTTATCTTACGTTATAATAGTTTGCGCTAAGCTGTTTAAATAAGCCCTTCAAAGATATTCTATCCCATTGCCTGTTCTTCAGACCCGAAGTAATAAGTAAAAGATTAGATTCTGGAAGACAGTATAAAAATTAATTAATATATACATTATATATATATATATATATAACATATTCACATTTAAGAGATAAACCAATCGTTCTATATATAGATTCTCAGGAGTTCTTAAGCCGATTAACATAGGGCATCCACCTTTCATTAATTTTACTAGAAAAGTCAAATTTATCGGTTCTAAAAGAATTAGCGAAAATAATGAGGATATTTTAGATGATTCAACATTTAAAGAACCTGTTTTAGTAATATCACAAATAAAAACAAGGTATACTTTTACATCATATATAGATATATATATATATATATACAAAGATATATCATTATTTTCCCCTCTATTATCATTTATATTTAATCATGAAAAATGAGATGAAAAGACTTCTCTCCTAATGAAATTTTTTCTGTTATTTATACATTAAGGTTACACTCCCTCCAGAGGGAATATTCCCAAAAGAATACTAGAAAAGACCGTATTCAGTTTCTTAGAAATTTAGTCTTCAACAACCATTTCAAAGCGGAAGAAGGCAGAGTAATAAAAAATTCTAAGAATATAAAATTGTTTGTTAAAGGAAATGAAAAATCAATTTCAACTGATGGATATAACGTTCAAAAATTTTATAGAATGTTTCCACAATTGAATTTCTTACCAAATGTTAGTAAAAAACAAAACAAAAACAAACTACGAAATAGGAGTTAGATATGAACTGATAATATTTATTTTATCCTTTAATATTTGTATTATTAATTATATATTTATCTTTTTTAATATTTAGCATCTAAAAACCGCTGATAAAGAGGGATAAAAGTAATAGTTTACTGACAGTAAAAAGGGACATTAGATATCTAAATATATCTAATAATTAACAGTATCAGAGTCTGTCGATATTTGCTAGTACTTTTATTATATTCCTTCTCTTTTATCTGTAATTATGTATATAATTTCCTGCTTCTATTGAAACTTTGATGAAGCTTTCTCTTTTAATGTTTCTATTTATACTTGTAAGCTATTTACTCTTTCAAACACAGCATATTTATCTAACTCTAATGTTTTTAATATTGTCACAACTTCGTACCTCTACTAATCTACTGTATTATTAATATCTGTTATCTTTTATACGGCTACGTCACTAAGGTAGCATATCATTTAAAACTATTCTACAGTTGCATAGGTTCGCATGGCTGCCAATGATTGGAAGAAATACGTTCGATGGTTTACTGTTTGTAAATTAATTAGCAAAGATCATCCGATTAACTTACCGAATAGTACATTGGAAGAATTTATCAATTTACTTAAGGATGGTGTCATTCTATGTAATCTATGCAATGTTTTAAAGCCCGATATTCTACCATTAACACATTTCTCTTACAGACCGAATAATTCAAAGGTAATAAAACTTTATTGTTTGTTTTTTTGTTCATTTTATACACTATCTGGAAGGCTGAACAATGCTTACTTTTATTTCCAGTTTCTTAGCACCAGAAATATTAACGCATTTAGAGAAACATGCTCATATTTTGGATTAGAATCAAAGGATATATTTGAAATAACCGATTTTTTTAAAGTTAACGGCTTTCCTATTCTTCGAACTTTATACAAACTTTCAGAAAGTAAATTTTCTAAAGATTGGGATCCATATGGCTACAGTCTACCAGAAGACGAAAACGGTTCTTCTCCATCCCGACCAGGAGCAATTTATATAAATCTTTCAGTTAGTAACTCAAATAGGGAGGAGGAAGAGGATAGCATCTATCAGAAATTACTCGGTAAAACCAACCTAAATTCGACAGATTCTACAGATGGAATAAACTATGCCCTCAATGAACTTCTCGAAACGGAAGAAATATATTTGAATAAGAGTTTACTTCCGATAAAAACGTTTTTTATGATTCCGCTGAAAGGTAAAATTTGTGAAAGTGATCACAAGATCATTTTTAATGGTATTGATCGGCTAATATCCTTTCACAAAGTATTTTTACAACAACTCCAAGAAGTGATCAACTCCAAAAACAATATAGGACAAATATTTTTGAATAATAGAGTAAATTTTTCCATGTACGGCGATTATTGTGCAAATATTCCTGTTATTGAGGATACTTTGATGAAATTTTCGAAAGCAAATTTGCAGCTTTTCTTTGATTGCGAAAAGAATATGAGTGACTCAATTGACTATTGTTTCTCCACAATGGAACTATTGAAAGTTCCAATGATGAGATTAACAAAATATCCGTTAATCCTTTCAAATTTATACCTATCCGACAACTATTCTCCTAAGGAGAAGGGTACCATTAAAAAGGCGCAATACGCAATAGAAGATATATTAAAATACACGAATGAAATGCTAAGAGACACTGAGATGCTGATAAACACCTCCCAAATACAAAAAGAAGTCGAAGGACTTTTACCTTCAAGTCAGAATTTAACAGATTTTGGACATTTCTTATTGGATGGTGAATTTATGGTAAGTACAAAGAACAACTTTGCAAAATACAATAAAAAACAACTTGACACTTTTTTTACTGGAAGGAAACAGATAAGATACCAATTTTTTTTTCAACTAATGATAACATGCTTATTTTTCTTACGCATAACTAAGAAATAAACGACTATTTTATTATTCCCTTAATAGATTGACGATAAACGCAGATATATTCTGTTATTTGACGATGTTCTATTCGTTTTAAAAAAGAAGCAGGTAAGTTTACGATATACTCTATCTTTTATTACCATTTAAAATGAAATATTTTATTGATAAGATATCCTTAAACTGTTTATTGTTTCTATAGTCTTCATCATTATAAATTCCTATTTTTATTCCTTTCCTACAGAATAATGGTAATCAATATAAAGTTAAAAGGCAATATTATCTACGCGATTATAAATATTCACTACTAGATAATTCCAAATCTAAAAAATGGCAATATGGAATAAAGTTATCTTCCGTGGATAATCCTACAGAAAAATTGATTATAAACGCAAGAGATAATACAGCTTTTGAAAGTTTAGAGAGTAGTGTTAAAACATTATTCGAAAAGTTTGATCATTATTTTGTTAAAAATCATAACTTTTCTCTAAAAACATTTCAAACGAAAACTCCTGTTTTCTGTAATTTTTGTACTTATACATTAAAAGGTATTATTCGTCAAGGATATCAATGCTCCAATTGCTTTATCAAGTCTCATTTCGAATGTCTAAATCAAGGTGATAAATACGATTGTATTTTTAACGAAACTAAACTGGGCCATACTGAAGATTTAACAAATATGCCTTGGTTAGATATACATTTATATTATTAATTGTATTGTTTGTAATAATAATTTGTATTATTCAAATATAGGTATGCAGGATTTATGACTAAGGAGGAAGCAAAAAATATTTTAACTGCCTCTGTACAAGGGAAATTCCTTGTTAGAGAGACGAGGTTGAATAATCAAAGTTTTTTCACTATAACTGTAAGAGTGAAACATAATCCGAAGCATGTTAGAATTGAAAAAAGGGCTAATTGTGTTTATGTATATAAAGACTTTATGTTTCCGTCGATTGTCGAACTTGTTCAATATTACTCTGAAAATGTTATTTTTGAGAATATGACTTTAAAATATCCTTATAAAGCTTAATGAATTAATTGATTACTTATAAATTTCTTTATTTTTACTTTCTATTATTTCATAATTCATTGAAATAAACAGAATAAACTATAACAAACAAATAAAACCAAGCCTGAATATCACCATGATTTTCTAAATGATTCAGTGCTTTGTCTAGGATTATAGTTATTTACAAATATCATTCCCTTTCTAGTCACGATATATATATAAATGATATGCATTTATATCCTGTACAAACCATTTGTTTTACTTTGAAGATAGAGAAAATTGCTTCCTGCTCCTACTAAAATTTGAGATGATTTGAAGCTAATAGTAAATAAATTGAATTTTCCTTTGTTTTTGTTTTTGTTGTTCTATTTTGCACCTAAAGACTTCATTTATCTTCAGATATGATTAACTATTTCGTAATTAAACGAATTAACACGAATATTAATTGTCTATTCTATAGAACAAGCTTGGAAATGTTATTTAAAAATTTCAATACTTTAACCATAGAATTCGTATAAATATTATCAAATTTTTGAAAAGAAAAACAATAACTTTACTATTTGTTTAAAGCTATATTAGATATAGTGTATTTCTTGCGTAATTGAATTTTGTTCCCTAATATATCTTCTTTTCACATTTTATACTTTTTCTAATAAATGGAATGAAGCTTCAATTATTTTAATTAAAATATATGACATGTAATTTTTTTAATATATCGGGATTGTACGAAAACTACTATCGCTTCGTGACGGAGGTCACATGACTAAAGTGGAAAACAAAGATGGCGGACCTGGTCACAGGAGATGAGTGGAGAAAATGCGTTTCATGGCTAATTCGCTGCAAATTAATTAGCGATGACCATCGAGTTAACGCATCCGACCAAGTGTGCGAATTTGTTCATTTGCTACGCGATGGTGTAATATTATGCAATTTATGCAATGTATTAAGCCCAGAATCAATTCCTTCAAAAAATTTCTCACAGAGACCTAATAATTCACAGGTCAGTTTTACATACGATGATAATTAAACTTAAATAACAATTTCTTAACAAGAATTGTAAGACTTTTATTTTAATTAATTAGTTATTTAACATATATTTCTTTTGGTAAGTAACAACAAATATCGAGAAATATTGGCGGGCATTCACCAGCGTGGAGAGATCACTTTCCACCGAGTAATTGTAGACGATAGAATAATATTTCAAGTTCTTAATCCAAATTGCAGTAATTTATCGTAATGTATATTTTTAAGTGATTATTTTCAAGAGTTTTCTTTTCTTACCCCTCTATTTATATCACGGAAGTGAAATGTACGTGGAAGAAAAATAGTACAGCAAAGCTTACATAAGCAAATATAACACTATTTAACTAAATCATACCGATATTGTACATATTTTTGTATATATAAAACAAAGAAATGATCAAAGGCAATAAGTTTTTTTCTTACAAGGGAAATAAATCTTTTTCCTACTGATAAGATTGGAGCAATAAATTAATAAAAAATAATTTTTTAAACAGTTCTTAAGCGTCAAAAATATAAAAGCCTTTATTCAAGCCTGCAATGAATTCGATTTAAACCCAGATGATATATTTATGCCAAATGACCTTTACGAGTTAGAAGATATTGGAAAAGTTCTTCGAACGTTATCAAAACTGTCAAGATCCCCAAAGGCTAGGCAATCGGGCATAGAAGGATTTGGAATCTCCGCCAGTCACAACGAAGATTATTTCGACTTAGCAGATAGATATAGTTCATTCGAACAAATTCACGCCTACGATGACTACGGAGAAAATGACGACAAAGAAGAAGAAATCTACGAAGCTATTGTTTATCAAAGACGAAGAACCTTGCCGTCAATTACTGACGTAAGAAATTATCCAATTGATGAACTTGTCGAAACAGAAAAACGATATTTAGAGTTAAATTTAAAGATGATTAAAAAGCACTTTATGGATCCTTTGAGGAGTATTATTCCAAAAGATGATTTTGAAAGTATATTTTACATGATTGACGACCTTATAAAAGTTCATACAGAGTTATGCAGGGATCTAATTAATGCTAAAGAACAAAATTCGAGCATTGGTGCACCATTCGAAAGGAATAAAATGAAATTCACTGTCTACGGTTATTATTGTTCAAATTTACCACTCGCTGAAGAAGTGCTGCAAGATCTTATGAAGAGATGCGAAGTGTATAGACAAAAAATCCAGGCGTTCGAAGTAAAAATGGGTGAAGAATGCGGTTCTACTTTTCCCCTGAACGAAATCCTTAAGGTCCCAATGCAAAGGTCGCTCAAATATTCATTACTATTGGATACAATTTTAAAGAAAACTGATTCATCACATAACGACGAGGAATCAATCAAAGCTGGTTTAAACGCAATGAAAGATTTGGGTAATTACATAAATGAAATGAAGAGAGATACGGAAATGTTAAATAATATAAAGCACATTGAGAGTAGTATTTGCTGTTTTGATATGCCAGTAAACACTGAATTAAAAGATTACGGAAGACTTCTTATGGATGGTGAGTTGAAGGTAGGTCTCATTTTTCGCCCTTCTTTTCCTTAATTTGTCAAAATTTCATTATAAGAGAATGGAATATAAATCCAGCTTAAATTCTTCATAGTATGTTTATACGTTATCCTATACATTTTATAAATTTTGTATTCTTAGTCTCTCTATCTTCTTTGTAAGATACTTGATGTTTCTTCAAATAATAATTAAGATGAAAGCAAAACGTAAATAATGATTACTTTTAGGTTGCGGAAGGAACTAGCAATGACAAGAAAACCAGAACAATATTCCTATTTGATAAAGTAATGGTTTTAGTAAAAGGTGCCAAAGTAAGTCCATTATTTTTTTTTATATTTATTATTTATTATTCTCTCCTGTTTCTTATTTAAAAAAAGAAACAGGCATGGGCCTTTAATTTTTCTCCTATTCACCAATTTATACTTGTCTTCACTTATATATTATACAGTATATATATCCACTTTATTACACATAATTTTTAAAAATAGAACTTCAAGGTCAATATTCTTCCACAATATATAACGACGTTTGTTATCTTTACGAAGGCATTTTAAAATATAGGCCTTTGTTTGATATTAACAAAAACAAATAGGATTTTTATTTATCTCTTCAATGTGTTTATTTCTTCACTTTTTTTCTTAGCATTTTCTTTATACACCTTATTTTCTATTTATTTATTATTATTGTTATTATTATTATTACTATTCGACCTTTCGAAAAATAGTAATAATAATATTTTGCCAAATATGGAGATGCTGTTGTTCTTGAAGCTCTAAAAAAATGAACATTTTTTTTTGCATTTTGTCATGAAGTTTTTTTTTCTTTTTTTTTTTCTTTCACATTTTTGCTTTTTTTTACGTTTATATTATAGGTTTTAGACTTTTGGTCTTCGGTAAGCACTTTTCTTTACGTTCAACATGGTTAGGCATTAATCATTTCAGTTATGAGATATGACGGAGGTGCTTTTTGTTTATTAACAATGCTATATACTATACATTATATATATGTATAAAAAACCCATTGATTTGAAGATATACAATCTATCTATATATATTTTTTTCATTTTAAAAAAAACAAACAGAAATCGCTTTTAATATTATTTTTATTTGCATGTGGAAACTTACGTATTTCATACTTTATGCATGATTTTTGTTATAGCATATTTACGACGCTTTTTGTCATTATTTTTTTTTGGAACCCTTTATGCTTTGGTTATTTTTGTTATTTTAATTCTTTTATTAATTAGAACAAACAAATTTTATTCTAAAAGAAAAAGACACTATTATTATAGATACTATATTTCATGAAGATGTCGTTCTTCTCTACATTATTAACTTTCTCTTATTTGTATCTTAACAGAATGATACCTACAAATACAAAGGTGCCGTTGTTCTGAGTCACTATTCGCTTTTTATTGAAAACTCAAGTAAGCAAGGTAGACCTTGGACTTTCTGTCTTCGACTTGAGAAAAAAACTGATGAGGAAAATGCTAAACCTGAATGTTTTAAACTCTATGCCAGAAATTTTGAAAGTCAAGGAAGATGGCAACATGCCATCACAGAAGCCCATAACCATACTATACCTATGAGAGCACAAGAAAAAGGTCACGACTTTTTAATGTTCAGTTATAAAGATCCAACTGAATGCTCCTTCTGTAAAAGATTATTAAGAGGAGCTTTTTACCAAGGATATAAATGTAAAAAGTGTGAAATAAATTTACATTTGGAATGTGTAAATAATGCCAGAAAACCCCATTGTGCTGCAACGATAGCATCGGACACACATCAAAATATTACCACCGTCAGAGCCATAGCTGATTTTCCTACTAGGAGTATTTTGGAAAATGGTGATAGCAACACCTACTTAACTTTCAGGAAAGATGATGTTATTCAAGTGATCGACAGAATAAATTCGGAATGGTCGAAAGGAACTCTTAGGGGTCAAGAGGGATTGTTTCCCCTCAACTATGTGCGATCAGTAAGTTTTAATTTTTCAACTATTTCTAAGTTTAAAAATGTATTATTTCTAAAATTATTAACAAAACATATAAAAAAAAGATTTTCTATTAAATAAAAAATCCGATAGCTTTCTTTTTTACTTTCTTGTAAAACATTCTGTTGAAGAATTGCGGGTGTTTTTTTTGTTTTCTGCATGAAAATTTAAATAGGTTGACGGTTACGAGCGTACATCGATTATTCAACAAAATGAGAATCGACCGAGAGATTCTACTGAACTTTATAAAGAGATATGGTGAGCAGAACTTTTGTCATGGAGACAGGCGCTTACTAACGCTTCAATCGTCAAAATATTTTTTCTCCTTTTTTTCCTATTTCAGACGCTGTTTATAACTTTATTAACATATGTTGAGTCGATGTTTAATCTAATGAAAGGATCTATAAAACAAATTGTTTTCAATTATCTATTGGTGTAAGACAACATTTTATTAAACGCGCAAAACGTTCATAGAAAATCTTAGATCCTTTTATTTATATTTATTTTTTGTTTATATTAATTTTACCTCAACCTTTCATCTATCCCCATGTTGCTTTTTTTTTCACTATTTAATAGTTACACGACTGCGAAAGAAGCGAGTCATATCGCGAGACACGCCCTGTTCGACCTCCTTTAGTGCCAAATCGGCGGAGTGTTGATCCATCCGATATGATATCCAGTCGACGCGAAAATCAGTCAAATCTGGAAATGCTTAATTACCCTTGGTAAGCTTGTCTTTGCTTTTTAATCTATCTGGCTATCATCTATTAGAAATAACATATATCGTATGTTCTTTAATGAAATTTGCTTGGTAACAGACGCGATAAACCTCTTGTTCTATCCGTAATGGGAATTTTATCGCATTTGGTTCCAAATAAATTATCGTAATTGTTCCTGTAATATTTTATTTTTTATTTATTTAGGTTCATTGGAAAAATGACGAGAGATGTAGCTTGTAAAACATTGATGAATTCACCAAGCGGAACATTCCTTGTAAGAGAAAGAGAATTATCTGGCTACGCCTTAAGCATTAAGTTTGAAAATTCTGTGAAACACATTAAGATACATGACACAAATTCAAGAGAATACTACATAGCAGAATGCAAAAAATTTACTTCCATCAAATTACTAGTTCAATACTACGAATCGAATAACCTGAAGCACTCCTTTGCAGAGTTAGATACAACCCTTGAACAGGCTTATCAGCAACCTCCACCACTCCCTCCCAGTACTTCGCATAGAATCCCAATAATCGGCAAGTGTAGAGTCGAATTCAACTATTCAGCAACTGCTCTAAATCAACTTACTATCCATACTGGAGAAATAATTGAAATAATATCTAAAGCAACTGATTCAAGAGGATGGTGGAAAGGTAGATTGCATGGAAGTATAGGATATTTCCCGCACTCTTTTGTTACAGAACTAGAACAAAATGGAAATTAATAAAAATGATAAAAAAATTAATTTCCATAGTGATTTAATCAAAATAGAAGGAAAAAAAACACAAAATACAACAAAATATAGAAGCTAACTAACACTAGATATATGTTAAATAATTTTTCACCAATAATAAAGTTTTTTTAACTTGGAGAACGAATGAAAATGAGCTTGGCTAAGGATATTCTTCTTTATTTTTTTTTTTTTTTGTATTCAATCATGTTTGTTACAAATTGTACTCTTTAATGTACGTCCCTCCCTCTTCCTCACAATACGAATGAACGAAAGAATCTAACTTCATCGCTATTTAAAAACAAGAGAAATTTTGGTTCGCATTAAGCACATATCTTTCTTTGTATGTGAGAAAGTTCATTTGTTAGAAATAAACAATACTTTTTGCTTAATAAAAGACTAAAAAAATAACAAACTATAAAATTATATATCTTGTTAATTGTTCTATATTAGTTTCTCTCTCTCTATCTCTCTCTCTCTATATATATATACTGTATATATATATATCTTTCTCACGCATTCATCCTAATGAACTGTCTCCCCCATAAAAACTTCCATTCGTTGTACTTTGAACAAGTACGATAGAGGGCAGTAATTGTCAATTTATAAAGATTAGTATATAAATCAGACAATAAATAATGAATAAATGACAATAATAGCAATATTTTACGGGTTTAAGATATTTTAATAATATTTAATAGATCGTTTTCGTCCGCTACACAAAAAGGAATGATTATACTCTCTCTCTCTCTCTCACTCTTTATATATATATACAGTATATACAGTATATGACTATATATAGCTGTTTGGTCTATTAATCCATTAATTATATTTGTTCTGGACCTAATTTAGACGATCAAAACATTAAACGTTTATTCAGGTCATATATAGATAACATTTAAGCATAAAATTTGACTTTTTTGTATTTTAATTTTTATATTTTACAACAAAAGGTCAACAATATAAAAAGTGTGACTTGTCTTACTCTTTACTGCTTTTAGCTAGTAGTAAAAGTCCATTTATGATATCGTCCTACATTATTCAGCCGTGATTTACTCTTAACTACAAATCTTCCATATTACGTATTGTTCAGCATTCGTGACCCCAAAACGTAGCTAGGCGGAAGCTTTTAAAAAATCCCTCTCTTTTGCGGTTATGTAAATAAACGAGTTTTTATGTAAAATGAATCATATCCTCGTATGTTACGTAAAAGTTTGAGCTAATTTCATTGAAGAATTCTAAAGAAAAGGAAAAAAAATACATAAAATGTTTAGATAAAAAGGAGTTACTTTTGGACTCTTTTATGTTATTCATACAGAATAAAATGTACTCAAAATCCTTTTATTAATAGCGACCTTGTCATACTTTTAATTAGTCATTAAAATTGAAAATTGATTATAAAAAGTATACATTTTATTTAATCATCAAGAAGAAAAAAAGAAACAATAATACAATAAACACTTACTGATGTTTAAAAACTACTATTAAAGTTGATGAAAAAGGTTTATCTATTGTCTATTTAAATGTATTGTAGATCCATGCTATCAGTACTTGACCTGACAAAAGGGTCAATTATATTTGATGAGGAATATTTTTTTCTATATCATTTTGCTATCTTACAGTTCCAAAATATGTAATTTTGAAGAAGAGAGAGAGAGAGAAAGATATATATATATATATATATATATTTATAAGAATATATAAATCCCGTTTGAACAGTGTGCTTTGTCTAATGAGTTTTTTGGTATCATAGAATTCAAATATTAACATTTAATATAGACTAACCTTAAATATATTTATTGATAAGCTTCAATATTGATCACGTTTAATAATAAATTATACAATTAATTACTTTTTTATTAAATATGATATTCTAAGTGAATAGATATAGAAATGGTAAATTATAATTCTTTCTTTCTTACTTACTAAATACTCTATATTAGTCGTTCTCTTTAAGAGTATATCTACTTTGAGTGTCAACTCTCACGCAGGTTTTTTTTTCTTCACATATACAACATTCCTTTACTAATAATCGATCTTCTAGTCAATTAAAAACGTCAACATAAATAACTATAGAGAAAAACACATACTTATGCATGCCATTACGAATTATGATTTTCGTATATTGTCTCTTTTTAAATATTTCATTAGATCTACGCAGATATACTATCTACTATGCTTTATTCTCATTTGTAATAATTAATATATATATATATATATATATTGTATATAATTCGACCTCCTTTTCTAGTCAAGTATCAATAAATTGTCTTTATAATGAATGAGTAAATAACTGCAAATTACTGGGCAAATAGACACATCTGACCTAGTTAGCTATTTTTTTTTAATTGTTGAAAATATTTTCTTAAAGAGTAGTTTCTTTCCCTATTATACTGTTAACGGTATTGAATTATACAATATGACATTTTCACTCTTCCGTAGGAGATTTTTTTTCTATTTTTAATGAAAGGAGGCGTCGGGTAAGCGGGGATTTTTTTTCCCTGTTTGTTATACCTGGAGAGCTTCAAAAATGCCGACTATTTCCGTTATTAAAAAAAATATAAAAAAGAAATCTTATCTTTTTTAGTAAATATTAGAAAGAAGAAAGAGAGACAGAAACTTTTAGTTAACTTAATTACTTATTACTTTATACATAGTTATCCATTGTTTAATGTTTAAAGTTTTTTATATTCTTTTTTGTATTTTTTAAAAAATCAAGTTTTCTTTCTCTCTCTCTTTCTACTGTTTAAACATAGTTGCCATTTTGTCAATTGTCTTTTTCCAAACTATAAATAAACTTTAACATTCCCTTAGCATCAATAGTAACTTAAATAAATATTGTCTTTTCGTTTACCTTGGAATTTTTTATTGGAATTCGATATGTCAATATATTTATTTTGTTGAAACTTTACTGCGGACTATATTTATTACTTAAAAAATATTACATTATTCATTATCTTTTGAAATTCTTTCCTCATTCCTAATTTCCATTTAAGGTAACTTTAGGCCTATTCCAAATATTTGGGGGCGGAGTTAATCACGTCGTTTTAAAAAAAACTCCTAGTGACACCTAATAACAGCCGAAGAAAAAGTAGTTCTTTACAAAAATCTTTACTTTTTTCGAATTTATTTTTTTTTCATAAAAATTTAATTATAAAGGATAGATAACTATTTTTTAAATTTCCATTTCTATAAGTAAGAATGAGTAAGTCTTAAAAATATACGCGCAATAATACTAAATAACACGAACCTGTAAGTCGGCCATCTTGCAAATTCGTCTTACCACTTAGCCGGAAAAGAGGATTACACATACAGTAAAACATGGCTAATCCATCAACCGGTGTTCTAGGTCAGCTAAAAGATCGTATGAATAAACTGAAAACAGAATGTGAAGAATATCGTCAAATGTACGAAGACGTTTGCGCTGAGATGAAGAAGAAGGAAGAGAAGTGCAATGAAGTTCGTTTTCGAGACCTAGAATTTCTCTTTAATAAGTTTTTCTTAAATTTAATAGTTGGAAAATGAGAATATGTCGTTGAAAAGAACTCTTGGAAGAGTTGAAGAAGAGGCAACACAGTACGAAAAGCGTCTGCAAACAACTACTGAAAAATTGCAGGAGGTTACTAACGCTGTAGATGAGAGCGAAAGGTAAAAATCTTATGACAGTTCATATTAGTAAAAAGATAAGATTATAAGGATTTTTAAGATGCCTATTTAAGGATTTTTTTTTTATTGGGCGTGGAATGTAATTGGATAATGCAGGATTGTTATCTTCTCTATCAAAAGCAAGTAGAATATTAGCTTAGAATTAGACAAAGGGGCAGATATGTTATTTTTAAGTCACATTTTTTATATTTTTGATAAGACTGGACATCAGACTACATTTTTTTGTAGAAATATTCCAGATAAAAAAATTTAATATAGAGAAATTTAATATTAAATTGTAAGAAATGCACTTAAAGAATCGAATATTATAATGAAAAACATATTCCTTGTAGACTCATTGCTTATAATTTACTTTTTCTCTATTCAATTGAAATTGAGAAGAGGAATTTTTGTATACAAATGTAGGGATAACACTTTCCAAGCATTTCTGAATAACAAAGCTGGGATATTCAATACAGATGGCTTTTTTATACAGGCCTATTTTTCCATTTTATTGAGTCTCGGAGAGGGTTAAAAGAGCTTTCTATTGCTCAATGCCATTTGATATTGAATATAATCACCATTTTTGCACGTTTATATATGATAATATGGATAAGCTTAGACTTTATTTGATTATTTGATGTTGGGAGTGGAAAAAAGAGTTTTTTTTTCGTTTTAGGGCCAATGACACCAGGCTATCTGTTTTTATCAATATTTATCTTATATTAGCTAAAATATATATGGATATAATTCTAACTGGTATGAAACTATTTAAGGATTACGGAAACTATAGTAAAATATTTTCAATTACCTAAAAATAAATGCAATTCATCAATATGTCAGATGATAGTTCTTAGGGAGCCTAAATTTCAAATGTATGACATTACAATGTTAATAGCATCTGTAATTAATGCTCACCAAATGTTACTATTGTTTAAATTGAGAAATAGATTAGGCCTAACCAGACTTGTTATCTAGAGCTAGAAGAACTTTGGAGCGCCGTTTAGAATTTGCTGAAGACCGCGTTACTCAGCTAGATGACGATGCAAAGCAATCACGTTTGATTGCAGAAGAACGCGAGCGGATGTTTGAAGAGGTAAGAATGAACTGAAAAATCTAATTATTTTTCTTCTATAATTTAGAAACAATCGGACAGCGTCTGCACAACGCGATCAAGCCGAGAGTAGGTCTATGGAGTTTGAAGAGAGGTGGCGCCTAGCTGAAACCGATAAGCATAATGCGGAAAAAAAGCTAGAGGAGGTTTGCAAGCAAAACTCTAGCCAAACCTCTATGAGCTGCTGCGCTTTTACAAATGCTATATTCACTTCGGCATTTTTCAGGCTTATCTCATTAAAAAAGACTGGTACGAATGTTGGGCTGCCGTTTAAGATTTTCAGCTGTGAAAATCATATCCCTACTAATTACTTGTTTTACCAAAAAAAAAAATTTATAAAGATGTAACGAGAACTGAGACCAAGACCAAGTTTAATAAAGAAGTTAGAACCTTAGGGTATTTTCATTAAATTTAGGTAATTTCTTACCCAGTGAGTTAAGAATGAAACCTCGTTACATTTTAACAAATTTAAAGCTTTAATGCTTATTATAGATATGGCAAATATTTATAAATATTTATATACAGTTGCAACTAAAAGAAAAACTATTCGATTAACTGTCTCCTTATTTTACAGCATGAGCAGCATTGTTTGACATTTCTAGTTCTTTATTAGTTTGACTCCGAAAAACTGTTACTACCGACATGTACTGAATTTACAATTCTTTCAGGTCGCCTGCAGATTGAAGAGTACTGAAGAATCACTCATGCAACAAGAATCGAAGGCTGACTCGGCTGAAAGTAAAATTAAAGATCTGGAACGTGAACTTCACGGATTAAGTTCTAGCTTGAGATCTTTAGAAATTGGAGAAGAAAAAGCTATGAAAAAGGAGAATTACTATGAAGAAACGCTTAGAGATTGGAAGTGTAGATTGAAAGAGGTAATTTAAATGATATTTATTATCGTTTTAGTTCAAATCAAAAATATATCGCGTCTTTCACACTGTTCTTTTTTACGATAAGTAATTCTAAACCGAGCTACCGAATCAAATGTTTTTACTAGATTTAACTTTTTTAAAATTTTCTTTTTTTTTTCAGTCTGATGCGCATAACGAAATGCTTGAAAGACAAGTTACACAACAACAACGACAGATTGACCGCTTAGATGGTATAAAAACTATCTTCAATTAACTTTTTTCAAATTATTCATGCACTCTTTTTTCAACAGAGGAACTAATTAGAGAAAAACAAGAATACAAAAAACTTAAGGAAGAATGGGACCGGCTCTCAAGTGAAATTGATAATATTTAAGTCTAACTCTGTCTAGAAGTTGAACCCATATTTACTAATTTACAAAAATTAAAGCCGCTTCCTTATTTTGGAAATGTAGCATATAGTTTATGTACAGAGGCTTTGTAAGCGTTTATTTTTTTTTGATTTTATCGAAATGCTTTCATTTTCTACTGCTACCGCGTCCTATCTAGAATGCTTTGAAATGCCGTAATAAAAATAAAGGATTTAGCTAATCAATTTATTTGAGTGAAACTGTGTTCTTTTTTTTTAACTATTCATAATAAACTACTAAGATTTTAACTAGTCAGAAAAAACTTTTGTTCGATATACTTTATATTCACCATCATATGAACCATATTAAAACCAGTCTATATATTTCACCGGAAGATAAGCTGACACTTCTGTCTTACATTTCCGATTTCATTGATTGTGAAATAATCGTTATTTTAGGTAAAACAGTAGATTTAAATAAATGAAATAATGCCACCGAAGAAAGGAGGTGACAAAGTCAGTAAGAAAACTGAACAAAAGAAAAAGGATAAAATTGTTGAGGTATTCACTAGCCACGTTTTACTTTGCTTAGCGATAATATAAGAATTTCACCGCAGGATAAGACATTTGGTCTAAAAAATAAACGAGGAGCTAAACAGCAGAAATTTATTCAACAAGTTCAAAAGCAAGTTCATCATGGAAACCAGAAGAGCGCTAAACAGCTTGAACTTGAAAAGCAAAAGCTTGGTGGAAAGGATGATAAGAAGAAACAAGCTGAAGAATTAAACATGCTTTTTAAACCTGTCGAACAAAAAATTGGAAAAGGTAAAATTTACTTTCATGTTTTATGTTTATCTAAAATTCTAATTCATAATAATGCACAGTTTTATAGGTAAAGAAACTAGTTAATATTGATTCTAATATATAACAGGTGTGGATCCAAAGAGTGTTGTTTGCGCCTTTTTCAAGCAAGGCCAGTGTGGTAAAGGAGCGAAATGTAAATTCTCTCATGATTTGAATATTGGTAGGAAGAGTGAAAAAAAAAATATGTATTCCGACACAAGAGACGAGGAAGGTATGATATATTATAAACTTTTATATATCTTTAAAGTATCATTTATCACCTTTTATTTTTCAGAAACTATGGATGACTGGGATGAAAATAAACTCGAAGAGGTCGTTAACCAAAAGCACGGAGAAAGTAATAAGAGTAAGCCGAAAACAGCGATTGTAAGTAGTTGAAAGTATATTTTCATCATCTTGCATAGCAGAGAATAATAGTTTAATATCAATAATTCAGATTTGCAAGTTCTTTTTGGAGGCTGTAGAAAATTCTAAATATGGTTGGTTTTGGCAATGTCCAAGCGGTGGAGATAAATGTATCTATAGACATTGTCTTCCTCCTGGATTTGTACTTAAAAAGGATAAGAAAAAAGAAGATGTAGGAGATAAATTGACCTTAGAAGATTTGGTAGAAAAGGAGAGAGCCTCTTTGAGCTCCAAAAATTTGACAAAAGTAACTCTTGAGTCTTTCTTAAAATGGAAGGAACGAAAGCGCAAAGAGAAAATTGCTAAACATAAAGCTGATTTGGACAAGAAGAAGGCTGACTTTAAAGCCGGAAAAGCTCTTGGAGTAAGAATTTTACACATATGTTATAACAAGTTGGACTTATTCATATTATATTAAAATATAGCTTAGCGGAAAAGATTTGTTTGAATTTGACCCAAATCTTATAGAAGGTGATGATGATGCAGTGGAAGATATAGTCTACGAAATACCTAAAGATGAGGTAAACATCTCTCATTTTAGTAATCTGGCATTTATGTGTATATAAACCTTAAATTAAAATATTAACATATACAGGAGGAAGATGAGAAAGTTAGAGAAATCGATTTTAATGATTTGACTTCATTTGCCACTGAGGTTTGTGTTGCAAGTTTATTGAGTAGCTATATTTTAAAAGCACTCGTTTCTTTAGGTTGACAATTCTGGAACTAAAGCTCCAGATCAACGAATTTATGAAATTAAGCAAGAAAAAGCAACTACAAACGGCGAAATCGGTAAATTTATCAAAAAATATATCAATAAAACTATCAATTCGATTTTTTTTAGTTGATAAGGAGGAAGAAAACAGGTTATCAGAAGCTGCAGGAGGATGCGATAAAGAAAAACCAACTGACGAAGCCATTTCACTACCAAAAGAAAATGAGATAGATGGCGTTCCTATAGATGAAAACTTATTTGCGGACGAGGATCTTCAAGATTTAGAAGAAGATTTGGAAACGATTGAATTACAAGGCTGATTTTGGTTCATTGAAGAATATATAACTTTTATCATATTTATATTATCTATTACAAAAAATCTTATTGTTTCAATTTTCGATTGTAATCTATCGTAGGTATTTGAATCTGTTGATACTTAGGTTTACTCGCATCTTTCGAAATACTTTTTAAAAACATACCATTACATTTCAAAACAATCTTCCCGCCATTTAGCCTAAAAAAACTTTCAAATAAGTATGGTTCTGGCGGAATAGAAAGTATCGTCCTTGACATTAGCAAACTTCGTTAGGGATGCGTTCAACAGAACTCCTTCGAAAACAGAAAATCTGCAGATAAAGTTCCTTTAACCAATTCATTTTGAATAAATATGCAAAACCTTGTGAGTGGGTCAAATAATTGCGAAAAGTGTCATTTATTACAGAGAGTAAGTATATATCTCAAATTCGTTCGATTCCTTAATTTGAATTCTCGTGCGATATTTTACAGCAAACTCAATCTCTTGTGAAAACAATAACTAACTTGAAAACTGTGCTATTTAAAGATAGGTGAGATCGTTACTTTAAAATTTTGTAACAATTATTTAAATCAAAAATTTTTTGGCAGACCAATTATTTCAGAAGCTAACGGACTAAAAGAAGAAAGTAAAAAAAAGGATAACACAATTTCTCATTTAGAAAGGTAGCAGCTAATGGCATATTTTTTAACAATACTAATACAATTTTGTATCTTTTAAGCGAAATTTCCATATTTAAAGCTCAAATACAACGATTAACTAGTAGTGAGAAACAAAGCAAGAAAAACGTAAGTACTCTATATGCTTGTAAGCTTTACAATAATAATATAAATACCTATTTATAATATGTAATATACCTTGTTTCCTTACAGGTTGCCGCCGTTGAAACTCTTCAAAAAAAAATTGAAGAATTAGAATTGACAATAAGTGCTTCAGAGGTAAAAATACAAATATTGTTGTTGTTATATTCAAAACACAACTAATTACTAATATACATATATAAATCAATAGTCAAAAGACAAACAATATAAATCCATATTTGAAGACTTTGAAGAGAAAGTTAAAGATTACGAACGTAAAGAAAAACTAATAAAGCAAGAATTAAAAGAAACAAAAAAGAAACAAAAAGATAATAAAGACTACACGAAAACGTAAAAAGCTCTTTTTGATTTTTTATTAAATAAGCATATTAACAATTATTCTTGATATTTAATCTTAGGATCGAAGATCTAAAAGCATCATTACAGGAAGTAAAAAAAGAAAATAGAAGAATATTGGAAGAAAACAAAAGATTGAATATTCAAGATCAATCGTAATAGAAATTTAATTAATTTATTATTTTAAAAATTCATTAAATAATTTTAATTATTATTTTTTCAGCATTAAAGAACTTCAAGAAACAATTAGTAAATTAACCATGAGACGAGACGAGTTGTTTGAAGCTAACGAAACATTCCAACAACGGTTTGTTTATATTTTTTATTTTTTAGAGTAAAATTCAATTAGATGAAATATTTATTTTTAGCATTCAACTACTGGAAGAAGCTAATACGAAATTTCATTCAAGTCGCAAAGATTTTCAAGATATTGTAAAACCAGTAGAAGAGCTCACTGATTGGTCTAATATGTAAGTTATATATATATATATATAAAGACTGTTTATATTTTAAAGAACATATGTAGTTTTTACTTTCACGTAAATTTAACTTCACAGTATTAATGAACTTAAAGAAACTATTAAACAACTGACATACGAAAAAAACCAACAATTAAAAGAATGTCAACTATTGCAAAAGTCCAAATCACACGCTGAAACTGAAGTTGAAGCTCTAAAGATAAAATGTTCAAAATTCCAAGGTAAGTAGTAAATAGTTGTGAAGTCGTTAGCATAGTAATACTAATTCGATTCTATAAGAGAATTTTGCCATTGAATTTTAAATAGTAATTGAGATGATCAGGTGTCACCGTGATAAAATTTTATTTATAAAGGCAAATTTTTCTTTTTTTTCGTCTTTTTGTTTGTAAAATAAGATCTAATGAGACAGCCTACAAAAAGTATAATTAACGCTAGATTTATACTTATTATAACAATCCCAGCCACAAGATAACTGGGCATTATGAATACGTTTACTGTTACATTTTGACTTGTGTAACCATCAGAGCATATATATATCCCAGAGTCGTTTAATCTTATATCCTTAATGATTAAATCATTCTTTACTTGATATTTTCTTGTACTGTTAAAGATGTTTATTTCGGTTGCGGTTTCATCGTACCATGTTATATCCTTAATTATTTTCGAGCTACATTCATATTTTGCTTGTCTCCCAGTACCCCAATTATCTCTCGATGATTTTATCGTGATATTAGATGAATTCGAATGTACACTGAAAATTAACATTAGAATTACGGATAGTTTTAACAATTCGGTCATTTTTTCAAATAAGTCCAGATTTCACTTCTGTTATCATTTACATATCCGATGTTTATCTGATTACGAATTCAACCGATTTAGAACGTTTACTTTGGCCTGCGAAAACAGTCGTATTGAAATATATATAAAGTCTATATATATATACTGTATATATATAAGAATAAAATGACTCATTCAATTTAGACCTATAAGAAAATTTTTTGATACTTTTAAATTGAGCTATTTCTTTTTTATAGATGAATTAAAAATTGCTCGAGATAAATTGGAAAATGAAAGAAGAAATAAAAATTGTAATTTTGCCATTGATAATCAAATTCAAAAACAATTAGAGCAACTTATTTCAAGTATGTTATTCGTATATAAAAATAATAGTCAATGACCGTAATTATTTATATTTCAGTTAATTCGGAAAATATTAAACGACATGAAAAAGATAGGCAACAGGCTGAAAAACGACTTCAAGATGAATTAGACACTAAAAGAGCTCTTGAAAAAATCTTTTTTAATTTAAAAAATTCAACAAATGTCTCTACTATACAACCAACAACTTCGTTGAAATCTCAAACAAAACATATTTTACCTTCTCAACTCCTTCCGCCTCTTCTTTCACCAGCAACATCTTTGCCTCCTCAAGGTCATGGTCAACCTCCTCAACCGACTATAAATTCAGAAATTAGTATTACAACAAAAACATCTCCACCGACGGCTGTACATAGTCAAACCAGCAAGCGGCAATCTCCCCAAAAAAAACCTATACCCAGGAAACCAATTTCATTTGTCCCAAGTTCAACTCCACTTCTACCTCAACCTTTAAAACAACACTCAGAGCAGGAAATAGCAAAACAAGAACAAGAAGGAGTAAATTGTACACCACAGCAACAAGAAACGTCGAAGCATAAAGAACAGGAAGAAATTGTGGAACAGCAGGTTCAAAACCAACAAGATGTAGTAAAACAACCGCAAAACGTCTTTAAAGAAAGTTCTTCAAAACCTCCTATGAGCCGGCAAACTTCTCGAAAATCTCTATCTGACAAACCTGACTATGATTCTCTTCAAAAGAAACAATCGCTTATTGATCCATCCGACATTTTCCAGGAAATGCTTGTTCCACTCTGCCTATCACCATTAAAAACTCAGGTATTAAACTTATATTAAATCTTATTAAACGTTTATCTATTTTCTATTCACTGTTCACGATTTTAGTCACTTGCCAAAGAAAAATCGGACACCTCAGGAAATAGTGAAAAATTCGAAAATCAAGAACCAACTTACAGATCCGTTTTTGATGATTCTGAAAGCAGTGATCAAGATGACTTAGATGAGGACTCGGACAATTCGGTTGAGGATATGAATGTAGACTCAGAGGAGAACCATGATGTTGAGCTGCCGAATCGGGCGAATTGCAGCGAAGACGAAAAGAGTATTGGAGTAACAAGCAATATAGAGCATTCAAAGGATGATCAGGAGCATAAAGTAAAAAATAATACGAACATTGCTGAAGAATATGATATTCCAAGCGATACAAATAATATAGAAGATGATGAGAATATGGAGGACGATTACGAAGAGTTGGAAGAGGGAAGCCAGACGAATAATATAGGTGAAGATGAGAAGTTGAACAAAACGAATATAGCTGAGGCCAGTGAGGAAACGGAAAAACCATGCAAGATGAATAACAATATGGCTGCTGAAAAGGAGCTGATAGATAGAAGGAAGCCGAAACATCGGGAAGCGAGTAGCAAGATTGAAGTGGCAGGCAAACAGACGAGTACTCAAGTTACCAAGAGGCTGAAAGTGACAAGTACTATAGATGGTTCTGATGACAGGGAGAAGGTTGAAGCAGCAAGCAAGACTACTAACATGAAAGACAACAAGAAAATTGAAACTGATAACAGCCAGAAAGTTGAAGCAGCAAGCAAGACAACTAACATGAAAGATAACAAGAACATCGAAACTGATAACAGCCAGAAGGTTGAAGCATCAAGCAAGATCACTAACATGGAAGACAACAAAAAAATTGAAGCTAATGATAGGCAGAAGATAGAAGCACCAAGCAAGACTACTAGCATAGAGGAGAACAAGAAACTTGAAATAACAAAATCTCTGAATATCAGTTCGAACAATAGCATTGAAGATGTTCGAATGAAAGAAATTAACGAGGAAGACAGTAATCGCCATCAATTAGATAAAGTTAAAAGTGAGAATGAAGCCAAAAATCCAATTGAAAAGTCCACATCAAATGAAAAATTATTAACAAATGCCAAAATGGATAAAACTCATGATTCAATCATTAAAGACTCATTAAGTCAAGAAACACCAGAATTAAATGTAGCAGAAGAATATGATCGAACTCTAGATAATTGTATCTCTCACGAAAACGAAAAAGCAGAGCACAAGAATAGTCAACAAGTTTTAAAAGATGAAGATAAAGATACACTTGAAAATTACACTGCACCAATTTTATGTTCTGATGATGATACCGAAGAAGAACAATTAGTTATTGATGAAGGACTGAACACCATTGTGGAGGAATGGGGAAATAGGCAGAGAAGAAAAAATTTAAATGATGACCCAATATTTAAAAATTTTGATGAAAATCTTGATTCCTCAAATGAACAAACAACGTCAGAAAACACAAGAGGAAGGCAAAAACGAAAAATGGTTATATCATCATCTCCTGAAAAAGATTTGGCGAGTGAAATTTCTGCTAAAAAGCCAAGATTAGATGTGAAGTTTGAAAAAAATATTTCGACTAGCAATCCAAATGTTGATAAATCATCAGAAAAAACTCTTTTCAATCAGAATATTAAAATTGACAAGCCATCAGAAACAATTTTACCACATTTTGAAAATGGTTTAGAATTAAAAATTCGCATTAGTTTACCAACTTTAGAAGAGAAGAATATCGATAAATTTATTGAAAATATTTCAACCCATATTCAAGATATTAGTAAATTAGTCGATGCAGCTTTCGAAATTGTAGCAATTCACGGAAAGAAATCTACCCTGGATATATTTCATCGAATTCAATCGAAATCATTTAATAAAAATGAATGGACACCTGTTTTATACTTTTATGAAGAGCGTATGATAATTGTTACTCAACATATTTTAAAAATGTTACCCGACAAGGTGAATTACTTATATTTTTTAAATGTAAATTTTTAATAATTATACGTTTTATGATTTTCAACAGATGGATGAATTAAAGACGATAATTGTACCCAAGACACTTGAATTTATGACTGTTAATAATGGTGATTGCGATAGAAAATCCAGTGTAATGTAAGTATTATTACACATTTTTAAAAAATATATTATACCTTTATACCCATCTTTACAGACGTTATGTTGCTGGCCTATTGAGGGTTTTAAATGAAGATGTTATATGTAAAAATTTAATTGTGAGCCTTATTGAAACAAGAATATTTTCTATAGACGATTTACTGATAAGTATTGCAGCCATTTGGCCGGATATCTTCAATAAAAATAAAGGTATTTAGGCTATTCATAATTTACATTATTATAATACTGATTGAAAATCATTTTACAGAATGTTATTTATTAAAAATACTGGAATTTAGTTGGACTTATAAATTAAAATCAAGGCCTACGTCTTATATAAAGCACAGAAATATTATTAGACAGCTAATACAGTGGAAACCTCAACATAAAGCAAACTTGGAAAAATTATTAAAAGAACTATTTGAAAAAGACTGGCCATGTGTTCAACATTGTGTAATTATTTGGTTATCATTGATCGATCATCGGAAATTACGGACTTTATGTCTTGAAAAGCTATTATCTGAATTGAAGAATTCAAATTTGGAAGATTCTCTCCCAGCTATCGTTAATATTTGTTATTGTTCACGCCCAGCTGACGAAACTTTTAAAGCAATTTTAGACTATTTACTTGAAAGACTACGCTCTTGTCCGGAATCAGAATTTGATCGTCTTAAAATGCATATATTAAAGATTGGAGATCTTATTGATCCAGAGAGGGTAAAGCCTGAAGCCCTAAATTTGATAAGAGATACATCCTAGGTCAAGGATTTTCTTTTTTTCTACTAAAATTGTTTTCAATTGTCTTTTTACGTCTATAGTATGGATTACGAATATTTTCCATATTGTTAATAAAAATCTGCACACTCTCATGCAAACGAATTATGCCAAAAAAACCACTTTTTGCTGTCTATTTCTTTAAATATATATATAAGAATATTAAAATAACACATATATGCAGTATACAGTATACAGCATATATATACTGTATATCATATTTGCATAAATTAAAATAAGCAAATTATACTTTTTAAATTAGTAAAATTTGCAATAAAAAGTATTATATAAGGAAAAAAATGATAAAGACATACACATATTATTTCATTGTAACAGTTTCTTTTTTTTAACACTTTGCTAGTCGTGCGGATATAACTCCTTTAGCCAAGGCCTAGCTATGTATTGAGCCCCGTCCCAAGATTCAAAATGTTTATCCGTTTGCGGGTGCATTACCTTTGTATTGGAAACAATTTCAATATTTTCTTCTGCCACGTATGTCGTTTGTCCATCAGGCCTATCTCTTGTATCGACTATTATCGAGTAATTAGGATAATCCCTCCAATGCTATGTAAAAGCATAAATGTTGTTAAAAAAAAATCAAGAATATTAAAATATCTATCAACATACTGGTTTATCTGGAGGATGCATTTGTCTTAGCCATTCTTCCGGCGCCTTTTTAAAAAACTTGAATTGTTAATTTACATATTGAATTAATAAATGTAAAATATTCATACTCTTGCTCTAACATCCCAACCAACAATTATACCCCTATAGCCCCATTTCTTGTGCTTCATAACTTGACCGATACGATATTTAACGTGCGCTGGTCTTGGACTTCTAACTTCTGGAGACGCTGTTGAACAATATTTCGTAATATAAAAAAAGGTTCTGATATATTTGTTATTATTTCTATTTACAAGCAAAATATCCGTTTGGATCTTTCATCTTTCGAACTTCAACAGCAGGACTCTGACCGAAGCTTTCACCACCCATTTCTTTCTTATTCTTCGCGGCTTTATCTACTTTTAATTTTCGCTTTTTAAGTCCTGAAAACTTTAAAATAAGTTCTTTTGACCAGGTTTTCCAAGAATACAGAGAGAGATATTTGTCACTGAATGTTCTTATCGATCGAACCAATCTTTAGAAAAGAAACGCTTGAATATCTCTAAAGGTAATTTTAAATTAAGACTTACTGTTTAATCGATTGTGTTTGTTCAGTCGCGGTATTTGAAGAATACTTAGTTACTAAGTACTGTACGGGAACGAGCAGAAATATAGCAGAGAATTGCAGTAACGCTCGTCGATCAAATATCATATCCTCCAATAGATCTGTTTTGGAAACGATATTAAAGATCACTACGAAACGTAAACGATGCCAAATTACGTAGCAATGTTTTTAAATAAAGTAAAGAACGTGATGCCAACCAGAAGCTTGTGCTCGCTATCATTCAATTTTACAATTGACAAGTGAGCTTCAGAGCATCCTATGTTCTAAATTTTAGAGTAAAAAATTAACGAATCATGTGTTGCCACGTATTTTTTATATATAAAATTTCGTAGGTAAGCCTAAACTATGTTACCTGGGAATTACGCAATTTTTACTGCAAACTTTTATAATAAAATATCCTTTTTTCGGTTATAAGATTGAATACTGAGTATATCGCTGAAAAATAAATCAATCGGTTTAAATTCAATTAAATTTTCTGAAGTTTACTTCCCCACTTGAGATATTTTTAGAGAGCTTAAATTTAGAATTGAATAACATTTGAACATGACATATTTGTTATTTTCACCTCAATATATATTTATACATCTGTACATATGTAACATACATATGTACAAGGATCATATTACACAAATTGCAACATAGTAAGAATAAAACCATACATTATTTAGTCATACCCATCATAGTATTTCCTCTTACATAAATATTAAGTATAAAATCCTCAACTATTAGTTAAAAGTATTATTATAGTCATAATGGATAATTCGTCTAGTAACCGGGAGCATCCGTTAGCTTTAAAAGGTAAAGAATTGTTTACTAACAATGTTTGTATCCATGTGAAAAATTTGGTAAAATGTATGGGGTTATTTACATATATAAAAACTACTCAATATGTATCGAAAGAATGAAATAATATAATTGACAGTGTAGCTAAACCAACTATTTTCTTGTTTAGTTATGCGTCTAACGAAGCCAACTTTTCTAACGAATCATATAAATCCCAACGAAACAAGGGATCTTCCAGGAAAAGCTTTCGATCAAGCTGCCAAAAGTAACATGACTCTTATAGAAAACAATGAAGAAATATCTCTAAGTAAATTTTTAACACTTCCACAAAATTTTGGGTAAGAAATGTTCTTTTTTTCTATTGGAATATTTAAAAAAAACAGAATGATTATAATTTTAATGTTTCATTTGAAAAGGAATATATTTTTGGGTGAAGTATTCTCCAGCTATATAAGCGTTCATAATGACAGTAAACAAGGCTGTAAAGACGTATTCGTAAAGGTAAACACATTAGCCTATCCATAAAAAAACAAACAACAAATAAGCAAACAAAATCAGTGTGTTGTTAAATAAACACTCTCTATTCTTACCAGACTGACCTTCAAACAGCAACAAGTTCTACCAGAACAAATTTATCAACGACGCCAATAGTTGCCGAATTGGGATCTGGGCAAAGTATAGATGACGTTATTAATCACGAAATTAAAGAGCTTGGAATGCATATGTAAATGAGAATATTATGAAAATAGTCCTCTCCCCTCCACTCGTTAATATTCTATTATTTTTCCAGTCTAGTCTGCACTGTTCAATATAATACGCCGTCTGGAGAGAAAAACTTTAAGAAATTCTTTAAATTTAATGTAAACATTCATCAATTACACTGATATATCATATTACGTAATTAATTGTTTATATAGGTCCATAAACCTTTGGATGTTAGGACAACATTTTACAATTCTCCGTCAGATGAAATGTTTTTAGAGGCTCAGATACAAAATTTAACTTTAAGTCCTATGTATTTAGAAGAAGTTTCTATGCATCCCAGCGAAAATTTCTTGGTAAAAGAATATAATGCGTTCCAGTAAGTTTCTATTATTAGTTCTAATGAATAATCTCGATTTAAAATTAGATTTTTCTTTTTATTATTCAATTAGACAAGAAGAAGATAATCTTGCAAAATTAATAAATGCTCAAGATGTTCATCAATTTTTATATCGTTTCAAACCAAAACCTCACTTATATGCTGATCATAAGTTATTAAAAGGTATATTGTATTCATTGATAAATGAGTATATATACAGTATATATATATATATATATAAGTATATATGTACTTTCAGCTAGTACTCAAATAGGAAAATTGGATATCATATGGAAAACTAGTTTAGGTGAAAGAGCACGGTTGCAAACAAGTGCTCTTCAAAGAGCGGTAAAGAAATTCTTCTAATAATTAATTAGGTCATTATTAAAAAATAACATGTGAAATATAGGCACCAGATTTTGGTGATATCAGAATATTTATAGAAGATATTCCAACGTCAAGTAAAATTGAAGAAAAATTTACAATTCAATTAAAAATTATGAATTCAAGGTTTGAGTTTTTATTCACTTTTGTAGCAGATTTTAATTAATAGATTATTAATCCAAATATTGTTATTTAAATAGTGAAAGATCAATGGATCTCAGAGTTTTCTTTCATCATTCAACATCCGATGGTATTCAATGGTGCGGAAAATGTAACCATGTACTTGACACACTTCCGTCTAATGGGTCTATTGTGCTAAATTTTACGCTCTTTCCAATGAAACTAGGAATTCAGGTGAGAAGAGAAACTAAAGGGATAATTTATGTAACATTACGACACCCTTTTACTTTTTACTGAATGCTTTCATTTTTTAGCCTATTTCCGGTTTAAGGATATTGGATACGTTTTTAGGGCGTTTACACGAATTTGACGAAATTGCAACAGTTTTTGTCTACAATGATAACGAGAGTAATACAAAATTATTAACAATGCTTAATAATAATAAATGAATTGTACAGTTCATTTTTATCTCTACGATAGAAATTAATAAATTGCATCAAAAATTCATATTTTACCGTTATTTTTGCCCAATTAATAGATTAGCATCAAAATGGATAAAACTTGAATTTACATTGCACTTATCATTATAGTTTATCTTAATGAATGAAGAAATGAATTCAAGTCAATGAATGTATTGCGTAATACGAAATTTTAATACGGCGTGTCTGACACCTATCGGATAAGTCTTTGAATTTTTTTATCTATTAAATTGCGATAAATCAGCAAATTGAACTTTAATACAAACATTTATTAAGTATGGTTCATTTATTTATTATAATTTGAAAACTTAAGCAATTATAATTAGCATTATTTTGGAAAGTTTTAAGTCTTTAAACTCGTCCAAAGTTGACACCCCTTATCAGCCCTTACTACGTTTGTCGTCTGCTTGGTGGAATTTCTATCACTTTGTGTCGAAAAAAAAGCGATGATAAGTAGTTATAAAAGCGATATTTCGAAGTTAAATGGCAAAAGAGAGAAAGGTTCAAAACAAATAGTAAAAAAAGGACCCTGGTCCAACTCGGAGGATGAAGCTTTGAAAATCCTAGTGAATAAACATGGGCCCAAAAAATGGAGCTTGATAGCTGAAAAGATTACTTATAGAACTTCGAAACAATGCAGAGAGAGGTGGCACAATCACTTACAACCGAATATAAGTAAAGCTAGATGGACTATGGAAGAGGATGATTTGATATGTAAATTACATGTAAAGTATGGTAACAAGTGGACTATGATCGCAAAACATTTGTCTGGTAGGACAGAGAATGGCGTTAAAAACAGGTGGAATTCCACACTTAAGCGTAAGATGACAGACAATAGAGAACAAGAAGACGACGAATTTCCCAAGTTCGAAGACGAAGTGACAGTAAACAAGGAAAACAGTAAGCCTAACACTGAAGCAGTTAATAGAGTTATTCCCTCAGTGATACTAGTTTGCCCAATTATGAACAGTAGTGTTAGTGAAAAAGAGGAAATAAATTGTATTGGTGGACAACTTTCTCCCAAAACACCTAAACGAGAGAAGGTTCGTAGACAGCATTTTATAAAGTTCTTGGCGCCTTCACGACCTTGTGTATAATCCCTCATTAAATTTCTATCATTTTATCTCACAACCGAAAATGTAACCGCTTTAACTTTGCAGGAACTGCCTCAAGTTTTTCCCGACAAATCACCCCTTATTAATATTGCAAAATTGCCAACTACACCAAAGTTTTCAATCAGCCGCGGTGACACTCAAGAAGTTAACGACGAAGAAAATAAGAAACCTTTCGATACGTTTGAAACTCCAGTATGCATTATTTACTTTTAAATTACTTTATAAAATATTTATACTATATAACTTTGCAGAGTAAATCAGTTAAATTGGATAAAAGCTTTTTTCTTTCTCCGTTAATCAACGAAAAAGATATGGAACCTCATTATCTAACTACAACTACAATCCTTCCTCCAATGAAATCTCCAGCTCAAATTTCTTTCGTTAACGATCGCGACAATCATACGGAAAGTTTACGGAAGCAATGGAAAACGGCTAAAGAATGGCGTAGAAAATACCTATTGCCCAAAGGTGATCGATGGTGTAAAATGATGTGCCAGCAAAACAATGCTAGTCCTCTTTTTCATTATATAGAGAGTATTATTGATAGACTTAGGTAACTTTATAATTTTAAGACAGACTCCCCAGAGTTTTATGTTAGTTTTTTGAATAAGCTATTCGATAATACGTTTCGTTAAAGCAACAATCTTTAGCGTATTTAGTCTGCTATTTTCATATTAAAAATGTAAATTGCAAATATTTAAAATTAAGGTGCAAGAAATGAAAAATTTAATAATACAAGAAACTTTACGTCTTCAACGAAAATTTGCGAATTCATTGAAATACCTTAGGGATTTTTTGATATCAAATACAAGGTTTTTTCCCCAGTTAAAATTTCTTTTATTTCTCAAAATGTACAATCGTCCGCAATCAGAAGTATGTAAATTTTCAAGCCAATTGATCAAATAAAAAATAATAAGTTCATTCTTCAGAATGTACAGTTGATCAGTGCATATAAGATACCATAAAAATTTAGTTGTCTATCACATTATTTCAATTTCTTAGTGCTTGCAATCTGTAAAAAAAACGCGGAATATAGATTAATTAACTATATTTTAAGATTCTAGAATATATGAAATTAGAATTATCCCAACGGCGTTTGCCGCTAATTAATATATGTATATATAGGGTCATTAATTTCAAGACTTACCGTCTAGATAAAGCATCCTCAGCATTTTTAGAGCCAACCGATTCTCCAGGATTGGTTACAGTTGCTGACGGTGCTTGATGCATTTGACCTGTCAATTCTAGATCGTTCTCATCTGCAACTTGCTTAATTAAAGCTTCAACAGATTCCATTGGAGTCGACAGCGTAGTTGCTTCACCCATTGCTCCTTCCACAACATTCGTTCTAACGTCTAAATCTTCAAATTGAGATTCAAACTTTTCCATAATAGAAGATATTTTCGTCAAATCCATACTGGCCATAGCCCGATCAAGAGCTTTTGTTACACCACCTATTTTTTTAGCTATATCCTTCATAGCTAATCCCTGTTTTACTCTGGAGGCTACGCCATCAACTTTAGCCGAATAACGAAGATAATTTAAACTTTCATTCTTCTTGCGGATGGCATTTTCTGCATATATTTTTGCTCGTTCTAAATCCTTTGCGGCTATATACTGAAATGATATAATGATATAATGATATTGTAAGATCGTCATATTACTCTCATCTAAAGTTTATAAAAGAAGAATAAAATGAGTTATATTTTAGATAAAAGGTAAAGCTTCCTCCTCCATTAAATCATAGTTAAGTGTGACTCATACACATTAATTCAAAAAAGAAATATATACATATTTTTTAATTAAGTTATATTCGCTCATTTGAAAAGATGGAATTTTTAAAGATGATACAATAAAGTTTCATGTTATGTTTCAATAGAAATTTTCAATAAGGATGAAATACCTTTTTGACTTTAGCTTGCTCAGATTTTTGTTCTTTCTCCGCTTTACGGGACAGTCGATCCAACTGTTTAGCCGTAAACTGAAATGATTTATACGATAAAAATAATACTGTAAATTCATATGAACTTGATACAAACCTTCAATTGAAATAGCACGTCTGTAGAAAACAAATAATTTTTTAGATGTATGAGCGATAAAACCGAAAGAAGAATTAAACTTTAGTTAGTTCAATAATAACGCTAGAAAAAGTATACAAACCATCCATATATGCTGTAGGATTTTTTGTAGCGTTTACTAAACAGAATTAAAATGAGTTACTTGCACGATGACAGTATTATTTCAATCTCGATGACTCTGACTCACTTTGATAGTAAAGTAGCTTAATAAACATAAGAAAACTGTTATAAGAAGAAAATGGAATTTCAAAATGGCGTAGACTAATTTTTTTTAAAGCTGCCATTTAAAATTATTTTAAAGTGTACGACTAAATCAATCTTAACTACTATATTGTCCTTACGAACATATCTTCGCCTACTTCTCCTTATTTCGCTCAGACAGAAGGTCGAATAAGAAATCAAGAATTATGACTTTTTGGCGACAAGCAGGGTTAAAGTAAATATACTTTTCACATATATGGATAAAATTAATAATAAAATAGTTTCATTGATAAAAAAATACATGTAATAACATATAAAATCGTATATAGTCACGTCTAAAGAGATGTACTCGTTTCAGCTATATCCAATATTCTAAAATATGCGCCCAGATAGTTAGAAGAAGCCTTAAACCAGAGCAGAGAGTAGAGGCCCTAAAAAGGGACGCAACTACAATAAAAATTACATCATGGAAAGATGGAAAGCCTATTAGTAAGTGATGATAAATTTATCAAATTTTTTAAAAACTATCTCCTTTTTCATTACAGAAGTGGCTCAATAATAAGGACATTTTTTAACTGCTAAATGTGTTAGAACATTCAACTGTAGCTTAAAACAAACAATGTGGTTTTTTTTTAATACAGATCTTAGGATTTTGTATTATTTATTGTGTCAATGTTTTGAAGATTTTTGGTAGGTTCATACAATACGCATGAACACGATATACTTTAAACAATATTATGAAGTATGTGCTTCTCATATGTTTTGGCATATCTTGCATTTACACCTAAATTTATGTTAAGGTGACAAAAATGACCTTCGAACTATCTTTATATATTGACTTTCATGATCTTTGAAATATAGCACACAAATTACTTTTTTCTTAGATAATACAATTTCCTTTCATAACTCTATAGTAACAAATTTATTAAACGATAAGGAAAAATGAATATGAAGTCTTTGCAGTAGAATGAATTCTGAATTTTTATAGTTTAGCATCTAATTCCAGAACCGATTGCCATAAATGTACCAAAAGTTCCGCCACCTTGAATCATTGCTTTTCCAACTTGACCGATTAATTCTGCACCGCGAAATCCCATTCTTAAACCGCCAAATCCACCAAAGATCGCTCCTGCTCCGAGTCCGACGCAAAATCCCATCATAAAGCCGGTTTTTATTTTATTAAAACATGAGGGGCCGTGTTGGCCATAAGCTGATGGAGGAGCTGGCATTTTTTAACTAGACTGTTTACAAAGTATGAACTATTAACTCTGATATTTTATAAAAGTAATATGCCTCTTGACAGAGTGTCTTTCACCGATGGCAAAATATTCAAACACCACCAGGTTATAGCAAGATGAATGACGTCACAGATAGCCGGCGTGTTAGAATAACCACAATATTGATATTATAAATCTCTATTAGATCTTACAAAAATTAATACTTTTCAATAATAAGATGAAGAAGGAGAGAACTTTAAGTAATTTTTTTTAAAGCTTAAAATGGAATTGAATTTATAAGAGATAATACTTGTTAAATTATATTAATAGTGTACATATACCTCTATTGCCAATTGATAAATAGATAGAATAAATCTTTGAATATTATTGAGGGCATAGTTTCATATTATCTTTCCAGATTTATGAAAGTTGTATAAAGCATTTTCTTTTGCATATATAGGCCTTTATTTTAATATTTATTTTTAGATAATCGGAAAATAATATATTATAAATTAGAATGAATGTAGAAAGTCTATGAAAAAAAAAGATTGCAATTCTAACTATTTCGTTAATGAGAACGATGAGTGTAATACTGCGGAAATTAAATCAAAATTAGATCTATTCAAAGTATAAATAGTCATTGACCGCAGTACAGTACAAAAATGTAACTATTTTTTTTATAAAGGTATTCATTTCTATAACGATAACGCTTTAAAACTCTTCAAGTTAAAACTCGATATTTTTGCATTTGAAAAGGAACACGTGATACATTAAAGCGCCGAATAGGTAACCAACAATCATTGAAACTGTAGTGTTCTACTGGAGTGAATCAACCCGTTCAAATTAGCATTTTATTTTTGATAAAAAAAGGTACTATAAAAAGTTTGGAGGAGTATTTTGTTACTTTTTTGTTACTTCTTTAAGCTTGCTATTATGTTAAAATACGACAGGGATCCGGATTACCCTCCGCCATATTGAAATTTGAAAATATCTATGTTAGCTTCTGAAACACGCCTGTTAAAAAGAATCGATTAAATTTCTGTTGATATAAACCATACGAATTTAGAAAGACTCTAGTGATAAAGTGGGTATTATTCCTCAACTATAAATTTAATAGATCTCTAATATAGTGCTATTTGCAGAAAGTAGTAATTTTGGTACTCTTTACCGAAAGATGGAGCTGTAACACGATAAACAAATGCATTTTTGTATTTAAGAGGACTCTAAAACTGATATTATACGTCATTAAAATTAAAGAAATATTAGAAGTCTAAAATAGCTTTAATTTGAACAAGGAAAAGATTAAAACATCACGATCGCCTATGCAAGGTAATTAGTTTTGCCGATTTCAAGTAATTGGAATTTCTATTAATAGGTTGAAAACAATCTGCAAAATATTTATTATATTTATTACATGATTCAGCATAATACTTCAATATTAAATCAAGGGTTTCAAAAAATCGTAGGTTTTTTTTTAATCGACGCCATTTTTAAAATCTACATACGGGATATTTTGGACATAGCATACTTCCAAATTTCCTGAAATTTGAAATATTGGGTTGGTAAAATAATAAAACGAAGTATTAATAATTTATAAAATTTATTTAAAATGTTTCAAATCAAAGTATAGATTTTAGGACATCATATTAAGTTAAATATTTGAAAGTTACGTTACACCTTGGTCTAAGCTAACCATTTTATAGATCTACAATTTTTAACTCGAGCCTACAGGAATTGAATATAGTTGGATATGAAGAGAATACGTTCTTAAAAATTCCTTGTATTGTAAAATATAACAAAATGCAGTCTTATAATTTTCTTTGCAACTTAGTCGCTTTTATATAAAATATGGATTTTTTTTTGTATAAAAGTAGAAAAACTCTTATAAATATGCATATTTTTTAAAATATAAAGTCATTAATCTTTATAGTATATCTTCGAATATTATAATATAATCAAAAGTATTCCGTTTGTTTAATCTATTTTCCATATTTTTTTTGTTTTTATTTATTTTTTTTTAAAGTTTCTATTTTGTATATTCCAGAATCAAAAATGGTTTTAGTACTCATTGACGTTAAAATTGTTCTTTTTAAGAAAGTGCGTTTGATTAATGACAAATTCGTTAAAATCTTTTTTTATATAGATAAACTATTTTTGTCTAAAGAAGTGTTTTTAATAATTTTTTAAAATTTAATTTAAAATTCCCTTTGCTTTAAATAAACTTTTGTGTAATTTTTCAGGTGATAGGGAGCATAATCTTATTTAGATCGACTTAAATGGATCCGGAAAGAGGGAAAATAAAATTTGCCTTCAAAACAAATAGAAAAGAAGATAATTCTAAAAGGGATAGTTCAGGTTGGGGTCGGAGCTATAAAAATGACTATCGAATGGAAAGTGAAAAAGATAGATCTAGAACAGATCGTTCCAGTCGTCATTTTTCCGTATCTAGTATGGAAGAAGAGGATGGAAGAAGAGACTCAATGAGATCGAGATCGGAAAGAGGCCGTGAAGGAAGAAATCGTGATGACTATTCGCATCAAGCGATCGATACAGGAAGAAGAAAGGATGTTGGTCATAATAGGCATGGAAATTATGAAGTGAACAGTGATAGCAGTGAAAATGGTGCCTATTTTAATAAATACAAAAAATCCGATAATACTTGGAAAAACAAGAGAGACGCATCTAACTCTTTCAGTAGCGAACCCATTCTCTCTGATATTCCTTTACCCCCCTCGCGACCAACAGCTAGATCACCTGGCAGAGAAAAGGAGGGTTATTGGCAGGAGAAAGACGAGACTGTACCCAGATCAGATGGAAGCGGTGATCATAGAAGTTCTCGATCAAGTTCACCTTATTCAAAGAGAATGAAGCCTTCTTTTGCTAAATCAGATATTCAAAATTACAACTATCGAAACAGCAGACAGAGTCACGAATATACTGAAAGGAAATCTGACATTAATGAGAGACGTCATTCTGATAGATCAACTGAAAGGAGGCACAGAGATGATTATAGAAAGGAAAATAGTTATTCTGATCTTTCACGATCGTCTGATAAAAAATATCGAGAACAAGATCAGCAAAAGCGCCAAAGAGATAGACTAATATCTCGAGATGATCGCCGTGATGATTATCGGTATAGTCATGTAAATAAAGATGATGAGGATGCACAGAATGATTGCAGCCAATCAATCGAAGAACAAAGAGAGAAAAGTTATGATGCTAAAAGTGATAATGATTTAAATCATACTGATGAGCCTAAAGCTGAGACTCAATTGCAAGCTGAAAATGCCATTATATCCGATAACAAAGAAAAGCCAACTATGGGTGAAGACGACTATGATCCAACTGAAACACTACTGGCAGATGAAGAGCGTCCCCCGACAAAATCTCCTGTTAAAATTTCATTTGCTATTAAGCCGAAGATGGGTAGATCAGTCAATAACGAAATTTCTCCTAAAAAGAGTCCAAAGGGACCAGGTCAAATATCAAAGCCCACTTGGGTAGAAGAAAAAGAAAGTGATAGTGATTCAAGAACCGATGAAAATCTGTATAAGAGCCCCAAGTCTCGGAATAAGCCACCTAAGCTATTTTGGTCGGACGAAAGTGATAGTGAAGCCGAAAGGAATCGATCAAAAAATGAAAGAATTAGCCCAAATGATAGGGGAAAATTTTATAAGAGAGATGATAATGATAGCGAACATGATAGAAGATATGAAAGATTAAACGATAATGAAACCGATAGAAGGTATGAAAAAACAAGTGATAGAAGAAGATCTATTTCTCAAGAAAATTCGTATCGTAGACAAAGAAGGTCTAGATCTAAGAGTACTGAATACAATCATAGAAAATGGAATCCACGAGGTAGGAGTAGATCAAAAGAAGATAGAAGAAAAAATAGATTTAACTTTTACGAAAAGAAACATTCATCATACCATAGAAATGATTATTATGATAAAGGATTAAGCTCTCGGTCTAGAAGATCAAAATCTCCGTATAGACGAGAGTCGTCTTTCAGATATCATAAGAATTATGACAAACGTCGAAGTGGGCCATATCACGAAAATATAAATTCACCCAGGGATAGACGATCGAACTTTTATTCGTCTAATAGTAGAAGTAATGCACACCACGGGGATACTGACTACAGAACTAGGAGGCCATGCGGTCCTTCTTACTCTCCAAGTTATAATCGGAGGAAGACACGCTCGCCCAGCCCAGCCAATGACAAGGATGAAAGAAAGCACACGCCTACTCTTCCATCAGAACATAGAGTAACTCAATCGCACATTGCAGCTAAAGCGTCCTTCAGCTCTTCTAATATGTCATTATCGGATGACGGTCATGAAAAATCGATGCAATCCCCTGTGTCAAATAAAAATGCGGATAATGCAAATGCTGATTTGGGAAAACACGAACAAAACGATAAATTATATGAAAAAATTCCAATACCAGAACCGTCCAATATCGTTAAATCACCAGAAAATAAATTAGAGGCTAAAAAAGAAGGGGAAAATGAACGTAAGAAAGATGAAACTGATAAGCTTTTGCTTGAAAGAGGATTCTCTCGAGCCCCTCCAGTTAATATTGCTCCACCTGGAGTTGTAACCAACTTAACATTATGTACACCAGAAAAAAAAGAAACAACAGAGCACAATAAACAACAAATAATGCAAAATCGGACAGATTATCATAGGAGTTCCCGAAGATCGTCATCAACATCGAGGTCTAGATCAAGATCTTCGTCTAGGTCACGATCACGGTCACGATCAATTTCCAGATCGAGGTATAGTTCTCGTTCTAGATCTAGGAGACGGTACCGATCAAGATCTCGGCAACGATATAGGTCAAGCTCGAAGTCGCATTCAAGATCAAGATCAAGATCTAGATCACGATATCGGTACAGGTCTAGAAGTCGATCTCGATCCAGATCCAGATTAAAGTCTCGATCTAGAACCAGGTCTCATTCGCCTTATAAATCGAAGCGAAGTTATTACAGAACTAGATCAAGGTCTAGAGATAGAAAATATGATAGAGCATCAAGATCTTGGAGTAAAGACTCTCGAAGTTACAGACGATCGCTATCAAGGTCAAGCAGCAGATCCCGCCAAAAGACACCCTTAACAAATCGTAAGGATTCAACACCAGCTTCCGGCCAAACAACACCTGCAAAATCTCCAAGAGGGCCTCCCAAAAAGAGCTGGCTAAGAGATTTTGAAGACCCTGAATCTGATACAGGAAAACCGCAGCAAACAACGCCCGAAAAAGTAAAATCAAGATGGACAAGATATTCTCAAGTGGAAGAAGTTAAAGAGGAAGCCGGAAATAAACCAATTTGCCATACTATCGGATATGAAGAAATAATAGATAATTTATACTTGTGGGTTGATAAGTAAGTCATTTATATTTCTTTTAACATCCAATACTTTAATTTTTAATAAACTACTAAATTTTAGAAGGAAACGAAAAAAGCAAAATGAAGATATGCAGTGTGAATGTGATCCTCCAAGTAAAGATGATATTTTAGAGGGTATTAAAGGATGTGGAGATGATTGCATAAATCGAATGTTACAAATTGAATGGTAAATTCAATTTATTGAAAATTGCTGATAATTATAAATTATTGCTCATAATTATTATTATTTTTTTAGCAATCGATCTCAATGTAAATGGAAAGATTTGTGCTCAAATCAGAGATTTAGTAAAGTAAGCTTAAATAAGATTTTCCAGTCTAGTTTTAATATTTTTAATAAACAAAAAAAAACAGCATGAATATCCTAAAACTGAAACGTTTGATGCTGGACTAAAAGGCAAAGGTCTTAAAGCTCTTGAAGATATATATGCGTATGTTTAATTTTCTTTCAAAGATATTCTCTAGTTTAAATTATTTTATGCGTATATTTATATCTTCATAAACAGAGGTGGATTCATTATTGAATATGTCGGAGAAGTTATACATTTTAAAAACATGCATAAAAGATTAAAAGAATATAAAAAACAAAAGTTAACTCATCATTATTTGCTGCAATTAAGTGCTGAAGAAGTTGTTGACGCAACAAGAAAGGGGAATAGATCCAGGTTTATTAATCATAGCTGTGATCCTAATTGTAAAACCGATAAGTGGACTGTGAATGGTGCTGTTAGAATTGGGTTTTTTGCTATAAGGTCAATAAAAGCAGGGGAAGAGATAACTTTCGATTACAAATTTGAAAGATTTGGTGGAACAGAGCAAAAATGCTATTGTAAAGCCGGAAATTGTAGGGGGGTTATTGGACAAAAGAGTAACTTGCCAACCGAGGGCGAAATTAAACAACAAAATGCTGCATCGGCTAGCATGAGAAGGGATGAAAAATTAACTGAAATATTTGATGCTGTGACAAAGTTTGAACAAAAATGCCATGGGAAATTGAGGAGAAAGGAACATGTTTTACAATTAAGTAGGTTTATGTTACATGCTGATACGCCAAAGTGCAGGGAAATTTTATTAGAAATACTTAAGCAAACCACTGAATTAGCTTGTTTGAGATCTTTTCTGGATTTTCATGGATTAAAATTACTCTGGAGTCTCGCTGTTGATCCGAACTTTGATTCCGAAAACGATAAGCTTGAGATTCTGGAAATACTAGAAAAACTGCCAATTCTACACAAAACTGGTGTTCGCGAAAGTCGAATTATTGAAACATTAGAAAAATGGAAACGAGACTGTCAATTATTTACAAGTGAGAATGAACTTGAAAGATCGATCCCAGTCGAAGATGATGAAGAAAAAATGGACCAACAGGAAGGTGAAAAAGACCACGAAGAGAAAGAAGAATCTGTTGTCGATAGTACTAGTGGAGAGCCACCCGAAGAACCCAAAGAGGAAAAACAGGAAGAAAAGAAAGTTGAAGAGGCGGAAGATGAAGATAAACATGACAAATTGAAAGAAAAGTTAGCTTTAACCAAAAAGGTTACAGCACTCTGTGATAAACTATTGGCTATATGGAATGAATTAAATGAGGAATTTAAAATTCCTAAAAAAACAAGGAAGAAAAGTGAAGAAGAGGCCGAACCTTATCCCTCTTCAAGATCTAAACCCCCCGAAAGAGAAACCCTGAAATTCGACAGGAAAAAAGATGATAAACCTGAAGTTGAGAGATATCGACGAACAGCAAGATTTCTTCCAAACTACAATCAAAAAAGGGGCATATCGAAAGAGGAAAGACGAAGGGCCTTTGAAGAAGCCGTTAAACAAGAAGAACTTCGGGAAAGCATGAATGAAGTAAATTTTATATATTTTATAAATGCTAATGCTGATTTTAAACTACCGTTTATTAGGTAACACCTGTGTCAAGCTTTAAACTATCCGGTCAAGAATTTTTCGAAGTTAATACAGTAAGTATCATTGATTTCAATATTAATCTAAAGTTATATTAAACCTATTCTGTTATCTTTCAGCCCAGAACAAATCTTCCACCCGTCGTTCAGCCTTCTGCTTTTACAGTGCCTGTGGTTTATGCAGGTCATCAAGTGCCTGTAGTATACGGAGCTCCTACCGTTCCTTCTGATCATACATTTGTTTCGTGGAACCCAGCGCCGCCTCCTCAGGAACCTTCATCGTCGGTATCCAATTTTGAAGAAAGGCTATCCGATGTTTTTGCTTCTCAGGGTACACCTCCATCAGATCCTAGAGCAAGACCAAAAGTAAATATCTATATATACATATTAATATTTGATTGAGATAATAAATATAAATATATATATATATATATTATCTTCGTATAATAGGTACCTCCTCCTCCCCCCAAGCCCATATCTATTAGCAAAAAGTTGCCAAAAAGTTGGAAAATTGCTCATGACGGTGACGGAACACCATATTATTATAATATAAAAACAAAGTAAGTTATTTTTTTAAGATGATATATATAGAATGTTGCATTAAAAATATATCAACAGGGAAACACGATGGTCCCCTCCACCTCCTAGTCCTGAATCAACTGAAACCAATGTACGTGTATTTCCAATAGTTTTTAATTTTATTTTTTCAATTTTAAATTAATCTTCAATTAAATAATGTATTTCTTTTTATAAACAAAGTTTTTTATATAGTCTTCTTTTATTAGTGAATTTTATAACTAGCGCCATTTACAGATTGTCAGCGATGGCGAATTAAGTCCTCTTACAATTCATCATGTAATGACACATAATTTTTTTCCCTAATATTTTTTTACTGCTTTATGCCAAAATTTGTCTTGATCCTTCTGATATGTCTCACAAATTATTTCTCCATTTTAATTTCACCAAAATTTATTCCGGGGTGATTGAACTTATTAACTATTTAGCTAATGCTTTATTGAAAACCTTTATTGGCTTTATTTATTTTTTATTATTTATTATTAATTATATAATACCTTAAAAAATAAATATTTCTATTAATCAATTACCTAATGAAGGATTAAACAGTTTTATAATTTCTCTATCTATATGGAAAATAATTTCATTATCTTTTGATAATAATATAAAAATCTGTCACAATATTAATGTTTTTTTAAATTGCAAATATTAATTAAGCTTTTTTTTATTCCTACATTTACTACCATCAATCAGTTGCAAGAGAAGACAAAAGAAAAAGAAAAAAGGAAAAGAATTAAAGATGAGAAAGAAAATATGATAAAACGAGAAAAGAAATTTAAAGATAAATTTAAAAAAGCCGTATGTTTCTTATATTTTCTCTATATATGTATATTGTTTATTTTTCAAAATTGTTCCAGATATCGGCCTATGTTGTCCACGTTTTAAATCCTTATCATAAAACGGATTGCAAGCAGGGCAGAATAAAAAACAATGATGATTTTAAGACCTTAGCACGAAAATTGACTCATTTAATTATGATGAAAGAATTAAAACATTGTAGAAATATTCAAGACTTGGAAGTTAATTTGGATGTAAAGTCTAAAGCAAAGTCGTTTATTGAAACCTATATGCAAAAATTCGATAAAGAATATAAGCCGGACCCTTCGGATAAAACTACTGTGAGGGTGAAAAGTTCAAAATCGAAGACGAGAAAGGAAAGGGGAAAATTATTAAAAAAACAAGTAGAATCCACCGAAACGAGTGCTGGGGAAGAATCTTCATTAATGATGCCAGATAGTTCGATTTCACCGTCCAATATAACCAAAAACGATTCTAGTTCGAATACGAAAAGCGAAGAGATAAATAATTATTCAATAGGATCATCTGATGAGGAGGATGATGAAGATGATGATGATGAAGAAACTGAAGACAACGATAAAAACAGTAGCGCCCAAAGCGTAAATTCACCAACTTTTAACGTTGAAGAAGTTAGTGTTGACGCATAGTATTTCTTTTACGTACGATGACTAGTCATAATCAGGTTTTTTTTTTAGATAATGGTATATTCAATTCTGTTTATTTGTCTAATCTATTTTTAATGTTGTTTTTTTTTCTTCCTCCAAAATCCCAAGCAAACAATTTCTTTAATGTTTCATTATTCTTTATTTCATGTTTCTTCTACGGGAAATTAATTTATAGATGTGAACGTATTTCTTTTTAATTTTTTCATTGAAAACAAAAAAAAACTGGAGCAGAGAAGCTTATTAAATTTGCGAAAAATTCTTTCTTGAGTTTTATGCAAAAAGTTATGTATTAGTTTTAAAATAATCTAAATGATCTCTGGCAAACAAACAGATAACTTTGTAAATGAACACGATAAAAAAATGACATGCATAGTATATATATATTCTAATGTATAAGATCTACATATGCAATTAATTTTAAAAAAAAAGCACCTTTAATTTTTATATACGTGAACCAGAGACGTCTTCAAAACATTTTTCTGCCCTTTTTCCTGTCAAACAAAAAACATCAGATAGGGGCTATTTTTTATAAGAGGAAAAAAAACTTGATTAACAATCATCTACAACAAATATTTAGGTTGCCTATGGAAAATTAACAAATTATTAAGAAAGTTTCCCAGAACACGGTAGCAAAAAAAATAAACATGCTGAAAACTAATCTACCATAAAATAGGAATATTCAAATTCGGAAAAAGATCAAAAACGCAAGGAAAAGATAAATGTCCATTAAAAGTCTTTTCTGGCGAAAGAGGAATCAGCCAAATTTTATATAATGATTATTAGCAGGCATACAAATAAATTACAAAAAAAAAAGTTAATCGCGTTGCAGAGTAAAGCGAGAAGCACCAGCACGCTGTAAAACTCTACTCATTACTGACTCGTTGCTATGCTCCTGTTCCCACTCAGTTCTTTCGCGTTCGAATCTTTCTCTTTCCTCAGCCAATTTTTTACGTTCTTCCATTATTGTACGCTTCATTTCGTCAGCTTTACGTAGCATCTAAGAGTAAAAATTGAAACCTGAAATATTTATTAACTAGAAAATTGACTAAGAGTACCTGTTGTTCAGATTCGTGAATTTTTTGAGTCTTCTCCTTGACTTTTGTTTGAAATACCATTTCCATTTCCTTTTCCATTTTTCTAATTTTATTTTCATGGTTTTGTCTTTCTTCTTCCATTTGAGACAATGGACTACTGAAACAACAGAAGGGGAAAATAGAAATATTTATCACCATTGTTGTTCGATAACTTACGAGTCAGTGGAAGTATTTGAGTCCAATCTTCCTTTTTCAGATAAAGTTGCATATCTAAAATTCTCATAATGAACGTTATTGGTGACATCTCTTAAATCATGCATATGGGTTCTTATAAGCATGTTTCTGAGAGCCAAAAAATCATTATGATGTAAATTTTCAACTTCAACAACTCCCCATGGATATTTCCTTCCTCTTACACGTCTACCATCGTTATCAATCATAACATTGCTTCCAATAATAGCAAATGGTACTCTGTTTTTGAAATTTTTGTGGTCTGGATAACCTTCTTCTTCAACTTCCGGAAATTCGTAGACTTTGATACCAAACTTGGCTATTTCTTCTCGAATAGTTTTTTTGAACAAAACACATTCCTCAGATGTCATTGTATCCGCTTTAGCAATAATTGGTATGATATTGACTTTGTCGTGCAATTTTTTCATAAAGAAAACATCAATTTCTTTCAGACCATGTCCATTTGGACTGATGAAATAGAGCAGACAATGAACTCGATTGTCGGCTATTTGTTTCTGACGATTAACTCGCGATTCAAGCGTTAAGTATTCGTGAAACTTTTCATTAACATAGTCCACGATTGGATTTGTACTTTGGGAATTGTCAAGAAGATCGCCAAATCCGGGCGTATCAATTACATTCAAACGAAGTTGAACACCCTTCTCCTTCAGAATAATCTTGTTAGTTTCAACCTGTAAATAGAATTAAATTGAAATTTGTAAATAAACTCATCAATAGTACAAAGGAGATAAGTAAATTTGCCAAAGCCTAAAATTAGTTAAAAGTTCAACACTTTTATATTTTATACGTTTATATACGAGATAATGGTTTATTTACAATAAATTTTCGGTTGGCTATACTTTGTTTACCGAACAATAAAATAGAGTAAATTTTATTCTAACTTTGCAAAATTTCACTTACCGAAACTGTCTTACGTAACTTTCGTTTACTCGGATCTTTAAGATCGTAGATATCCGTATTAAAAAGGGAGTTAATTAAAGTCGATTTTCCAAGCCCCGATTCACCTGAAATAGAATGGGAATAGGGGTAACAATTGTATATAGAGAATACAGTAAATAGAATATAATAGAGTGAACTTCGAAGATTCAAAAGGCTTTCTGTTAACTCTAAACTACCTTCCATGTTTAATAAAAGACTCTGTATTGTATGGAGCAGCCCTACTTGAAATTGTAAACAATTATTCACCTGCTACCATTAAATTAAATTCAAATCCTTTCTTAACGCTTCTTCTGAAAACTTGATCGCTCAATGTTGCGTATCCAACATAGGTAGAATCGCTAACCATTTTCTGTTCACCCATTCTGTCAATTTCTTGTGGCAATTTAGAAAGATTTGCGGTTCTTGAATTCATATCGTAACGATAATTATAGTCTGTTTTGTACGATTGTTGACTAGGTATGTCGGAAGGTGGCGAACGGAAGAACGCCTCGCGTTTAGCTGAATTTATTGTCTGCAAAATAGATTTTCATTTAAAACTCAATTTCTATTATCAAATTTTGTTTTCGTATTTTCTACTCTAAACTGTTCTGCATTTTGGCTAGCAGTCATCGGCTGATTGTGGCCAACAGGTATAAGTTTTTGAATGAATAAAATAGGAAGGCCTACTAAAATTGGCTTAAAGGCCTTGCATTGAGGACCAAATATTTACAGATTCCTCTCAATTTCATAATTAAACCATCAGAACTTTCTCAATTTCTGAGTCAATATAACTTTTTCGAAGTTGACCTTATTTCTCTTCTTTAAGAGAGAAAGCAAGGATTATTAGATAGCAGGATAGCGATCAGTTTTATTGACTAAAGAATAATGCCAATAAATTTACATACGATTATAAGAGAATAATAATAATAACAATTAGTCAAAGTTCAAAAACAATTATACTGAGAAAAATGTAATAGTGCATATAAATACTTACAGCTATTTTGTGCAATTTTTTTATAATCGTCGGAGATTGTGAATGAGGAATATGAAAGTGAAAAAAAAGAACAAATTATATTAGTGGTGAAATTTAGGTCAATTTTTCTCTAAAAAATACTTTAAAAGAACAAAAAGTATTCCAAGAGAAAAAAAGAATGAATTCGTTTTTGTTTAAAAGCCAAATCTTTAAGCAGAAAAATATAAGCATGGAATATTTCATAGATCAATCAAATAATTAATTATTCATAAATAGAATATTAATAGTTTCATACAAAGCAAGATGATTCAAGCGGGTAATAAGAACTATCTTAAAAATCTCGGTTAAATGTAAAATACATCATACGGATGTATTAGTATTTATATAGCCTTACAGTTAAAGGAGGGGGGGTAATACTAGTACCTTTCAAATATTAGTGTTTCGTATTTCACATAATATATTGAATAAAATTAATATCTATTATAAAATTTACCATTACATTATGAAGCCATTATTTAATTAAAAATCCCATTATTCAAGAGCGGTTAAATGTGGCAACTTTTTGGATATTTTTATTATAAATATATTTGATGCGGATAAAGACCGTCATAAAGAGCTTAGAAATAGCCGCCTCTCATAAGAGCTCTTAAATTAAATTGAATCAAATTTTTCACAGTTAACAATATTCAGATCACGATAGATTGAAAACTAAAAAAATTGTTTAATATGCGTTAGGAACAATAATTTTAACGATTTATCATCTACTTACACATTCTCCGTGATTCACACAAGTAGCGCCACTTTTTGCGCATGCGCCCACGTCACGTGACCAGAAATAAACAAGTGTTTCGGATAAATTTTCCGAATCGTATCATTGTAAAGAGAATTTTAAGTCTCAAATTGAATATGATTATTGCTATTGCAATAGAGGACTTGTACAAAGAAGCAATGAAATAGTTTCTATGGATTAAACCATAAAATTAAAGGTTATATTTTCGAATCGACCTAAATTAACTTAATTTCAAATGTTTGAAATTTTATTTAAAAAAAAGTTATTTATTTTAAGTCTAGAAGTTAAGCTTTTACAAAACTATCTTCGTTATCAGTTATTTAATTATATTAAGAATTCTTACACAGTAAAAGCTAATGCTAAAAACTTTATTCAGTAGAATGTTGATGCTCAAAAACAAAATTTAAACTTTAATGTATCCTCGATACGTTTATTAATAAATTTATTTCCTACGTGAGAAATTATTGTAACTGTTTTAATAATATTTATTAACTACTATGCTGTCTTTATTATAAAAGGTGTGTACGTTTGAATAAACCGGTAACCAAAAGTAAAAGAAAGCACAAAACCGGTCATGACCGGATATGTAAATCGTTGACGCATGCGAAGTATCGTCTAGCAACGGACGGAAAAAGCGCGTTGAGGAAAAAACAGTTAATTTTAACGTGTAAAGACAACCTATTATTTCGGCAAAAATGAGCCAATATAAACCAGCAGATTCAAAGCGTGAAGAATTTAGGAAATATCTAGAAAAGGCTGGTGTCATCGACAGCATGACGAAGGTTTTGGTGGGTCTCTACGAAGAACCAGAAAAGCCGAATAATGCTTTAGATTATCTGAAAAAACATATAGGCAGCGAAGGTCCCGAATCTGCTGATTTTGAAGCTTTGAAATTGGAGGTTTGTTCTCTAACATTTTTTTAATGACATGTCAGTAAAAAACTCAAACATTAGCAACTTAATATCAAAACATAGCGTTTATCTCAACACTTAGCTCTAGATTTGCTAACGAAATATAACACTCCCTATAATATTAATTAATATATTTTAGTTTAAAAAACTATCAAATTTTGTTGATAATAGCAACGCTAGTGATAAAAAGATTAATTTCATCTAAAAAAATGTCTGAGGCAAATAAAAAAAATGTCTTCCAGCTGAGGGAAGTAAAAAAAAAAAAGAGGTACAACAAAATTTAAATACCTTATCTGTTTAGGTTTTTTTGATCTCAAGCATCCACTTACTAGATTGTAAACAAGGCGATCGATATTTTTAAGGGATTGTCACGTTGTTACTAAGATAGAGAATGTAAACTCTTTCCAATATCTCTATATAATCACAAGTATTTTAAAAAAAATTTTCGATTTTTAAATAATAATAAAAGAACCATAAAGAATTCAAATAGATGAATTGATACATAAATTTTCATAACAATAAAAAATACATCATATTTTAATGTATTAATCTGTTTTTAATATAATTTTTATGGTATGATTACATTTGTGGCAATAATTTATAAATAATTTATTACTATTTCTTCAGGTTTCGGAATTGAGAAGAAAAGTCGAAGAATTAACTGAAGAAAATGGGCAATTGAAGATGAGATTGCAAACTTACGAACCTGAAAAAGAAGAAAATACTTCACCAGAGGCCTAGCTTTGTTTTTGACTCTTGTAAATTAAGATTTATTTTCTTTAATGGGTTAGAATTAAAATTGGTTCGGTTTTTTTTATAAATTCGTCTTAAATTATTAAAGAATAGTTGACAATAAAAATAAATAATGTTTATAATAATTTCCAATTGTTCTCTCATATCTATTTATTTATTTATTTTGATTATTGACTCTGCTTAAAGCAAGTTTAAATCATTTATTTCGGATTTTTTCCCTTAAACATTTATTATTTCGCAAGTTTACTAATAGGGGTTAAGGTCATCCAGCCTAATAATATGGTTCCTTGTCGTCGTGACTGTCAGTCATATGATTGTCACGTGACCCATTAGCAAATATATAAGAGAACTAACTAAGCAGTTGCGAAGCAAAAGTATTTTTAGTTAACTATGACTTTAATTTTGAAAACAGTCATATCAATTGCGCTTCTCTGCTCCAATTGTTTCGGAGCAGATTTTCTTATGTTTAGAAATGGAGACGATTTAAAATTGAAAGATCAACTACCTAATGGTGGAGAACATTGGGCTCTTATCGTGGCGGGTTCTAATGGTTGGTTTAACTACAGACACCAAGTACGATATTATTTTTAGAAAAATTCCTATAAACTATAAAGTATTCTAGCGAAAAAGCTCTTTATTTATAGTTGAGAAAAAAAATTAAACTAACGATGATACTAACAATTATTTTTACTCTTTCCAGGCTGACGCTTGTCACGCATATCAAATATTGAAGAGCCATGGTTTACCTGATGAAAGAATTGTTGTTATGATGTATGATGATTTAGCGGAAAATCAGGAGTAAGTATTCTTTTTCCAAGTAAAAATCGATTGAATTCTTTAAAAGTTTCAAGTGTCACATGATTTTTTTTCTCGTTTCAAAATAGAAATCCAACCCCTGGAATTGTTATTAATCATCCGAATGGTAGCGATGTGTACCACGGTGTTCCTAAAGATTATACAGGTAAATTTATTTAAGATTTGAATTTAAGTTTCGAATTTCTTTTGTTGTTTATGTTATATAACAAAAAGAAAAAACAAAACAATAGCAAAGACTAATCAATTCGTTACGAAATTAACTAATTATTGTACTTAGATAAGAAAAATTAATTACGTATAAATAACAATACAGAGTAATCAATTGACCTATTTTCCCAGAAGTTCTTTTTTAACAGAGGATTAAATTTCTGCTAATCGCATTTTTTTGCAATAAGATCTATAAATTTTCTTTTAAAATTAGGGGAAACTGTTACTCCTGAAAACTTTCTCAAAGTTCTCGCTGGCGATCTTGACGGTATGAAAGGTATTGGAAGTGGTAAAGTTATTCAGAGCGGACCCAACGATCACGTCTTTGTTAATTTTGTTGATCATGGAGCTCCTGGTCTAATAGCTTTTCCCAATGGAGAATTATACGCCAGCCAACTTATTAAAGTCTTGAAATCAATGTACTCAGAAAATAAGTTTGCTCAAATGGTCATTTATGTTGAAGCTTGCGAATCTGGTTCAATGTTTGAGAATTTACTACCGTCCAATATCAATATATACGCTACTACTGCAGCCAATAGCGAAGAGAGTTCATACGCTTGCTACTTTGACAAAGCCAGACAGACTTTCCTCGGAGATGTTTACAGTGTCAAATGGATGGAAGATTCTGACAAAGAAAATCTTAGTACTGAAACGTTAGCCAGACAATTTCGCTTAGTAAAAGAGGAAACGAACACCAGTCATGTACAAGAGTTCGGTGACATGCAAATTGCAAACGAAGCTGTTGGTTTTTTCCAAGGATTAACGAATACTCAAAAGTATAGATTTTTAAAATTTCTTTATGAGATCTAAATTATAAACGTTGCCTCTTTTCTATATAGGAAAATTGTACCAAACGTTCCTTTGGATGCTGTAAAATCAGAAGACGTTAAAATAGAAATTTTGAAGAGACGTCTAGTTGCAACAAAAAATACTCTCGAGATTTTAAAATTAACCGAAGAAATTCGTGACGAAGCCATGAGAAGGCGAAATGTTGAAGTTAAAATGAGGGATATCGTTTCCATAACAACCGGCAGAAACGGTGGATATGGTAAAACACGATTTCCACTAACAAAATGGGAATGTTATGAACCAGCAGCTAAATTTTTTGATGCAACATGTTTCGATTTATCGAAGAATGATTACGCAATGAGGCATTTATTCAATTTGGTTAATGTTTGTGAGGAGAACGTTCCCCTGGAGAAGATTATTAAGGCTATACGCCTAGTTTGTGCATAGTTTCTCAATATGTTAACAATATCAAGTGTAATACTAACAATATTTGTAAAACTAAAACTAAACTTTTTCACTCCTTTCAATACAGTATGATTATCAACATGGTATAATTTATTCTGTTTATGATAATGCAAAATTATCTAAGAATGTCTTGTTTTGTTAGAATTACTATTTTCAAAAACTTTATAGTTTTGCAAGAAATATCTAATAGCCTTGACCTTACCAAATCTCGGATTACAAAAGAGATTGAGCAATAGTTCTCTTGTTTATATACGTAATACTTACGAGATCTCGTTGTTAGATGGTTACGGGTTCTATGTATGTTCTCTGAATAGAAAACATTTTTCTACCCGTATTTCTCAACGTTGATTGTGTCAAGTCAGCGCTGATTACAATTTAATCTGTGCTCCTAACCTGAATTCCAAAATGGTGTTTAATTAAATTATACTCTAATATTTAATTAACTATTTTATTCTATTAGTTCATATTCAACTATATTTATATAAAAATACTTTAAATGCATATTCTTTGGACTTTTCGATAATTATCCCTTGAGTGTACTTTAATATAGCTTATTTTATCAATTAAAGTGTTTATTCTGCCATTTAAAAAGTTTAAATTTCCTTCTAATTATCCCAAATCCAGGCCTCGGAATCTTCAAGACTGACTGCTGCAAAGAGATTTATAAATTTCATTAATAATTCTCCATCTCCTTATCATGGTAAGAAGTATAAAGTTCACTTTATATATAAAGTTAAGAAGTAATAACAACTGGTTGATTATTTGATGATTTCAATAAAAGAGTCGCAATTACAGCTGTTCATGAAAGTGCTTCCATGCTGGAAGCAGCAGGATTTAAGGAATTGAAAGAAAGCGAAAAATGGGATATAAAGCCACTTGATAAGGTATAGAATGATTTATCTATTTTTTCCTCGAGGAATCTTAATCCTTAAAAATTAAACAGTACTATATGACGAAGAACAAGTCAACTTTAATAGCATTTGCAGTGGGCGGAAATTATAAACCTGGTAATGGTTTCTCAATCATTGGAGCTCATACTGATAGTCCTTGTCTTAGAGTAAAACCAGTATCTAAGAAAGTAAAGAGTGGATTCGTTCAAGTTGGCGTTGAATGTTATGGAGGTAAATTAATATTAAAAATGTAATATTATCATTCTACTATCAATTTAAACAATTAGGTGGAACCTGGCACACATGGTTTGATAGAGATTTAACTATTGCCGGCAGAGTTTTGGTTAAAGTAAGAAAACTAAATTTACATTAAAACAATATTAATTTTTGTTTTTCATAACAACAGAACAACGACAATATAGTACAAAAACTTATACACGTTAAGAGACCTATCTTGAGAGTACCAAATTTGGCTATTCACCTTAATCGAGAAATGGGTACAAAGTTTGAATGGAATAAAGAAACTAACTTGTTGGTTGAAAATTTCCCTTTAAAATATATATATTCTCCAATAATTTTTACATTTAATTTGTAAAGGTTACCAGTATTGGCAACTAGCATTGAAGAAGAATTGCAAAAGGGTGTTAAATCTTCTGGCGCCGAGTCATCCGGACAACTATCAGCAGTAAGGACATAATTTCAACTTTTATCCACTTTGATTGATTATTAACAATTTTTACAGCAAGAAAAGCATCAACCTCTTCTTATTGAACTGATTTGTAAAGAATTAGGAATTCGACCAGAACAGATTGTAGATTTTGAGTTATGCTTGGCCGACACCCAACCAGCTGTATGAATATTTTATTTGTTTTTTTTTTTAATTTCAAAATTATCCACTAATTCATTGTAGGCAATTGGTGGTATCCTCGAAGAATTTATATTCTCTCCAAGGCTTGATAATCTCCATTCAAGCTATTGTGCAATTCAAGTAAGATTAAATAGAAAGAGAAAATATTCAGAAGGGAGTCGTTAAAGAGTAATTTTATTCTAGGGATTGATAAATTCCCTTGGGCACGATTCCTTGAAATCTGATTCACGTATAAGAATGGTAAGCCTTTTCGATAACGAAGAAGTCGGATCACAAAGTGCCCAGGGTGCTATGTCAACAATTCAAGAGTTGATTCTACGAAGACTATCTTCAGGTGCAAATCCTGTAGCTTTTGAAGAATCCATATCTAAATCGTTGATGATTTCCTCGGATATGGCTCATGCCGTGCACCCAAACTATCCCGACAAGCATGAAGATCAACATAAACCAAGTTTGCATAAGGTAGTTACTGAAAAAAAGATCTGTACATTGTGAAAATCTATATTTTATTGTATTTGTTTTTAAAAAGGGAATTGTGATAAAAACCAACCAAAACCAACGCTACGCAACTACTTTAGTAACAGCCGGTATATTGAGGGAAATTGCTCAAATTGCTCAAGTTCCCCTTCAAGATTTCGTTGTCCGAAACGATTCGTTATGCGGAAGTACCATTGGGCCTATAATGTCAGCAAAATTAGGAATGGCAACAATCGATATTGGAGCTCGTGAGCTTTTTATATTCTTTCTTATTTTAAATGAGAGAATAAACGTTTTTCATTTTTTTTCACTATCAACTTAGCTCAATTGTCGATGCATTCGATCAGAGAAATGTGCGATGTTTCATCTATTAAACAGGGTTGTGACCTATTTAAAGTAAGCTTTACATTTAGTTATAAAATCATTTTTAATAATATATTAAATTTTTAATAAATATATCTAATTTACTTTCAGACTTTTTACGAAAATTTTGGTAAAGTATACGAAAAGTTTCAAATAGCTTAGAAAGAGTAATTGATAATAGGAGATCTCTCATTCTTTCGCTTTTTCACGTTTCGATAGTTTGAATCACGAATACATTTAAAATTGATGTGATAGCAAACACGTGTATTTAATTTAAGTAATGTATTGTTTCTTATTCATTTGGGTTTAGGATTTCATTTACTCTTGTTCCTTTAAGAACTTCTTGGATTATTGGGAAAACATTGAGAGAGGAGGCCTAAATCTGAAAAGAGTCCTTCTATTTTATTCTTCTAAATTAGAAAAGTACGATAGTAATCATAATAATAGTAACACAAAATAGCTCACCTTTTAAATTAAGAAATGCAAGAAAATCTTCAAGTAAGCTTTTGATTCTCTTCTTCTCAATCAGCCATTTTGAATTTAGCGATCTCTTATAACTAGGGTGTCCCATCACTGAATTCAATTTTTAATAAACGGTTTATACGTGCTAATACTGTATCAGCTTACTATATATCCATAGAGGCTTTGAAGAATTATTATTATTCTTATTTCGTTTCAATTCACTACTACTTGTTGACAAAGATTCGCGAAAATACTGCTATAGACTCAAAAAAGAATTATAAGAGATTTAATTAATAAATAAAAATGTTAATCTAATTAATCCAAATCGGCCTACCGTTGCGGGAAATCCTTGGACATATATTAAGTAGAGAAAGAAGAGGGTAAAACCAATGAGAAACTTCATGATTCTGAATTGTACAGCGTTTCTTACGCCTCCTTTTATAGCTTAAGTTATAACCCATCTGCTACTGAGTAATTAAATATCATATTTTATATACGTATATGGTTTTCTTTCAGAATTTGGCTTAATTAAACCTTTGATTTTACTGTGAATTAGAAAATTTCTATTAATGTGTAATCTTTAAAGACATACAGACTTAATCCTATTATATCAGTTGTAGACGTATATATGTATATACTGTATATCACATAATAGAACGTTGTAGATTTATAAAATGTTATCTTTTTATTTTATCAAGAAGTAATTTTTTTCATAAGGTTATATGCTACTGTGACCGATTTTTTTTTTAATTATCCAACGTATTAAGATAATGCACTTTTTAACTGATAAATAGTCTGCAATTGGAGCATAGATTACATAATAAATCATAGCTTGTTAATGGGGCGTATCAAAAAAATAAATTTAGATTGTGTTAAAGAATAATAAATTTTCTATTGCAATTGTTTTTGTAAAGGCGTCACTAAAAACTTTTAAGTTTTATTGGTATCTTTAATAATGCTAATGAATGTAATCTTTGATATGTTTATATAAAATATGCCTATAATCCTTTAAATTACATTAAACAATATACAACGTTTTACTAATCTCTTGTTTCGATTGAAAGTATCCAATCAGGGCGCTAATATTCTACAACAATCCGAATTCCTAAGGGAGAAGTGATAGAGTGACAAAAAGGGAATGAGTGGATCGAGTGAAGAATGGTGTTTTAATGAATAAAAACTTCTATCTTTTATTTGGCCTTTTTTTTTAAAAAAAAAATTGAGAAAAAAAGTAGTGAAGAGAGGAGTGAAGAGGCTTTTAAAATAATTTACAAAGACAACCTTTTAATGATTGAAAATAATTCATTAATTTGAATAGGTTAATGAATAATATTGTATTTTAAAAGTGAAATGGATAAGAATGTGAACTTTTTAAAGGATTTAATTATTCCCCTCAGTGTAATGTAAACATTTAACTGGACAAAATACTTTCTGTTAAGATTTAACGTCCTTGGGGCGTCTCCAGACGAAAGTGCTATCACAGTCGCCAGAGTAAACCATCTAGTTGAGTGTTGATTGATAGCGTCTCTTTACTGGTGTCTAACGTTTCCAATGAGAACGAGCTCTATACTACGCCCCGTTAAACCTTATCTAGTAAGAGGAAGAACCAAATTTAGCATAAATATTTAAAAGGGAAAAATAAAATAAACTGATTATAGATTAGAAGGAATAGAGAGAAATTGCTTATATTAGACGTCATTAGAAGAGAATAGTCACTATTGAAGAGGACTGTCTCATAATGCATTTTTCTTCAAAATGAAAAGAAGTGATTTTTCCTAATAAAAAGAAAAACACTATAGTTGGGATATTTTGTTATTTTCTTTATACTTTAAAAGCAAATAGCTCAATGTTAAGATTTTATAAATAGATTGTCATTTTTACACTTATAACATCTCGTTTAATCCCTCCTCTATCTTCTCTCTTTCTTTACTTTTGTTTTCTTTTCAACCTTTCCCACAGTATTCCCTCCTAGCTTACACGTAGTCTTTTAAATGAACTCTAAAATTATACCTAATCTTAAATTATCATGATAAAACCTATATAAAATTTATTATGTAGAAAAAATATTATTGATTTTAGCCACCCCCAAAGGATTTCTCTTCTTTCTTCTTTATTTTATATATGTATATAGGTAGATATTGTATTTTCCTCCTATGGTCTTTAATAGAACAATAGCTGAAGTTGTTAAATGTATGATTTATAGACCAGAATAAATAAACAAACAACGCTAAGCGATCGTTTATGCGAACTATTTCAATTCACTTTTTGTTAACTAATTCGCTCTTTAAGGTTTTAACTAAATGTATTCTTTTTTTTATTATAAGGAAACGTTTAATAATTAAATGATTAATAGCACTAATTCTTGTATGAACGCCCTCTAGCGTCTTTCTCTTTTCTTGGAACAACGAATAAAAAAAAGTTGAAGTATGAAGATACCTCCTGGATCTAGGGCCTGGTCGCTACGGGCTATTGTATTTATTCCGTAATTTTATCCATCTTTTCTTCTTAAGTGTTCCCCGTTTACTAAATCAGTTCACCAAAAGATGATTTTCGCTTCTTTTCGCTTTGTACGCTCCGAGGCTTCTTGGTTGAATCTTTTTTAGCGCTACAAGGTTGAAGTGTGTCATTAGAGGTTCCATTCTCATTGCCGTCGTTGTTGGCTTCCGCTGTCCCGTCTAAACCGAATGAGACCATTTCAATTTGTATAGTCGAACAATCTGGACTCATAATTATCTTGACACTCTCTTCGTCATTTTGAATGGACGCTGACAAATGAGAGAATTGAGTTCTAGACCGCCTTACCAGTGGAAAGTCGATGTAGGAATGCTGTCTTCCATTAGAGACAGGCGTGGTGTGGATGCGAGTGGAACCGCACCCCATGCATAAATGACACTTTACGCTTGTTACCGTATACAGTTAGTGACTATTCTGAATGATTACTAGATGGCGCTGTACTTACCGGATATTACTTATTAAGTACAATAATACCCTAAAACATTTTCAATTTTCTTTCCGCTATATTATCTGAATAAAGAGGTAGTAGAGTAATGATTTAGTTCTTATGTAATCTCAAATTGGGTGAGGTTAAATAGGACGAGAGAACATACTTCTTAACTAATATAGCCAGATATGCGTATTATACGTCAATATCGTATAATATATATAACGTTTATACTGTTTATACATATAAGTTTAAGGAGAGAGAAGAAATGTAGGAGAGTAACATCACTTTATGCCCATAGAGGATCCTTTAAGCGATACCTTCTTTCTCCAAAACATATTCAATAGCGTTGCATACGTCATTCTGTGTCCTAGTTGGTTTGTAGAGAGCAGGATTTGGAGCAAAGTCTCTATGTCCATGATAGAACTTTTCTTCGTTCTCTCTATACTTATTTTCACCTGGTTTAAAAACCCCAGTGCAGACAAGCAACGGTACAACGTTATCAACGCTCTGAGGGTGCAAATGAGCGTCAGCCGGAACATTGCGACATTGCGGCAATTCTGGGTCATAAGAGGGGTCAGCACTTGGATCAGCTTTATTTTTTCGTCTCTCTTCCATCCTCCTCACGTATCTCTGATATAAGTTGGCTCCTACAATATCGCTGTCGGGAGTATCTCCAACAACATAGATAGTTTTCAGTGGCTCTGTAAAGCCTAATTTTTTAGCATGGATGGTCAAGCAATGTTCAGCGTAGCGGAAGGTGGTCTCAGAAGGTTTACCAACCAAGGCAGTATATTGAAGGTCGTAGCCAGTTATCTTCTTGTATAAAGCCTCAAGACAAAGGAGGAAAGCACCATGACCAAAACGAGGAATTGTAGCTCTATCCATAAATTGTAAATCCATATTACAAGCTATTACGGGTATATGTCGTTCTGGAGGTTCTTCGGGTGCTTGATCGGGTTTTCCCGATGATCTTAGCAAATCAATTATTAATTGAAGGGCACATGACCAATTTTTGGGTTCGCCTAGCAGAATAATGGCTAAATGGAACAGAAAAAAATAGTATTAAGCATATTAAAAATTGTTATAATTTCATTTATTTTATTAACCTTCAACACGATTCATCCCTTTTTCCTCGTAGCCAAATTCAGCAATTTTTTTCCTATTTCCATGATCCACCATATCCAATAGCGGATATGCATCGGATACTTGGTCTAAAGTGCAGAACTTCTTAAATCCTAAGCTATAGAGGAAAGGTTAATGGTCAAGGAAATATTATTTCTAATCTCTAAAAATTGGGTTTGAAATATAATTGAGATATGAAAAATAGTAAAGCTATTATAGAAGAAACTGATAAGAGAATTAAAAAAAAAAGTTATAATGAGTGAAAGATCTAATCTGATGACCTCGGTCAATGAAAACAACTGTAAAGTACAAGGTTACAGCTTTAGTGGGATAAACAAGAGGCAATGACCGTAATATTCTATAATGAAGAAATTAAGTATAATAGATAATTTCGTATGTACTATATATATTTATCTAAAAATGGATTATATTTAGTTAATAGTCAACTAATTACTAAATATCCTATTTTCAGTTTTGTGTTTACGTATTAGTTTCTGTACTCAACTATAAAGTAATGACGAATCTAAAAGAATGTCAAAGTTTACAAACTTAAAATCTTTTTTAACTATAAAAAGTTTTTATAAATAATATATTACGCAATATGATTAGATAACTTATCAAATTGATGAGTACTTATAAAATTTATATAAAAAAAAAGTACTTATTTAAAATATATGTGTCAATTATCAAAAAAGAGAGGGGAATTGAAAAAAAAATGACTCGGTTTGTTAGTTTGTCTTGTTGTAAATCCTTATTAGGAAAAACAATTTTTAGATGATTTTAGATGAATAAAAAAGGATACTCTCTAGCAATTTCTTTTACTCTTCCTTGACCAATAACCAGGCAGAATTTGTTGTGAAGTTTCGTAAACATTCGTAATGGGCCTGGAGCTTGAACTAATTGCTCTTTTGCAACCTAAGATTGTTAACAAACAACATTATTAATAAGTTTATTATTTTGGTAATATTTTTAGAAAATAATATATTTACTGGCATATTAAACCATCCAGAAATTTGTTTAGCCTTATCTTCATCTCTATTTAATGCATTTGTTACAAAACACATTGGAACTCTTGAATGGCCTTTGTCATCTTGTAGTAATTTCATACCCTCGATTGCTCTCGGTATGGCTAAAGTTCCTCTTGCCAGAACTCCATCAACGTCAAAAATGATACCAAATTGCGGCTGTTAAAATAAGAGTTATAACTATGATATTAGAATGAATATAATAGAAGTAACATTAAAACCGAAAGAATAATAATGCAAGTAATTCAAAGATAAAAATTGTAATAAAAAAAAGTAAATAAATAAATAAAAACAATAAAAAAAGAGAAGGAAAGAATCATAAAAACCTCCTTCTTTTTCAGTAAATTATTCAAGCAATCTTTGCTTTTCTTCCTTTGCAAAGCTGAAGAAGGAACATTGATGCAAGTTTTTTCAACCATCCTGTATAAGTCGTTGTGCGACATGTTTAGCTTTCGATGCTATTCTGAATTTACTATAACGGGCGCTCCTATTTATATAGCTGCTAGATTTTGGTGTAAACAGGACAATAAACCGGTCTAGGTGACCTTTTCAAGATCGCCTTATCATTACAAACTTATATGTCTTATTTCAAAGTAAAAGTAGCAAGGAATATCGATTTTTTTGCATTAAACTATTTAAATTTTATACAATATATTTATAAATGTCTGCTACAATAATCAACTTTTTTATGCATTCATCTTATATCAACTTTTTAGATATTTTACACTGTGTATATGTGTGATAGATAGAAAATTTTGCTATCAATAAACACTCTGATTTGCGATAAGGAGTCAAATCAGAACAGTCACTAATCGACAATATAATAAACACATAGTGAAAAAATTTGAAAATGTGACGTTCGAACTGAAAGAACTTTTGCGTTTGAAAAAAACAAGTTCATTAAACTTCAAAATGTTTACAATTCTATAGTAAAATGTATGTTAAATATATAAGATAGTGGATGTACTTACTATCAGTAATAGTAGTTGGTTAAGATTTGTTTGTAAGGAAAGGACAAAGAAGAAAAAGCATATATATAATGTTCACGTCAGTCTTTATCTATTAGTAATCTCTCTCTTTTTTTCGTATTCTTTGTATAAAAGAAGCATCTTTTCTACAAAAAGTTTTTATTATAATTTTACACAGTCTTCATTATATAAGAGAGTATTTTCCCACAAGAAAAAAGTGAAAACAAACAATATAAACAATAATATCTGTTTTCTATTAAAACCTTTGTTGTATAATTTTTCCTTCTTTTTAAATTTTTCAATCTATTTCATACTTTATTTAACTATTATAAGAAATTAATGAATTCTCTAAAATTTCTATTAAAATGCTTTCTTTTTTTACTTTTTGTTTCAAATAGAACAAGGATTCTGTTTACGTGGTTTGCCCTAGTTTTTAATCGAGTTTGCATCGCCAGTTTTTTCAATATTAATCAAAGTTTAGTGTTACAATAGAAGGCATTGAACCCAATAGTCTTTATATATGGAAAGTATTTTCTTTAAAAAAAAAATAATAACATATTTCTACAATTAGGTAGTTAAAATTTCGTAGGTGGCGCTTTAATAAACATTTTATTAAAATCTATCAAAATCTATAATACTATAAATTCGTTCAAGTAGTTTATTTTTTTTTATTATTATAAATACAGAGAGTATGTTTATTATATTCCTTGTTACACATCTTAAATAGAAAATTAGGAAGATGACGAAAAAAGAGTTGTCTTCTTTTAAAAGGGATTTAAGATTAACGATATTTGTTGACAATATATGCATTATATATTCTATACAGATGCAACCTTAAAAAGTAAGTATTTACAACGAATGGGTAAAGTTTAATGAGTTATCAACACTTTATACAAATAGGTTAAATATTTATACTTTAAGATAATTTCACCCTAAAAATAAATCTATAAACGATATCTTACCTTTGTAGTCGCCGAATTGGATTCCTCTTGGATATTATTTAAAGGTGCTGTATCTGCAACTCCCATAGTGATGGTAACGTCTGAAAATTAATTAATCTTTTCCTCAGGTAATCTTAGTATTTAGGTTTAACGTTATCTAGTTGAATACGTACACAATTTTGCGGAATAAACGTTTAGACTCAATTCATGTAACAAGGTAGGTTCTATCTGTATTTGAAACTTATTAACAATAACCACCTATCGCTGATCAATGCGTGCTTTCCTTGTGATTTCCTTTAATCTTATCAATAGAAAGAGGCATGATTTGGCACATCTACATAAATTAACTTTTGACCTCCAGGCATTCACAGATATCAATACCCTTGAATTGGATAAATGTTTTGAGATAACTTTTTGACCTCCGATTAAATAGATGATATTAATAATTTTTTTGCTTAGGTAAAGTGCACATCTGAATGATCCTTAATCCCTTTAAATACATATATACTGTATATATATAAATTTTTAACCTTGCCTTAGTGCTTATACTTTTTCTTCGGTCTTTGTTAAGAATTTAATGATTTTAGATAAGAAAAGTAAAAATTAGATAGTTTCTCATGTGAACCTAGTAAAAATGATAAATATTTTTTAGATGAAAGCATCATTTACATATTTATTACGAAATGATAATTTTTTCATTATCGGACATAACGCCCACTATATTAATTAATTATTTTTCTCTAAATAAAGGTTGTTTTTGTTGTTATATAAGAAAATAGAGACGATGTTGGAGAGACAGACAGAGAGAGAGAGAGAGACAGAGAGAGTACAAATCTTAACGGGAAGATACTTATAGTAGTCTAACTAGTAGTTTGACATAGATCTATTCTATACTATTCTAATGCTTTTTGTCTTTACCATAGACATCTATTATTTCCATATAAAGTATATATCTCTTCTAAACTACTACACACCATATTCAAAATCTTCTCTTTCATACAATTCAAATAGAACTTTAACTAGAACTGTATTAGATAATATTTATCAGATTTTATGTTTCTTTATAAGATGAGAATATAAATTTACAAGTATATTTCAATAACTATAATAATAATAATAATAATGATATGATATTTATTTATTGATAAAGTAACAATTTTATTATATATACGCTAAGAATATCTTTTAAAGTTACATAATCTTACATAACAGCAATAATCTCATTTAAAAAATAAAATATCATCTATAAAAATTTATAAATGGGAGTCGTAAAAATTAGCTTTAACACATAATAATTCAAATTGTTAATATGATCTTTTAGGCTATATTTCCTTTTTAAAAAAAACTGCTTTAAAGATTTGCTATTATTATCATCGTCTTATAAATTTATATAAAAATTTATAAAGATTAGATGAATATTTTTTTTTAAAAAAAAAACATTTTCCCACAAAATGTTCGTAACATGGAATATAGTTGGTATATTCCCCTTATTATTTAAATCGATCAGGAAAAAATAAATTTTGATTGTTACTATAGATCGATGAATATCCTGTGTTTTACAAAAACAATTTCCTAACTTGTCGTAAGTAGTTATTTGAAATATTACTACAATTTACGAAAATAGATAGAAGCCGGAAGTGATCTCAACTTTTCCAGCGTGCTTTAGAATTAAAATAAACTTTACGGGAATTCTTGAAGCTAAGAATGGTCAGTGTATTGCTTTAACTTCATCTTAGAAATTATTTAGAATAGTTTTTAGTCTTTTGACTAAAGAAACTATCCAACTAGACCTTCTGACTTGAATAGTTTTCTAAAATTATAAGCCTTCTCCCGCCAAAACTTATATTCTTAACTAAATTTGTAATAATCAAAGATTAACGCCTATAAAGTTAATATTTTGCATTTAATGCCTTGCTATATAAACAAATTTGTTTTAATAGTTTTATTTCTTTTAAAGGATGTCTTTTTTGTTATTCGATGGCAAAATAAGAGTATATTTTTGGATGTTAAAGAATCTAATACAATTTACGATTTGAAATTACTGATATCTGGAATAATGGGAAAGAGTGCTGATGATATGCAATTGTATAACTTAGCTAAAGATTCTATTGAAGAATGTTTAGAAAATGAGAGATCCTTGGCCGAATGCGGTTTAACAGCGAATGTTGCAAGAGCCCAGTCACCAGCGCAGTTGGGTGTTACTTTCCGAATGGATGACGGCGGATTTGAGAATATGAACGTTAAAGAATACAGTTCACCACCCGAACTGCCGGATGTTATGAAAAAACACAATAGTGTGAAAAAATGACAATTATGTCTGTATTAAATAAATAGCAAGTATACACCATTAGTTTTGATACTTCAAAATAAACTTATGTTATGCATGGTGTAATTAACGTATTTTTAACGTTAGATATTTATTTAGGATAGCAAACACGGTTAATAGGTTAATGTCAAACGAAAACAATGTGCGACAAACTGACTAAATATTTTCAGAACAATAGGGATACTTCTTAGACCTTCGATCTCATCATGGATAATACATTTCTCAAAATAGGTTTGAAAGACCTTAATTCTTTTGTAGGTAAGAAAGTAGAACCTAGACTTATTGTTGTTAGTCCAAGAACTCGTTTAAGTACAAAGAAATCTGTCAACTGGGGAGTTGTTAACCTAAATTTTCGAGAAAACTTCGAACATCTAGCAAAAAATGAAAGTTGAAATATGATAGTTCTACTTAATTTGTAACAAGTGTTCTTAATGTTAGGTAGAAAATTTATTATTATCACTTTTAATACATATACTTATTAGACGAACGAAAAGCAGGAAATAAGTCATCATTGCCTTTAATATACTATCCATGAAATTATTGTTATTACTAACTTAAACCATTACTTGGATTTTGTACAATTGTAAAAGATTTTTCATAAAATTTATCCTTAAGCGACACCCTGGAAATAACGTATCGAAAATGATACGAAAAATTATTTGCTTTCTAAAGGCTGTATCTTATTTGTTCTTAAGAAAAGCTTCTATTTTCGTAGTACTCTAGATTCTTTTAAGGACTAAATTTTCCTTCATTAATAAATAGAGGGCACTATTGTCAACAATCAAGGGGCATGGCAACCAGCGGGAAAACATTGCGTGATTTTGAATTTTCTTTTATAAACTTCTAATTTATAATGACAATTATCTATTAATCGAGAAAAAAATTAATTTTAATTGTGAATTTGTTCTATGTTAAGTGGATAATCCAAAAAATTGAATAGCTTACAGTATTTTAGTTTTGTTGTTAACAAGAAATATTTTAACGAGGATCATTTAATTCGTCATGTTTCAACCGTTGAAAACGAATGTCCCTTTAATGTATGCTACAACACCAAAGGTAAACATGCCCCAATTTGGGTCTGAAGTTACACCTGAGGCTGTAGAAACAAAATCTTACACCAGTTTAACTGAGAACATGTTGGAGGCGAGTTCTGCCGCTCGTAAACAAATCCGGGACCTCTCATTCACTGGAATCAAATTTGAGGAAAACGTTGTTAGAGAAAGGTGTTTCGATGCCCTACCCTACGATTTTAAATACCTAAAAGAAGCCCTCGATTCTTCCCAAATTATCAAACCAAGGCCAAAGGTACTATCTAAATATATTTCTATCATTTATTCTACTTATATAATGAAGTAAAGAAAAAATCCTGTCAATCAGATTCCTGGAGGTTATAGCGGAAGACTTAATAATAGACATAAGGGTCCACCTCATGCAAATTGCCATTTTAAAAAAAGGGTTCCTCATTCGCTCAAACCCATTAGAAGGAAGATCTTAGAACGGGTCGAAAGAAACGTCGAAACTCATAAGGAAATAAAAAAGCCGATTTTTATCACAAGAAAATCTGAAAGATCCCGAAGATCTTCGTTAAAGTCTACTGAGAGTGTATCAGAAGAAGATGCTGACTGGGAAGAATATATAATCTCTATAATGAGCAAGGACACAGCTAGGTGGATGGTTCATAAACATATGAAAGAAGGAGAGAAGAGAGATAAGTTAATTCAGGTATTTACGTTCTTTACAGTATATATATTCAAATTACCCGTTTTTATGACATTTTGTCATAATTTTAGAAACTAGAGCAGCTTTATGGGCCAGTTGATGAGGAGAATTTAGATCTTATTCCAGATAGGATGAGTGACTCCGAAGAAGAACGAGAAAGAGAGAAGGAAGAAAGGAGAAAAAAAAGAGTCTGGAAAAAGGACAACGAAACGTAAACTTTGATCAAACAAATACCTATCTTCTGATTAGAAAAATTTTTTTACAGGTTCTTAGACAAAGTTCGCCAGCGTCATAAATTGCAATTTAAACAAACCGATCCTTATGACGACGAATCTTCGGCAGCATTTTATAGACTGCCAGCAGGAATGAGAAAAGCAAAAAAACAAATAGAAAAGGAAGAAGAGGGTAAGTTTTTGAAAACAAGTCGTAGAATATTTTTGTAATAACGTTATCATATATTAAAAAAAAACTTATTTAACAAAAAGTTTATACATTGTTTAATGTAATAATACTATGTTAATTTAATTTAATATTTAAACAGAAGCAATGATTGGGGGTAAGCTAAAAATAAATAGCTATCTTTTTATAATAGAAAACGGGTATTTCTATACAACTACCCTCTACTTATATTTATTTCTTCAAAGTACCTATTCTCTTCCATTTTCAAGTTATCTTTAAGAGAATCTTTTGTTTATATAGAGACTGTCCTTTTTTTTATTTATTTCCAAACTTCAAAAATTATTTTGTTGTTTTCTTTTCGATCACGTGATTCACATATAATTTATATGTTATCAATTAATTGTTTAAATTCTAATCTATGATCAAGCGTGATCAAGAAAAAAATAACTATCTGTTTTTTTTTGATAAAAAAAAAATTCTTTTAAAATAGGTTCAAAAATAAATTTTAAAATATTTCTATATTATTTGACTTAGGTGCTGTAAATAATACTGCAAGAAATGTTCGAGTTGTTAAATGGCAGCCTAAACCACCTCCTATCTTAGAAGATCAAATTAATAGAAAAGCTGGAAAGACTGTTTATAAATCAAACAATCAATATGTCCAAGAGTGGTTAATTGGTAATTGATACGATAATTGTAATATATATTAAATAAGTTATTAACGAGAACCTTTTAATTAAAGGTATTGATCAAGTTCATCAAAAAGACGAAGAGAATGTGATTCTTATGAAAAATAATAATAAATATAAAATAAAATTTAAGAAAGAGGTTGGTTTAGCCTCTGTTTATAATTAGTATTTCAGGATATATATATATATATAGGTACATGTATTAACTAAGAGATATATTAACAGGAACCGATTTCGGCTGAAAACTGGTATCCATCAACCGAAGGAAATAAAGTAGAAACTCCTCTTAAGTACCAAAAAGGTCTCAGAAGATGGGAATCCCTACCAGAACCCATTGGTGTAAGTATACTTAATTGAATAGCGTCCATCAATCATCTAAATATACACACATATATCAATACTGTATACATATTTAATAATGTGAATATTTGTCAACTTTAAAACAAGACAAGATAATATCGAAATTTAAAAAAAAAACAGGCCAAAGATACGGCGAATCTTGTTGATCCTAAAGAGAATCAACAAATAATTAAGATAAAAAAAACGAAACGTAGCGTTCACTTTGCTGAAGATGAAAAGGTTTAAGTGTATTGCTAATTTTTAAAAAGCATTATTCAACAAGGGATATAATTATATCTCTGCATGATTAGTTAGGCTATACTCTTGTAAATTAAAATTCAGCTTAGCTTCTGCTTCAAGCAAAGCCATATTAAATGCATTTGTTTGCATTTATAGTGAGTGTATCTCTTCTATCTGCTGCTATTAGTTTGATTGCTATAGGAATGATTAGATTTACATTTACTCTTTAATGATAAAAAAAATGCATGAAAAGCATATTTTCGTTGTTTTTTTTTTGAAAAGAACTTTGAATGAATTATGAGAACGACTGGCTGCATGGAGATTGGCGAATAGTTGATATCTTTGTTTTTTGGCTTTATCACCTATTTTTGTGACTTAATCTTGTTTTTATGATCATTATTTTAAGTATTTTTTCCTTTTAGGATGAAATGCAACTCGTCGAAAGAGATAAGATTGTCACAGAGACTAAATTTAGGTTGAAGTCTCCCGATCCATTAGCAAAACGCCTTGCCCGATCTAATAACGTACTTGTGCAAGTTGTAGACGATTGGACATCAAAGTGGCATTTAGATTTAAGATACGGTGATGCTGATGTTGACGATCTAATAAAAGATATGGCCGATTTACATCCGCATATTCGTTTAAAAGCAATATCAACTTGTGCAAGAGCTGTTGAATATAGAGCACCCGTTCAGGAAGGTCTTATAGATTTGGACAAGGGTGAAAAAGTTAGAAATATTGCCAAACTATTACCGGAAAGACTATTCACAGCCATTGAATGTCTTTTAGAAGATGACTCGGAAGAAATTCGACGAGCAGCGGCAATAGCAATGTTTATCCTTGAAAGACCAATCAAAAAAGCCGAGCAAATTCTTAGAGAAACATTGCATAAAGACAAATCTATAGATAGATGGACTGCCGCTCAATGTCTGTCGTTTTATGGAGAATGCGATTCGGAGATTGTAACTGAAATTATATGGCATTTACTAAATACGGAAGATACTATTAGGCATGAACGAGCTCAATATTTATTATCAAAATTAAGTGAAAATTCCGTTTTGGTCCAATCGATGCTTGGCGAAAAATTAAATAGCTCTAGCTGGAGGCATAGAATTATAGCTGCGAAAACCTTACCCAGTTTATATGGACAAATAAATAGGGATCTTGTACATAAACTTACGCAATTAATGTGGACTGATTGGCATAGCGAAGTACGAAAAGCAGCAGCGCAAGTCTTAGGAAGAACGGGTCATGGTAAGGATGTTCATGATGAATTACGTAATAGGATAATGACTGGCAGTGAAAGAGAGAGAGTTGAAGCTATTAGTAAAGTTGGTCACCTTGGTATTATGACCGCTAAACTTCTACCGGCCTTTATTGGATGTTTTGACGATGCATATGTTTCGGTACGAATTGAGGCTTGCATAACAGCAGCCAGCTTAAAGATCAAGGATGAATTAGTCCTAGACAAGCTAGGTTTCTTAGCAACTTATGATCCTATATGGAAAGTTAAAGCTTTAGCCATTCAAGCTTTTGGAACAATCGGTGTTGTTAATGAAAAAATTATTGAAACATTACTCTGGGCTTTGAGGTTCGAAAGCGAACCAGGAATAAGAGCTGAGGCGTGTAGGTCACTTCAACGTCTAAAAGTCTTTAACAAACAAGTAGGAGACATTATTCAAGCTAGGTATTTGGTTGAAGATAGTCCAATCGTAAGACAGTAAATATCCCTTTCTATAACTTTTCCCAACTCAATTGAAGCTAACGAAACTTTTTATTGCAGAGAATTGAAAAATTCGCTAGAATGTATGGATATTAGTCCTACTGAAGATCTGGAAATGGTGTCGAAAATTAAACAGAATGTTAAGCAATTAAATACTAAAATCAATATATCCGCTCAAATCGCTTTAAATGATGAAGAAGAGAGGAAAATAGAGCAGCTGAACCGTTTAATTTATCGCAAAAAAGGCGAACCAGAAATTGTAAGTATATTATATACAATAGATGGCGTGTTTTGTTATTTAGTAAATTTTTCACCCAACAGAAAAGCAAATATATATCCTTATCTCAACTACAACCAAAACAATCAATAGCAAAACCATCCTTAGATAGGTCGAAATCTGGTGTGGAAACTGCTGATAGAACCAGACCGACAACCTCAACATCTAGATTGACTACCGCAGCCGACCAAGAAATTGAATACATACTAAATAAAGAAGACACAGGCACGTTTATTACAGAGACAGTGACGGAAAACTTTAGCGATGAAGATGAACTAGAAGACGGACGTGCAAGTAGTATAACAATCCCAAGGCCAGTTACGTCGGGAGAAATAAGAATTCCCTCGCCAAGAATAGCAGTAGGCGAAGAAACAGAAGATAAAGAAGAAAGGGCGGAAGAACAATAATAATAAATATTTTTCCATAAAAAAAATATTGACATTTTTTCTATAAAAAAAAAAAGAAAACAGTTAAATGCGCCAAATTTCAAGTTTGGTTAAAGAAGATAAAAATCCAATCAGACGTAATCTTTCTCATTCTGTTAAAAAAAAATCTTTAATGCGATAAACCGACAGCTGTACAGCATTTATCATTATTATTAATAATTTGTAAATAGAATAACTTTTAGAAAAGCTGGCAGATGTTACTAGTTCTTACAAATAATCCAATAGAATTGAAGCAATTAACTAACAAAAAAAAAGAAAACCTGGAAAGCTTGTGGCTTAAATAAATATCTATTGATACCCTTTATAATTTTATTATGAATATTCATAAAGTTTTATGAATATTTATTATTAAAAAAATTGTTCACTGTTGATCTTACAAACGTTAAAATGGTTACAAAAGATTCATAAATGATATAAACGTTACTAATAGAGATAAAAAAAATTTGATCTATCTAGCTATATTCTCTTCTTTCCTTTATTTTTACTTATTAAAAGATGTTTCTATATCTTCGACAAGATGCATTTGAATTTTAGCAATACTTTCGTCTATGCTTCTAAGACCTTTTTGAAAGTTTGTATAGTCTTTTTGTCTCTTTTCAGTTGTATAGGTATCAACACTAACTGAACTTACAAGGTCCGATTTAGGTCTAGTTTTTTCATACTTTTTGAAATATTCACTAACACTGAGTCTCGATTCTTCAACGGAATACTCTGAAATGGGTTTAGATATTGGTCGATTATTATCCTCGTTCAATCTTGCATAATCTGCTTCTTCGTCGTCGGCAGTCATTTTTAAAATGTCTTTATTAGATTTTAATTTAGCTGGTGAATTACAACCGGGTAAAAAGAAATATTCTGTAGATGTATCATCTCCATTTATAGTTTCAATCTCTTTGGAATTAATCAATTTTGCGTCCATATTCAATAAGGTATCGTCCGAATCTAATGATGAACTATCCAAAGAAGCATTAGCATTAGTATTTAACTCTCCGTATCTTTTTCTCGTACCAGATCTTTTACCGTATTTCGTTTCACTAACACCATTCTCAAATAACGTTCTTGAATAAGACTGCTTATCTATGGAAGAGCCGTTGAGCGTTATTTTTTTCGTATCATAGTAATATAAATCTGCATTCTGATCATTCCAAATTGAAGTTTTCTCTGACCTTTCATCGAAATGATTAGGATAAAAATCTTGGTTAGACGTTTTGCTCCTAGGTGAGCTAGTTTGTAAAGGTTTAGAGTTGAAATCTCCAGTTGCTGAACTGTAAAAAGAAGATATAAAAATATTGACAGAGATTTAATTAAAAAACTTGTACGTTCTTAACTATTAAAATATATATGATATGTACTTAATAAGGCTTTTCATCTTCTCAACAGCGCTTTGTGCGCCGCTACTTAATTTTTTCCCATGCGTTTGAAATTGATTGGCAAAGCTAGGATTCATTTTAAACTCTAAACTATGGCTTGGTGGTTTCGAATTAAAGACGTGAGAATTGTGGGCAGAGTCATTTTCGAAATATTCGTATTGTCTGCCTCTTGTTGAACCTTGTCCAATTTTCTCTGAGCCTTTACGACAATTTACAATAACTTGTGGTTCTTGACCTAATTCGCATAGCAATCTCGATAAATTCTGTTGAATTTCCCTGTAACAAAATGTAACTAAGAGTCGCATTTAATTTAAATATAAAAATAGGCAAAAATTTCAATTAATAGTAAAGAGTAGCGAAATATTTCAATTAAAAATAAGAGGTAAAAATAAATATTACTTGATAAGAAACTTGTAATGTTTAACATCTTTATCATACTTCTTTTCGAGGGTTGTTCTCGCAACTCTTTCAATCTCTAACTCTTTTAGAAGGCTAGTTTTTTCAGAATGCCAAGTCTAAGTAACAAAATTTAATCACTTTCAATTGATACATACAGTATAAATATATATATTATGTTACCCACCCTAGAAATCTTTTCATGATTATCATCACGTGATTTCAACATATCTACAAGAGTTTGTCTTTCGCCTTTCATCTTCTCAACTTGATCCTCTAGTTGTTGATTCACTTTATTTATTTTATAATACTTATCTTCTAAATCCTTCATATTTTTAATGATAACAGCTGAATTGAGGAGCAAAATAAAGGAAAAGATGCAAAATATTTTATAATTTCTAGCTATTTACATTCTGTTGCCAAATTTCTTTCAGTTTCCGTATTCTTTTCTTCTAACAGTCTTATCTTCCTAATAAAGAATAATTTATATATTTCCATTCTTCCTCCCTAATACATAATAATATAGTTGTTATCTTTTTATATTTACCGCCTTAGGTCCGCATTTTCTTTCTTTATTGGTAAAAGCGCTAGACTAAATTGGGTATTCCAACTTAGCTTTTCGTCCGGGGAGACTGAAATGAAAATAATCAAAAATTACATGTAATTCCCTTTATTTATTTTTCTAATTTTACCGCTGGGTTTCTTGGAAATTTTTTTAGACTTTCCACTTGATTTTCTCTTTTTCTCTTTCCGATGTGTTGTTGGATGATGTAATTCTGTTAGTAACAAATATATTCTTTGTACGTATGCTTACATACATAAACGTATACAGTATATAAGTAAGTATATATATATATATATATATATATATATATATATATATATATATATATATATATATAAATGTATATAAACCTTTAGCTTCCACATCAGAATGTCTGTAATCCCTGTTATTCATTAATTGTTTTATCGTTTGCAAACAACACGATGGCTGTTGAAAGAAAAACAATTTATTTTTCTTCGTTATCGCTTACTAAGCCGAGTGTTAATGTTAAATTTTATAAAGTATAGGCTGTTTTATGTATTGGAGGAGGGGGAGGGTTAACATATTATTTTTAGTACTCAATATAAGACCTTACGTATTGAAGGGGATAATTATAAGAGTGAAAAGAAATACGTACAATTTTCTTTTCAATATCTCGACGACGTTCGATATCATGATCATCGTTATTATCATGACAGTCTTCGTCGTCGTCATAATCGCCGTCATCGTCGTCTGTTTCGTTACTATGATTATCATCATCGTCGACCTCTTCATCACTCTCAGCAATACTTTCCTCACTACTCTCCGAGGAATTTGCTTCTTTAGTAACACACTGACAACGGCAATGAAATCTAGTCTTTGGAATGCCATTACCAGCGTCGCCCTTTAATAGTTTACAATGAGGGCATTTATCGCGCCTACTCTCTCGGCTTTTTGATCTGTAATCCCTATAAATATATGGACGGTGGTCCCTTGCATCTTTTCTGTTGGTATTCCTTATTTCCACAGACTCAGAACCGTTATTATTGTTTAAATTATTATCTTTGGGAGCCTGTTCCTTTGGTATAGTTTCTTTTATGTCATCCTCTATGCAATCTTTTTGACTATCGTTGTCAATAACATTCTCCTTTCCGTTCAAAAGATCAGTGACAGTGCCTTCACTTGGTAGTTCATTGTTGGACTCGCATTTTGTTGCTTGCAAATCTTCTAAACATGTGCAATCCTCATCATTTTCTTTGTTCGAGTTTTTATGTTGCTTACGTTCTATGTGTTTTATTGTCGATAAATATCCTTTGGAATGAACTGAGGATGGATTCTTTCGTTTTTTTGTGGGCGTTGATGTAGGTAATCTTGAGTTGTAGGGCGCTGTAATGGTTTCTATTTCAACTCTTGTTTTTATTGGGTTATTGGGATCTTTTTCGTCGTCACTCTTAGGTTTGTTTTGATGAGCCTCGACTATCAGGAAAATACAAATAAATAGAATTAGGTAAGATAATCTTAAGCTGTCGAATTCTTAATTTAGAACATTATTGAAATAAGTCAGAGTGAACTAAAGGATTTATAATAATATGATTACCAGAATTATTCAAGGATACTGGTAAGCTGTTTCCAGGTAGACCAAAGGGCCAGGATAAGTCATCGCTAAACTGAGATAGTGCATTTGGAGTGAAATCATTTCTTCTTTTGTTACATCTCTTTGGTTTAAAACGATGACTTGAAAGACTGCGAGATCTGAACTTTTCTGCAGATTTACTAATTTTTGCTCTTGATGAAATTGTTGTTTTATCCATTATTGATTTTTTACGTACAGTTTCTGCGAAAATTTGGTTTTAAAAGTAATTTTTAACATTAAATAAATAAGTACTGTTATCTAAAATGCCAGAAAACACCTCTATACAACCGTCTAAGCCCTTTTTCATGCTGTATTTATGTAGATTATTTCAAGTCTAAACATGTTGCGCCAGACGAATTTAAGGAATCATATGAAAAATGGGTTACAAAGCTATAAACTAGTGTTTGTCTTTATTTACTTAAAGAGAATATCTTTGATTTGTATCGTTTTATTTTTAAAAAATTGATGTTGAGTGAAATAACATGACTTGAAAAAAATCGGGAAATTTAAAAGTTTGTTCCGATTTGAAAGTTTGAAAAAAAACAAACCAGACTATAGTGTCAGCTATTTGAAGCGGGTCTGAATTGAATGATTCAAAATAGTTCTTTATATAAAAACAGTAACTTTAACCTATGCAGAGGATATAATTTGCAAAATAGTTAAATATATACGTTTAGAGTAGTCTATAACATAAAAGTGCTTAGATGTGTATTAAATGATCAATACTTAAGCGGAGAGTAGTAATTTCCAAAGTCTCGCGTGATAGCCCGACAATTTTTGTGACTATCGATAAGAAAGTAAGCAACCTTACAACGTGTCTTCAGTTATATAATTATTACTTTGTATTGCAGACATGTCTGACACTAACGATAAAGAATTAGTTGCAGGACATCCTCCTGCAGGTAATACATATATAATTAATATAATAGCTTTTGTAATGAACATGTATTTTTATGTATCGAAATCAAAACGTTAACGGTGTTTATGCTGGCAATATTTGCGTATCTTTTATCTAGTACAAAATTTTCAATTCGTTTTAACAGTTAAAGCTGGTGGAAGTCGTCACGGGCAACATAGAAGAAACTCTGAAAATGAAAAGATATCTTCAAACGAAATAAAGAAGGAAGAGCAAGAATATGGATCAGAGTAAGTTTCATTGTATTTGAAGTTTATTAATGCTGTAATAACATTATAAGATATATAGCGTTTATGCTAATTATTAATATAGTATATAATATAATCTAAATAATATTCTATACAAAAGAAAAATCAATGATAAATTACATATGGTAAGTTTAGTTCATACATCATGCCAACTTCATCTTAAGTAAATACGAATATAAATAGTCCATGAAGCGAATGATGATGTATTGTGGTATTTATGCAACTGTGCGCGACTGTTTCTGTTTAACATAAATCAATCATTCTAAGTTTTTCTTAAACTTTATTTATTTTCATTTACAGTCCGAAACCCGATAGAAATTCTGATGTCATCTTATCAGGAGCTGTTGGAAAAGGGGACAAAGACTTTACTCCTCAAGCTGTAAAACAATTCCATGAAAAGCCCATTCCTTCTAAAGAGAAAAGGCCCGTTCAACAAACCCACCATATTAATCAACCTCGCTGAAAGGGAAATACGAAAAAATGTCTGAAAAATTTTTCTCTAAGGAGAATTTGAACTGCAACTTTTTTTGGTTTTCTCATAAAAGTTGAATCTTGAAACTAATATTGTGTTCAATTACTTTTATGCAATGAATTTACCATTAATTAGTTCTTTAGTACTAGGTTGTACAGGCTTTGCCTGTTCTTCTTCAAAGGTTTACACTTTCTAACCAGAGTTTAAGTGACATCTTAACAAAACTAAGCAACTTAATAAAACTTCGAAAAAAGCTACAAGCAATAAAAAATTATCATATATCATTTCCATATCATTTCCCTCTTCTTTCATTCTGTTTTACGTCCCAGCAATCAATCAAACTTCCTTTCAACCCTAAACATGCAAAGAACTGCAGCACAAAAAAGCTACTTTCATTGCAGTATAAATAGACGATAATATAGGTCAGAGCTTAGAAAGAGTAGAACTGCGTTCGATCAACTGAATTGATTGATGGCGTATTAAAAGCTTTTCATTGAAAAAAGAACGTAATAATTCTATAGATTAGGTCTACAGGGATTACCATTGGAATATTTTCATTATTATTCACATTGTGATGAAAAAATAATTCAGTCAATATAATTTCCATTATAATATTCAATAAACTAAACTGCTTTCTATCAGCAAACGAAAAGATCTAAGAAGCAGTTGAATTTGTAGTTGAGTTGTATATTTTCAAAATACCTATTTGAATATGCTAATAAGAGGGATCGTACACAAATTATTTATTCTAAGATATAGAAATGTGTATGCAGGTGCTGATGGTTTATAAGGTAAATTGTTTACGCCATTATTCAAACAAACAGTTTAGAAGTGGTTTTCCTCCATAAAAATTCCATGAAACAAAACAAATTCCCTTCCTCCCGCCCCACCTGATGCAGAGTGCAGTTTATTCTATATTTAATTTATTGTTATTCATATCGAATTGAGTTTAGCCTCTGGAATATTTAAATATTTTTCAGTGAAAAATCAATAATTTATAAGAAAAAAAGTTTATCAATAAAGTAAACTATTCTTTTATTTCTCTCACACAGCAATTGACTAACTTTCACATATGTCAATTTATAATGTATGTTTAATGTCAAAAGTATTCTTTACCATACATATTTTTAGAAAAATATTTTGTTGAAATGTTATTATCAATTCTCTGAAATTCGACGGAAATAGAACTCTTTGTTCATTTCTTTGTTGCTTTTAGCAATACCGATTTTTACTCTTTTTTTCCCCCTAAAACACGCGACTTTATAACATATCTATTATCTCGAGACAAAATATTTATCAACCCAATTCTAAATTCAAAGTGAGATATTGTAAGCATAATTTATCTCCATAATCGTCAACTATTCTCTAAATCATAATTTATTCTGTAAAAGGCTTTAACTTAAAATTATTAGTGAGCGATAATATAGTAATTCTCTTAAATCCTCATATGTTACAGAATTTCGCAATCAAGATGTCCGATCACGAACGCGATAACAATGCCAACGAAAACGAAGAAGATATGGGAGAACTTGTTGAGGTTATTAGCCTAGACGAGGAGGGCGAAGGAGGTTAATTAAATGAAATTTTAGATTTATACGTTTATGACAGCTCAAACGCAATATAGTAATCAGATCAATTATAATTATGCACCAATTTGGGATGACATTCTTGATAGATGTGGTGATTTAAAGCAAGCACCACTACCAACATCACGCAACATAATTAGGTTTTACAATTATAAGACGTGACCCTAACCTCTCAACGTTGCCAAATTGGAATCAAAAAATATTATTTAATTTACTGTCAAAAAGAGTTTCACTCTCTAATATATTAATATTTAGGATTGTTTTTCTTCTTCAGCTGAACTTGCTCAAGACCTGGCAGATTTCGAAATGAATGACGAAGATGAGGCTAGTGGGGGAGAATTAGTCGTTGATGATGCTATTCTCGTCTTTGAGAAACACAAAGGTGGATAGAATATATATAAGTTATCTAATGCACTAAATTACTGTTTTTAGGTTCCGTATTTAGTGTCGATGTCAATCCTTCATCAACTTATGTGGTAACTGGAGGAGAAGACGACATGGCCTACGTGTGGAACATAGAAAATAGTGAAATTATATTAGAATGTAATGGTTTTAAAGATAGTGTTTGCAATAGTTCATTTAATCACGATGGACAACTATTAGCGGCAGCTGACATGTCTGGTTTAGTGCAAGTCTATAAAATGACCGACAAGTCAATAGCTTGGTCTGGTGAATGCAGTGATATTGAGGTGAATGAAATAAATTTTTTTTATTATGCACTAATTGTATTCAATTGAGTGTTACATATTTAATCTAAACGTGTTTAGTGGTTGAAATGGCATCATAGTGGGAATGTCATTGCAGTTGGTACAACAGATGGTTCTATTTGGTTATGGAAAGTCCCTTCTGGCGATTGTAAAATTTTAAGCAATGCTACTACCAGTGGTTGTGGTACATTTTTACCAGATGGTTAGCTAATTAAAAATTATAACTAAGATATATTACTCCAAAATACGAAATATTCATACATTATCCTTATTTCTTTTTACTAACCTTCCTATAGGTAAACGTCTAGTATCAGGTTACAGTGATGGTTCTGTAAAAATTTGGAATTTGAAAGATGCAGTTGTCCAGTTTAATATTCCCTCTGCCTGTTAGTACTATATACACATTTTTTCGATGAAATTATTAGAATTTTCTTTCTTATTTGGCAGCTGGTGCCCCAACTTCAAATATTGCATGCCATCCCAATAAACCGCTAGTAATAGCAGGTTTCGAAAATGCTACCGCCGTTCTAATTAACGCCCAAAATGGAAAAGTAATTGCTAATTTTGACTGTAGTAGCAATCAAAAGGGAGAGGATGAAAATAAGGAGGAAGTTGTCGAAGGACTAAGTTTTTGTACAAGGTTAGTTCAAATATTATTCTTATATACAGAATAAGGAAAAAAGATTTAAAGACCTGGGTAAATAATGTTATAGATATTTATTTAAAAGCAACTATACGAAATTGATCTATATTGAGTCAAAAAATCTATTAAACTTTTATTAATTTGTTTACGAACGTTCTTAGAAATTTAGTAATCTATATTTATGCTATTTCCTTTCGTCTTACAGCCAGAACCTAGCTGTAACATCTACTTTAGCCGGTCTTATACATATTTGGGATTTGTCAAGTTTGAATATTAGGCATATAATACAAGTTGGGGTAAGTAGAATAATTTATAACATATCACGTCTTGGCTATTTAGGGTATTATTGTTATTATAATCGGACGATTCTGAATTTAAATAGTTCAAAGTAAATTAAAAATCGTTTATAAACTAAATTGCTATTGAAACGTTCAAATTTAGATTGAAAAAAGAGGTCTTACGCTTGAACGATGCTTGAGATCTTGTTAAATATTTTTATAATAATACAAAAAGCAAATGTAAATTTTGCGCTGAAAGAAAAAAAATCTCTATTTTCATGGCAACTCTCTATTTTTATTGTAAGAAGTCATTTGTTCATGGGTTGTTTGTTCCGACAGCGAGTACATTACGTAAATCATTTGGAAGTAAATCGCTTAAGCGACACGTTTTGTTCCAGTCAATGCACCTTTTCACGGAATATATACATTTATCATACAAGTTCTATTTAGTCTTTCAGAGAGAGACTATATTCAGCTTCAAGTAAACAATAATGTTTAAAAGTTACCCATGACTATATCGGTAATTTTTCAACTAAGGTCACGTGATTCCTTTTTTTCCCCTTTCTACCTATTATAATAAAGTCAGCTTTATTTTCAGCATATACTAAACTTCATTTTCTAATTGATTGTCTTACTATTAATAAAATATTAATAAAGTAAATTGAGAGTCTTAAGACAAACTTTATACTAAAAGGAAAAAATAGCTATATAGCAACTAAAAAAGAGATTGATTTTTATTGAATAACCCATAGCTCCCGTTTATTCTAAAAATATTTTTTTATGCGACTTCATTTCGGTTTTAAATTGATTGCATAATAGCTTAAAGACTAAGCTACGTAAGCTGCCGTGACGTATGGTATTTTACACTTTCATGCCAATAAAATTTATATATTATACACCTTACCAACGTTGTTCTCGTTTAAGAGTGTAACAAACTTCATTAATAGCTATACCATACATTTTACATAAAACACATGCATAGCTTTTATTTAAACATATATAAATACACGGAACGAGAAACATTTTCAATTGACAGTAAATCAGAGAGTAGCCAGTCATAATAAGTAAAAATTAAAGTATATACTTTGTAAAGCTGTAACTTTGGAGCCTACTGTTAATGTGTCGGTACTTTTTTTTTTTAGATAAAAATAGCTAATCCTTTGAAATACTGCGCGTAGTTAGATCCTTTAATTCATGGTTTATTTTCTTAATATTTTTAATATTAGGCTCTATATGTATATATGTTTTTAAGTGAATAGTAAAAGTCTTTTTGGCTTTGGTTTTTATTAGTAATTGATACGCATTGAGTACAAAAGTATAAGAAATATATTGTTGTGTATAAAACATTTCAGGTTGGAATAGTTCAACTGCAGTTTATAAAAGACCAGCCGCTTTTTTTTGCCTGCGGGTTGGATGGGACAGTTAGACAATATGACGTTAGGGACGGTAATTTAATAACTGAATTTAACGGGCATCAAAGTGCTATTTTAGATTTTAAACTGTGCAAGTAAGTTTTAATTTCGATTTTGGGCTTTTTGCTAAATTTTCATTATCGACTTTTCTATTTTTAGCAATTCTACTCATTGTTTAACTGCTAGTGATGACGGAACTGCAAGAGTCTTTAGTTTAAATAAGAATTGATTATCCTTAAAAGACTTGAAGAAGGTGTTTTCATTGGAATTATTATCGTTTATTAACTTTATTTGTAACGTTCTTGTTGAAAAATAATAAATTCTCTTTATTTTTGCATAAAGAGCTTTTTTTAATGAAAAAGTTTTATTTTGCTTTTCCTGTCTACTGAGTAGACTTTTAGTTATCTCTTATCAGAAATCAAAGCATATGCTTGTTTTCTTTACTTTTGAAAACAGTAAAATCGCTTGTATGTTTTGTAGTTAGAATCAATGGAAAATGCATAATTTTAAATTGTTTCTACTGTTTCGAATAGTATTATAAAATATTGCGATTATATCATTGATTAATGAATAATGTATTTAAATTCTTATCATTTGTGGTTGAAAAGATCGGGCTACTGATCGGTCAGAACCTCGCGGCCTTCAAAAGTAGTATTTGAATGTGTGGCGCGAAATTACAGGAAGTTGGCAGATGCATTATTTTTCGGAAGTTTTTAAATAAATTTATATAACAATAATTTCGTTAATCTGAGAATTTTTTTCTTTAGTTAGTGCGCTCTTTTTAATTTAAAAAAAATCCGAAATAATATGTAAATAGGGGTCACTAGACATCACGTGACCGTCTAGGGTCAGGTGTCAAATACTGATTTCTAAATGCGCAGTTCAGGCAATAAAAACTAAATTAATTTTTTTGTGAACAAATGAAAAGAGATAAAAACCAGAGGAAGATCGAGAAAATATATCACTTTCATTGACTTTGAAAGTAGGTGCGAGAAGAAGGGAAACTTTCGGCGCTAAAATCGGTCAGAATCGATCAATACAGCCAGACAGCCGCCATTAAACGTTCTTATACCGGCGTTATGGATTCTTTGTCCGTTTTCTCCTCCTTGATTTTGTTGATTTCATACCATGGTCTCTTAGGTAAGCATTGTTTAAACTATATTCTTTATCGGCTTTCGTTGATTGATAGGAATCATGCTTTTTTTCGTTAAAATATTCAGAGTGGAATCTTGGCTATTTCGAGTCGGATTAAATATTTTTTCTCTAACTTGAAGTAGTAAATCTAAAGTTGTATAAATGCAAAATAGGATCTGAAAAAAATGTTATACTCTATTTGTTGTAGTCTTTGCATTTTATGTATAAAATGTCCTTAGACGATGAATTTTAACATTAGATTTAGGTAGAACAAAGAATATCTGAAAAACTGTTCAGGCCGGTTTTCTGATTTTCATTAGCTAATGAATAATTTTTGCTTTTTCATTGTTTTAATTCTTATACTTCTTGTTTTCGTTCTCTTTTCCCGATTCTAACTCTTTAAGAATACTAATTAATGGGAATCAAAATAATACAATACTTGTTTATTTTTAAAGCATCGTCGTAGGCTTACAGGATCCTAATGTATTTTTAGAATTACGTAACTGGAAAATTTAAGCAAACAAGATTGAAAGATTTAGCTAAAGGATCCGACCATCAAAAATTGTTTTCGCGCAAATAATGGGAATTTTTCTATGGATTTTATACTAGCACGCATGGTTGCACATAAACATGTATTGATTGCTTAGTTGAATACTTTAGCTATGTACATAATTAAAACTTAGTCCTTTTAAAGGGTTTCAGATAATTTATAAGAGTTTAATAATTTTTTCATGGGTACTCTTTGGAAGATGACGCATGACTAGTCTTTCGACGTATCTCTTAAAGAATCCGTAACTGTCTTTAATCTTTGATGCCTGCCTATGCTAAAATTCTCTAATTGGATTCCACTTGATATTAACACCCTTCGTCTAAAGATCAAATTTCAAGACTCCCGCCTTCTATCATTTAGTAAATGGCTTTCATTTGCTTACATTTTATTTCTCAATGTAAAAGAAATAGAGAAGCTAGTAGACACACTATTTCAATGAATAATTGAACTAAAGCAAGATAACAGAATGCAAACCCTGTTTGGCGCCAGTAAATGTCAGTGGAGGCAAATGTTTGGTAAGGGGGTTTGCGGTTTAGCTAGATAAAATAATATTGATGGTTTTCTTTTTTATATTAACTCAGTGGAATGATAGCATGGCTCCGTTTTTACCGGGTCTCATTTCATGGTGTAAAAGAAGATTTGGTTGTTTTCTGCATACTCTAACTTAAAGCAATTTCCCTTCTTACCTCTCGTTGAGGCATCTGCTATTACTCCAGTATTTTCGAAGTGAAATAAACACTATGTTTTTCATCAGTTCGAATGAATCTCTGTTCTTGATTTTTCCCAAACTTGAGCATAGCTTAAGTCAGCCTGTGGAATGATTCTCTTGACAAATTGCATCTGTTGCTCGATTCTATTTGATTTTCAACTCCTTCACCCTTAACGCCCCTCCTCTCTTCCCCTTTCGCCGATGATAAATTAATCTAAGGGTTGATAAACTTTTCAGTTTTCGTGCTGAGTTATATTTGTTCTCTATCGAGTTGGCCGACACCGGTATATTCAGTATTTAGCATTTTTGTTTAAACAATTCCAATGTTGATCACAAATTAAACGGCATGTTTATTTTATTGATTTGAGCGACTGTTCATACCGTTTATCTTTATTGACGACACCTTGTTTTCTTAAAGACATTTTAAAATGAAATACTGTCAATTCAAGATACTGGATCTGCTATAAATTTATTTCATAGCCATTTAGAGTAATTCAACAATAAATTACAATAATGTTCTCTGCACTCTCTTAATGGCATTCACAATCGATGAAAAAGTGAGGGCTCAAAGTAAAAGAAATCTCGATACAGTCGAATTATTCGATTATAATATCTTGCAAAACAATATTGCTTTGATTGCAGTTCTAATTAACAGAATTTTTTTTGTTCTTCTATTTTTTTTCTTTGTACCGAACACTATCCAAATAAGATCAAATTAACTGACTATTGTCGTTGATAACTGCGTTGATACAACTCGAGTTACGCGATTACGCAGGTGTATGCTTAATATAAACTATTAACTTGCGTTAAAAGGTTTTGAAAATATCGCGTCGGAAATCTTGAAATATCTCTCTTCTTAACCTTTAATCGTTCTTTAAGCCCATCAATTTCACCTGTTAATTTTAAACTAAAAGTTATTGCCGTTATTTTGAATACTATAGCATGATAAACAGTTATATGAAAAGGTCGAATGAGAAATATTATAACCGAATTTCCCTAAACTATTGATATTCATTATTTGTTCTTTCAAAATTTATTCCACATTGAAAAGAGCCATGATTTTCGTTTACAACATATTTTAATGAATCTATTAAGATCAAATAATATAAGACAAAATACTCTTCGTCTATTACAATAAACATTAAAAACGTGCAGACATTTACATGTTATAATAGAAGGCTTTTAGAAAACACTAACAGCCACTCATAATTCAGAGAAAAATTAGATTTTTTCAAACGGATTAAATTTTTACAGGCCACATAGAATGTTTTCTAACAAATTAACAAGTTTCACTTACTTATTGAATAAATGCATTAGTTATAAAAATATCTCTTTCACAATTAAACAGAAAAAAAAATCTGACACTGCCGACCTTTTATTCTATCTTTGTTTTTTTTTAATTTGAGATTTTCTAATTATCTTTATAGAGTATATACAAAAAACACTGTTATATTTATTAGTTTGTTTTGCTTAATTAGATGTTCGACTATGATAACGTAATTTTTTCCTCAGGATAATGCTGTTTTGTTGTTAATTTAGTTTACTATAATGGTTTTTTAATCCTATAGATGGCGCAGCAGTCTATAAGAAAGAGGAGACCATTTCCTGCAAATTCACAAACAACGGAAATCGTGGTTATCCTACACTCGATAAACCAGATAAAAATTTTACCAATGACCCTGGAGTTTCAAATAAGGATTTTGGAGGAATAATTTTCTATTCTAATTTAACAATACGTTGCCATAGTCCTTCTCATAAATGTTACGCGCACTATGTTGTTCAGAAAAATGCCTCAAAAAAGGTAAAAGTCTACAGTTCAGGGTGTCTGGACATTGAGTCATGGCCACCAGATTATAATTGCGATGATACCAACGAATGTTTAACTCAATATCATCCTAATGGGAGAAGCGTTCAAGTTTGTTGTTGTAAATCAAACTATTGTAATTCGGAGGATAAAATTAACCCAAAGCACTTTTTTAATGTGACCCATCACAAGCAAAGTGACATCTACGGCAATGACAATGATTCGCAAAAGGTTTCACAAAAATCCAACTTAGAGGGTAGAAGAAATAATATTATTAAAGTTTTAATACCGCTGGCAGTTTTGGCTATCTTCTCAATTATTGTCATTATTTGCTATTCAGTATATCGAGTGTGTACATATGAGAAGCGGTGCTCTAGAAGCCGATTTGAGGAGCACAGTGAAAAGTCGACCAAATTTAGTACTGAGTTTTTAACTGAAGCCAGTTATACCCCAGAATCTCTGATCGCTTCTGGTAGATATGGAGATGTTTGGGTTGCTACTATGGGAGATAAACTAGTTATATTTAAATCATTTTGCAGAGAAAACTTTAACCATTTTTCAAGGGAGGTCATGATCTACCGACACCTTGATAATTTAGGTGTGCGTCACCAAGGAATACTACAATTTTTCGGTTCATTTATGAAAGATGACTTAATGAAATTGGTATTGGAATATGTACCAGGTGGTTCTCTAAGAGACTACCTATCCAGCCATAACGACTTACAATTAGACGAAACCATAAAGTTAATGTCTACTCTATCCAGTGCTCTGTCATTCCTTCATCAGAATAAGATTGCCCATAGGGATTTAACCTCGACCAATGTTCTTGTTAGAGCAGATTCATCTTGCGTATTATGTGATCTGGGTTTAGGTCACGTTGCTGGAAACGAAATGGACAGTGGACTTATAAACGCCGGCACAACCAGATACATGGCACCTGAATTATTGGATGGTACAGTTAACATGGGTGATGTGAGTTCTTCTTTAAGAAGTGCAGATATATACTCTTTATCATTAATTCTTTGGGAGATATTGAATGTTTACAGCAATAACAGGCATTTGTTGCCTTTTGAAATAGAGTTAAATGGAATGGTAGCCAATTTAGAATCTATGCAGTTTATTGCTGTTAAACAAAATATGAGACCTTCCATTAATTGTAAAATCTTAAATTCTAATATTCTTATGGATATTTCTGAGACCATACAAGAATGTTGGGATGCTGATGATGCTGCTAGGTTAACTGGTATATGTGTTGAAGAGAGATTTAAGGTCTTGGAGCTAACGTTATCTTCTAATTCTTCGCTGAGAACAATCAACAACAATGAATCTATTGCTGCAAGTGATTCTAGTGAAATAGATTACCGCCCACTTATATCTCAAGATAGCAATGGTGCTGTGCCATCTAGTGAACACGTAGATTTGATAGCTCCACCAAATGCAAGGGTGTGTAGACCCACAAGTTTACCACTCTGACTCCGGTGATAAATTTTCAGTTAAATTAAGTAATGGAGTTTTTCAGAACATTCTATCAATGGATATTGTCTGGTTTCCTCTCAGCAAAGCTGCTAATTAGTGTTGTATGATAATACAGTTATATTATATATATATATATATATATATATAGATATATACAGTGTATATATATACATAAAATGTATATGTCTTTTTTGAAGCATATACAAACAAAGAAACATATATTTACATATGTTTTTGTGTCGTATAACATCCCTTTACATGTACACTTCTACATGTATCTGTATTAGTTTAGTTAAAAATAATTAATGCTTGATGAAGCAGACTTGAGCCTACGGTGTTGTACAGAAATATGTATTGCATTTCATTTAGAAAATATGCCATTTAATTGTTTTTATAAGTGATCTCATAAACTTATTTTCCACGGCGCTCCTTAATGGTTCAACTTTTTTCAACTTTTTAAATGAAATTAATCAAACCAATTCAAAAAAATTAAGGAAGAGACATTTGCTTGTGTAATTGAGTCATCGATTTGTCTTAAGTGAAGTGAAATTCAAATTTGAAATTAGAAAATTTTTTAAATGTTCATGTAACGTATTTCGTCTGCGAAGTTTCATATGTCTCTATATAGTATTCTTAATAAAGAAACGAAAGAATTATTACAAATTTTTCCTTGTATTTATTTTACTTCTTCAAAAAATAGTCAAACGAGAAAATAAAATATGAAAACGAAATCATCAGTCTTAAATGTATAGATTAGTTTTTTACTTTAAAGGGGAAAAATAACAAACCTTTTTCCTATTGAAAAAAAAAAATAATGCAATAAAAATTAATAAACCATTCAATCAAGTGACGATTAAAACAAATTTCCAAATTTTCCTCATTTCTTCTTAAAAGTGATGTTTTAAAGCATTTAACTTGAGTGCTAAGTGCTAGTGTTCAATTTCAAATATCTATATTATTGTAAGACAAACTAGTCTATACTGTGAACATTCTGTTTTATATCAAGAAAAGAGTTGTGAATTTGTATACTGTATATTCCATAATGCAGTTATTAAGAAGTTAAACTACTCTTTTTTAATCCCATGAAATACTATAAAGAGGAAAAATATAAAATGAGAAAAATCCTTTAAACATTCATTCAACTTGTTTTCTTTCCATTTGTTCAGATGGCACTCATTTTTTTTAAGTATATTTTACCTTTACTTGTAATGCAAACAAAAATTATCAATTTTCTAATAGATTACTCGGATGATTTGTTAAATCTATACTTTTATGTTACGGAAATGTATGTATAATATACTGTTCCAACTTTAACGTAATCATTTTGCGTGCAGACTTACACAGCAGGATATAAGATGAATATCTATATAAATATATAAATTTACTGTAAGGTAAGAATGGTATTATATTTCCTTCCTAGCCAGGTCCTCATCTGGCAATAAATCATAGTCTTCGAATTCACTAGTTTGACTTGGACTCTCCGCTCCATAATGTTCGGGAGCTATATCGAGAGTATCCTCTATTTCACTGGTGGAACTAATTGTCATTGGAGTAGGTGGCATGAGCGAATCATCCACTGAAGGGGCATAATCAGTTCCTTCATCTTCGCTATCTGTAATAACCTTCGCCAGTGCTGCAGACTTCTGTGGATCAACGCATGCTGAAGACAAGTCTAAATCACTGTCATCTGTTTCGCAAATATTTCCTTTTTCGTCCTTTACTTGTATATGAGGTGGTTCGTTTCCTTCCATAAACTCCTCTGATAGAAATATAAGTACCACTACAAGTACACTAAATTGAAAATTGTCAACCTACCACTTCCACTTCCTCTTCTTCTTTTTCTTCTTCTCTGAATACTGAGACTATACTCAATTGTCATTAAATGCGGTTCAAGGCGTTCGTATAGCCTCTGTAGGAGGCCATATTTTGAAACAGGAGGAGTAATTAAAAGAAACATGGCAATCGTATATAGTAGCATAAGACCACTGATGTATGAGCTTATTAACAGAATGGACGAAAAGATGGTGAAGTTGATAAGGAAAAATTTTACTTTTCTCTCCGAACGCAGTTTCCTGAGACAATTAACATATAATGTAAGTGTAGTCCAGAATTCTGCTGTTGTTCTAGCTAATTCTGGAACTGTAGCTGCTTGAGGATGTAAAGGAGTCCAACTAAAAAGAGGAATTGTATTCATTAGAAGTGCTAAATAAGTGTTATCTGCAAAAGAAAATGATTCCAATGGGAAAATTTGCGTTATAATTTCTAAGTACAACCTGTAAATATGTTTTTATATATACTATATTTATGAATGAGTCAAGTACTGGTTGTTTTCAGAAAAAAAAAACTACTACGTAATAACCCTATTATTAAATATGTTCAAATAATAATAAAAGTATGAAGAGATAACTCTGTTATCAATACTGACTCTTCGTTGTCATCGTTCGCTGGTTTGGACACTCTTATTTCAGGCCAGAATACGTTAAACCACATATCCACTGAGACAATGAGTCCGGAAATGATGCCAATGAGATAAATTGGCCTACAAGTTGTTGCAAAGCTGTTGAAAAATAAAGAGGATGAGCTCAAGGATGTTTATTAATTGATAAAGATATCTAATCTAAATGGCAATTATTATTATTATTAGCACGTTTTCTTTAACTTAACTTTTTCAATTTCTTTTTTAAGCTATTAAAGAATTTCTCTGTTGCATAAAGTACAACATATATACATCCATCAACAAATAGTAATTAAAATTTGATTAAGATAAACATTTTTTCAACTAATATAATAGATACATTAATTTAATACTGAATATCGTAATTATTTGATATTCTATAATATATTTTAACAACATTTTTGTTTTATTATTTTTTATAAGATACAAAACTTTTGTGCAATATCTTAAAGGACTGCAAAACAGAAAAAGAAAGTTCTACTTGTATCATTTAAAAATGTTCGAATTAATGACGTCACATCCGTTGCAAATGCTGACTGACTTAAATATATTTATATATTTTTAAAGCAACAGATGTTAAATAATAAATTCGTATTGCTCTTAATTTTTATTTTATAATTTAACTGAAAGTATTTTTACTTACTAGAAGAATAAATTAACGTTGATAATCAACGACGCACTAGCCCATGGTATTTCCCAATATAAAATTCTTTGCAGTACAACCAGTTGACTTTCAATGGGTAAAAGTAAATTTCTGAGATATTCCTCTCTTTTCTCAATTAACTGAGTGGTAGATACATCATCTGTATTATCAAATTCCTCATTTATTTGTTTTGTTTCCATACATTTTGATTTACATCGACGGTCCATATTTTTTTGCTGCAGTTTTGTTTAGCTATGACGTCACTAGTCACGTGACTATAGTATTGAAGGATAACTTTAAAGGCGCCATCTGGTTAGTTGACCAACTGAATTTCCCCTTAATTCTTCAACCTGAATATTTTTATTGGAAAATTTCGTAGAAAACTGCGAAATATTCTAAAAATTCTGTACCATAATTTAGAAATCTGTACATTATTTTACATAGATCCATTATCAAGAGAATTTCATTGAAAAAACTACTGACATTTAAGTATTTCTTAAAAAATGATAAGGCGTTATTTACAATATACGTATATATATATATATACTAATATATAAAACTATTCGAGCTATTTTGTTCTGATTTAAACATCCACATAAACTATTTTAAAACAAAGGCAAACTAGTTAATCAGCAGAGCTGTATCAGTTATTTTTTCTTATCTCTTAAGAACAGCAACAGCGTCTTTTATCGCTTGATACGTTATATTTTTAATTTGCAGTTTATCTTCGTGATTTGAGTGTGTATCCGATAATTGACGAAATTCATTAGTCAATCGGAAAGAATGATGAAGATGCTCGGGAGATACAAAGTCTTCAGCTGCTTTAATACAAGAATGTAAATTTCTAACTTGATGAGGTGCACCTCCTGGAATAAAAACAGCATCACCTAGAAACTGAACTAAGCAATATCCTTCGATGTCATATTCGTCTTTTAGCCTTTTTCTTAAGTTGACGTCAAGATAAGAGCTCTGGTCGTGAATGGGATCATGATTAGCTTCTATTTTCTCACCTTTTTCTTGTGCCACTTTTCTTAAGAAAGCTCGTATTTTGTCAGCGTCGTCTGCGTCGAAGATATGCCACAAGGCTCCTGGAATTTCTTTTTGAGCTCTTTCAATTTGAATGTTGCAAACACCTTCATTTCGCAAAGCGTTCATAACAACGTTATGGTGATTACAATTAGCATCATCTTTTACAATTCCAACATAGAGCATAAGATTAGCGGCGTCAGACACGTCTAAATGTAAGTTGGTTGTTGCTTCATTGGGGTATTTAGCACTACCATATGCATTGTACATTTTTGGGCCCAAATCAGGACGCACAAAAAAGTCAGGCAGACGTGATGTTAAATTGAAGACACCATCTCGATGAGTATACTCTGGAAATGGGAGAGCTTCCATTAAATTGCTAAAATGCTTAGGTAAGATTTTGGCAAAGTCTTCTGTGGGAGGCCAATCTTTTAATTTCAGAATAAGGTGCTCTTTTTTGTTTCGAATATCTGGCATTCTTGCCGATTCGCATTCAAATCCATCCCAAAACTCAGAAATCAGTTGGTCTTCAATGATCTCGTGTGTTCTGCAGTTAACTAGGGTTGCTTTCTTGTTTCCTACTTCTTCTGTGAATCTTTTAGGATGCCATAATTCATCATCAATATAACTATTGCAATTGGAAGCAATAACAGGTATTCCTAGTGACCATTGACTTCTAAACAGGTCTACAGCATTTGGATGTCTCGGATAAAGAATTTGAAGAACCCTCTGATTATCAATCCAAAAATGAGGAATAGATGAAAACAATTTATCAGGTATATCGAAAAAGTCTTTATTCTCGTCCAACGTCTTTTTTTGTAGATAATCATAAATATTTTTAATATGAGAAGATGCTTCATCGGATCCTTTAATTACTCTAAGATCGTGCTGATTTATTACAGAACGTAGGTCTTTTCCTAAAGTCCAAAACGCATAACCAGGAATAATTTGAGCAATTATAAGTGAGTCGGTTGAATGATTTTCGTTGTTGTTGGAAGCGCAAGTTAACCATCTTATTCACAAAAATATTTAATTAACTCTAAAATCGAAAAGAATAATTTCACTTACTTTCTCTCAGCTTCCTTTACTTCCACTTTTGAATTGTGAAGTTTCAATTTAAAACAATCGATGCATACAGAGAAACCGCATTTGGCACAGACCCAATTTATGTTGAATAACGTTGTATTACAAACATCACACATTTCTCTAATCTGATGGCAAGGTCGCTTCCAAAATAACTTCATTTGAGAGTTTTTAAATTTAATAGCCTCCCTTTCCATTTCCAACATTTCAAGAAACTTAAACGCAACTCTCTCTATTATGTACTTGGCCATATCTTGAGTAAGATACGGTTTTGATATCGGATATAATGACTTCCACAAAATAGTATCTTCTTCCTGAATATCGCACATTTCACTGAAACCTACAGCCCTTAAGCCGTTTTCGTCGTAGCGTATTTTTCGAAAAGCAAAAAATCGACAATAATTACTTAAAGTTCTTTGATTACGACATTCCATGCACTTCATGATACCATCACCAAGTTGGGAGCAGGATGAATATTGTAAGAAAGTTCCGAAAGATTTTGGCCGAGGTTGTTCTCCACGGTCTTTTAGCAATTGTGTCAGATGCTTTCTAGGAGAATGTCTGTGATCGTTAAAAAAAAACGGTACTTCCTCTCGAATACAATTTCGATTGAAGTGAGCTGATAAACTAGGAGACTCTTGTTCAAACGTTGACTGTTCATCATGTCTTTGATTATCATCAAAAGATATATGATGAGGGAAGAGCGCCGTAGATTTTAATGCTATTGAACGAGAACAATGCTTTTTTTCGGTAAATTCGGAAATTTCTTTATTCTTCCTCTTCTTACTTTCCTTGGCTTGTTCCCTTTCGGAGAATTTCTATAAGCATAAAAATATTTCTTAGTCTGTAATTAATTAAAGTGTACAACTTTTGAAAGTAAGCCATTCAAATTTTAAAATTTACATATGTAGTAAACTCGGAAAAAAAACTCTAAACAAGCACAAGTGAACTCATTTTTGGCCGAATTTAAATTCATATTTTAAATAAAAATTTTAATATTATTACTTACCTCACAGATCGCTGATATAGGACAATTAATATCGGGACCACAATTAATTTCGTTGGAGCTATATTTAGCAATCTTCGTAATGTCCTCATTATTATTGGGCAATCGCTGTTCATCGTAGGCACAAATCGTAATCATATCTGGTGATCTTTTCGATGTAGGGTTTTTTACATCCCACCGACTTGCGGCAATTGCCTGAAATTCGTCAATCGTTGACGTCTCCTCCGAAATTCCGTTTTTTATATCCTGTTGAAATTGAGGTTTACTACAGTGACCTAAAACTGTTACTCTACGTGACGATCGTCACAATTTAACTTTATAGCCATACTTCAATATTTAGACTAGTGAATTCGCTATGAACTGGTGACTATTATTTTGACGCATGTTATTACTTACCATTTCGAAAGAAATGGGGCTTAATTTAGTGATACACCACAATTTCTCTCTTTAAATGAGCGTTCCGGTTGCGGAAATTCTACTTTTGCGCATGCGTAAAAATTATTTCTATGGCAGTTGTGACTAAAACCTGGGTCACCTCATATCACAGAAAATCGAGGACTAAGCTTAATTAGTTTTACTCATTTAAATTAATGTAAACAGGGATGAACGCTACAATTTACTTCGAAATCAGAGTTCTAGAGTTCGAAGAGATATTCGTTTAAATAAAAAAATTCCCATTGAGGTAAATATCTTTTATCTTGAGCTGATTTTTGAGTGTGCATGAAATTGCTGGTTATAATATGAAAATTATAGTTTGCTAAAGAGTTTTAAAAATTATATTTTCTATAAGGATGCTTTTACGTTTTATTGTTAAAATGAAAAGAGTCAACTCTATGTTTTAATTAATATGAAGATAACTAAAACTCTCAGCTGATTATTTCCCATTCATGTTATAGTTAAACCCATAACAAGCGGTTCTCAATAAGAAGTGATTGTGTTATTTTTTTGTTAAAAGCTCTCGAGAGACTATATACTGGATGATCGGGAAAGCTGTAGAAAATTATGGATGATAGTGACGTCGAATTACGTGAAAGGTTGTTTCACAACGCAGTTCGTCAATATATCGTAAGTGTCAAGTGGACCGATGAAATTTTATTTTAAAATCAATATTTTCAGATCTTCTTGCTAGTCTTCATCATTCTTTACGTTTCTTCATACTTCTTCCTAACATATTTTAAAAAAAAGACTATTTGCGAAGATCATTTTTCCGGTGAAAAAGAAGATGCCATTGTTTATAGAATATCGTAAGTACAAAGGAAATAGAAAAGATATTTTGAATAGACGATAAAGAAAGTTGATATCTATTCAGTATCAAATATTAATTCAAACATTCTAAATTTTATTTCCATTTAAACTCGACATTACTTAAAAATATTTGTATTCAAGGAATACTTGAGCTCTTTGTTAAAAGACATATATTGTATAATACTAACACTATATATATCTATCTATATACATATATATTCTTATTTTTATTTTATTCTCTTTAATAGATTGTGGATGTGCACGTTTACTTTATCTAGTTCATTAGGAGCAGCGTTACTTCTTCCAATTTCAATAATATCTAACGAACTTTTGCTCCATTATACCAATTCGTATTACATGCAATGGCTAAATTCTTCTTTAATTGAAGGTTTATGGAATTGGGTTTCCCTATTCTCTAATCTAAGTTTACTGATTTTAATGCCGTTTGCCTATTTGTTTACCGAGGCAGAAGGTCTACCCGGTTGTAGAAAGGGAATTATGAGCAGAGTTTATGAAACTGCTTTAGTTCTAATCTTAATGGCAATCATGGCCTGTGGTTTGACGTTCATATTTGCAGCCATTTTCAACAAGGACGAATGGAGCAAGCGAACTTTGTTTGGTGAGATAGTTCATATTTATTTTTGAACTAATTAATAAAAAAAGCCTATTTTAGATGTTTGGAGCTTTTATTTGCCCTATTTATACTCTTGTATCTCTCTAATTGGAGTATTATTGCTATTTAGTAAGTATTATTTTAGATTTCTTAAAGATTATTTCAATAATTTGCATAATTTCTAACAATGAAACCGCCATCTGGTGGGGTATTTTTTACATAAACGATTAACGCTCAATCATTCTTATTCTTTGTTCAAAATAGTTTGTACTCCATTGGGTTTTGTAAGAATGTTCACATTACTCGGAAAACTTGTAAAAAAACCTGCTTTTCTACGCAAAATCGAAGATGAACTTTATACAACGTCTCTTGAACAAGAAACACTTCGTCGTCATCTCAATTGGTTGAAACATTCCTCATCAAATTATTCAAAATTGGCGAATGGTAACAACGAATCTCATTCATTACACGATTATGAAAAGAAATTGAGCGATTTGGACAATGATTATACGGAATTAGAAAGAAGAAGATGGCTTGGAGTGAAGAGGGACTATATTAGAATCATTATTTTCCCTATATTATTTGCTGCACTAGTTAGTTTAACTGCGGTTTGCGGTCTACTAGTGCTGAGAAATACATTGGAATTATTAATTGGAACTTCTTCTCCTGCAATTTCCAAGAACTTGGTTTTAGGAGCTGCGAGCTTTTCAAGATTAGGTTTGTTTTCTTCTTTTTTAATAAAACTAAAATTATATTTTTTCCAAATTTTCCAGGCTTATTTGGTTCAACTTTATACTTGCTGGTAATTCTCTATGTTACCTTTTCGTCTATTGTAGGACTTTACTGTCTTCCTTATATAAGTCCAAAGTTAATGTTACTCAAATCCAACACATCAACAACAAAACTAATCGGAAATTGTTCTTTGTGGTTAATTATATCTTCAGCTATGCCCCTTTTGGCTAGAACATTAGGATTTACTGACTTTCATCCAGGAACACCACCAAAATGGTTACACAACATAGTTTTCGTAACCTGCTACAATATGGCTTTTTTAGCCGCAACTATATTTTGTTTAGTGACCAGATTATCGAGTGCAGCAAGAAAGTCTATTATGTTAAGAGTGAGGCGTATAATGAGAAGAAAAAATAAGAATGAATGAACTTAGTCAATATGTATGTTAAAATGTTGAGTATTGATCTCTTTTTCGAATGAGATAAAAAAATATTAATAATAATTAACCTTGAAAAAAGGAAATTTAACGATTAATTTTTGCCAAAAAAAAGAAAAAATTCCGTCTAACGGTGTTTGTTTTTGTTTTCTCCTAGGTAAAATTCTGACAAATCAAACAGTTAGGATTAAAGGACGCAAAGCAACAGTCTGCTTTAAGCAATAATCTGAATATTTTTTTATTCATTTTTTGTATTTTGTCAAACTTTGTTCATTATTTTTGAAAGAAAGTATGTTACAGCAAAATATAAGGTCCTGTAACTCTACTGTTTAATTAGTCTAGTCAATGTTGTTAAAAAGATTGACAAATTTAACATGCGCTTTTCGTAAAAGTATTAATATATGCAGTATTTATCAGACTTAATACATTTGACAAAACGAACAACTTACTCTACTTTCTCGAATTATTAATGAATTTATTATAAGTATTGTTGAAAGAAACGCGCCAAATTTGTTTACAACTTCATCGGCCATTTTGTTACCAAGACAACACACTGCACGATGGGAGTTTGAGAAATTCGACAACGTCGTCTTTCGAAACTTTATGGGAATTTAAAGATTATCTACATAAATTACCTCTTAATCTGATAAGAAAGAAGTTGTAGAATTGGAGAATAAGTATGTTAAATAATATAATATCTGTAGAAGTGTAATTAAATGTTGTTGTAGAGCGATATTGAGGATATATTAACCAGGAGTAATTTGAGATTAAGCGTTCAATTACTTAAGATCAAATGAGTCAAGGAAGAATCTTAGCGACGGATAACGAAAAGTTGCTCGACCTTTTACGTGAGAGGACAATGAGTTCTCTAGGTTCTGCTAGAGTTCGAAAGGGCGACGAAGAGGACGAAAAGTATCTAAACTTTTATTACTTTAGAATTGTTCGAAAAAGAACAAATTTTAAAATTTGTATTCTCTCTCTTAAAAGTAAACTATTAGCTTTCTTTAACACAAAAAAGGGAAGAGAGGAGAATAACGCAAATTTACTTATAAAATTTTCAGTTTATTTTAAAATCAATAGCAATATATAATACTGTCGATAGTATAGGCCTTCGTTAGGCAAATGTGATATAGAATTAGATAGGGAATTTTAAAAAAAACAGCTTGACCCTATCGGATTAAAAGGTCTAATTTATTAATCTAGAAGTTTATACAGGAAATTTACTCTAATAATGTCATTCATTAATCCTCTTAGTATTTATGTTATTTCAAAAACCAATCCTCATTCTCTGTGACGAGAGTTTCTTATTAAAGCATTCATTCTTCTTCTTTCACCCTACCGATATAGATACGAATACGTTAACGAGAACGTTGATGATTCTCTAGAAGTAACTAGTGCTAAAAAAATAAAGCCCATAGAAAGGATAAGACCTAAGCAACCATCAAGTATATCAGCTTATTCGGATAGGTAAATACTATATGTTAATACCCGTTTGATTATTTATATATTCCATTACCTTTCATTCTTCTTCTTCATTTCTCAGATACGAAGATAGAAGTTACAAAGGATTATCAACAGCAACAACAACAACAATAAATTCAACAGTAAATATTTAATTAATCTATTTTAATATTCGTTTGCTTTTTTGTCGAAAGAGAAAAAATTATTTTTTTACCATCATATTTTAATTTGTTTTGTTTTTCGAGTGTTATGATTTCGTTTGTCACGATTTATTTAGCCGCCTCAAGGATTGCTTAGAGTTAGTAAGCCCGTTCAACCCATCGAATCACCTTTTTCGAAAGCACAGGTCAAAAAAGAGCAGGTGTGTTGTTTATTTAAAAAGTGAAGTATTGATTTTTAGGTCATTTTCTTTTTATATTTTTGTTTTTCTTAACAATCGAATTATCTTCTTATTATTTCTTTTCAATGAAATTTGCTGTTTTTTGTTTTCCCCCTTCCCCTCTTTGCTTTCTTCCTAACAAACACTATTGAAAATCTTTAAAAATCAAACTACTGGCATTATGTGTCTGGATTATTTCGCAATACTTTTTTATAACATTTCCTTTGTAATTACTACTGTTATAGACTATCGATAAAAGGATCAATTATATTGTTAGTGTCAATTCTAGTGTACTTAACGCAAAAATATTTTTGGTAGGAAGAGCAAGATTTACAGCAGGAGAGAATGTATCAAGAGCGATTAAAAAAGCGGATAGCTGATAACGAAAATGATATGCATAAGAGTGATGAATGGGAAAGGAATGAAGAAAGCGAACCTCTTCCTGTTGATTCTCTGGATTATGAATCAGAGAGATATTATAGCAATCCTACCAGTAATGTTACAACAATAACCCAACCGTCAAGAGAGAGTTTGGAGGAGCTAAGGCGCAGGGAGGACGAGGAAGAGCTTCACGAGTTATTCGTAGCTAGAAAGGAAAAACGAGCCCAGCAAAGGCAGATATTTGAACAGCAAAAGTTACAAAATGAACTAAACAGATACGAAGAGCAGGAGAGGATAAAACTTATGGAGGAGGAATTGGCAAGAGAAGAATTTAGGAAGAAACAAAAAGAGCTGGAGCGAAAAAAATTGTTAGAAGAGGAACTTAGGAAAAAAGAGATTCAAAGGAGGAAAGAGCAAGAACAAGAAGAACTAAAACGACGTTTGGAAGAAGAAAAACGAAAAGAACGGGAACGAACTCGAAAAGTTGTTAAAAAAACTGCAAATTTTGATGATACAGATTCGGATGATTCAGACTCTGACGACTTAGATCCTCCTAATTCTTTAAAATCACCACGAAGGTTTAAAGAAAAGTCTCCAAGAGTATCAACAGATATACTTGCTCATCAACTGCAACAACAAGCAGTCATACAAAGTAATATCCAACAGCAACAAATGCAACAACAGCAACAATTGCAACAATTTATGATGATGCAGCAACAAATACTTCAACAGCAACAGATGGCGCAACAATTAAGTCCAGTACCAAAGAGTACCGATCCATCCTTAGTGAGTATCCTTATTAATTATTTTCTTACTGTAATTGATTTATAATTTTATAATAGGCTTCCAACAATCAAATTGATCCGAGATATTTAAAGTACGCTCAGCAACCGGAAGAACAGAGTGAAAAGAACCGGGAAAATTTTTCAAAAGATTTTATCGAACGAAACATTGAATCTTTAAATAAAAAGCAACAAAAAAAGAGTTACGGTCAAATCTTTGCAGAGAAAAAGCAGACTTCACCAACACCTAGGCGAAAAGAAAAAATTCCGAAGGCTCAAAAACCAAGGAATGTTGAAAAATTTATCAACCAGGAAGCTAGTGATGAGGAATATCAAAGTGAAGCTGAGAGGTTATGGAAAAATAGATCGACAAGCTTGGCAACGCAGAAAGACGGCTCTGGTAATAAAAGGAAATTAAGTAAGAAACCCAGCGCTGTACAACAGCAGGTTCCCGTAGCTCCTGTAAGTATCTATTTGTAGAAAAGCCTTAGATATTTGATTAGCTTATTGTTTTAATTAGCAGCAGATGGGCTACCAGGTACCTACTCAAGTTTCAACTCAGGTTCCAACATGGTACAAACGTCGATCGTCTGAAAATGATTTCTTCGCTCATCAGACGGCAGATATTTTTACTATGCCTGCCCAAGTTCCAAATAGCGCCGATAGTATTCAAACTGTCGAAAGTCCATATAGAGTACTACCGCCAATTCCTTCAAATAGTACAGAAGACAATCAAACACCTCGGGACATAAAACCGACGCCCAGACATCAAATGCCTAAAAGTCAACAACTTACTTACGCTGAGCAATATGAAATCGAAAAGCAGAAAGAGGAGAAGAGAGCAAAGAATGAAAAGAATTATCAGATCTATACAATTGAGGATTATAAGAGGATGAATAGAGAAGTGAAATTGGGGGGTTTAGGACCCGATTTGGATAATGAAACTCTTAGAGATAAGGTATACTGTATATATATATATCAAAAGTAAAGCACCCTTTTTCTAAAACTCTGTTCAAATATATAGAAAGAAAAAGCTCAAAGAAAACAAGAATATGCTAAACAAGTGCAAGAAAAAAACCGTCAAGACCTTAAAGGTATCAAGAAGTCGTCTTCCAGACCTAATTTAGAAAACCTAGATAAAGAAGATCTTGTTAGCGCAAGGTCAAAAGCAATGCAGTATGCGAAACAGGTGAAAAAACCACCGAAACAAAAACCTAAAGAACAAAAAAGTCCTACTCATGGAGTCGATTTGAACGTAGAAGAAACTCCTGAATTAATTGATTTAGAAGCCTTGCGTGAGAGACACGAAATGGAAAGGCAACAGGCACTTTTAATACAACAACAACACGCTTAGTTGATATTACATTTAAGTGCTATCTTTGTATCGATACACGCAATAAATATAATGCTTTTTTAAAACTATAATTACATATATATGTACATCTCTTTATAGTTTTATATATATGTAATATAGGTATATACAACTTTTTACAGTATATACATTGAAACCGTCCATTTTTCAAAGTTTTTCGACGCTGTTTAATTATATCATTTCTAGTCGATTGGTGCGTGACTGTAATACACTTCGTCTGTTTATTATGAAATGAATAAGTTATTAATTTTGTTGAAAAATAACAATAGATTAATAAGAATACAAAAAGAGAAATCTTTATTGTTTTCATTAGGATCCTTTAAACAATTATTTCCATTTAGCATATTACAATTTTCTTTAAAAGCATATACTTTATACATAAATATACTGTATATACTAAAAAGGTAAATTCTACAAATGCTAACAAGTTTAAAAGACTTTTATGGTAGAAAGCAAAAGTAAGAGAAGCAACATAAACAATACATATAAATATATACTTGTAATGTAAGATATACTGTATATATAAATATAAATATGTATACTAATATAGAAAGTATTCTGTTTTTTCTTTTAATCTATTTGCATAATACATTCCTTCACTTTTTTTGTTTGTTTGTTGTTGTTTTCTTTCAAAATTGAACACTTAATATTTTATTGATTTTTTTCTCCTACAATCAACACTTTTTTTATATATATTTCTTTATAGATTTAACGAATTTTTTAAATCATTTGAAAGAAAAATTCGTTACATTACATTTACAAATCTTTGGTTATTAAGCTCACGAAAACAATAAAAAATAAACATAATGCTTCGTAACACTCTTTTATATATATATATAAAAGAATAAGCCATGCATGATAAACTTAATTATGACCTTGAGACAAACAAAAAGAATAGACGTTTATTTTTCTTACATAAACAAATATGTGTATATATAAAACATTGATTATTAAATCTAAAAAACAGTAAGTCAACATTATATAGATAAAATAGTATAGTAGCGAAAGCAATACAATATCATCGTTTTATCCTTTATACTTTTGTCTATATTAAGTTAACTACTGATTTTTCTTTTTTTTTATCATTTCAAGATAAATCTAAAATAAATTCAAGTACGAATTAATATTCTTTTGAACTCGTACGAAAACAAACATTATGCATATTTCACTGAAATAGAAAAAAAAAGAGAAAACAAACTCATGTAACAAAAATTAAGCAGTTATGTTTCTTAGAACAGATGAGCAGATTAGCTTGAATTTCTATTACATCTTATTTTGATGTTAATTTTTTTTTTAGCATTCCACTATTAAAAAATTACTCAAAAATTTTTTAAGTATTTTTGTAGTCCTCAGTTGTTAAAAACAAGTTTTTGTACCTATATACTTTATATCGGTATCTGACCATCTGCATTATTAAAACGGCATATTCAAAATGCATCTACTACTTAGAGAGAACGAACAGGATAAACTAGAGATAAAACACTAAAAATAATGTTTATCTTTGATTCTAAATGTAAACTGCATAATAGAAGAGAAAATAGTATATATAAGTAAATAAATATATATACTTTGTAAGTTGTATAAAAGCTATACGACAAAAGAGCATGAGAAATAAATTACATCTGAATAATCTATGTTCGTTCATTAGCACCAACAGCAATACTTCGAAATACCTACAGATACAAATCTTTAAAAAATTTTTAACAGTAAAAAAAGGAAGAAAAACAAACAGAACTAAGCGTCTAAATCTACTGGACCGTTTCATTCAAAGAGTACGAGCTTATTCTTTAAAAAAAAACGTTACTGACTAGTAAAATTATTTCATCCTATAAAATAAAAAATCATCTATAAATTGTCCTTCGTCTTTCGTTTTTTTCCTTGATACACATACATTTCGTCTCTTTTCGATCTCTTGAAGAAACCACACTTCCAGCATAAAAATAAGACTACAAGCAAAATTAGGAAACCTCCAATTGCTGCTAAAATAATATGCCAAATTTTTATTCCCTTCTTTTCAAATATTTTAGAAGTTTGGATCTCCGTTATAATAGTAAAATTGTTATTCTCCGGTGTACGATCAAACAAATTTTCGCCATATTCTAAACTGGCTTCCGATTGAACATGAACTGTTTCGTATTCGGCAAATTCCTTTTGAACAAAACATATTTCTTAATAAAAACTCTTATATTTTATTATTGTAAAAAACAGAGAAATTCTATATATTTACCTGTAAGAAAGTTGTATTCCAAGCTCTTGCATAAATTTTAACATCTGCTGATTGTCCAGTATTGATTCTTTTAAAAACGCAGGTGATAACTGCGCATCTAGCACCTAATAATTTACAGCCAACCTTTAAAGTTGTTCCATCTGACACTGAATTTCCATAATCCTCTCCTGTCGAGTCGCCTACTGACCTCTTTGAAACTGATTTTTGACTTGAAACTGTTTTTGAATCACCGATGATATAATTTTCTGGATTTATAACATATTCTGGTTTAATAAAACACTCTACATTTGGAATTTTCTCGACGTAGAAAAGATATTTTCCATGATCGTCCCCATCTAAAGGTTTTAATTCGTATGGAAAGTGTACGACTAAACGAACGTTTTGAACGGTAAAATTTCCTTCGTTACGAACATTGAAAATGTGTTGAACAGGAGGTCCAATTTGTTTTGTTGAGTTAAATGAAGATGCTCCTCTAATATCTCCTTCAATAAACAGACTGTCTGGCGATGACAGTCCTCTCAGACTTAAATTAATTGTAACACTTGCCTTTATGCGATTAATCACGATATTGGATTCTGGATGAGTTTCTTCACTGATTGATTTAGCCTCTGCTCGAAATAGAGAGAGACTTGAAGATAGACTAAGCTGAAATTGAAAGTCTATAGCCACCACAGATTTTTCTCCTTGTTTTAAGGGTGCTTTCAGATTACAAGTTATAACAGAGGTGTTTAAACTGGTAAAACACCGAGAATTTTCAGTTTTTACAAAATTAATCAATCTAAAACTATCTGGGGGTTCTATAATTAGCTTAGGATCATGAGCTTCTTCGCCGTTGTTCTCAACGGTAAAATCCATTCTAATCGTATTATTGATGTTTTCTTTAGTATCAAACAAATAGACGTTTTCCCGAGGGTCAATTAAAGGTAAATTCGGTTTTACTTTCGTTACTAAGTCGCAACGGCATGGAACCTGCTGGCATGTTGTCTTAAATGGAATAATTTTTGACCGAATTTTGTCTTTATCCATGACAGCAGGGTAGTTAACCAATTTAATTTGATTTCCAAGAACTTTGTCCGGCTGTGTTGCCTCTATTACTATAGTAAGTCTAAGGCCACTGATAAGATCTCTGGTATTGTCTAAGAGTTTTAATGTAAACGTTTCGCAGATTTTTGTATTTAAGGCGATTGTTTCCATTAAAACGCCTTTCTTCTTTCCGATTTCATCATCAATTTTGAAGCGCTGCGGAGCTCCGGTAGATAAATCCTCATATATTACATAATTCATTGAATTAAGTATTTTTGAAATTGAAGGCCGACTACCTGTTACTTCTGCGCAAACTCTAAATTCGAATGTCTTAGATTCATAGTCAAAATTCTGTGGATATTTAAAGCTCCATTTCACGAAAACAACGGGCCTACTGAAGAGAGATAGCACAGCATCTGATTTATAAGCTCCAACGGATAAATCGATTAAACCGTCATCATTCATGTCTAAACCACCTGAAAGAGACCAACCGAAAGTTCCCTTATTTAGAATTTGCTTGACAGATTCATCCCCAAGAGAATCAACTGTTATTTTTTGTGAAGGTTTGACATTTTTCCATTCCTCTTGTGATCTTGATCCTCCTGAGAATATATAAACAGCACCCAAATCTTCATAAGGCGCCCCCACTGCCAAATCATCGATTCCATCACCATCTAGGTCACCAGCATTGGCCAATGACTTTCCAAATTGAAAAGAATAGCATTTCTTTTTAGCACAATTTGTGGTCTCAGTTTGATCAACAGCAATTTTAACTGGTTCAGGATAGACATCACTATCGACCAAGTCTTTTCCATTCGATAGAAAGAGATAGACTCTACCACCTTTGGTTCTTTTTTCATTCGTATAATACGGAGCTCCAGAAATAATATCATCGAATCCATCTCCATTAATATCCATACTAAGCAGGGATGTTCCTAGGCGCTCCCCAATTTCTGTGGAATTATATTGCCACATCATTCTCATTGGATAAGGATCTTCTTTGTAGGCAAAGCTGGGGTTTTTCAAAGCAATTACTCTGAACAGGACTAATGCGCCACTAGACGTTTCGAGAGCTGGTGCTCCAGCAACAACACCAACATTGCTATAAAAATGTGGCGTTAATTCCAGTGTGCTTAGCCGACATATCTCAAAGTCACCTTTTGAACATTTCTTAAATAGTTTCATTCTCTCATCATGCCTGCAGTCATTTGAATTATTATATGCCAAACACTTAGTAAAGCTAGTGCGATATTTATCATCAAATCTGCGTGGATCTTTAGGATCTGTAACACTAAGTAGAGCTACAGAATATCCCAACATACCCGAATAATGTATTTTATCCAATCTCTTCAAGCGGTTATTTCCTGTTGGATAATGTAAGACATATCGTCCAACCTTAGCAGTTTCATCCCTATTGTTTTTCCCTTTATACTCCTCTTCATCACCGATTAAGGATATAATAAATCCACCTCTGAAAAAATTGGCTAGAGGTGCTCCCGCAACTTGAACTTGACTTTTTTTATTACTATCGACTGAGAATCCTTGGGCTGAGTTATGAAAAAATTGAAAAATATCCTGGATATCCGAGCGACTGTCAAGATTTAATTTGGCCGGTCTTGAGAAAGTAAACCAATCATAACCTTTGGCTCTTCTACTCGGGGGTGTCTGAAAAATTTAATTTGCCTGTTGATTTAGAACTACAACACAAATATTTTTTTTACCTCTATTGGTTCACGAAAACAAGTACCCATGGTGAACATTTTTTCCTCAGTATTTAACACTGTTGACCACAAAGGGGCACAGGCAAGAGATTCATACTTAAGTGGATCAACACTTCGATCTTTTGAGGACGAATGAACAACTGTTCCCAAGCCCATTCCTCTTCGGCTCTCTTGAACATTGTAAGGACTATTGGGTTTTAGTCCTTCTAGTTTATATAACGCCGTTGGGAGGCAAGTTTCCCATCCGGTAATCCAGTAGGAACAATTGTTTAACTGTTTAGTAGTGGCTTCGATGTCACATTGAAAGGTTGAGCCAGGTTTTCTTCTATATAACTCATTTTCTAATAATGAAGAGTGTTTGCAGCTAAAGTCCTCAATTTCATTATTATATGTAGATGAATGCAATGGCGAACCAACTAATAGCCTGTAAAACAAGTTGTACTATTAGAATAGGCCTAATTATAATTTAGTTCACAAAAAGGGGTATCAAGCATTAAATGTAGATTAGTTAATTTTAGATATAGTCTGTAAAATAAGTGATAATTGACAGGAAAAAAATTATTGTATAATAAACAGTTTATCACAATTGATCGGTGTTTTCATTTCATCTGGATAAAAAATATGTTCCAGTGTGTTTACTTAATTTTAGTCTGTTGCCCTCAAGCAATAAAACTTATCACCTGTAAAACAGTTAAGAAAACATAATAATTCGTTTTATCCTTTTCAATTTTCTTTTTCAAACTACAAAAAGATTCTTATCAAATTTTCGGATCTGAACAATAAACATTGTCAACATAAGATCTTTTTATAAATGGAAAGTTTTTTTTAAAAAAAAACAGACATTCTATCAAGAGTATTTGATAAAGTGTGTTTTTCAGCAACCGGATATTTTGGAGATTACAATCCGTGATGAATAATCATCAAACAATGAGAAAACTATTGTTAAGTATATTATTTTTTACTTTAAAATAGTTATTTTTTAAAAATAGACTGTTCATAAAAATTTGTTTAATGATTTGCGTTGGAAAATATAAAACATTAAAGGAACAATGAATAGTTTAAATTAAGTATTTCTTTTTTTTTTTAGAACAAAAACCTAACAAATTTTATCAGAAAACTATTAATTTATTTAGGTCAACGTTCAGTATTGTATAAAGCTTGTCAAACAAAGAATTGATAGGAGCCCTTCATGCAATAAAAATTCTGGAGAAAAAACAGCCAGTGTCTATCAATCCGCTAGAAAGTATGCGACCGGAAATGGCCCCCATAAAAAAGATTTATATTCACAGATATAGCTTATTTAAAAAGTATTGATTTGTTAAAATATATAGAATAGTTAAGCTTACTTCTAATAAATAATGAGATAAAAAGTAGCCTATAAAACTTACGTAGCTCTTTTGCCATCCCAGTGTTGTGCTATAGAATACCCGAAGGCTGAGTTATCATCTCCTTTGTTAGCTAATACAGTATTAACATCTAAATTATATGCTCCAATTCTTTCTATAAAGATACAGAGATTGATGATAAAAACAAATTCTTCCTTTAGGAGCGCCCCGGACGCCATCTTTCTGGGCGTTGTCGTCTGCTACTGATACCGGTTTTGTTTTTGACCAATTGATCGGCAAAATATTGCAACTAGAAAAAGCGGAGATTAGTTTAACGAACCACTCAGAAATCTGTATTTAAATATACTATAAAAAAACAAAAGAATAATTAACGGAAAGACGATATAAGTCGATAACAAAACGTGTTCATTATATCCTTATAAAAAGAAGTAGCATTTATACTTTTTTGTATATAAAATATTATTTAGTTCGTTATTACATCTACTACTAGTCTCCCATTTTCTACAGGGGAGTCCGCATTTATACTATAGTTTCTACAGTATTAAATAATTGAAGTTGATTTCCATGAGATTCTTGGTCGTTTAATCGCTTAAGAACTTTAGTCATTGGAGATAGGGTGGAATCTTGTTGCGTATCTAATACAAAATAAATGACTTGTAAGAATAAACATTTTTTGTTTTTAATTGTATACTACCGTGAAGAAGAGCTCGAACACCAAGAGTTGGGGCAGTAGATGAACGTCGTCGGTATTTTGTGACCGGGCGAATTTCAGAATCAGTTAAATCTAAAGTCGGTTCCATGCTCATTTGATAATCGCATGCATGCTGCCACAGAGCTGTCAAAAGACGGAAATAATTATCAGTTAATAATGTTCTATTTTCCTAGTTCGTAAAATAATAAGAAAATTGTATTTTTTTTTAAATACCTTGATCAACAAGATGCTGCTGTAAAGCATTCCACCATTTTCTTAACTCCCTGTTTGAAGCGGCAAGTATTTCAAAACTAGCATCAACAGTGTTAATGAGCAAAGAATCTCGACAATGGCCTGGCAGGGTCGAATTAGAAGTTTCTGGGAGTTGAGTTATTTGTACATCCTGAAATGATTAATAGTAAATGTATTACAGATGTGTTATATTTTCTTCTATAGCAAACTGCTTTTTTTTCCTCTCGCTCTTATCATATTTCGGTTACATTTGTCAAAATATGTCATGTGATGGATTTCATACGGATACATTAATGTAAAATAAAGCTTGTATAAAAAAAAATAACGAAGAAGCATCTTCTTTCTCTAACCTTGTTTATACGGATTGTCAAAACTGGAGCCATTTTATTCACGTCTGATTTATCTTCCCAGCAAGATAATTGCATAGATCTTAATTCACAAAAGTATGGACACCATCCACCACCCCTATTGCAGTTTATTGAGAGGTAACCAACTAGAGTGACATCTGTTAAACAATATGGTATCGCAGCTACCCTGCAAACCAGATGACCAAAAAGCTGCAGTTTATTTACAGGATCTAATATAAGAAAAATATAAATTATTGTAATAGCAACATTAAAAAAATCGAAATTTACTGTTTTCCGAATCTTCTAGTCTCAAATCTAAAGTCTTTCCTTTTTCACAGACGTCTTGTAAAGTTAAAGTTGTTGACGCCAACAAATCGAATTTTGGTCCGCTAAAAGTACAAAAAATAATTTTATAGAGAAAGTCAGCAGAGGAAATGGTTTCATGTTCTTACATTATCATAGTTCCATCACTTTCTTCAATTTTCACCATAGTTGACAGTTTTCGACTGAAAGACCGGGTTATGGAATCTGATATTTTTGATAGTCGGTTTTTTAGTTTCCTTGGAGTGCTAGCTGCGGTGGAGCTTGTCGTTATTGAAGATGGAAGTTCATTATAGCCAAGTCGGTGACAATAAATTTCTAATTCACAATTAAAATTGTAGCTGACATTTGGGCTAACAAAAAGTAAAGTACAGTAAAAAAACTGTCATTAGTCTTTGCTTGTAAAAGTGATTATGTAATAGTTTACTTACAATACACAAATATCCTCAAAGGCTAAATTATTATTCTCTGGTGTAACGTACACCAATTGTGTGTCAAATACTTCCGAATCGATTTTTAAAACAGCGAATGCAACAAAATTTCTTCCCGTAAATTTACCAGGTTTTAAATTTTCTTTCTCACGCCACAAAAGAGGAACTTTAATTGAACTTACACTCACTTTACCGAGGCAAGCTGAAGAACGATTTTCCTCTGTTCGAAGTTTGTCCATTAGGCTTTTCATTCTCATATTTGACATAAAAAGCGACTTTGCTGCTTCTAGAGACTGTTGACTTTCACTTTGCTTGGAACACGCTGACAGTAATTTTATTGCACCATTGCGTAGTTTTAATTCTTGCTCAATTTTTTGTTCTAAAGCAATTTCCTGTAATTATAATAATGGATTAGATGTCAGCAGAATCTTAATATTTTCTTTGAAAAGTACGTTCTTATATTCAAGGTATAAGATGCATTATTCTTTTAACAGGGGAGGTATAATTGTTAAACGATATATATTCATAGGCCTCGCGGCTTTTAAGCGATTGAAATATCCGACAGGTGATTTTTTTTTTCATGCTTTCAAAGGAAGTTTATTGACACTACAAATGTATTGGAAGAAGAATCACTTCAAAGGATAAATTTGAAAAATAAAATATGATCTTAACAGTCTAATTTGAAAATCTCGAGACAGATGTTCCATGACATTGTTACTACGAAGTTTAATAGAAAATTCGACAGGTGCTAGATGCCCCTTAAAAAAGGCCAGGTGCCAGTGTCGTTTAACATGATATGACCTAGATATTTTTTAATCTCATCTCATGACATTTGCTAAAAGTGAAAAAGCTTAAAAAATATATCTTACCTTTGGTAGATTTGTTCCCCTCTTCTTCTTTTGCGCACTTATAAATCTCATATATTGCAAATCATTTTCCAAATTTGGTAAGTTATAATCTTCTTGTCCTTTCATTGCTGTTTTCTGAAATAATTTGATGTAAACGAAATTCATAATTCACCGCAAAAGAGAAATAATCTACAAACTTGTAGCTTGTTATGAACTTTAAGCCTTAAGGAGCGTCGTATACTTCCTCTTATATTACTAAAAATGTTCTTATTGTCTTCATTATCTTCCGTTTTCACGCTTGATTTTGACCTTGTTGAAACTCTGCTGAATGTTCGTTTAAATGGAACATGATCAGTAGAATGTCTTCTTTTCTAAAAGTTGGTAGAAAAGGAAAGTGAGTTTAAGTAATATCAATAGTGAACTGTTTATTGTTTATCAACTAATGAGATTTTCTTTATCAAACAATTTAAAACAATTTGTGATAAACGGATTGCTTGAATTTGATGGTTTTTATCTTTTAAGTGGTTTAAATAGACCTTTTCACAATTCTATGGACTATCTATTTGCATTTTTTGAATGATAACTTACCACAATGTAAATACATAATTCACCGGTTGCCCGGCTCAAAATAAACATGTTTTTTAAGCAAAATAAACATACCTTGGAATCGTTTCCGTCACTTGTTTCTGTTCTCTTCCGTTTATTCTCGGTCATCTTCCTCAAAATATCAAAGTTTGAAGTTGAATGACGTATATCTTCTAACATTGTCCTCTTGCGTTTTCGAATCGACGCCATATTTACCGGCTCGATTAACAACCAATCACCGAGCGTTAATTTTTGAATGAGGGTCTCATGTTCCGCGCTTCATTTGTGCAGGTATTTCTAACACTAACCTTGAACATTAAATTCTTTGAAATGATTGTTTTGGAAGACTGGCTAACCCAACACTTGCTAGGGCAACATGACAACGTCATACCACTCTAATCAAAATTACCTATGAGAGTCTGGATTCAAAGGGCCTTATTCAATTAGCTAAAAAAGGAATTGAAATAAATCGAATGGCTAAGAAAATATGTCATCCGATCATGAAGAAGAACGTGATGAAATAAGAGAAAATGACCAAAATATTCCACCAAAAAATAATCTTGTTTCTGTTAAATATATAGGACTATTTTCATTGGCTGTATTCCTCTACGATCTCTCTGAAGTGTACTATAAGAAGGTTTTTCCTACAATAGAGAATCGTCTTGTTTTCAATGGTCAACAAATTCACTGGGTTGCATCCTTCGTTCTCCTTACAACAATTATTTTTAGTTTCGTAAAGCAAAAAACCAAAGTACTAGGAGTTTGCTGTGCTAGTTTAGCAATTGGAAACATAATAATTGTTCTTCCATTTTTTATCTTTGGGTTATCATTCTCAAAAGACGATAAATTTTCCGAAGAAGAACGTAAGATCTGTCATCCTAACGACGAAGTAAATAAAATCTCATGTAAAGAAGATGTAGTAGGAGAATTAAAAGGCAAAATTTCATTCTCCTTTCTTCTTATATCTAGAATATTTATCAGTTTTGGACAAGGTGGCTTATTACCATTAGGACTATCGCATTTTTATGAAAATTCTAAAAATGGTTGGAACTATTTATTCATTGGAATTGTAATATGTTGGAAGACTATTGGAAGTGTTCTTGCCAAATATTTGGTTATTCTATTAAAGAAGTTACCAGAAACTTTAGTAGGTGAGTAAGTTAATATGAAATAGTCAAGTATTTCCTTTGTTTTCTATTAATATATAGAAATATGTGACATTAAATAATAATATAAGGAATAGTCTACAATGAATAGAAAGCTATTTGCATTAGTTCAATAGAGCATGCTCGCCATACCATTATATAGCCCCACCTTTTTTTTTCAGTAATACACAAAAACCAAAGCAATGAAGGAGCTTGGTGGTTGGGATTTATTATATTCTCATTGAGTATCGGAGCATTAATTGTTCCATTTGTATCATTCCGTAAAGTAAGAAACGGTTCTGATATTTCAAATAGAAGACAGTTCAATTCAACAAACAATAATGTAATCGCCTTTGCAACAGAATGCAATCAAGCAAAGTCTCTTCCTAGAGATAAATATGGTAAATTCTTATTGAATGATAGAGATTATTATTGAATAATGTATACAGTACATATAATTTATAATACATAATTATATGTTACTGTATCTATTCTTTATTATTTTAATATATTCTTCTTTCGGACAGATTTAAAGATTCATCTCAAAAGATATTTTACAAACATTCCTCTCTTTCTATTTATAATATCTGAGATATTCAAATATTTTTCATTAGAGATTATTTTGTTAGATGTTTTAAGTTTTTTATATGATGATTATGGAAGTTTTACAAATTTGAAAAATGTTCCTTTGAGTAAGAAATTATAATTAAATTATTAAAACTGATAATTTATTCATGATGAAATGATTTACAGCTCTTCTTTATATGTCAGTCATTTGTCTTACTGGAATTTTCTCAGGAATCATACTAAAGAGAATCAAACTTGAATTTAAGAATCTATTACGCCTTGTAATATTTTCAACTTTTATATTTTTAGCTGGTATATTAGTTCTAAGCCAATTAAAGTGTGAAAAAACTCACATTGTTGGTATAAACAACTATAAAACAGCTGGGTATACCTTCTTAAAGTGTAACATTATCAATTATTTATATCTCATTATGTATTTATTAGCCTACACCAGAATTGTAATTCAAATTGTTCCTGTTTGAATAATTTCGAACCTGTATGCGGTGATGACGGAAATAATTATTTTTCGGCCTGCTTTGCTGGATGTACAACGGATAATATTGTAAATAAAAAAAAAGCATAATTAAATAATATCACTTATAAAATGATTTATTAATGTTTGTTATAGACATTTTCGAATTGCGGATGTATTAAATCGCATCTACAAACTGCCAAACAAGGATTATGTGATAAAAGTTTCTGTCCTTCCGAAGCTTTTATAACGCTCACACTTCTTTTGATAATTATTGAGATACTTAACAGAATCGTTTCAATTGATGTTACTATGAAGTGTGTTCTTTCAATATCTATATATATATATATATATATATATATGTTTATTTATATTAAATACATTAATAAATTATTAATTACAGATTAGCCAACAGAGGATTTTCTTGTGCCTCATTAACCACAACTTTATTTTTGACAAATTTATTTGGTAAACAACTTTATTTATAATTTCAACAAAAATATTTTCTAATAAGTATTTATTTATATAAAATAGTATGGATACCGGTGCCTTTGGTATATCAAAAGGTAGTAAATTATTATTGTCTAACAAAATCTTATCAGTGTCCCGCAGGTAAAAGCTTAATTTCGACATTATCTTGATATTATTATAATATTCTAATATTTACAGACAATTTCTGCCAGATTTATGACTCAGAGGCAGTGAAAAAATGGATATATATAGCTTCTATTTTGTTGTTAATAATAAGTATTCTTTTGAAGTATATAACGTACCGGTTAAAAAAACAATAAAATTGATTTTTTCGTTATGAATTCTGCTTTGCAAAAACTTGAAATATATCTTAACCTATTGAACGTCTCTAATTCACCTTAGATATAGAAACAATTAAATGTTTTAAAGAGAACATAATTATGACACTAAGTTGGTTTGCAGGTAAGATAGAAAGGAGCTGCGTTTTTATGTTTTTTCCAATCGATAAGCTAGCACTCTAATAACGCTGACGATGTGATAAATGTTGTACGTATGATTTGTTTTTCTCTTTAGGCAAGGGAGGGAGATATTTTTAGGAGAATATTGTAAATATAATTCCTACAATAGCAGAGCAAGATGTTTAACTAACATACTGAATGTATATAATAACTTTTAATAGACACATGGCGTTGCAAAAGTAGAAGACACTACTGTAAAACATATAATGTATAAGAAATTGATAGGCAAGTTTCGTGTGTGAGTAAGAACAGCACCGTTTCCTTTTTATCATGTTTTTTTGTTTGTTATATTTACTTTTTTTGTTATTTTCTTAATTCTTTGAATTTGTGATCTATCTATCTAAAAGTCCTCATCCCAACCGGAGAGTTCGTCTTCGGGAATATTTGAGTCTTTGTCATAATGATCAAAGACTGATGTATCAGTTGGACCATTCACGCAAGGCTTGATAGCTTTCGGAATGGGCATAGTTCTAGTTTTTAAGCCATTCCAATCAAAACCCTGAAACCACCTATGTTTCCTTATATCTAGTAATCCGTTCTTACCGTATCCCAATCTTTCGGTTGGATTACTTTTACAGAGCTTCCTGATAAGATTTGCTGCATTTCTGCTAACTTTCTTCGGCATACCAATCTTCTCAATCCCCTCCAATATTATATTATAGGTTTTCATGGGATCCGGTGCAACAAAAGGCGGATTACCGGTTAATAATTCAAACATAAGAATTCCTATAGCCCAATAATCTGCCGCGAAATCGTGTCCCTTGTTAAGGATAATTTCTGGCGCTACGTACTCTGGTGTACCGCAGAACGTCCACGTCTTTCTACCGGCCGATAGCTTTTTGGCGAAGCCGAAATCCACTAACTTGACAAAGCCGGTTGAGTCTACAAGAAGATTTTCCGGTTTCAGATCGCGATAAACTATGTTCTTATTGTGTAAATATTCAAATGCCTCAAGAACGCAAGAAACGCAAAATCTGGCAGTCGAATCATCAAATGTGCCCTTTATTCTAAGAACTGTCCATAATTCACCTCCAAGACAAGCCTCCATTAGAAGATAAACATATTTAGTGTCCCTGAACGTTTTGAATAATTTAGCGATGAAAGGTGAATCAGCTTCCATCATTATCTTCTTTTCTGATTTTATATGCTCCTGTTGACGTGTATCGACAATGTGCTTCTTTTTTAGGCACTTTAAAGCCAAAGATTCCCCAGGGAAGAGAGGTGACGTAACCAATTCAACCCTACCGAATCCACCGACTCCTAAAGTTGCAACTATATTTAAATGATCCAATTGAACATGAGCGTATTTGGAAGATATTTTATGCGCTGGAGATACAGAACCAGTCGAGCTGGTGCTAACTCTGCATAAAGTGAAAAAAAGACTAATTATCGCGTGAAAATTAAATAAAGTACTAGATTATCATTATTACTTTTTCTGGGGTCGCATATCATATTTCCTGTTTGTTAGTTCTTCTCTTAATTCGTTTAAGTCGCCAATTAATTGACAAAATGCATTTCTTTCGACTGTTAAACAGAGAACTGTCGTAACAGCTACAACTGACGCCGTCCTATAGTCTTCACTTAGAAGGGCTTTCTCCCCAAAGTACTTGCCAGCTCCTAGCCTATTTAATTCCATGATTCCATTTTCTGTCCTCTTTTCGATTCTTACTTCGCCTTCGTTAATTATGAAGAAGGTGTCGCCTTTTTCTCCTTCTCTTATTATATACTCTCCATCGTAATAGCGTTCTTCTTCTATCACATCGGCTATCTTAGCCAACTGCTCTTTGCTGAGTTTTTCGAGAACTTCCACCTTTTCTAGATATTTCATGTATTTATCTTGCCTCTCAAGACCAGATTTCATCATAATCGTTTTGAAAACCGTTCTATCCAAGGCCCATAATTTCCCATCTTCGAGAGCTTGGATAGACGCCGTTCTCGAACAATTATATAATATAGCCAATTCACCAAACACCCTACCAGGTTTGATCAAACCAAGTCTTCTACCGTCTTGTATCACCTCCATACAACCTTGTGCGAGAACGTAAAGAGCATTCCCAGGTTCTCCTTGCTTACAAATGTAGTCGTTGCGTTTAATTTTCCTTTCGTACATGCATTCAACCACCTCCAGCACTTGCGACGTTTCGAGATTCTTGAGGAAATCGTTGCACAAAACTGCATCTTTTATTAACTGCTTTGAGCTTTTGAGAAGATAATGAAAAAAAAGATATTATAATTATACCATATTAAAGAGTAAAGAATAAATATTAAATATCTAACCCGAAATCTTTTCTGTGATGAACTAATTCAAAGGCGACATTAGCTGCATTACTAGCCGTCCATGTTTCGCCCGAAACGGCAAATTTGGCTCTCCGTTTCTGACCACCTCTAAGGATCGGTTCAATCTCTACATTGTTTGTCTCGCGCAATACAGAGAGCAGCTTTTGAACTTCATTCTCCAATCTTTCGATTTCCTTTTCCTTCTCACTAAGTAAACGTCTTGTTCGATCGAGCTCTTCTGTTCTATTTTCTAACAGCATACGTAGCTCGGCTGTTGAATGTCCAAAAGGTCGAATACCGCTACCTGCTGAACCCATAAATCTATTTGTCGATTGCATGATTCCCCGTAAGCGTCCCCTGTCGGATAGAAAGAATTGTTTAAGATAAGCAAATACTTAAACATAATGGGTTCTATTTATATACAAATGTAGTTTGATTATACAATCATTAAGGTGAATGACAAATACATATTCCTGCTGTCTTAGTCTAGTCATTAATTAGCTGTATTCTAAATGTGACATCATAAGAAAATTGATAAAAGATTTGTCTCTCTTTTTTAATTTTCCCAATAGATGGCCCAGTCATCGCTATCTATTTGCTAATGGACGTAGAAAGTGCCCAATTTAAACTCGAAATTTATTAAAGTCGATTTCTTTATATTACTTTAAGCGAGACCATCTGACCTTTTAGTCTTATCCACTAAAGAGACGTCAAAACAGTCATCCCGAATCCGCTTTAAAAGGGCGCCACCTACGATGGTAAAAATGATAGCTTCCTAATTGTTAGAGAAAAGATGTTATTTGAAATAGTATAGCTAATGTAAATGACTAAAAGCAAGCTGTGTTAGCTTAAAATAATAATAATAATAATAGTAATAACATTTTAGGATGGAAATTTCATAACACAAAAAAAACTACATCATAGAAACAGAACTTGACAAACAAACAAAACTCTATAATATTTAACCTAATAAGTAAAATTTTAGAATAAAAACGCAATTGTTTTAAAGAAATAAGGGAAAAAAAAGAGAAGATTAGTTGTCGTTAAATTAATAGAATCAATTTGGCACAAAACAGTATATACAGTATATATATATATATATTTATAGATTCATTTATAGCGTACTATCTTTCAAAATAATGTTCTTTTGACTTATATAACAACAAGATTAGCTAAAAAATTCTCTTTGCTATTAAAAAGTCTATAATAATTGCATATTGAAGAATTAAAGTAAGAAACTACTTTGCCATTTTGACAAGATATTGATAAATGCTTTTAAAAGGAGAAGAATAATAGGAATAAGTAAAAGTACATAATAATTATATTAAAAATGAAAGAAAAATCATTTAAGTAGTTTGTTAAAAGTTTTAAAATAAACAAACAAATCCTATTTAAATTTTTTTATTGGCTTGTTTACATCCATATTTCTATAAACATTAAGCTAAGTTGTATGTATTGTATTCATAGTAACGTGTATAATTAAATATTTATATAAATTTGATTATGTTTATATAGGAATATTGAAAAATATCTAATCTATAATATTGGATGTGTTTGTGAAAAGTGATTTAAATTCTAGTCCGTCTATAAATTCCGCTTTTCATGCAAATAAAAAGAATAAGGATAATTACAAAATCCGCTTAAGGGACAGTGAGTGATTGAAAATTAAAAATCTGTAGTTTTCTCTCTACCCTCTCATGGGCTTATTTATTCCATCTGTTACTCGTATTCTTTTAACCTTCATCACGACTCTTGTCATTTATCCCTTACCATTTTCTTTCCTTCCAGCTTTTCGTATTTTTTTTTACTCTCTTCCTTTTAAACAAGCGGATAAGTCAGCAGCTTTTAAGGTTTATCATGTTAACAGAACACCAAATGTTATATCATAAAAGAGAAGAAGCGAAAGAATAAATAGATGAGATATGAGAAACAGGAAAATACATATTTTTTTAAAATCCATTAATTTTACCCATCTATATACATTAATATATATCTATATTAGTTTATATATATATATATATATATATATATATTAGTAATATATATATATACTAATCAAATATTGAAATGTTTTATAGATATGCATATACTTGGCGTGATATGCAAAATGGAATTTTTTTGGGCCTGACTAAACTAGTTATAGAAATTTCCGGGAATCGATCGAATATAAACGCACTCCAATATGAAATTATTGATGATAAGAAATATTCTTTCCCATGGTACGTAAACAGTCTCATCCTGTATTGTTTTATATTCTTATTCTCTATCTCCTCTCTTTGCCCTCTTCCTAACTGTCTTGTCTCACTTAGTTTATCTTGCTAACTCTCTCTAATTGACCTTTGGAATAGTGTAAAAAACTAGATGAAAAGTTAGAAGAGGTGGAAAGAATGGCAGAAAGTGAGACTATACTTATAGTATACAGTATATATACTGATAGATTTCATAATATACTCTCTTCCGTATATTTTGTATTTACACGTATATACATATACACGCATGTATCTTGACTTACGATACGAAAAGAGGAAATGATTGTGGGCGGTAGCAGAAAAGAAAGTGAAAAGAGAAGAGGAATAGAACGTTATAATGGAAAAAAATATCAGTACGAGTGAGCCGGAGAGAAAGAAAGAAAGTAAAGAGGAGAGAGTAAAAGAGAAAGAAAGAAAGAAAGAAAGTGAGAGAACGAGAAGAGAGAGAGGGAGGGGAGGGGGTGATATGGATTGGAGAAAAGGCACAAAGAGAAAAAATCTATAAGCCTTACCTTTTAGTGCTCTTACAGAGAAAACAAAAAAAAGAGTATGTAAGGTTCCAACTAATTTCGATTCGCGACTATCGAACTTTCGAACGTATTTATTCTTTTTATATTCTTTCTCCCTCTATGTTGTTTATGTGGAAATATTTCATTTCTATTCGATCACGTTGTGCGTGGTTTGAAAATGCTTTTTTTTTCTTTCTTACTCTCTCTCTCTTCCTTTTTTTTTTACTTATACAAAATAAAACCATTTTACACGCCTTTTTTTTGTTATTATTGTCAATGAGTGTTTTACCATTCTACCCACGTCTCGACCTACAGCAAACGACAAAATTTTTTACACTCGTTCCGTTTAACGAATACGAAATTAAGTGGAAATAGGCCCAATTCAACAAAGACAGTAATAAAACCTACATAAAAAGTATTTTAGAACACGAATTAATGATATACTGTATAAGACTCACTAAAGAAGAAAAATTATATGCTAAAATTATCACTTTAACACATATACGTAAGCGTTTTTCTTTAATAAAAGCTTAATTGATTAATAGGAGAGGAGGTCAAGCGGAATTGGGAAAGTGATCGCTCCGCCTCTTTTAACAGAAAGAATTGTTTACGTCTATTTTTTTTTGCTTCATTGATTTACACCTGAAAAAAAATAGGTGAAAAAAATTGCTACTAAGTCTATTTTAGCTTCATAAAAGCAGTACATTCTATATCGACTTGAAAGATGATATTGTCTTTTAAGATTGTTCCAGACAGAAAATAAACTTGTTTCCTTTATTACTATTTGATATTATCAGATGTCCGACAGATAGATACGTTCTGCCAAATATCATCATATTCAATAAGAAGCAAAGGAGAAAATTTGATGAGAAGAGAGGAGAGGACGAAAAACGAGGAAAAAGAAGATGATTGATAAAGATAGGCGATTAGATTAAAACTATAGAAAGAAGGCTATAACTTTGTTATATATTTCTAGTTGGAAAAAAATTACAAAAGTATAAGCAACAGATGATAAATTATGGATATTAACTGTTTTGATAGAATATTCTATGAAGAGTACCAGTGATAAAAGAAAAATATAATTTTTTTTTCATTCTTGTCTCTACAATCAATGTACATTAACACTAAATATACCATCTTTTCTATTTAATATATTCACTAATTCAAATTAGAACAGTAATAAAAACAATTATCATTTAAATAATAATATTCTCTTTCGCACTCGTAGTAACTATCAACGCCTAATTCTAACAGCAAACATTAAGTAGAATGATGAGGCAGGTAAAAAGAAGGTTGAATTAGTGCGTATATCGTACGTGCACGAGATAACCCTGCGATATTTTTTTTATCTTTTTCATACATAAAACATTTATAGCATTCTAGTTAAAATACTTCTACCTGTACATCCTTAATAGATTAAACACATAAGAAATCACTAGCTTGCATATAAGCTTACGCATTAAAGACGCTTCTAAAAGAGAGTGTATTACCGACTTTTATTAATTGATTAAATACAAACTGAGAACTATGATGGATGATATACTTTATAACATAAGAAAGAAAAAACAGTGTGGGTGGAGGTATATAGATTTAAAGGGTGATGAAGAAGCTGTAAACTAAAAAAGAAGAGAGAGAGAGAGAGAGAGAAAGTGACAAACAGATTGAAGGATACAGATGGATAGAACTATAATAGGAGAGGGAAAAACTTACGTATGATTTGTTTACTGATGTGTATACAAATTAGCGAGTCTGCTTGATTTAGTAAACAATATAGATGTAATTAAAGGGAAGGGTAACTATTGAGAATAAATTTCTAAAAGGATTATGTGGTATAATAGAATTAGAAGAAAAAAACTTTTTTTTCATTACCAAACAATTACCATCTTTCTTTTTTTACTATTTTCTTCTTATGGAAGTTGTTACAATCTTACAAAGTACAAAAGAATGGTTGAACTATATATATATATATATATAAATAGAGAAATATAGATATATATATTGCTTGACTTTCATTAACAAAGAGATGTCGTGTATCATCGATTACTCTTTTATACGTTCCATATGCATTTAATATCCTAATAACTCAGTTTTTATATTCACAATATTTTCGCCACTAGTTTATATTCCCAAAAAAAAGTTTGTTTTAAAATATAAAGCCTTAAGAAACTGTTGTTTTTTTAATTAGTTTAGAACGACAACATAAAGATATAATAATAATATGGATGTATAAATGAATGTATACTGTATATATATAAATAGTATATATACTGTCTAAAATATATATATATATATATATATATATATATAGTATATATATAGTATATATAGTATATATATATAGTATATATACTGTACATATATATAAATATAGAGAAAAACACGTACCTTGTTCGTACTAAGCTAACCTCAAAATGACGCCGGCGTATGTACGTGTTCGAAGCGACACCAAACTGTCGAGTTTGTCGCCGCAGTTTCTCTCCATCTTGATATACGCCTACATCTGGTTTAATCCGTCAACATAGGCCTTTATTTTCTGTATAAGCGAAGCGCCGAAAGTAATTGCGTTTGTCAGTCGGTCGCATCGTTTTTTATGGTGATGAAAAACGGTAAAGGTAGAGTCGTTGAAAATAGTTTATAACTAAATTGCTATTAAGAGAGTGAAAAATATCAAAGTAGAAAAACAGGATGGTTGGGGGCGGACAACGACAGAGACGGGAATGGGTTTTTTTTTATCATGAAAGAACCAAGAACAATATTTCATCTTGTATCCTATTCTTTTCATAATCCAATATACTTAATCCATTGTTTGTTATATAAAAAAAAAATTGTTTTTATAAAGAAATTAATAAAGAATACATTTAGAAGGAAGGAGATTATGCCTAAATAGCAATTGAATGTTCATGAATAAGCAGTTCATAAAAATTCTTATAAAAATGCCCTCGTAAAAAAATTGATGGTAAATAAAGAAACTGCAAATAGACAATGTAAGTAGCAGGGAAAAAAGCTTAAGAATTACTATTTCCCCTTTAGTTTATTTACTGATTGAAAATGTTATCCTTTAGCAATACTAGTTATTTTCAATCCTTCGGGGGACTGTACTGGTCAATAAGCGTTTTCCTTCATCTCTTGTAATCTATTTCTCATTTTCTCCCCTAAAAAACTATACTATCAAGCTAATTTAGCTCTTAATTATTTTTGATTGAAACGTACATCTTGTTGTACCTAATATAATTTAATATAAACACATTTTTTATCAATAAAAAGAAGAATGACGAAGAAGAATAGAGGGGAAGAGAAAAGGGTGGAAAATGTAAAATTGGAAGAAAAAGGTAAGAAAGAATTTGATGACATCTTGTTGAAATTACACTTGTTTCATCGGCTGTTGGAAATCAACGAAATAGTAGAAACAATAAAACTAATCATATCATGACGTGCGTGATTAATCGTGTGGCTTTTTGCAACAAGTGGTCATAAATATGTATGCATTATAATGTAGATGAACTGTTTATATCCAGCATTGATAAATTCTTTGAGCAAATACAATATACTGTATATATAAATATTTTGATATATACATATACAGTATATATATATATATGTAGCGAGAGAGCGAGATTGAAAGAGAAAGAGAGAGAGAAAGAGAGAGACAGACAGAGACAGAGAGAGAGGTAGGTAGACTGATTCTTTATTGAATTATTAAAATCTTTTTAATTTTCTTGTCGTCTTTACAAATATATTTACAGTTGTATACAAGATAATAATGACTATTGCTAATATATACTATCTACAATTATTCCTATAATGCTGATACATGTAAAATAATATTCTTCACGAAGTTTGTTTAATACAAAATTCCTGTTTATTAAAAAAAAATGCAAAGTTGTTATTTGTTATAGTTCTATTGTTTTTCTTTATGGAAAATTTTGGCATATAATTGCTATTGCTTTTTTAGAGTTAGAATTACAGAAAATAGAAAAAACAGGGTAAAGTATTTTTAGTATTACCCCCATTAGAAATTTAAACCTTCTCTGGTACGTTAGCTAACGAACGATGAAAGAATAAAATGGTAAGATTAATATCATGGTGAGAGGACAGAGACAAAAAATGGAAAACTTGTCAGTTACTTTGTACAATAGGGTAGTTTGGAGTAGTAGGATATAACAGAACTAAGAGTTCATGACTAAAGGTACAATCTAAATGTATATTATATAAGAAACCTAATATTATTTTACTAGAGTATATTATTTATTTTATTTAGCTTATCTGATAATCTTCTGTCATAAGATTTATCATAATAATGAATAAGAAGGAAAAATTACAAAACTTTAGTACTTATAATATATAACTTTAAGCCTATATTTGCTTTTTTCTGGTTATTTATTCTATTAAAATATTAACCAAATGATTAATCGTCTAAAAGTATATGGTAAGAGTTGTTATTTTGTTGTTTAATTCGACGAAATATTGATTTAAAAACCTATTATTTCATTCTATAATTAAAAAGTCAATATATTGTAACAATTACTTTTTATAAGGGACGTAACAATATAGGAATTAATCCTCTAAAAGAGAGAGAGCAAGAGCCCCATTTAGTTTATATCGCTTTCAAAAAACAATGTAGCAATAGAGAATAAAAGTGCTTGTACTGTTTATGTATTATTATTTAAATCACAAATTTCGTTTCCTCCTTATCTCTTAACAGTTAGAGAGTTGTTAGTTTGTTAGTTAGTTAGTTCTCTTATTTTAGAAGAGCAAGTGATTTTTCTTCTCTATCTTTAATTAAAGAATTCTTTATTTTTCCTGTTCTCCTATATTTTTAGACTTTGAGACAACAAGATAGTCCAATAGAGATTTGTTTCTCCCTTTTTTAAATTGGAAGTTGAGAATAAGACTGAGACTGATAGATAGACGTATAGAACGAAGAGGAGAGATTTAACCGTAAAGTTAATTAGCTTTATTTTTTATAAATTTGTATTAAACGTGTATAGCTATATATATACAGTATATATATATGTAAATATTTATAGACAATAAACTGTCTGGAACAAATATATTCGTAACAAACGTAGAAAACAACATTAACTATAGAGGAAGAGTTTGAAAAAGGGAAAACGAAGTAATCAAATAAATAAGTAAATATCCTTCTCTTGATAAGAAAATCACGTATATGCTTTTCATTTCTTCATATAGGCTTACTTAGAGGAGCAATGATTAAAATGATGACAGTTGATAAGAGTGTGAAGAAAAGAAACAGCCAAAATAGTATACAGTCAACAGATACGGCTACTTGCCTCCATTCGTCTTCCATCATTTCTCTAAATTCGTCTTTTTCGTATCTATCAATAATACGATTGAGCGCGTCTAGTACCCTATCCTGTCTTGATTCAGGTAGCTCATCAGTTAATTCGCGGGCCAAGCCATCTACTGGAATAGTTAGACCGTTCCTTTCAATCTTTACGCCAATTCGGTCGTTCGATAATTTTTTAGACTCGGAGACTCTTAATAGACTCTTTAGCCACCGAGGAACGGCTTGCTGTTTCGGCCCTCTATAATGCAAATTCAACACGATTACAGTCATTATAACGGAAACTGATGTCATTGCCATAACCACCGTTAAATAGACGCTCAAAAGAGGTATAAATTCGGAGGTTTCGGGCAAACGCTCAGCCACTGACAACATAAAAACGCTAAAGGCGAGTAACACAGTAATACCCATTGTTACTTTCTCACCCGATTCGGGCGGAAGACGGAAGACGAGCAGGGTTAAGGTCGACATCATTATGCAGGGAAAGATAACATTGTATAGGTAGTATAGGGTCCTTCTACGGATGTGAATACGGAAGGTCACGTCCGGATAAGGTTCGTCACAGCATCCGTAGAAAACAACGTTTCGTTCTATCTCGATGCCTATCAATTCCCATTCACCAGATTCTACATAATTTGATAAATCTACTTGAGTTGTTCTATTGATCATGTCAACTTGAAAACCATCATAGGTCCAGCTACCAAATTTTAACTTACAGAACTGTAGAAATTGAAAAGAATTAGTAAAGTAAATTAAATTAACATTGATTAATGGATAGCGAGAAAAGGTTAAAAACTACGTTGAAGGCTTTTCTACCGTAGGTGATGAAATAATAAAAAGAGAACGAAATGATTGATTCCTTCCATTTTTAGTTTCGAATGCAATCGTATAATCCTCATAGATTTAATTAGGAGATTCCACGCCTGAGGGTCTTCTTTACAATTATCAAGATTTATTTATCGGTTACGATTTTGATACGACTGTCTTTACCCTTGTGGACTTAAATTTTCTGTTCCATTACTTTCCAATTCTTTTAGAACAGATAAAACAATAGACAGCTAATTTCTACAGTGCCCTCTATCGACTTATTTATTCTAATTCCAGTGTTTTTTTTTTTCATTTTTCTGGAATTCAATTAAGACAAATCATATCTATAAAAAAAAGTATAAAAGGTCTTTGTTTAAAATGATTGGAGGTGAATATTTTGAAGAAAAACCAATTAATTAGCTAAAACTAACCTTTTTTTATGTACAGTATTTAATTTATACAAAATGGTATTACTATCCTTGTAGAATTATTCTTCATATATATATATATATACTTATACATACTGTATATGCAGTATATAAACTCTATGGAGTAGTAGATAAAAAGGGCAAAAAGTAAGTTATTTTTCGTTTTAAATATTGACAAACTATCTGAAAAGACTTATACAAAAAATTTAACATGAGCCTCAGCGTTTGTTTACAAATTACAATGCTTTGAGGTTATTAATCTTAAAGGAAAATTGTTTTGGATGTCTTCCATAGTGAATATGGTATTGCATTCTAAAGTAATAAAGGAAGCCCATTTCTTATTCTAATTAATGCTAAGATCTTGTTTCGATAGAGATTTATGATTGCATACTAAAGTTATTTGGCAATAGAAAGACAGAGACTTAATAGTTCATTAATAACCAATTTTCTATATATAGAAATCTTATATCCATATTTCCTAAGTATAGAATTCTTACATTTTGCTTTAAAAAGGTATATACAGTAATTCTTTTGTAATTCAATCGACAAATAGGCCTAGATTGAACATAAGGATAATTCTTATAGAATATTTATATAAAGTTAATATTTTATGATTAATCATTTTATGCTAATTTAGCCACGTGCTTTATACATATACCATGTATATTAACAATATAAGCCACTTTTACATTCAATACGTGATTGTTATTTAGTAGTCTCCTTATAAAAGTAGGTTAACAATGAGAAAAGACAATCGATATCACTTCAAGATATGCCTATTACAGTTGCTACTTAATGTAAAAAATAATGTGTCGTTATCATTATTGCCATCTTCGTAGTTATGTTTGAGTGGGATGCTAAAAGGAAAATCTTCTTGATGAATATCCCTAATAGAAAACCTGAATAAATCGCCCAAAGTTATTTTTACAATCGTGTTATTTATAATTAGCTTGCGTAAATAAATAACATCGGAGAAGACAGCATCGAACAGCTTGTGTTCATAGTATCAAATGTCATAAAGTCGCGCCACTATTTCTACTATCTTTTTCCTAATAGGCCTAGCTTTTAGGTAGGATTCCTTTATAGATGTCTTTATTCGTTGGAGGGGGAGCTAATCATCTTGTCATTAACCGATTATCACGTATAGCGGAAGAAATCGGACTTTATAAGAAAAGCGTGCAGTATTCTCTTTATTCTATTGGCTTTAAGAAAATGTCAAAATAAACTACTCATAAAGCTTCGGATTTCAGAAATTCTTTGATAAAGAATTGATAAATATGGTGAAATTAAACGAAAAAGGGAAAAAAAGAGAAAAGAAATACTTAGGCCTACTTCGTTTTTCTGTCTTTGCTTTATGTAGGCTGTACAATAGGCGTCGACCTACCATTTGCACGGTTTGTACTCATCCGTAATGACTTTTGAGTACAATAGACCTTAATATCGTGAAAGACAACGTCTCTCTTTTTTCTGGTACAATTGCATAATCAGTAGAAGAAGAGAAGAGGTTTTTTCCTTTTGATATCTCAAGAAATATTAAATTGTTGGAGATCCTTAATTAGAAGCTAATCAAACTAAAGATGAGCGTTTAAAAAGCTTCCTACTTAAAATTAATTATATAGTATAAGGTGTTAAATTGAGATGTTTATCATCCTAACAGCACTATTGTTATTCCAATACCTGTCACCGCTTAGTTATACATGATAAATGATACGATTAAGTACGAATAGTATTAATAAAAAGTCCTCTAGCTTTTTTATAAGTATATGTCTTTTCGTACTTGCTACGATATTTTCACTTTCTACTTTCTTATACTCTGTATTTTAATCTCTCCACCTTTTAAGTTTCTCTGTTAAATAACACCGCCTTCTCCCTTTAAATGTTAAGTAGTAAACGAGCTTTTAGCCTTACTTGATCGTCGAAAGGAAAGTAAGTGACGTCAAATTTACAGGAGCTTAATAGTTTTGTGGGAACAGGCCAGAAAACATCTCCTGTACTGGAAACCATGGCTTTTGCTGGCATCATTCCATTCGTATACTCGGCAGCACTAAATCGAACAGGAAGAGAGGGGGAAAAGAAAAAAATCAATAAGACGACGGGCAAAAAAAGAGACGCCTCGACTTTTATGCATTTGTGGCTTATAGCTTATATATACTTATTGTAAAGGACGATATCCGGTTTCCAAATCATGTGGCATGGGATACGAATCATGCTCAGATTACCAAATTCAACAGGATTCCAAGTTAGGAATTTATCATGCCATTCTTGATCTAGCCAGACGTTCGTCACAAGGATTTGGTTCTTTTCGTCCTACGGGAAAAGCTTAATAAATGAGGGTGTTTAAGAAAATGAAAAATCGCTACTATCACTATATTTTCTCTTCGTTTTCATATTTTCACACGCACCCAAAAGTTTGTTAATTGTTTGCCTACTACGTATCAAAAATAGGAAAGGAATTTCTAACTTCTCATCGTTAAGGCATATTTAACGATGCAGGGGGGATTTTCTCTCCCTACCGCAAAACAACAATCCACTTGATTGATCCTCTTTACAAAGTACAATGGATAATTTAATAAAACAAAACTACAACCTTTTAAAGGGTCTTTCCAGGGCTAAGATTTAACGAGCTAATTTCTAATCCTTTTCCCTCCTATTTATAATAATCTTTAGTTTAGCTAAATGTACAAACGAAATGATTTGTCGTTTGCAGGGGCACAAAATTTGTCATTGATTTTTTTTTTACACTTTTCTATTTGGTTTTCCAATATGTTTCCACTTTCGAAGAAGACAAATAGAATTGTGAAAATCTCTATCCTATTCTCTCCATTTATATTTAAATATGTAGCTTTTTACGTGGCTTATGAATAAGCTTATAAAACTATTCGCTAAAATAAGTTTAAGAGATTAATGATTGATATAAAAAATGGGGCAAAAAAGGGAAGAAAGAGAAGATTAAGAAGTCGAAAAGACAATCAAGCTCATTCAAATAGAAACAACAGGAAAAGGTCAATGTACTTTAAAATCTTTATTCTCTTAATTATTCCGTACAAATCTGTGTGCGACGAGCGCAAAATGCAGATTTGTATTTATTTTTCCTCGCCCTGCTCTCTTGACAAATCTTTCAAGTCACGTGATGAACGTTTTTATTATCAAATTACTGAATAATTTGATGGTAATAAGCCATCTAAATTGGAGATGTATGACGACCAAGAGTCAATAAACAGCTCATCCCTAATGCATAAACTTTAATATAATAATAGATATTAAAAAAATAAGAAAATTTCTTCTTTAGAGCCAAGGTCAAGGCGATGGAATTGACTATTCGATCGGCTGGTCTTATCCCACACAACCTCGCTTTCGAATTGTAAGGAAACAACATGAAAGAGAATGAAGACAAAGACTACGAACCAATACAACCGATACAAATCCGAGTAGTAGGAAAATGTTAAACAAACAAAATTTAACAATAATCGGTATCTTACCATATCGAAAATTTGCGCCAAAGTTAAGCCCATCTTGACTGTGACCGTCTCCGAAGCATTTCTTACAGGCCTTACCGACTTTTCGTATTTACTCATAAGAGTATTTAAGAGCTTCTGCTCTTCGGGAATTTCATCTATTTTGTCAACAAAAGAGCCGTCTTTGACTGCAAAAAAAATAAAAGAAATGTATACTCAGGTGGCTGTATTAAACTTCCACAAAGATAGAGATATGATAAATTTAAAGTATTTTATAAAGAAATAAGAGAAGAAAATAAAGAAAGCTTATCATTGAGCGGCTGGAGAAAACAAACCTGGAAAACGTGATAGCAGATAAAAGAGAGAAAAAAGCGTACACTTATTCTTCATCTCGCCTCTAATCAGTTTGCTTTTGCCCGGACGATAGATGCGACGTCTGGCGGGGGGCCCGTTTGCCAAAAATTTCGAAGCTATTTCTTCCCTCTAACCCTGTCGTTGAGGGACAAACAATGGAGTAGAGCCATCTGGAAGGTATTGCTACAGTGTATCTAGTTATAAAAAAATATTGATATCGATATTGTACATGTTTATTTATTTTAATGATATAACGAATAAGCCAGAATAAGGAAATCACTAATCCTCTGTCACTCAATATCCCTTAAGCCAATAATTAATAGAGACACCTTGTAATTAATCTTGGGAAAAAATTGTTTACCCTAACTAGAAAGACGTCTTAGAGCTTATTAGTTCAGATCTTTCTTTTTGCTCTCTTCCTACTCTGCAGGAGAGGTTCTTTTAGTTTAAACAAAATTCCATCTTAGAAAAAAAAAACTAATTCTCTTCCCTATTCTTTATTTCTCTCTGTTTCCTAGTTTTCTGGCCCTATTTCTTAAATGACGTAGAAGAGCATCTTTCGAATCCGTAATTAGCAATTTTACATGATTTGAATAAAAAATTTACTTTAAATAGTATAAAGTTGCAATACGTAGATTGGAGATGAGAAATAGAAATAGAAGGTGATCGAGCGAATGAGCGAGTGAGCGAGAAGAGAGAGAGAGAGAGAGATAGAGAGAGAAATAAGTGGCGAGGAGATGTGAAGAAGGAGGGATGTGGAAAAATAGATAACGATTATCTTTAGCAAAATAGAAAAAATACTAACAGTTTAAAAATACATTGCAGAAGAAAAATATTTCGAAATCTTCTGTTCAGGGATAATATTTCCTCTGTAATTGGCAGTAATAAGAAACAGTTTTTTGGAGTAAAGAATTCTTATACCTAATAACTTTGGTAATGCTAAGACTATTTATAAGCCGTATAATCGAATGTTCTATAATATATGACTATATACTGTACAATACATACAGTATATTCGATTTTACTATTTTGATATATTTTATCTAAGTTTAATGCCATTTTTTTAATAAATATTTATTAAATTTTGATGCAAAAAAGTTTGATATTGAACGCAACAAAGTATAGAAAGTTACTGTTTCTTTCTTGGTATTTGTGCGCTTCGTCCTCCATCCCTTAACGACATTTTATGTAGATATAATTTCGTCGTAAGAGTTATATTTGCCTTCAATGCCAGCAGCTTTAAGGGGTTTGGAGTTATCGTATAGAGCCGGAGCTTGTAGAATTATACCAAAAGTACCAACTATACAGGCTGTTGTAAAAATCCATAGAAAGAGACGATCAAGTACTAAAGCTACATATTTCCAATCTTCTCTTATCTATTAATGGCAAATTGAATATTGATTAGATAAGATAGGATGTTGTTGGATGTTTTTCTTACACTCGATTCGTCATCTTCTCTTTTCAAATGCTCTGCAATATATCGAACGCCATCTATTGCCTTACGTACTTCTGGCGAGTATCTATTTGAATATTCTAAAGTCTTCTCAAATGGTTCGAATAATTCAAAGGTTTCGAAACCATTACAAGATCGAATCAATAAATGATTTGATAATTCCTTGTCCATTTTAGGCCTTTTCATCGCTAAAAGACGAGGTAGTATATTAAGGAAGACCTTTCTAACCCATGGACTCATTGTATGAGTTGATGGTGACCGAAAGTGGACGTTAAGGACTATAACAGTTACTATAATTGAGAGAGTAACTAGTATCATAGTAAAAAGTAGATATTTTCCTGTTGCGATAAATGAAAAGCTTTCAATCATTTCGCTACAAAAACTCAATTAGTTAAAGGGTTCTTGTACGACAATATTTTTATTGTAAACCGGTAGATGGCGCACTAGTAGATAGAAATAAAAAGTAATTAGAATAAAATCATGCAACTTATTTTTTAAATAGCCAATAATAATGGATCCTTACAGTGACATTAAGTTGAATACATTGTTTCGTTCTTTATATAAATATACTTAAGAACCTAAAAGAATTGTTTCATTTGAAAAGCGCATTCAGTTCATCAATACGAGTATTGGCGCGCGAAATTAAGCATTGTATAATTAAGCAAATGAAAGCTATGAATATGATAATGACGTAACATAGCCTACGAGTCGCGGAACCCTTTTTTTAACCATCTAGTCTATCATTTATAATTAGATAGATACAATTTTTATACAAGGTTTTAATTGTAAACAAAACATGTTTGTCTTACCTATAAGCGGCACAACCAACGAAGTAGGTGGGATGATTTCAGCAAGTAAAAGAAAGAAGACGGTTAAGGAGAGGAGAATTGAAATACATAGAGCTATCTTTTCTCCACTATCCGAGGGTAAATAGAAGACGAGTACTGTTAGGAAGGAGATAGCCACACAGGGAATAATAAGATTTACGGTGTGAAAAAGTGTCTTCCTTCGCATAGTTATTTGAAAAGTGATATCCGGATATGGCTCCGTACAGCAAGGATATCGTTTTTCAGTTTTTCGAGCTGGAACTGTTAAAATATCCCATTCAACAGATCTATAAAAGTCTTTTAGATCTATTCCATCCTCTATAGGCTCCAATTGTTTAGCGGGATCTTCATCCTTTTGCTCAGCGTGAGTTAAATCCACTTGAAGACCATCGTATGTCCAACTACCTGTGTTAATGTTTTGTTTTTTAAAAGACATTAAAAAGGTTTTTTCATTCATAATAATAAAAAAAAGAGAGATAAGAACAATATTTATTTTATTGAAAATATCAACAAATGTTTGAATGTAATTAATAATTCAATATTAAAAATTTTGCAGTTTGAACAGTATTATATATTTATTCCTTCAGCTGAATATATTGAATTTTTTAAGTTAATAAAACTGCGATTATATTAAAATGTGTCTATCCTACAAAAGGAAAACTAATGACTACTATACTATTTCTTTTTTTATTATTATTACCGAATTTTAACGAACACAGTTGTTCGTCGAAAGGAAAGAATTCGACGTTAATCAGACAAGATGATTTGTAAATAGCTGGTGGTTCCCATCTAACTAAACCAGTCCAATGTAGAGCGGCTTTTGTCATTAAGGTCACTTCATAATTACCATCGGCACTGTGGATAATATTCATCTAAGTTTACTAAGAAAAATGATTAGATAATAATCCCTTTAGAAAATTTCTTTATATTGCATTGAGGTATTTGGAGAGCGTCACGTGACTTTATACAGACGGGAATTTTTTTTTTTTTTTGGAATAATCGAAGGCAATCTGTTGTAAGCAAAATCATTCCAAAAAAAACAAAGATAAAGTGAGAAAAACGACAGAAGGCCGATTGTTTATAACAGAGAAATTTTTTCGGCGTTAAAGCGTTTTTTTTTTCCATCGATTTTTATCTGGAGAACTTTCTTTCCTTCGTTTCTTTTAAATCAAAATAGAATTATTCGGAATCGTTAAATAAAACGACTAAGTAGCTTTTTAATGAATGATACAATTTAATCCGACATTATAGGAATGTAATATTTCTTAGTATGACGTTTAGTCAAAGATGTTAGGGTGAAAATGCAAGTCAGAATAGTTTGTTTTAAATGCACGATAAATATGATGAAGGCGTTATTCCATCATTTGAGTGATGCTATTTTCTATAAGAGAAATACTTGAGAGCGTAATTTTTTATTTATCGTATTCATCTCCCGTATTAAGCTTTCGTTGTAAGGGCCAAAATAATTTGTAGTTATATAAGACATTAAGCCAATAATCCAAAACTTCAGAAATGATTTCTCATCGGAAACTTGACGCAATGGATTTGATGAAAATCCGAAAATCCAGAATCCGATGGAATGAAAAATTCCTTGGATTTTAGTGGGATCATAAAGATAAGAAAGGAATGAAAATATTTCATTTCTCTCCCTTTTTTCCTTAATGCCTTCGGTGATTTCTTACTTTCGTAATATATAATACAAGAAAAAATACGCTTTATGTAATTCACTCACTTTCATCTTTAAAAGTCACGTGATAAGCTTTAATCACTTCAATACAATCCGTGTTGTTATAATTATAAAAGAATATATATATATATACTGTATATATATATATATATTAGATATATACTTGTTGTAAAGAACTATATCTGGTAACCAAATCTCCTCAGACGGAACGTAGAGAGTTTCGACACCTCCATATTCAGCTGGCTTCCATTTAAGCTTGTAGTCTTGCCATTCCTGAATTATTTACGTAATTTTCGTCGTTTTATACACAATTTAACCCATGAACTAGTTTGGGATGTCGTCCTAACTCCCCTACCACATTATTAAATAGATACCTAGTCCCATCCTATTTCCTTTTTTATCATAAATATGTCTCCTATGGATTTTATTCATTATCATGTAAAATTAACCTAATTAATTTGCGTGGAAATGTATACCAAATCACGTTTACTATAAAGCTTAATTTATCATTCTCTTAAGGTTTTTGATAGTTTTTAAATTATTCAGAGCTTAAAATAATCTAGTACCGCCTATTTGATTTTTAATTTAGAGTGTGCCACTTCAAACTCATTAAATAAGCTTCTATATTAGTTTTCATTTTAAGATAATACACTTAGAGCACTTAAATAGTATATTTTCGCAAAATTGTGTTATACTTGGTCTTTTTTTTCTCTCATTGACTATCATTTATTCTTGCCTTTAAAGGAAATTAACAGACTGCTCCTTGATTACCTCCCATTGACCTAGTTGTTAGAGATACGAAAAGGGGAAGAAAAAGTAAAATGGAAAATAGGAAGGAAAGGTCACGTGATTAATTCATTTGTAGAAAAAAATAAATAAATAAACACAAAGACGTCAAATAAAAAGAAAAAGAAAATATAAGTAATGATCAATGTATTAAATAAATTGATAGTATGTGTGTATGAGTAATTTTTTACCCTTAAAGTTATAGAATATTAAGAATGCTTTCCAATAATAAGTAATAATATTAATTAGGAAACTCTTGGATGATGATTTATAATTAATACATTCAATTATAAAAAAAAGTATTTCCAGAACCTTTTAAATGAAACAGGAGGTTTTAAGCAGAATGGGATAAGGAATTTACATGTTAAGTACATTGTGAACGGATGAGGAGTAAGAAGAGAGAAATAACTTGATACCTGTTTGAGCCAGACATTAGTAGTCATAATCTGATTTTTTTCATCCTGAAAAGGTAGATATTTGATATAAAATCGCTGTCATCATCTAATTGTCACCAGATGAGACGTTAGAGAAAAAGGGCGAAGATCAAAAATCTAGACAGTTCACAAAAGAATGAAACATTATATTCCGTTGATTTGACTATGTTGACTTGATGAGATAATTCACCTTATTTCTATTAGATATAATTATTACAAGTATCCTTAGAGGTGAAAATGAGAAGAATAACGGGAAAAGGAAATATACGTATATTAACTATTGGTAATTCTCCGAGGCACCTAATGTATAACTTTCTTCTTTTTTTTTTTTACATAAAGACCATCTTTTGACTCACCCTATGTCCGTCTCCTTAGATTAGTGCTAAAGTGTTTTAAAGACGCTGATAAGCTGCGATAATTTTAGACCAGCTTTTTCCGACAACCTTTTATGGGATTGCGTCTCTCCTCGCCTCCTCCCCTTTCCCCTCCTCTTACCAAAAATATAGACGCTGTATAATTTTACTTTTTAGTGTGACAATCATACAATATGAATGTCATGCGTGAATGAACGGACAGAAAAATTTCGCTATGTAAGAGAATGACGCTACATTCAGTTGTCAACTCCTCTTACCACTTTAAAAGAAGACTCAAGTCCAATATATAGTATGAGCGTATTCTTATATTAATATCCCTTATTTACAGTTAAATTTTCGGCCATTTGAAATTTGAGTGATTTGCATACGAGATTTCATATGAAAGTAAGCGGAATAAGAATTAGATAAAGTCTTGTGTAGAATCTTAAAGACTAATTTATTGTCTACTTTTGAATTATTAGACTTGATTATACTTTTATTACATCAAGTAGAAATTTTCCCACTTTTGACGTTTGTTTTATAAGGCGACTAAGTATAAAAAGTTACAGTTGATAAGTTGATAACAATCTACCAATCGGATATACTTAATTAAGAAAAAATTAAAGACCTTTATAGTAAAAATAATCGGCCACGTGATCAATGAAAGGTGTAAGGACTGTATTACTAAGCACGCCAGCCCTTTTCTTAAATCTTATAAAACAAAAAGAATTTTACTTACAATATCTATTAACTGTGATAATTTTAAACCGAGTTTAACAGTTAATTTAGCAGAGTTATTTCCAACAGGTCGTATGAGTTTGTTATAACCGCTAGAGATAAATAGATCCTCGTACAACTTCCTTGCATCCGGATTTGAGAGGACGACTGAATGAAAAGAGATGATAAAAATAAACTTATAAACTCAAGAACGAATACAACGAAAATGGTTAATTAAGTTGCGCGTTCCCTCCTTCTACGTCTTTTTATTTCTCCTCTCTCTCGCTCCCCTCCCCTCTCTCTTTCTCTATTCCTTCTTTATTTCCTGTAATTCGTTCTGTATTTCTTTTCTTAACAGTATACGTAAAATATTACTATGAAAAAAGACAATAATTTTGTATATAAAAAAATCACATAACACTGAAATTATTCAGAGAGGACTCTGTTTTCTAATTAAATAGGTTTTATTTTATTTGCATGATGAGGAAATAAGATAAAAACGATGAAAAGTTTTAAGTTACCCTAACTGATAAAATCATTCACATAGATCTAATTTCCTCTATGTTTAAAAGGTGTTAATAAGAAATTATTCTCAAAAGAACGATAAAAAAACCAAGAAGTACTGATGACTCTTTATATATTCTCTAGAAAATTCTTGAAGGGTCAGCCTGTACGGTAGGCAACTCATAAAGGAAATATATATATATATATATATATATATATATATAGTTATATACAGTACAAAACCTAAGTAAATAGAAAAGAAGAACGATAATGAACAGTTGATAATAATCAATATAAAATTATATTGTCTTGCTAAAATTCCTATGTATCATATATAAAATACTATATACTGTATAGATGCTGTTTCTATCCATACATTATATTGCATAAGTAAATTTTCTATTTGTATATAATGTATATATACAGTTATTAATATAAAAAGTCTTAATACAAATGCTTCCTCTTATAATATAAATTTCAAAGAGTGTATATCCATATTAATTAATGGAAAAAAAGCATCTTCTATTTTTGAGAGAAATACTAAAAGAAAAGAAACGTTTGGTAACAACAGAAAAAGTTGACATAAGCCTCGTAATGTCACCTTAATTCGCCCAAAGACCTCTTGCCATATTTCCTGCCACTTTTTTCAATGGATACAAAAAAAGCTAAGTAATACTTTAACCTAATTAACATCTTACCTCCAATAAGGCAGCAGGTTAGAATAGTCAGCATTGCTCCGCCTGTGGAACTACATAAACTGCCGCAGCGTCACCCTCCCCAAAAGTCACGTGATTGACAGAGGGCGACGTTCATTGTAAAGCTTTTAAATCTTTATATATATATACTTACATATGCAATTATTTAAAAAAAATTCTTTTAAATTGTTTTAAGAAGTAGAAAAGAAGATATAAAAGCTAAAACCGAGATATAAAGTCTAAAAGATGTTTAATGCTCATACTGAAATAACATTGTATTACATGAATTATTTCATGTAAAAGTGATATCTAAGTGATAAATATGAATGTTTAGGATTTCGGATGGGAAATTATTTTAGTGACTTTAGTAAACCGAAGGAAATTGATAAGATGAATACGAATTGCGTCCGGCGGGACGGATCATATTCCAATGTCGGTTCACATTTATCATCGTCGATCTGCTTCATTTTTTAGCAGGATTTTTTCACCAGATGGCGTAAATGGCGTGTCCTTCTTGGTTTAGATTAATATCAGTTTTTTTTCATAAGACGGCCGGAACTGAGAACTTATTGGGGAACTGACGGAATCATCGTTCGATCAATTGATAGATTGTTCTACGAAATAGAATATATACTATAAATATGGGGTAAATGGCATATATATGTATACTGCAAAATGTACGATGTGTTCTTTATTATTAGCTTTTCTAACTCGCCTAAAGATAATTCATTAAAAGTTATCTACTAAAGTTTTCTAGTTAAGATGATTTCAACCTGAAGAAAATGTAAAAGAAAAACTTTTTATTTCGAAATTCTCGTTGAAAAGGTCAATGAACGTGTCAAGGCTACGAAGTTTTGTTAACGATACGGGGATATTCCATGTTCTTTATACTCTCAAAAAAAATTTATGACACTAGATGCGCCTCTGGTTACCCGTTTAATCCGTTTCCTTTCAACTTCTCCGTCGTTTTATAAAGCGGAACGTGTAATAAGAGCTAAGCCAATCGCCTAAAGCAATTGCGGGTCTCCAACTGCCAAATTCGCTCGAGTATTTGCGCTTTACCACCGAAAATTCTGCCAATCGATCTAATTTGGCTGAATATGTAGACGTTTAAATATATATATATATATATATGAAGAAGAAAAGTTAAAAGAAATTGTATTACTTCTCATACTTCACTTATTTTTTTTCCATTCTGTAAAATAAATATTTCACACGTAAAAGGATTTTTGACGAAGGAAGGATAAGATTTTTGCACGCGATAATAACGACGGTACTTGTATTAACTGTCTCCAATGAAATTAAGAGATTTAAGACAAGATGTTAGACATCTAATGATATTTATGAATTTTTTTTTCTTATATAGTATAGAGGAATTTTTTTAAAAATAAATTGCAAAAAATTCATGTTACCCAGTCTATTCCTACTTTTTCGGCTAGTTCTATCTGCTTCGGACTATATCATATTAGGAAATCTTTCAGAGGCCGTCATATTTTAAATTACTATATAAAGAAGGTATTGCTAATAAAGTCAGTAATAAAATATCTTTGATGAATATTAGTTACGTTTTTTACATTCTTTTAAGAACCCCTTCGGTCAAGGTCATTTTTATTTTTTATGACCTTCAATTTAATTACATTTTCTTTTCTATTTCAATCAAACGACTTGACTCTCTAGAGTTGTTGATCTCTGCGATCTTTAATGTTGCCTTTTAAATTAGATGTACGTACTTTAATTAAATTTCGATTAATATACCGCTTTTTACCTGCTAATTAATACTTTTTTAAAATGTTCTTTTTTAGTACAAGACTTTATGTAAAAAAGAACACAGAACTTCCCAACAGATGGCGCGTCTATATAAGATAAGTCGCTTCTGAACGTTGAATTGATTGAATAAGCCAGAAAAAAGAATAATAAGGAGTGAAAGAGAGACATAGAGAATGAGACGGGGGGCAGGCTAACAAATGAGTCGTGCAGAAATCAATACCATAACAGTAAAATATAGTATAAACAGAGGAAAACAGAGATATGGGAAACGGCGGTAGTAAGAAATCGGAACGCGTTGTGCGTCGAAAGAGACGTCGACATGTGAAATACGACCAACCAAATCGACATGGCGTTCCGATGCTCTACGTGTGGCCTTCCAGCGCGCCTTGTCGAGCTGTACTTATGACTATTCAAATCACGGATATTCTAGTCAACGTCAAACATATAGATATCTTTAACGACGAACACCTAACTACTTTTTTTCGAAAGGTATGTTCCATTCAAAGATCGATAATTTTAAAAAACTAAAAAGATACATTGTTCTAACAAGTCGATATTAGAAAAAAACAAAAAGATTATAGGAAATCGTTTGGAGGGAAACAAAGACTGTATCATTTTTATAGATAGCGTTATTTTTCCTACATCTTTTCTTAATAATTTAGAAGAGGATCTAATAAGTAGTTAAAGGGGCACGTAGTCGTTAGCTATTGTAGCGTTATTAGATAGTTAATAGTAACACAATTATATATCTATACACCGCTATTTTTATATATAGATAAAATGATTGTATAATCTTACCCAGATTAATCCTCATCACACTGTACCGACCCTAACCGATGGCGATTATAATCTATGGGAAAGTCGGGCCATTGCTGAATATTTAGTGGGAAAATACGAAAAATTCGATTGCGGCCTCTTTCCAAAATCGAAACGGATCAGGGCGTTAATGAGGCAATTTCTAGCTTTCGACAGCCATTCGCTACATCCAGACGTTACGGATTATTTGGTAGGTTCCTATTTTTTACTTTTTGATACTTTTCTTATGAGAATATGTAAATTTGTCATTGTTATGAATATTAATAAGTCATCAGCAGATGGATTATTCAATAAGTAGTAATTGGATGAACTTTTCGTTGTATATTCAGAATCTTAATGATAACTCTCTAAAGCCCTATCTTACCAGAGGATTATCTTATAAAGATTTTATGACTCTAATTAAGATACGGTTGCTGTTAATATGTTCCGTTTCCCTTTCAGTATCCTCAGTTAGCAAAGAATCTCGAGGCAGACAAGATAAAAGAAAGTTGTCTGTCCGAGGAGATAGATATCATAGAAGAAGCTTTAACAAAGAGCGAATATTTAGCCGGAGATACTCTGACTTTAGCTGATTTATTTGTTTGCTCCACCATCACCTTGCTTGAATTAATATCATTCGACTTTCGAAAGTGGCCAAATGTACTAGAATGGCTTGAAAGAATCAAATCACAAGAATTTTACGTTCCAGCCAATATGGGTCATGAAACTTGGAAAATCGTTTTATCAGAGAGAAAACAACAAGAAAATAATGACAAGTCAGATGCTGAAGGTGATGATTCCAGCATTGATGGAAATTATAATGAAAACTACAACGATAATTATGATAATTCTCTGTAATAATTATACTTTATACCTTACTTCCTCCGTGTAATTAATTGTTTACTTTTACCCAAACAAAAACTAATAACAGAAACAGTTACGCGTTATAATTTTTATAGCAATGTCAATAATAAATCGATGGTCTTCCTCTATTTTAGAGCATTAGCCAAGAAAATATATACTTTATCTTTAAAATTAGATACAGTTTTATCAGTTTTGGTAACGAAGCAAAACTACAATATTGTGTTTAATCTTGTTCATTCAGCTTTCGACAAAATCTGATGAACTTGCATTATTTGTTTCATATATCAGATTATCCTTTCAAAGATTAAAACTATATCCTGATCTTTTTCATTGTAATTCAACCTGCGAAAATTTCAACTGATTCTATATACATTAAATATAAAAATGATGCATGAGCTGGATTATGGACTATTGCTTTAATTTACATATATACTAATATACATATATATATTTATATACTGTATATACAGTATACAGTTGTCGTTACATAATAATTTAAATGTACTAAAAATCTATCTATCAATAATAAATGATTTAAAGACATATAGGGCAGGGATTGGGAGATTAAGTAGGAAAATATTCTTAGAGACTATTATTGTTTGATAGAATCAATCTAGGCTTCCAATTCGTACATCTTCTTAGCCATTGCAATATCTTACTATCTCGTAAATATCTTCTTCTTTTACCTCATTATAGTGCCCTGGATATAAGGGTTTAGGCATTGGAAACGCCCTCTTTTGGATTTAGAAATATTCGTATAAAATCAGAAAAATGATAAATACACGTTGTTTCCAATTCCTATATGCACATACACATTCCGAATGCATTCAAATAAAATAAACGATATTTTTAAATAATGATAACCTATAGCATTTGATATCTGAGATTACGATTTGTTGAGAAAGAGAGTAACTCTAAGTCAATTTCCTAGAAAGATTAATAGAGATTGAGATTGTGTTGAAAAGGTTTTATTTTTTTATGAGCTTTGCATATTTTTAAAGCATTAACAAAACATTTGAAAAATGGAATCGCTTACTTGAAGGAAAAAAACCGGCAACATTCCAGTAATTAACCAATAAAAAACAACTGTTAAGCTCTTCCTTCATATTTATCTTACCGTGCTAAACAGCTGTTTGTATGTTAAAAAAATTGTAATGATTTATAATTAGCTAATTAAATCAGCCAAGTGTATGCTCTATACGTGCAGATTTGACTAGTCATTTTTAATTCATGTATATATATATACGGTATCTTTTATACTGTATATGTTCTAATTGAGACAAAGCACATATGATATGCAGAAATAGTAGAGACAAAATGAAAAAAATAAACAGGTTATTCTCATTCTTTATAACCTAATCAATAAAAAAAATCAATATAATCAAACCCAAAATCTTTGCTTCACAAAGAGACAAAATAAGAATAATTGCAATCAAGTCTCTGGTCGGACACCGAAAAGATCCATATAAAGAGCGAATCTTTTTCGAATATCTTTTTCATTTAAGTTAAATTCTTGACAAGTGTAAACGTGTGAACCAAACTTATTTCTCGGATGTTCATCTACAAACTTTTGAAATCCTGCCTCACATTCGTCCGTCCATTCCATATCTATGTCTTCATAAACAGCTTTTAAAACTCCTATTGGATCATCTAATAGACGCTCGTAATCGACGTCTATAAACTTTTGAGGTTTACTTGGGATATTTATGTTAATATTGGGAACGGTTTGACGAAGTTGCGTTAAAGATATAGCGGAACTTTCCAATAAATCAGTCATTTGCTCGCCGATCACTCGACTACCATCCTCGTCCGATGCTTTGCGGAACGTTGCATTCAGGGTTCTACACAACGAACAAAATGACGGTACGAGCTTAGCCGGATCGCGATGAATGTGAATCATTTGGGCGTCTGGAAAAGCATCCAAAAGGGCAGTCGGATTAGAAAAACAAATATGATTCATAGCTAATACTCGTCGTCCTCCAACACCTTTTCCAGATAGCGCTATTTGCAATTCCTTTCTCACTAACTTGTAGGCATGCTCCCAGAATCCATCTGGCCTGGTTTGTAGCCAATTCCGGTACGCAGTAGTAGACTCATATGCAAATGGTATAAAATATATCATGGAACGCGTCAACATCATCATTAAGTCCTCGGGATCAGTAGAGTGAACACTATGAGACTTTTTTACATCATCAGATCCAGCCAATTCATTCATAATATCTAAACAAAGAAAAAACTTTCATTATAAATATCTGTATTTTTCCTCATTAGAATAATCTAAGAATGATGATGGATTATGTAATGATTGGTTGTTCTTGGCAAAGTGATGTTATTTTTTCAACTCTTACCGCCCCTCTAGACAACCCGCATTTAATTGTAACCATTTCGTAGAAACGGCTATTGATAACATTGCTAATCTACTATTAAAGCTTGGCTTACTAATATTCAATACATAACTATTAAATATTTGTAAAATTTTAATCGATTGACAAGGATAAACTAAAGAGATAGAGAAGATCAATAGCAGTCTAGTTGAGCATGTAGAATACTACCCTTTCCATCTGTTTTCCCAGTCCAATATCGCATAAAAAAATACACAGTATATACATAAATGAGTGTATGTAGGGTAGACTGTTTGTCGTTCATCTAAGATGAATTATTTACCTTCTGATAAAAAAAGAGATACTATTTCATCTCATCCTTTTTGGAGAAACAAACATCTTTTTTCAACTATTTATCACGTATACAAAAACTCTCTTTACCTTTACTCTCCTAGTTCTTTCGAACGGAGATTTTATACAAAATGAAAAGTAAACAACACGTTTACCTACCTATAAATGTTTGGAACTTGTTAATCCTTTCTCTGTCTTGCTCATTTCTCGGCCAGTCTGGCACTGGAAGGGGCTCTGCCATCTGCCAATATTCTGGTACCCACCATCTTTTGTCGGTTGTCAACAAACAATGTAGATACGTACTGCCAGTTCTTGGCAGTGTTACTATAAACACCGGTCTTTGAACAGGAATGTCGTTGACTTCCGGATGTTCTTCAATGTACTGAAGGACATCTCCTCTAACTTGTAAATTTTGTTGTGCTAAGTTATTCATTAAATATCGTCCTGTAACCCCTATATCTTTTTCATTATTATACCCTTCACAGTAGGCTTTTAGACCATCAAGCAAATCTAAATTTTCTTCTAGTTCTTTTCTAGCTCTTCCATTCAAGCTTGTGACAACGGATATTGAATCCAATCTAAACAGTTGAACTCCGAAAATTGTTTGGGAGAAGTCACCAACGAAATCAATAACGCGTTTGCACAAATAGGCTAACAGCTTCAGCATCGTTCCCAGAATGATTAATATGCTAAGAAAATGACAAACAGACAATGTCACATTGATAAAGAGATATTCCTTAAGGTTGCTTGTTCTTTGTACGTTTAGGAGGCCTTTTCAAGTTTAATGAACGAAGCAGGCCTATCTTGCGAGAGTTAGTAGCTCTTGACAGATTAGATAATTTTATTTGTTACATCACCGGTGCAGTATACCAGTTTTCTGCACGACGAAACTTAAAGATGGCACTAGTGGTTATAGAGTCAAACTAGCATACGTAAGGTTTTAGAGCTTTTGGTTGTGAATTTTTCAAAACAAATTTCCATAAGTTAACTAGCCACTCTAGTGCCTTAATAGAATTATTCATTTTGTCCACTTTGAGTAGCAGCAATTACTTTTGATTTTTAATCAAAAGCCATTTCAACTAGTATACATCTCCAATCTTTGAAACTATGCCGAATATTAGCTGCAATGACTTTTCATGATTGAATACATTAGTTCAAATTTGGTATTTCAAATTGGTGCTCATGTTCAGAGTGTTTGTACAGTGACAATGTACTGTTATTTTTTTCACAAGCGCAATATAGCTGTACCCACCATTTAGTGCGAATCTTTTATTAAAGATATGATCAGTCGAGGAGCTTAGTAAAGCGATACTAAATTATATTAAGCCAGTTTGAAATTAAAGATTGAAGATATACACACTGGCAAATCAAGCTGAAATACAATTAAATAGACCACTTAGTTCAAAAGAAAACGAGTTTATCCAATTTTTAACTTCCGATTTTGGAGCTTTTTTGAAAACTGCTCAAATTGATAGGTTATTTTATTGAGTTATCAGATAATATATACGTATAGCAATGGATTATAACATAAATAATTAAGACATGCAATTTTAATCCAGGGTTCTATTATTTCCACCTTTGGACGGTTTTCATCGATTACTGATTCACGCTACCTGCAAGGAATTTGAATCTTTAGGTAGTTTTTCTATTGGGCAGGGAACATCTAGACGAACTGTTGTTTGTCTCAAAGAAACACTTTCAAGGTAACTATTTCAATTGAGTACCATCAAACTGAAAAAAAAAGAAACTATTATCCCTTTAGAATTTATCATGTAACCAATAAACTAGTCTAGTCAAGAAATGATCACTAAAGAACAATTAATATCCACGAATAACTAACTTTATTCTAGTAAGAAAGAGAAGAGTATCAAACGTTACCAAAATATTTATATCGTGATATAATGTCTACACTTTTCAGTTCTATTTTAAAATTATGAATTAACAATTAGAGTACTTTTGAATTCGTTTAATACAGACACAAAAAAAGGAAAAGTCTGTTGGGAATATAACATCTATATCTGTAAAATGACAATGTGAAAGTTTGATCATATTTTTAGGCAAAACTAAGCAAACAGACAATAAATAAAGAGTTAGACATCCAATAAAAGTTCATTCGCTATGGGATATAATGTTTCTAGCCCTGTTTTGTGTAGCATTATATGGCTTTTATGTTTAAGTTATTTTAAATGTCTCTATCTAACTTTTGTTATAGGAACGCTATAATTTGAAACAAAATATGATATAAACATACAGTATATGTATATATTTGAATATATTAATATTTACGATACACGTAGAAATCTAATACTGTTTTTTAAGAGGAAAACAAATACATATACATTCATTCTTGGCTCCTTTTAAATGAATTGTTAGACACTCGTGTAACCATTTTATATAATTCACTCAATTTCAATTAATACTTTACACATGTTTTAGAGGATCTCTTTTCAAATCCGATTGGCGCTCTGAGCAAAGCGAAACCTACAAGTACTTTAACGAAATGTCAGACTTGGAGAAAAATAAAGATAACAACGAAAGTAAACAAAACAAGATAATTGAAAAAGAATCTACAACAAATAGAGAAAGAGAGAGAGAAACTCAAGAATTGGAGAAAAAGAGTACAGATGAAAATTCGGAGGATGAAGGAGACTCGTGGGACCAACACTACGACGACTACGGAAATTGCTTAGATGCTGATACGGCCAAAGATCTCTCGCTGGCTGTTGGCAAGGTAACAATTCAAAAGCCAGTATTTGATTACGACAATTTAAAGAGTGAGCATTTGTATAATATTTTTCGTATCGCGTTCTAATTTTAATAAATCAATGATATAAACAGCAACGGATTGGAATATAGGAGATAAAGATTGCAGTCACCTGATAGAAATTTATGACTTTCCTCCCACAACTAACACAGGTGATATCATCAACGTATTCAGGGACTATTTAAAACGCGGTTTCGATCTGAGATGGGTTGACGAAACTCATGCTATTGGTGTTTTTACATGTAAAGAAGCAGCTATTAGCGCTTTAAAACAGAATAGAGGACTTGTGAAAACTAGACCTATATCACTAGCATCACAGCAAACAAAATTGAAAGCTCAACAATGTTCCGATCTTTTTGAACCTCATCAGTAAGTACATAACTCCTATTTCTCTAAGTGTATGTAAAGACTTTTGAGTGTCATGTAATACTTATTCTGTGATAATATATTTATAATGAGTAGATAAGTAACAGTACATAGACATTATAAAAATTACACTATCTTGAATTAATGAGCATGAGCGATCATTCTTTCAGGAACATTTTGTAGAGATATAAAAGACATCTTACTTGTTTGTTTTCTTTCGCAGGTTACGACCAGAAACGAACGCGCTGATAGCAAGGAATTTAGTTATTGGTGCCCTTGGTCTTGATAGGAATACCAATAAGGAGCAGAGGGATGAAGAAAGAAGACGACTTAAGGAAGCCAGAGAGAAAAAAAAAAGGGAAATAAAGAGTAACAGAAGTGCCTGGGATGGAAGTATTAAGGGATGTGCGATGGACAAGTCTTAACTATTTCTTAAGTTTACTTGATCAAGATATAAGCAGAAACTGTATTGTCAAACTGAGATATGCATATATATATAATTTCCTTTTCATGCACTTAAGTTGTTCCTATTTTTGAATTTTATCATTTTTAAACTTTTTTCATAGAATTTTTATGATCCTGTAGAGAATTTTCATTAGTACTTAATAATAAATAAAGACCAATCCTACAACTTAATCATATTATCATCATTTAAGTGATTCTTTTCAGCTAATGATGAGCTAAACGACTACTTGCATATATAATGATAAATATCTATTGAGAAGAGACTGATTAGGCCTCTTTCCCCTAAAATGTTTTACAGCAAACTGTATAAGTATTTTCGTAGTTAATTTCTTACCAACTGCCCTTATTCTTAATGATAATTGAAAAATATTTCGATCAGAGTAAACGAATGAACTAATAAACTAACAAATAGACATATTATTTAATTATTAACAATCATTTTAATCAATTTTATTGTTTTCCTTCTGTGATTCTAATTGCATTAAGAAAAAAGATGTATTTTTTGAAGAAACAGTAGCTAATGAGCTATTCTTTTTTTCAGGATGACTTAAAAGCATGATGTAGTCAAGAGATTTTGCTTTGTCCTGATTCTGTGCAAGAAATATATTATTTTATCCGACCGCTATAAATAACATTGTATATATTCAAATTTATTCATATTTTCAGTCACTTAAACGGACAAGACAGTTCTGTTACTATGGCCCTATATTTCTTATGTTTAGATCTATATTGTGTTATAGATTTATATGCATATATATATACATTATGTCTATATTGAGGGTTTATATCATATCTCTTGTATATTAATGATGAGCTTATCTTTTAACAGAATAGAAGTTTCATTTCAAAGCTTAATGATATAATTTAGGATTCTTTCTGGGTAAAATTACATTATAAATATTTATGAATTTATATTTCTTTTGTTTTTTATATGTTTTTTTTTATATGAATATTTTAAGATAAAGAAATATAATAATTATGAAATATTTATATATAATCAAACAGTTTATTAACAACTCTGATTGAAGAATTAGAGTAGAATTGCATAATAAAACGATAGCGAATCGCTGGCTATGAATATTTACGACCAAACTAATCCCGATGATGTTATCCATTTGACCATATTTGGCCTATTAGCCAATATCTTTACACCTTTAAACAAACAAACATTTTATATAACCGTAAACTGTCTTATTTGTATTATATTAAGATTTTTTGATAATAAAGATTATTAATCGGTTCAACAAACATGTTGACTTTCTCCTATTTTCTATTTTTGGGCTTTAGGATCATTTTCAAATTTGTATTCTCAATTGCAAAGTCATTGGTATAAGTATTCTGAATAAATTTCTCTACTATCTACTTTATTTACAAAGAGCAACATACAGTAAAAGTTATACAGTATGTACATAAATATACGTATGTGTCTGTACTAGAATAGTTAATTGAAAATTAAGGAGCATTTACACTGCCAAAACGACTTCTTGGGATAAGCACTAATTTAGATATCGCAAAAATTCACATGCGTTTTAACTTACTTAGGGTCGTGTCTTGTTGATAGCATTTAGTTCATTTACAACTAAACAATATCAATGAATTTTTAGTTTTGCTCAATTTCGCTAACGGCTTGTAGTAACAATGATATTTGTTTCATATGGGCGAGAATTTCGTGCAAATATTCGAAAGGTCTATATCATTGAATATATTAGATATATACTGAATAGATGTATCCGATAAATAGGGGAAAGTAGTTCCTCGCTTACACATTCCGCCCTTTTCGTAAAGTATTAAGCATTTTTTGGTTGATGAATTACCAAAATGATGGAGAATTCTTATACGCATAAGATCTCACTCTACGATCAGTTTCATAACTATGAAGGTTATGTTGAATCTTCTCTATCTTGTACGAGATTTAAGTCTTCTTTCTCCAAGTTTGTTATTGTTAGATAAAACTAGAAAGCAATGTTTTTTTTTGTTTAATGACCGTATTACTGTTAAAACTATCTAGGATTTATCTTTCTTCCATAGAATCAAGTTAAGAAACCTCTTTCTCTTGACAAATTCCTCCTTAATCTGACAAATATTTCTTCGTATTACAGGCTTGTATACAACAATCTCATTCATTCCTTCATAACTTGGCTAAAATTAAACTCATTCAGTTCTCTTTATATATTATTACCATACAACTTCTATAAACTATCTAAAGTTCAACAGAAAAGAAAAGGATAGCTTTTTCATTTAAATAAGAAATATTAGTTGTTAAACGAGTACTTCTAATATACATATATATATATAAAGAAAACGCATTCAGACATCATTTCTAACTATGATTCCCCAACTTTATATAAAGGCTAACATTTATTTGTACAATAGGCCCAACTTTCGAGCTGGTAGAGAAAATACTGAGCTAACTACTATTGCAAAGCCAAATTTTATGATTACATGCAATGTTTCTTAGATTATTGCATTGAAACGATGTTTTGAATGTTTACTTTGAGAAAAAATCAGTTCACTATTGCATCTTCATTGCTACAGTAATAATTTTAATGCTAGGTAACATTTATTTATCTACAATGCTATCATTTATCCCATCTTCTCACTTTTTACCTATATTCCTTCTCCTTTAGCCTTTATTATCAATAAATAACATCTATCTAATGTAATTTTAATAAATTAAAGCCTATTTATCTTTCTAGACATTTGAATACCGTCCGACCCAGTTTCTTCGTCACTAGAGGGCGTTCTCTACTTTTCATTATATTCATTTTCTCCTCAACCACCAACAGGGAGGGTTGCAAACAAATTTTTATCAAGAATACATGATAATTAATTTCCTATTTGCAAAGATAAGTACTAAAACAAAATAAACAGAAAAATATAATGGAGTTTGCAATCAATTCTTCTAATTTCACCATTCCCCTTATGAAGGATACGTTACTTATAAAGGACATGGCTACAGTCTTCCTAATTGTCGTATACATTCCTATATTCTTAGTGGCCATAATAGGAAATAGTCTTGTTCTCATTGTCATCTGTATGCATAAATCCATGAAGAATTCTACAAACTTTTTCCTCCTTAATCTGGCTTTTAGCGATCTTCTCGGTACGTAAATAATTATTGATATAATACCCTAGGTTTTTACCTAACCTTTCGTTTTTCTCGTAAATATAAAATCCTAAAGCAATAGATGCATTTTTAATTGCTAGACATTAGCATCTAAATGATAAATCTTGGAAGAACCGTAATTCATAGGCAGCTGAATAGGATAGCCCTTCCTTTGGTAATTTTTTCAGTCAAAGAGATTCTTAATTACCATGTTTTAAATTCCCTTAAGAGCAAATATGTAGGGCAGTAAAATATCCATTTCGAGTTATTCGCGTTTGCTAAATAGAATTTGTTTTCTTCTTAGCCATTATTTTTGTTTAGATTCTCTTCCTCCTCTCTTCTCCTCCTCCCGCCCTCAATCCCTCCTCTGTGTTTTTCTTCTTTTCTACTTATTAATCCTATTTTATTTTATCCTACCAGTGTTCTTTTCTCCAAAATAGCCTCAAGTCTATTTTTTAAATAAATAAATTTGAAGTACTTGTCTATCACCTTCGATTCTTTTCACTTAAAAGCTAACGTTCATAATTCCTTTAAGTGAAAAATTTGCATGTATCTCAAAGTTATCTTACCCTTTAAAGTCGTTTATCGACTAAATAGTGTAAAATCAGTTTTAAAACTGAAATAACTCAACAATAAGCTATTAGAGCATCACAGATAGTAGAGTTAAATCTGTGTCATAATTTATGTTGCTATCAATACGATTGATAATTGGTCTTTGTTAAATTTATTACCCGTATTGTACACTATGCTCAATTGAATATAATATGTTAAAGGTTGGAGAAATTTGATACTAGTCCACATGATATATTATAATGTTATTAATACTGAAATTAAAAATTGAAGTCACAGATATACTGTAGTAAGCTTTTTTATTAACGAATATAAAGTAACAATATGATGCTGAAATTAAATTTAAATTGACGATAATCTAGATAATTATCCTTTAAAAAGGTGTATTTAAAGTATTGACTTATTAACAGTTGCTGCTTTTTGTATGCCTTTTACGATTTCTGAATATGTCTATAAACCTTGGCCGCACGGCTTGTTTCTATGCAAAGCAACAACATATTTCCAAGGTTAGATATTTTGCCATTGATTTACGGTACATTCTTTTTCCATGTTTTAATTGTTATTTGACAGGTGTGTCTTTAGCTAGTACTATTCAAACACTGATGTGTTTAAGCATCGAGAGATATTTAGCTATCTTATATCCAATAAAAGTAACGCTAGTAGGATATACTGTAAAAAAAATATTGATAAAAGAATCTCGTAATAAGTATCCATAAAATTCTTAAATTTTATATAAACTTTCGTTTGTATTTGTCCTAAGTGACTCTACGACTGTATAAATGCACTACGGCGTTACTTTTACACAAAATAGATTAGAAAATTCACTACAAGTCGAAATATTAGGTACACTATAGCGATAATTTGGTTAATTTCATCCCTTCTTATGGTACCGTTAATTTTGGTCAGAAATCTAATCTATATAGAAGTGTTAACCCAAATCACGCCTATGAAATTTACAACTATTGCAATATGCAGTGAAGATTGGAAAGTACTACAACAAAGACGAGCTTTATTTGACGTCTGCTTGTTTTTGATTCTATACGTTATACCAGGTTTTGTAATTACATTTTGTTATGCCATGGCCTGGACTGGTTTAACTAAAAAAGATCAATCCCTAAGAAGAAGTCAAACATCCATTTTAAAATCGAGAAGACGGCTAGCCAGAATGCTTGTGGCAATTGCTATTCTTTTTGCTATATCTTGGTTGCCTTATCAAGTGGTTTCTCTGTATGTGGATTTCCGAAAAGATTCTAAAGCAGCCAATCTTCTAAAATATTGTTTACTCCTTGGTCACTTTCATTCCGCTCAGAATCCAATTCTCTACTGTATATTGAATGGAAAATTTCGAAGAGGAATCATCTATCTTTTCCAATGCAGAAAAGTAAGTAAAAATATTTACGACGAGTTTACCGAGGTCTATGTCCGGACCATCAAAGGCATAATAAACAAAGAAAATATCGAGGTTCCATCAAAAATGTGCATAAATACATCCTATAAATAGATATATGTATTTTCATTTCATATATACTGTATATACATATATATATATATATGTACGGGTAGAAATCATTGCTTTCACAACAGAATGAGTTCGAGAAAAGGCAAGAGTATAGCCTAGTTCAAACCCGCCATGACTGTGATTATGAGGTTAAGAATACAACGACTGCTCTCTAAGAATATGCTGGCGAATATTTCGATCTCCACTTTAAGCAGTTGACATCAATGTGCAAGCTCTTCTTCTTAGCATTTGCCTCATGAGTCTAGTAATTTTGGTTGATGATGAAAAGTAATGTTTAAGTCTTAAACTATTTGTAGAAAGCCTCAGCGTAAAAAAAAAAACAAGCTTAATGAAATAGTGAGTGTCATCTGGACTCTACCAGCCAAGAACAACAGTTCAGGGCTATTAATGTCACGATTTTATCAGCTGAAAAGGTAGAAAGCTTTCGTCTAGGAAATAATTAAGCCTTTTTTGTAGATACCACTTCTCCATTTTAAAAAACTTTAGTTACTGTGAAAGTCTATTAAAAGATTTTCTACGACAGTCTTAAACATTACTTTTAAGGTTTCATCATTCAGCGTAATAATATATTGACCTTGGCAATATTGAACCAAATTTAATTGGTTTAGCGTGGAACTAACGTCATCCTTCTTTATAGCTGTTCTCTCCACGATATCATTGACACTCAGCGAAGGCCTCTGACTACCGGATTTTATCTCGTTATGTTTCATTATGGTATCGACGATTGCGTGAGACCAGTAACTTCGATAGGACAGTAGACCCAAATCTGATAAAGGCTTCTCTGGAGTTCCACTCTTGCCTTCAACCTTTGATAAGGCGTAACCTTGAAAATATTAATACAGACTTACTATTATCAAATAATAAAAAGTGATCTTCAAATACAGCTACTGTTCACAAACTAATAATATTTTTAATGTTTTATAAATAAAGGAGATAATCTTAAGTATTTTAGTATAAAATATAGTTTTAGAATAGAAAATCATACTAAATTCTATTAAAAATCTTCCGTAACCTTTACGCTGATACGGTGGTAGAGTTAATATACAAGCAACATTAAAATCTGATGCAGATTCTTTTTCCTAATGAATAGAAACATTATTATAATTTTGATTATAATTAAGATGATGAAATGAAAAATACTTTTGAGAAATATCCAACAATATGAAATCCATATTCGTCAAGTTCACAAAGAATATAGAAAAGAAAAGGGTCGGTATCAAAGTATAAAGTTTTGTGATCTAAGAACAATTTGGCTAATAGACATAAATTTCTTGCATAAGTCTGTAAAAGGGAAACAAAAGATCAATTAATAATATATTTAGATTTAATCGCCTTAAGTCTATTTTCAAGTCTTTGTTTTATATATATACTGTATAAAGTCAGGAACATGTTGACACTAATAATAAAAAACGTATGTACAATATAAATTCAAGGATTCGAAAGAGACGCACTAATTTAATTTTCTTCAACCGGATAGCCTTCTCGCTCTCTTAATTTGAAGCCCGAAAGGCTATTAGAAATGTTGGAAACATATTATTTTCATGCTATAAGATTAGAAAAATGTTAACAAAGCATGGAATATAAATGTGAATATGCTAATACTACAGATTAGAATTTTTTGGATTAATTAACAAGTCATTGTACAAAAGGCTATAAAATCAATACAAGCTGATGCGGTACCTTGTTCTTCCTTCCGTCTATTTCGAAAAAAGACAACTTGTCTTTTCTATATATTTCATTTCCTGGAGGATGTCTAAATAAACACTTAGAAAGATGTCTTCTCAAACGACATTCGCTATCCGTGTATTTTAAACAGAATTCGCATATATAAACGACAGGTATCTTTGAAAATTCTTTTGGATAGGGCGAGAAATACCAAGGGGTTATTCTATATCTTCCCAATTCGATGCAGTCAATATTTCTCACTTCATGAGTACCTTGTACAGACATGCCACTTTGAGGATTAGATCCACTACTTTCATTTTCGTTTGAAAGTCCATCACTGGGCTGTTAAAGACTTATTTAGTTCGTTGTCAAAATTGAAATAGAATAAAGAAATAAAGCTTCGCAAGAGTAGAAATCTATAAATAATATTCAAGTAGGTCTACTACGATGAATAAGAAAAAAGCTCCTATCGAAAATATAAAACACTATAACACCATATTTAATTGGAAAATTCTATAAAAACCTAACCAAAAGAGAATAGAATGTATATTATACTTTCTTCTAAACTAAATCATTATAAATTGACTATTGGTTAGGTTTGAATTAATTCTTAGAAGGATAGTCAAAAAACAAGACAAAAATATTTGATATTCTCCCATATGCACTTTGTCTTTATCTGTCCTCTAAATATCCACAACTGAAATGCTCTTCTAACACCCAAGAGTTTTTTTACCCTGGCGAATTTAAATATTTAACTACAGCCTTTATATAATTTATAAAGTGTCAAAAGTAGAAGCTGAAAACGTTTATCATTAATAGCTTAGCAGCAAATTGATGACATTTTTTACGAAACAGAGCACAAATGTTCAAATGGCCCTAAAATAATTATGAATTTTTTATTCTTACTTTTTTAGGTATTTTTGAGCTTGAGGAATTTTTTAGAAGTTTTGTTTTCACGTCTTTAGGAGTATTTTTCAGTTCAATTTTGTTCAAGTCTATTCTTTCCAAATCAACCCATTCATCCAATCTCTTATTAACTACAAAGTTAAAACTCTAATTTTACTAATAAATCATTTATGAATTTAGTAAATAACTCACAATCAACAAAGTGAACGTAATATTTTGGCGTTCCATCGTTTTCTTGCTTACAGAAAAGTAACTCAGCTTTCCCTAAAAAGATTTATCAAACAAATTTTAAAAAGTACAAGAGAAAAGTTCTATAAAAACATACTATACTCGTTGGAATTCTTTAACTTTACCGGAACAATGCAACCTTCCACTAGTAAGCCCTTAATTAAGAAAAAAGTGTCAATAAAAACCTTACTTTTATTTTTATCTCTAATTAAACAAGCATGCTCAAACTTACAGCCATTCCTTTTTTTCGTTTTTTTGGCAGTTACGAAATGACATGTAAAAACTGGTTTGGGACATCCATTTCCGTTGACAATTTTCCAATCGAATACTAGTCAATGCTTCCGGTTACTTGGAAATGTAGTTACGTTCATTAGCCTGCTGTGGTAAAATGAAAATAACCTATAATATATCGTATGAAATGGAAATTGATAAGAAATAACTTGATATCTGCTTGTATTGAAACAGTAAATTGTGCTTTTAGCAAACATTATATTGAACGTTACATGAAAATTTTTTATACAAAAAAATCTCAGTAACAGTGAAAGATGAGCTGCATAACTTCAAGTAAACTCTACATTTATTAAATATAGCCTCTATAATATTGATATGTAAAGCGTTGAAAATGCTAATTTTCGGGCATTCATTTCTAATTTATTATAGTGACAAGTTTAAAACTGGCGCAATCCGATTACAGGAACCGGAAAATAAATAAATCAGTACCAGTTTTGTGAGTCGATTCCTTATACGTTGGATACAACTTTTAGTCTCCTTAACTTAAATGGAAACCTAACAAAATCAAATTGTTATCCATTGCAGATAAATCATTATTGCTATTCAATAATTTTAGATCTCCCAAAGTGAATTTTGACATTTTTCGGCTTATTCAATGAATGTCATTGATGAACGATAATACGCAAAATTTAATTCTTTAGTGACGTTGAATGAATTAAATGACTTCACGCAAAACAGGATTTGGAGAAAGAATGAAGATCGTTAGATTGAAATGGAGACCAGCATTTTTTATAGCCTTTCCTGTATCATGCATTATTCTATATCTAGGTTGTTAAAATTCGAAATAATATATTTCAATCATATTTAATACCCGCCAAAAATTTCAGTTTATTCTTATACAATATCATATTCTTCAAATTGCAAGAAAGTTCTTCCATCGGAAAAGATAATGAAAGACGATATTCTTTACTACTGCAACTTTCCAACAGAAATAGGCAATGGAGAAGAAGGTGTGTATTTATTATATTGAAAGAAATACATTTACTTTAAAACTAATTGATATGTTCCAGGCTCAATTAGTTCCAAGTATAAACTAACAAAAGTATTTACTATTATTAGACATGGTGATAGGTTTCCAATTCACTCAATTCCAAATCATAAATACTTGACTGAGTCTTGCAAAGCTCAAGATAATGTTCAACTTAAAAAGAAGCTACCGTCTTTTAAAAATTATACAGAATCAATGAATAAACAAGTCAAATTGAATTTAAGGAATAAAGGAGATAGTTTTAAACCTTTCCCAATTTTCCCCAATGATGAATTTTGCGGTCAAGCTTTCCTCACTCCAGAAGGCGCAGCTCAACATGTAGAAATAGGTAAATTATTAAATGAAAGATACATAAAAAATCACAAACTATTGGACGATCAATACGACAACAAAGTCTATGTAAGAAGTACTTATTATCGTAGAACTTTTCAAAGTGCTTTAGCTCTCCTCCACGGTTTTCTACCAAATTTCACTGTAAACAGGATAACTATAGACAAGGAATGTGGTTTTAGTTATTTAATTACTTATAAATCTAACTTAAAGTACTATTACAGTTATTATTAATGAAATGTGCAATTCTTTAGAACTAGGTCTCAATAACAACTATTTGTAATTTTAAAACCACATTCCAGGCTGGAAATAACAGCTTATGCCACCAGAAATCCAATCATCCATGTGCATGTAAACCTTTAAAAGAAGAAGCCATTATGAACTTAATGGCATCTGGTGTTAACCAGCCTGCTAACTCTTATAAACATCCGAAATTATACTCTGTTTATAAACACATGTCCAATGTATTTGACGTCGATGCTTCAAATTTACCACCTGCCCGACAAATAATGGATACTGCAATGGTTCAAGCTTGTCACAATGAATTTCTGCCCTCGTACAAAAGAGACTGCATAAATCCTGTCGAGTTTAGGAAGCTTGTTAACTTTGTTAATTCTCATGGAAAGACTAAAGTCAACACGAATTTTTGGAAAGTTGTATCATATTTAAAAATGATTCCACTTTTATACGAAATAGCGTCCAACATGAAAGAAAAGACTATTGAAAAATTTTTCCTTTACTCTGGACACGATTCCACTATAGATCCTCTATTGACGCTTTTAGGGGTTAATACGGGTATATGGCCTCCGTACGCCTCTAGGATCATCTTCGAACAGTACGAATATAATGAAAGGAACTACTTTAGAGTTTTGTATAATGGAAAGGATGTAACAAGAAAAATTGGCTTTTGTAAAGGAAAACCTTTAGAAAATGATAAATTATGTTCATTAGAAACTTTATGGCAATTTGTCAATTTTCAATATTTAAAAGAATTGAAATGCAAAAGCTATCGAGCTGCCTGTAGTATATTTAGCTTTAAAGATAATTCTCTATTCAGAAATTTTACCTAACTCAATAAAGATCGTTAATCTATTGAATATATCTTAATAGATAATTTGATCGATTGAAAAGACTTTAAATTCAGCAATGAATATTTAAAATGACGTTTGACGACTGGGTCTTCCGTTTCATATTAAATTCTTATTTTTATGACAAACTTCATCTTGGAACCGTAAAGATATTTAAAAATTAAATACTCGCCACAAAAAACGAAACACGCTGAAATCTTATTCACAATTCACAAATCTGTATTCATTGGAACGACGTGTTTCTCTGCAACCATTCTAACAAAGTCTAAATGGCTTGCATACAATTGTTGGCATTCATCTATATTCATCCACTTTACATTGATAGCATCGTCACCAGCCCTTAGATTATATTTGCTGACAGTTTTAGAATCAGTTTCGTGAAAATTGAAAACTGTAGTTTCAACCCAGGCATTATCCGTATTTCTTGGATCGTCAACATATCCTGAATAAATTTTAACACCAGTTTCCTCGAAAAATTCTTTTAATTCATTAACAATTTCTGTTCGTTTTTCCTCTCTGGTTTCTAAGGATATATCTTTACTCTCTTCTTCCCATATTCCTAATGCTTCTTCGCAGAACTCTTTTATTAAAGTCTGACTTACATTTTCCCCTGGTTCCACCATACCACCAGGTATAGCCCACTCGCCATTATCGCCCCGTTTTATTGCTACAAATTGTAAAACTTTTGTCCCGTCGTTTTTTAAATTCCACCTAGTTACAATAGGATCAGCAGCATGATTTGGCCCCCAGCGTCCAAGTATTCCTCGACCTACAATACCCGTTTTTCCTTTGGGATTCAATGGTAAATTACATCGTCCTAAATCAGCTTTACAAGCTGGTCCAACTATGTAATCGCATTCAAAGCTTTTTCTATTCACTTTTCTCCCATCAAGTTCGTCTTCTTGATTCCATAGAACATTGAACAGTTGACTCTCTGGTAAATCAGCCCAAATTGGCTTCTTCATTGTTGTAGGATCCATTAGGACAGAGGAATCAGTGAACCGAGGAGGATTGTAATTTGCATCAATTTCATCACCCCATCGCCGACTTCCTATAACTTTAAACCGCTCTGGTTGAGATACTCGATAGTAACCTTCAATACACTTTCGATGAGCTCTTTCATCTGAATCATATCCTTTTTCCGTATATTTTTCGTATTCAATGACACACGGTTTTCTCGAAAATTTTCTAAACATTGAAAGCGATTAGAAATCATCCAACAAAGGTATCAATATCAGAATGCACAACTATATAGCAGTAATAATCTTTAGCAAGGATGAGCCTTAGTTACCGCATTTGAAGCAGCTCCAAGAGCAACATAAAAGACATGTCGATCAATATAATGATCACAAGCAAATATAGTTCCTATCAACTGTTTCTCTGTTAATCAACAATAATATAGTTGAAATGTCACCGTTTTCACACGTTTATTATATGCAATATTATAAGATTATACGTTTCCTAATTTAATTCAGTTTGTTATATTATGTTGTTGTTTTTTTTGTTACAATTCCCTAAATGATTTCATTTAAATTAATACTATTTCTATGTAAAAAAAAGAATATTAACTATTGTGTCTTAGTATAGGAAAAAAATGTAGATGGAGGCCTAATTTCTAACTATTACTAACTAAATATTAGAAATAGCAAAAATAGTTAAATACTATTAATATTAATATTAATAATAATACTATAATATTACTATACATGTATTAAACTGATATATGAATGTTACTTAGAAAGAAATGTTTAGATAAAGTTATAGACGCTTGATGGCGCTGTTATGTATTGCTTTTGACCTCTTAAACCCTATGATCTTGTTAGGCCTATATAACGCGACCTTCGCGCCGGCTAGTTTATCTTTAGGCCGCTTCGGGAAAGTGTTCTCTCCTATTAACACAAACAACGCCATATTGGACGTCCGACCGCCATTTTTTAAAGAAGACCCAAGTGTTGTTTTACTAAATAATCGATACGAAAACTTTGTTCAAGCCTTATCAATACTAAACAATTTTACCAAGCTTGATATGACTCACCAACCAGTCGAAGCTTGTTTGATATGCTAATCAGTTGGACAGGTGAGTGGAACACCTTAGCGAAGCATAGTAGGCAAAAACAGGCCGAAAGTGGAAAAGGCGTTTTTTACTGAATATCGTAAAGGTAAATATTTTCAAGAAAGTTGGTATTTCTCTGATATAATGTATTGGTACTTTTTTCTGTTTAGTATTGTTTAGTTTGTCATACTGTTTTGTAGAAGGCTAGACTTGGCTTGTTGCCTGGGCCCCTTATCTCTTTAGTATAATATAATATTATTCATATAATTCTTGGCCTCTTTATTAATATATATTACTCGTGTAGTTACATTTAAAACAAAGTACTAAATCGTGTAATACGATTATTAATACTATGTTTTTATTTAATGTCGTTGAGATGATCTACATGAACATGAAAAAGTCTTTTTTTAAAAGGAAGCCATGTCTGCATACGCGGATGCCATGGGCGGAGGTTGGGGTGTAACGATATAAAATGCTTATAAGCATTTGCTTCTAAAGATCATTTATAAGATTTTATAGCTATCAGATTCATTTCTCATGTCTTGTCCGATAGCTACTCCTTTTTGTTTAAAAAAAAGATTTAAAATAGTTTGTGATCATTTTTGGAAAGTTTCGTTAAAATACGCCATTTTGCTTTACGGCATTAAATATCGCAAATTTCGCTCATTTATTTCCCTTAACACAGACTAATAATTTTCTAATACAGTCGCATAGAGTTTGTCTCATAGTAACTAAATTATGTATTGAAATTACCCCACGGCTCAATAAAGTAAAAAAAAACATGGCGCGTTGTATTCGGAGCATTAAAGCGGTATTCATCGAAAACAGGCTATTGTTATGTTTTGAAACGTGCATTATTGTCCTTATGTAGATATATAAGCTTAGAATATCTGTTAAGAATTTGACCTAAAACGCAAAATATTAAATTTTATCGTAGATTCTCAAACAATAATTCGATTATTATAAAGGGTTAATGTTTAGGATTGGCTTCATTAAATCACCCAGGGAATGACCCTCTTTCGAATAGATAATATCGATTTTTTAGTTACCATATGGCTTGATATGGGCTTTAAAGATTCTTTGCTTTTAGAATGGAGATTGAAACGGCCGTTAAGAGTATTCAAGAGGAAGCTATTGAGACGGAGGTAATCTCCAATGACATTCACACAACTCCGCTAGGTCTTATCGAAGAAAGCACGTCAATCGATGTAGACGAAACAGTCACTTACCAAACACTTACAAATGCTGAGACTGTTGAGCCTAGACAAATAGAAGAAACCGTTGACCATTTAGCTAACAGGAACAATTATGCCTATGAGAACAAGGAGGTTCTGGTACAACACGCCAAAGAACTAATAGCTCAACATCAAATACCAACGCCCGACGGAAAATACATGTACGTTTAATAAGAGTTTAATATGACTTATTGATAATATTCTAGGTTAAACTACGTATTGTACAAATGTACGCGTAATTCAATACTATTACTATATATATAGAAGGCCTAACCTATTTCAGATGCAAACTATGCGGAAAACAATTCGGGTACAAAAATGGCCTTTTAAGGCATTTGCGTTTGACACATTTGGGAGAAAAGCCTTTCGAATGTACAATATGCAACAGAAAATTTGGTTACAAGCATATTCTTCTGGAACATCAAAATCTTCATTATGGAAATAGACCTTATGCTTGTCCGGTTTGTAATAAAAGATTTGCGGCACGATCTAATTTGGTTCAACATCGTAACGTACACCGAAAGACTTTTACGTGTCACATGTGCGGTAAAAAGTGCGAAACGCTTGATGAATTAAATGCTCACGTTTCCAGCCATCCACCAAGCCCACCACTCGTTTGCAGTTTATGCAGCTATAGAGCAAAAACAGCTCAAGATTTAGCGACTCACACTGAAGCAAGACACAAGCCACAGTTGATCGATATTAAACCTCCTCACAATGCCGGTAAGATTAGCTTATAGTCACACTTGAAATTTAAGCCTTCTTTATCTTTTATATTCGGAATAATTTTGTTAACGTGAAATTTTATTGTTTTGCTATAGGTGGACTACCGCCCCACAATATTCACAATGAGATACAAATCCAACCTCAGATGGCTCATTCACGGCAAGTCGTTACTCCTAACCCATTAGATAATCTTACAACTTTGGCAGATGCTGCTAGAATGAAGAGTGAAGTTGAAAAACCCGAACCAGAAGACGAGGTTAAACCTCTTGTACCAACGTTTTCTACCGAGTATCCCCCCGACCCTGACACAACGGAATCTCCTGTAAAATCGGTGCAGCAGCCGCTTCCAACATTTCACGATATGTTTCCACCTTGTAACACGCAAGTTGTTTATTCAACCCCCGCTCCTGTTCATCACGTTATGGAAGTTAATAATAATAGTATCAAGCATCCTCTTCCTCCGGTTAATGGATTTAACAATCAACAACAGCATCAAATGCAACAAGTTACTCTAACTCTTCCTCCGCAACAAGTACAACAGAAGCAACCGATTCATATTCAACAGGTAAATAATAAACCGTCTACCGATGCTATCGTTCAATGCGACGACGAGGAGGGACCAATGCCTGACTTAGAAGATGTAATTGATCATTATTTATGTAAAGGGAAAATTTTTAGATGTCATCATTGTGATATCATATTCTTTGAGAGAGCTATGTACTTCTTACACGTTAGTTTACATGGTTCAGAATCTCCTTGGCAATGTGCTATCTGTGACAAACAATGCACGGATAAAAACGATTTCACTTTACATTTTATTAATCAAAAACATGAACGTTAGAAACAAAACAGCATGGTATTTGTAACAAAGTCGTCTTTATAATGTTAAAGACATTCCATTTACTTACATATTCCCTTTCTTTTTTTGCTGCATCAGGAAAAGTTAAAGACTTAGAATAATGATTTTTTTTTAAAAGTTGTATATATACTTAGTTGCATGAAATGTAAGAGTTTAATCAATATAACTTCTCTTTTAGAATATCAAGGATCTGCTTAAAAAAAAAATTTAACTTTGTTTACATTTGTTAACTATTTTGATATTCTCAAAAATACATTTTTCTATAAGTTATCTTCTATTAAGGAATATATATATATAGAATTTTTACAAAATTGAATATTTCAAGATCCATAAATTTGGTAGTTAAGTTAATATTACGTTGTTTTTTTTTTTAAATAACTAACTTTAGTAAAGTTTCATAAGAGACCAACGCCATCTATTTGCCAAAAAATTTTCCTGATAATGTTAAAAAAGAGTTGTTTTTATTCTTTTAACATATATTCTTTTTTAATGGAGAATTCTTAGAAACTATTTTTTTCTCTTTAATTTTTTCATCTATTTCTCTTTTTTTTTACTATTCTTTGTTAGATATCTACTTAAATATTCATTTATATAAATATTATAACTTTTATAACTTAAATGTTCGCATTTTTTCAAAAATAATAAACTGATTCGATTGACAACATTTTTAATTGTTTTTTCTTTTATTCTTTAATATTTGACAATTATTTGATTGCTGATTAGAATAATGATAAAAACAGATAAAAGAAACAATGATTTATTGTTGAAAATTATTGCGGGAATTCAAACCAGTCTATTAGAATTTATTTCTTCCTTTTCGCTCAAAACTCACGTTTTTTACATAAGCTATTCTTACTTAAAACGTTCAGTAATCGTTTTCTTGTCGATTTCTCAATATTGTGAAATTTCATCATTTTGCTATATATTTAAACATTTTTGACTAAAAGGGATATTTTAATATTTCAATTAAAGGATATCTAACTAAGAAACTGATAACTATTATGTTTAGGCTTAAGCGTAGTTACATTTTTGGAGTTTTGGGTACATCTTCACTTGGTTTGGGAGTGTACTTACTAAGCAAAAGAACTAAAAAGTCAAAGAGAATTTTGATTGAAAATGACCTTCAAGAGAAAAAGATGGACAAAATGGCAGAAAAATATGAGATGATCGCATCTCAAGTTTTTTTCAGACACGGATCTAGAACTCCATTAAATAGAGAACTACCAGTTGGAGAACCTGGTTTCGATAGTAAAACTCTTTTACAATCTGTACCGCACACAGAAGTCCCCTTTTTTATACGTGATCTGGATGGTGGTCCACGTCCTATTTCTAATATTGAAAGAAAATATGAATTACGGAAGTTCGAAGGGGGAACCCATGCTGGCCAATTAACAAAAATAGGAAGAGAACAAGGTTTTCGTTTAGGTAATAGATGATATTCATCGCTTTAGCCAAACCTAATATTATTGATACTTTAATACTAAAGAAATATTTATTAGCAATTATTATACTCATTGTTTTCAGCAAATATAGAGATTGCTCTATTTAAAAAATATTCAAGACTTGATTTCTTTCCAGGACAAAGGCTGAAGAGGAAATATGTGGATATTTGGAAAATTATACCAGAACAATTTAATCCACAGCTTGTCTATATGAGATCAACAAATATAAATCGATGTATCGATACCCTTCAATGCGTTGCAGCTGGAATTTGGGGGAAAAATTTAGAAAAACCAATGGAATTTTTTGTTGCCCCAGGAAAAGATGAATTTCTTTATCCTGCATCGCATAGATGTAAATCTTTAAAAGGAATTGAAACTTTAGGTATCGTTGGACTTAAGGAAGTAGAAGGACTTACAAAATTGGAAAATCTACTTAAAGACAAATTTAAATTAGAAGTAGTATAAATTAATGAAAAGTCAATAATTGCTTAAAATGTTTTACAATTCTGAAGACAGATATGCCTATCTTCGCTTGTTTTGATAATATACAATGTAAGAAAGGCAATGATATTCCAATATTTGATTGGTTAGAAGATATAAAAGACGAAATGGATGAAGCAGTAGTAAAAACAATGAACAAAATAAGAGTACCCTCACCCGAATATAAAACTCAAAGTATAAAGTTAGGCATTGGAAGAGTTTTTGATACTATCCTGAATAACTTCGAGAAACTGGATAAAAAGCTATTTTTATACTCTGCTCATGATTCTACTTTGTCAACTATGCTTTCGGGTCTTGATTCACTTTCAACGAAATGGCCACCATTTGCAGCTGACATTTCCTTTGACCTACTTAGAGATAAGGAAACAGGCAGTAAAATTGTTTGTCTATCTTACTGTGAAAGAGTGATAAAAATATTGCCTTATAAGGAATTTGCTGATTTGGCAAACAGGTAATTGTCAAATAATATTTTTCGGATAGCGCCATCTGATGGCTACTGAATTGTTCAAAGCCTGAAATCCAATCCAGGTCTCTTCAAACAAGAGTCTTTGATAGGATTATTAAAAAAACTTATTTGTTTTGGTGTTTCTGTATTTTCGATATTTCTAAAAAAGGTTTTAAATACCAAATTGATTTTCGGTTTAAAAATATCAGTGTCACATCTCCTGCTTAATTTGTGTTAATGACTGTCATTGTAGTTATTATCGAGATAGGAAATTGCAGACAGTTCTCGTATTTCTAGAAAAAAGAACTTTGTTCTTTTTAAGTGAACAAGAAAATTAACACTTGACGTAATGTTTCAGGTGCAAAATAACAGCCGAAGAACATCGAACACTGTGCACAGATGTAACCTTGCATAAGGAACTATATGACGCTATCAGGAAAGAGAAAAAGCGCCTAAATTATGAAGGAACAAAAGATAGAGAGTTCAGTTATAAGACAGAGAAAAGAGAAGAAGATAAAGAGAAACCTGAAAATCAAGAAAAACCAGTAGGATCTATAAGCCTGTCTTCAATACCTTGTTTAAGAGCAGAAGGATGCGATGTTCACAAAGTTTAGGAAAATTTTTTTTTGTTTCAGAGGAAGACTGGATAAAAAATTAATATAGCTTATGAAATTACAAAAAATAAATCTTAAAATGTCATAATTAACTCTTTTTTTTCGTATCTTTTGGTTTTCTCTGAGAAAACAATAACTACAGTAAAAGCAAAAAGTTTCGTTTTAGCCAACACAAAAAATCAGTCGACATGATCTTGAAAGATCAAACGAATGTAGCCGGTTTCTGAGTTTACAGGCGTCGCACAAAACGGGCAGACGGCTTGAAATGCATGGCAACCATGAGGTATTGGTATCGACGACCAATATCTGCAGAAAAAGAAAGAATAAAATATACTTGATGATTAATTTATTATCTAAACACCTTTCAAAAAAAATCTCATTAACTATCTAACTCACTCAGCAATTTGAAATTAGCATACATCCAAAGATAGTACGCCTATTTCTTTAGCAAACTTAAACATCCTACTCTATTGTCTTCCTTAAATAAACCCGATATCACGTGATAAAAGTAAGTAAAACCAAAAAAGTAACTCTCCTTCTCTAGAATCTGCTCATTTTCATGATATATAAAATAAAATTTCTATAGATTTATATTAAATATAGGTGTAAAATAAAGAAGGGCGTATTACACATAATTGACCTCATTTTTAAACAGGTAATGAAAGAGCAGTATAGAGAGAGAGAGAGAGAGAGTATATATAAATGTGTGTGTGTGTGCGAGAGAGAGAGAGGGAGGGGGTGTGGGGGGAGGAGGGTAAGCAGAAAAAAATTTTCTCCTTAAAAAAAAATATACGTTTTTATTATCTCAAGTGTTTATCATGTTATACTTGAATAACATCAAAATAATAATATATATAGATGAGAAGGAGAGTTAAAAAATAATAACCGTAAGTCTATACATTACAGGTATTTGTTTATAATTGAAAAACTAATAATAAATAGATTCTATATTTATATATTAAAATAAATGCTTAATTCTCTATATTACTGTAAATTACTTAATTTTTATGATATTGCTTTTGACGAGTGAAGTAGAACGTTAGAATTAATCGATAAAATCATAATGCTTCTTTCATATAATTTACTCATTTCCCAATACTTATGTTATTCTTAAACAAATGTGATACTTTAACAACTCTTAACAAATGTTACAATATCTTTTATAAAACATTTTCTATACACTTTTTATCATTTTTCGTAGAAAGTAAAAAAAGAAAAAAAGGTGGGGAAAGAGAACGGGAAAAGAATGATAAAGAGTGATATAAGAGATAGTAAAAAAAAAAAGACAAAAAAAAAACCAAACAAAACAAAGAGTAAAAGCTTAAAGGAAAGAGAATGATATCTAACTTCAATGGAATTTCTACCCCAATTACATATATGCTAATAGTTTTACAAAAAAAAGAAAATTTGGTTCATAAAAAAAAGAATCGCTGTTATAAAAAAAATTGCAATATGAAAGTAGACAGAAAAAACTTTCAGGCCTAGCATCTCTTTTTTTTTCGTAAGGAAGAAAAATATCTCGAATATACCAATTTATTAAATATTATTTTAATGAAAAATTGCTTACTTGACTGTGTTTTCTGAAGCCATATGAGCACAGGGATAAAAGCAATGGGTCGGGGGTTCGTTATCTACGTAAAATGTCGTTTCAATGCCTAATTGTAATTTTTCGAACGGACCAGTCGTTCTACACATTGGGCACGTTCTTCTTTCTTTTCCGTCTCCCTCGGCTTCCCAGCTGTGCTGACCATGCACGTGACCACAGGTCATATAAACGTGCGGCGTACGTTCTCCATCAATACTATTTACATTTGCTTTAGTTGGAAAAACCAACGTATTCAGACCAACAGGACATTGTGGGCGTCCGGCATTCATTTCGGCTACCCTTGATTCCAATTCACGTCTGCTGGGTGAATTGTATAAGCCGGCTGATGAACGCCACAATAATGTTGCTCCGCAGAGATCAATGAGCGTACCGTCCTGCAGTACGTTGTCTTCTCCTGGTATGAGACTCGATTTTTGAGGCGTTGATCTTGATTCTCTGAGTGCGTAAATTCCCCCTCCCACTGACACCTCTCTCCAAACACTTGTTCTACCTGGTATCTTTGATGGGTGCATTATCAAAATACCATTCGTTGTTAAGCCGTCAATGTCTGTTTCAGTTTGCCATTTTGTTGCTTTCTCACCAAGGAAAATATTACGGGATATATCAAAACCGGCGGCATATATTCTAGCCTTAAAAGGAGGTTCTCGTTCAATAAGTATTCGACAAGCGAATCGAGATATCGTAGATTGAGTAACTGTCTTTGATTTCGATCTTTCGTCACCTCGAATTGTATCCATAACAATAAGGTCAATTTGGGGCTCAGAAGACCGGCCAATTTGAAACATATCTGTTTTCTCATCGTGGTCATACTGTACAACAACTGCACGATGTCTGTTTAAAGTGTAGGAAACAGAATGCTTAGAGGTATTCTTAATCAGGTCGCACTGTTGAGGATTCTTCACTTCATGTTTAACAGAGGGTTTCACACCAGACGGTTTGGACCGTCGTTTTAGTAACAATTTATTACGACGTCTTCCTTTGTCCATACCATTTCCAAGCGAACCATTGTATCCGAGCACTACAAGTTCTCCATAGACGTATCCTTCTAAATCTTCAGGAGACTGTTCAACACTTGTTGATGCTACCTCCTTTTCATTAGTGCTGAAACAAAGGATCATGGCCGTTAATTGAAACTGAATATTTTTATTATAACACAATAATTTTTTTTTCAAATACATATAAATTGATAGTTCTATCATAATGGAGAAGACTTGTTTACAAATAAAAGGACGGACAGGAGCCAAAGACAGCGGAAACATGATACAACGCTGCGAACAGACGATTACTATCTTGTGGTAAACAATAAAACAAAGATAAGCAAAATTAACAAAGACTTTAAGTTTTCGAAAATTCCATAGAAATATAAATAAGTTAAATAATTAGAATACTTACTTTTCGGAAGATTGAGGCATTGTTACAATGAAAATTAAATAAATATAGTTAAAACCAACATTTCGATCATGTTTTTGTGAAATCTTTTTCTCGGGAAACACCGTATGGTTGTTTTCGTATTTATACTACTTTTTCATTGGTTGCCTTCGGATAAATACTTTAACTCATTGCAAATATAAATAAAAACTGTAAGAAGCTGTGGTAGAGTTTAAACACCAAAATATGAGAAGTTTTGGAGAATATATTTGAGGAAATACTTCATAAAGTTATAGTAGTTCTTCTTCCGGTGAAAGTAAAATGATTTTAAAAAGAAAGCCTTTTAATCTAAAAGAGAAGAAATCAAATTATGCAAAATACTTTGACTTTATTACAAATAGAATAAATTTAGATCAAACTTTCCACCGTGTGGAAGATCAATTAATGAAATTATTGATGTGAGTTTTAAAAGGAATTATACTTCTTTGCAGACGATATTATTTGCGTTTCCGGTTCCGCTTCGGTCTAGAGACGTTTTTCTACTAACTTTGAAGTATTTAAGGAATATGGGTTCTAAGAAGCGCAAGGACAAAGATAAGGAACGGGAAAGAGATCAGGAAAGAGATAGAGATTCTAAAAGAGATCGTAAAAGAAAGCGGGGAGACCACGATAGTTATGATGACGACAATTTGAAAAGGGAGCGTAGAGAACCTAGTGCAGAAGACAGGCGAGGAGACAAACGAGACAGAGAAAGGGAAGGTAGCAAACGGGATCCTGATTTAGAGAGAAAACGTAACAAAGACCATGAAAAAGACGAAGAAAAACGATCAAAACGGGCGTCTAACAGTGGTTTGTTTTCTTGCATTTTTAGCGATAAGCAGTTTTATTTAACCTAATCTATTTTTGAAACAGATGATGATATAGCACCTTCATCAGCTGGAGGAGATATTTCACTAAGCGTAGACGAAACTAAGTGAGTACTAATATGCCAAATTATTAATGTCTAACTCTATGTTCTTTTTAAGTCGTTTACGAGCTAAACTTGGTCTACGACCTCTTCAAACAGCTGAAAAATCGAAAGGTAGGACTATGCTGTGACATAAAGCATATATTAAAATTGGTTTTTTTACAGAGGAAAAAGATTCGTTAAAGGATGATATTCATGTACCAGCAATAAATCTGAGTGAGAAGAAAAAATCCGAAGCAATCAAAGAAAAGATAAATGTAGCTCGTGAAAAAAGGATGATAAGAGCT